ACGGGCCCAGCTGATGTCGAGGATCTGCTCGACCTTGGTGGCGCGCTTTTCAGCGTCTTTCCACGTGGTGAAGGTCTCGAGCTCAATCTTACGATACACACGGGAGGGGATGCCGCTCAGGTACTTGTCGCATAGCTCCAGGTCCCCATACCCAGAGCGATCCGCCGGACCCTTGAACAGCGTGAAGAATTCCGCGGCTATCACAAAACCTACAAACCCACCTTATAGCTTGATGGTAAGAGGGGGAGATAAAGCACTTAAGTGTGGGGGAGGTAATGCTGTTAAGCGCAACAACAAAGTGAATAGAACTGGGGGACAGGGTGCCCCAGGATGCTGCCTTATATACATGAGGGAAAACCCCCCAGGGACCGGTAATGGACCCCTGGTACCTAGCTGGGTAAGGATTACTAAGTATCATGTGCTTTATGATGTCATATATGATGTCATAGTCTGGCCCTGCCCTGCCCTGGGCCTAGGGTCCAGAATTGACTGGCCTATGGCCTAGTGCCTGAGCCTAGCTCCTACCTATGATGTCAGAATGATGTCATGGTCCAAAAGGAGTCTGGTTTCTATCTAGAAAAGGTCCGGCATCAGAGTCCAGCCTGATGTGTCCAGAACAAGATCATGTGTCGCTTATTTAAGCGGATAACCCCTTAGATATGTAGATGTACCCATATGCGGACGGATAAGTATGGATAAGTCCCTATACCCTTTGATATGTCCGCAGAAATAGCGGAAAAATTAGGTAAAATTAGGGAAACTGTGACAGTACCCCCGCCTCTAGCTTCGAGCTCCGTTTGAGAAGTTTTGACCATTTGACCAGTGAAGTGCCTTTACGCTTTGGTAATCTCGAGATCACAATCGGCTATACGCTCAATAATGAGCTGAGCAATGGGGTCGCCTTTGGCGATCTTCAGCCCGGATGGTCCGGTGTTGGTAACAACAACCTTGACTTCGGCTGGGTCACCCCGCTCGATAATGCCTTCGATTGCTCGGATTCCTTTGGCTAATGGATTTCCTACTGGGGTAATTCTCCTGTAGGTGCCAACTGGTAGTTGTATCTGGATTCCTGTCGGAATCTGCAGTGTTGCATTGCTGGCGACTTCCTGGTTTTGACTCGCATACAGTTCAAAGCCTGCTGCTGTATTGGTCTTTCTCTTGGGTTCCTGGCCTCCTCGTAGCTCAACTTGGAGTGTTGCATCCCTTTTCAGGAGAGCAAACACCTTGTCATCATTATCATTGAGCGACCTGATTGCATGTGGGTGCGCATCATGATATTCCTTGATGAGTTCCTTCAAGCCTTTGAGGTTCGCTACTGGTTCCCATGTATCCTCGTCGGGAGTGGTATTCTTCCATTGTACGAGGTACTGAAGCTTGCGGTAGTGCCGGCGAGAGGATAGGATCTTCTCCACTTCCCATTCTTCATGACCATCAATAATAACCGGCTTTGCAGCTGGTCCTTTCTGGCCTGGGATTTCCGCCTCGTGATAGGGTATAAGCTTACTGGCGTGGAAGACCGGATGTAATTTGGTCAACCTCGGTGGCCATTTCAGTCTGAAGGTGACTGGAGAGAGTTTTTCAACAATCTCGAAAGGCCCCGAATACCATGCGTTGAGTTTTCGACCAGTAGTTTGGTAGTCTCTGAGGTCAAGTAAGACCTTGTCGCCCACCTTGAAGGGGACTTTCTGGACTCCTTGGTCGTAATACCACTTCATACGCTCAGCTGCCAGTTTGAGAGCGGCTTTCGCCTGTTCCTACGCTTGTTGTCGGTTCCAAACAATGTCATTGAGGTTGCTTTTTTGCACCTCCTTCATAAGTGTTGGACCTGCCCGTGGATGTCTGCCGTATTCCAAGAAGAATGGTGTCTCCTTGGTGCCCTCATGCGCTGCATTGTTGTAGGCAAACTCAGCAGAGCTAAGTAGCCTTGACCAGTCGTCGAGTTGATAGTCAATGTAACAGTGAAGATATTGCTCCAGAACTTGGTTGACTCTTTCAGTCTGACCATCAGTCTGTGGGTGGTACGTGGTGGACATGGTGGACTCTATCCCTAGTAGCTTACACCATTCCTGGAACAGTATAGCTGCAAACTGAACACCTCGGTCGGATATAATCTGGGATGGTAAGCCGTGAAGCGGATACACCCGATTGTATAGCAATTCTGCTAGATCCTTTGCCGAGAATTCGTTTGTTATTGGGTAGAAGTGAGCCCGCTTTGTCAATCGATCCACAACTACACAAATGGCATCGTAACCATCTGATTCTGGGAGCTGAGTGATGAGGTCGATGGTCATAACTTCCCATGGCCCTTTCGGGACACGGTTGGGTTGCAATGGTCCATACAGCTGCTGCGGACGATTCTTCATCCATTGACAAATGTCACAGCCGGTCACATACTTCTTGACAAATACCAACATGCTAGGCCACCAATAGTTGCGTGAGACGAGTTCATATATCTTCCACCTTCCGGGATGTCCGGCTGAAGGGAGATCATGATGCATTTGAACTATACGCCTGGGCAAGTGGTCCTGCTCGCTGTTGGGGATATATACTTTGCCGCAATAAAGCAACAATCCATTCTCATAGTTCCAGTCCACAAGGGACTTGCCGAATTCTCTAGGACCTGACTTCAGCAATTGCTGATAGTTCTTGGTCACATCGTCATGTAGGAGTGCTTCCTTCACTTCCCTCAGGAGTTGATTGTCATTAACGGGCGACTCATGGGAGGCCTCGACTGCATTGATTGCAAAAAACTCCAGTTTCAACAAAGTTTGATCCCGATTATCGAGGTTCACCCCCTCCTCATGGTCTGGCCTCCTGGACAGAGGGTCGGCGGTAAGCATTGTTTTTCCTGGCTTATGGCGCAAAATAAAATTGAATCGCGTGAGGTACAGAGCCCATCTCGCTTGTCTCCTGGTCAACTTCTGGGTGGTTTTGAAGTAAGTCAGATTAAGATGATCTGACCAGATCTCGAATTTGTCCGAATGTCCCTCCAAATAATGCCTATACTCCTCGAGTGCTCGAATGATAGCAAGCATCTCTTTGTCATATATCTCGTAGTTCCGCTGATGAACATCAAGTGACTTCGAGTAAAAGGCAACTGGGTGCCACAACTTGTCAGTTGGGTCCAATTGAGAGAGAACTGCGCCAGTTGCAAAGTCGCTGGCGTCAGTCTCAAGTCTAAATGGGGACGTTGCATCCGGGATTCGAAGGATGGGTGCTGAGGTAAAGGTCTCTTTCAGACCATTGAATGCCTCTTCCTGCACCACATCCCACACCCATGGTTGATCCTTCTTGGTCAACGTAGTGAGCTGTCACAAGTTGATACGGCGTCTAGCCGTTTTTTAATTTTTCCTTTTTGCGGGCTCGAACCCACGACCTCTGTACTACATGCCCGATATGGACGCATCACTATCTACTGTATGATTAGATTAGATGGGGCGGCAGTGCACGGCACAGCTCGGGCCCCACTGACATAGCCGCTCTGACTCACCGGCCCCCGGGGCCGCGTCGGCATGCTGTGCACGGACCAGCTGCGCACGGACCAGTGCGCACAGCCTGCCCTTATCTTCCCCTGTATATAAGCCGGCCTCTGCTGCCCTAGGGACCTCAGTTTCGACCTCTTGTCCCTAGGTCAGTAAGCTCCCCTGTATCTGCTTACTTACTTATACTAACTAATATACTTTCTTGTCCCTAGCCTTAGGTTTGAGCCTCGCTCACCATCGCTTCGGTAAGAACTAAGTCGAACGCCCCCAGCACCTTGTTTGGTTTTCTCCTGTCGCTTGACCCTAAGTCGCGACATTAGGTCGAAACTCCTCACCGCTGCCGGCATTCACTGGAACACACTCACTTTCTCACTTCCTACAGGTCGGGTGGTGCGCACCTCTACTGTACCCTACGATACTTAGATAGCGTACGATACATCGCCACCACTTAAGGGACGAACTCTTCGGTATCTGCACTTCAGTGGGCGATACTTGTCCTCACGGACGCGTGGCTTAGGTTCCTGCTGCATAATAGTCAAAAGCAGTACTGGGCCCCACGTGAACTGCGAACCTTAGTGTTATCTCGGGCACTGTAGGTGTAAGCTAGTATAGCACGGCCTTTCGTAGTACGCGCACCTCCCCTTCCTCCCCCCATCCAATGTGGCTGCCTGTCAAGGCCAAGTTCACGCATTCGACTCCCAGGATCTCATCGACGTCTACATCCCAGACGGCCCTGAGACCGTCCTCTACCGTTGCGAGCAGCAGCCGTGCCCAAATCGGACACCCCGATCAATTGAGGAGGACTACCCTCGTTACAAGGCGATCCGACGAGCGCAACATCCGCTCGGTCCTCGAAGCACCCTTGCATCTCGATCCGCCTCGCGACACTCTCGCCCTGTCTCCCCTACCTCCCGCCTTCCTCAAACTGTCGTCGCCGGCCCAAGTCAAGCGCAAGGAGATCTCCCTCCAGACCCTGTGCCAGAGCCTGAGCCTGAGAAGGATGACAGTGAAGAAGGAGTCTTGGAGTCCGAGTCCATGGATCCTGCTCGGCCCACCTCGCCGACAGCGCTCGCCCCCGCGTCAGCAATCCCTGACGTACGTAACCCCTCCCCCGAACTTTCTTCGGCGCCTTCACCGCCGACTCCGCCGAGAGGCCGCTCGAGCACTCGCTCCTCTCGAAGTTTGACCAGCGGAAGGCCACCACAGCCGCCTCCGCCCCCACAGCGTCCTCTGTCCCCCCCGACGCCGATAATGTCGTCCCCCGCAGCCATCCCCGACAAGGAGACGTTGAAACTCCTCCTCCCACTCCAATACGACAGCAAAACCGTCATCGAGTGCAACCGGTTCCTATCACAGCTACGCATCTACTGGCTGGTCAACACGTCGTTGACCACCATCGAGCTTAAGGTACAGGTCGCACTCAGCCTGCTCGATGGAGATGCCTGCGCCTGGGCCACTCCCTACTTTGCCCAGCTCGCATCGGTGCAGGTGGGTGTGCAAGGGGCCACGACCCCGTTCGCAAACGAAGCGGCCTTTGCCGCTGCCTTCAGGGCCCGCTTCGGAAATCTCGACGACAAGGCGGCAGCACAAGTAGAGCTGGCAAAGCTCTGCACGAACAAGTCGGTCCGTGAAAAACGCACCGCTGCGGAGTTCTCCGCGCTGTTCAAGGGTCCGGCGGATCGCTCTGGGTATGGGGACCTGGAGCTACGCGACAAGTACCTGAGCGGTATCCCCTCCCGCGTGTACCGGAAGATCGAGCTCGAGACCTTCACCACGTGGCAAGCAGCTGAGAAGCGCGCCACTGAGGTCGAGCAGATCCTTGACATCAGCCGGGCCCGTCGACCCGAGCTGAACAACTTCTTCTCGGCACGAGGTCGAGGACGCGGAGGGGCACGTGGTGGTGCACCCTCGTCGCACGGAACTTCGGCCAGCATCAATGCGGCCGTCGGAAAAGGAAACTTCCCCGGCACCTGCTTTGGCTATGGGAAGCAAGGGTACCGACAATTCGAGTGCCCCAATTGTAAGGACAAGCCTTACACAAAACGCGCCGACGCGCGGGCTACGGTTGCCTCGGGATCCACCCAGGCTGCGACAAGCGCCCCTGTCACGACATCACCCTCGGCAAGTATAAGTGCCGCTTCAGCAAAGTCCGAGCAATCGGAGCTGGCGGACTTAATGGCACAGGTGAAGTCGATGCGCAAGGAGCTCGAGCACTATTGGGCGATGAAGGAGGAGGGTTTTTGATCCGGTCCATGCTTCGTGCCGCACGCGTCGGGCCGCATATATCCTGTAATAAATATGATGTATTGTCGACTGCAATAGTGTATGAGTTGGACCAGGGGTCCCAGCACTTTCACATCCCAGTTCGACTTCAAGGAAGAAGACGGCACAAGGACATAATCGCTATGGTGGACAGCGGAGCCACCACGAAATTTATCAACAAGCAATTCATCATAGAAAATAAGGTGCAGACGCGGAAATTAAAAGAGCCTATTCCGCTCTACAATATCGATGGCACCCTGAACAAAGACAGAAGCATCTCGGAAGTAGCAGTGCTACAGATGCAGATGAGAGAACATGTTGAGAAGACAGTGTTTACAGTCACGGACATCGGTCCAGAAGATGTGATCGTTGGGTTGGATTGGCTACGTGAGCACAACCCCGAGATCGATTGGGAGAAAGGCTCCTTCAAATTATCACAATGCCCTGAAACGTGCAGTGCCAGGAGAACTGGCCGGATGGAGCAAGCAACGACTGCGCGTGATACGGGAGTTAGGCCCACGGCGCGCAGGCGTTCACCGAAGTCCAAACAGTCGGTCATAGGTGCCTGCCGGAGTAAGGTACTCCCGGACTTCGAACCCGAAGAAGATCCGGCAAAAGTAGAGTGGGATGAGGCCGATTTGATCGAAGCCTGGGAGCAAGGTATTACACTTCCCGGCGCCCCTCAGCTGTTCGTCACAGCTGGGCATACGTATTCCCAGCTGTTCGCTGAGGAAGAGATCAAAAAGAAGGTCGTTAAGACCGCCGAGGAGTTGGTACCTAAACAGTACCACGAGTTCCTGAATGTCTTCTCCAAAGAAGCGTCAGAACGGCTACCCGAAAGGAAGCCTTATGATCACGCAATTGAACTCGTGCCTGGCTACTCGACGTTCCACTCAAAGGTGTATCCCTTATCGAACAATGAGCAGGAGGAACTGGACAAGTTCCTAAAGGAGTAGCTGGCGAAAGGCTATATATGGGAATCAAAGTCACCCATTTCGTCCCCCTTCTTCTTCATCAAAAAGAAGGAAGGGACGCTTCGACCCGTGCAGGACTACCGCCGATTGAACGCGATCACAGTCAAAAATCGTTACCCCTTGCCGTTGATTGCTGAGATGGTGGATAAGCTCCGTGGCGCTATGCTCTTTACAAAGTTTGATGTCCGATGGGGATACAACAATGTCCGGATCAAAGCTGGTGATGAATGGAAGGCGGCCTTTGTGACTAACCGGGGGCTGTACGAACCCCTGGTGATGTTCTTCGGCCTCACCAATTCCCCCGCGACTTTCCAGGCGATGATGAACGAGATCTTCCACGATCTCATCGTCGGTGGCAAGATCCTTGTGTACCTGGACGATATACTCATCTTCTCCACCAATAAAGAGGAGCATGAGAAGGTCACACGCGAGGTTCTTCGCTGCCTTCAGGACAACGATCTATTCCTGAAGCCTGAGAAGTGCGAATGGGACGTTCCCAAGGTCGACTACGTCGGCTATGTGTTCAGTGGCGATGAGGTAGTGATGGATCCTGTGAAGCTAAAAGGAATCAATGAGTGGCCGGTACCCCGGAACAAAAAAGATGTTCAGAAGTTCCGGGGGTTCTCCAACTTCTACCGCCGCTTCATTAAGGACTTCGCTAAGATCTCGCGACCACTCGACCGGCTCACAGGGAACGACCCATGGCATTGGGGCGAAGAGGAGCAGCACGCCTTCGATGAGCTCAAGCGGCTCTTCATGACAACTCCAGTCCTAGCGCTGTACGATCCTAATCGAGAGACGCGCATTGAGGTTGATGCCTTGGGCTACCCCACCGGCGGCATGTTGATGCAGAAGCAGGATGACGGCAAATGGCATCCCATCGCCTTCAGATCCCATGCGATGGATCCAGCGCAGCGGAACTACGAAATCTACGATAAGGAAATGCTCACGATCATTGAGGCACTAGATGATTGGCGCCACTATCTCGAGGGGTTACCCAATCAGTTCGAGATTGTAACCAATCATAAGAACCTCGAGTACTGGCGTACATCCCAGCATCTCACACGTTGTCAAGCACGATGGTCGCTGTTTCTGGCTCGCTTTGACTTCTGCATTATGCACAAGGCCGGGACGTCCAATGGAAAGGCTGATGCCCTGTCACGTCGATCAGACCACCAGATCGGCGATAAGGACGATAACACCAATCAGGTGGTTCTCAAGCCAGAGCGCTTCCGCATCGCCTCCGCCAGGCGCGGTCACGCCTCAGTGACAGCCGATCAGTCGCTTCTGAAGCGCATCAGGGAATGTTCGGAGAAGGATCGGGAGGTGGCCAAGGCCCTGGAAAAGGTGCAGGACCTCGGGCTGCCCCGGCTGCAAAGGGGTTTTGAGGAGTGGAATGCCGAACAAGGGCTTCTGCTGTTCCGCGGGTGCGTGTACGTCCCAAAGAATGCGGAGCTCCGGCAGGATATAGTCAAGATCCACCACAACTCGCCGATTGCCGGTCATGGCGGTCGTGCCAAAACCATGGAGCTCGTGTTGCAGAATTACTGGTGGCCTGGGATGTCCAAATTCGTCAATGAGTATGTAAGCACCTGCGACGTGTGCAACCGTACCAAGACATTCCCAGCCAAGCCCCAGGGTCCGCTGAAGCTGAACGAGATCCCCAAGCACCCGTGGCAGATCACCACCATGGATATGATTGTTGGCTTGCCAAAGTCTGATGGGTTCAACTCGATCCTGGTCACTGCCGACTGCTTCACAAAGCAGGTCCACTTCTCAGCCTGTCATGAGACCCTGACGGCAGAAGGTGTGGCAGACCTGTATATCCGTGATGTGTTCAAGCATCATGGGGCCCCAGCCAAAGTCATATCGGACCAAGGACCCCAGTTCGCTTCGAAGTATCTCCACACGGTGTACAAGGGACTAGGGATCGAGCCGGTGCTGTTCACAGCATTCCACCCCCAGACAGATGGCCAGACTGAGCACTGGAATCAGGAGATCGAACAGTACCTGCGTGCCTTCACAAGCCACCGGCAGGATGATTGGGCAAAGCAATTGCCACTCGCGGAGTTCGCACTGAACAACCGAGTTCACTCCACGACCGGGCACTCCCCTTTCTTCCTGCATCAAGGGTACCATCCTGAGATCCAAGTGCGGATCAATCCGATGTCGGCAATGCCTGCGGCCGCTGATCGGCTCAAGATCCTGAAGGAGATTCGCGATGACACGCGCTCGGCGCTCGAGCTGTCGGCCGAGCGCATAAAGGTGTACTACGACAAGCACATGCAAAAGGCACCAGTCTTCGCACCGGGGGATAAGGTCTGACTTGATGCCCAGAACCTTAAACTGAAACAGCTGAGCAAGAAGCTCAGTCCCAAGCGCCTAGGACCTTATGCCGTGCGGCGAAAGCTCGGAGACCTGGACTATGAATTAATCCTGCTGAAGTTGGTGCCGGTGCACCCGGTATTCCATGTCTCCTTACTTAGCAAGTACACGCGTAGCGATATCCCGGGCCGGGAGCCGGAGGAGCCGCCTGCAATTAAGGTTGAGGGCGACGAGGAGTACGAGGTTGAGCGGATCAAGGATTCGAGGATCTTCCGGCGTCAACTGCAGTACCTCGTCAAGTGGAAGGGTTATGACAATTCGCATACGTCATGGGAACCGGCGCGCAATGTTGCCAATGCGCTGGCCCTCATAGCCGAATTCCACCGGAAGAATCCGAACGCCCCTCGCCGCCTCAACACTGCTACCTTTGGTGGTCTCAACTTTCAGCCAATGCCTTCGCCGCTGACTGAAGCACACTGCCGCTCCAGGTGGGAGATGGGCAAAGGCGCCTCGCATGAGGTCATGCGCCATTGAGGGGGGGTAATGTCACGAGTTGGTATGGCGTCTAGCCTTTTTTAATTTTTTCCCTTTTGCGGGCTCGAACCCGCGACCTCTGTACTATATGCCCGATATGGATGCATCGTTATTTACTGTATGATCAGATTAGACGGCAGTGCACAGCACAGCTCGGGCTCTGCTGACACAGCCTGTCTGACTCACCGGCCCCCAGGGCCGCGTCAGCATGCTGCGCACGGACCAGCGGCGCACGGACCAGCGCGCACAGCCTGCCCTTATCTCCCCATGTATATAAGCCAGCCTCTGCTGCCCTAGGGACCTCAGTTTCGACCTCTTGTCCCTAGGTCAATAAGCCCTCACTTGTATTTCTTTCCTACCTTACTAACTAATCCATTTTCTTGTCCCTAGCCTTAGGTTTGAGCCTCACTCACCATCACTTTGGTGAGAACCAGTCGAATGCCCCTCACTTTCAGATATTCCCCTGTTGCTTGACCTCAAGTTGCAACAATGAGGGGACTGAGGAGGTGCTATAGAAAACAATAAGAACACAAGTTGAGAGCAGCAGGTGCAAGGTGACCACAGTGTACGAGATCAGAGTCGGGGAGGCTTAGGTGAGTGTGCTTGGTTAGAGCGCGGAGCTCATAACCTTTTGGAACCTGTACTGAATACTTGTAAGTCTATGACTACACATCAAATCAGTACAGGTACAGAAGAACGGGATGGAGTGAACATACCTCAGCCGTGGTGGTAGAACAACTGAGGAAAGAAGTGGGGGAGTGGGGGAGCGAGGTGTAAGTAGGAAAGGTAGGTATCACGTGTATATAGACAGAGAACAAGCTAAGGTATTGGATGGACATAGGGAGTGTGTTAAAGTTCATCCGAGACCCGAAGCAAGAACGATCAACGAAGATATATTGTGTTTGTCTGAGCTCTGTCAAACGCGTAAGAAACATACAGGATGGCTCGCGCAAAGTCTGCGAGGTACTACAAACAATGCCAAATATGGTGGCATGCGCTCGCCACAATCTCAAGTTCCAACAGAGTGTGGATCGCGAGTGTGGACGTCAAACGTTGCGATCGGGGAAGTCAGAATCCGACAATCAAGCCCAATTTTTGTTGACCACACAAGGTCCCATAGTGTACAAGCCTACAAGGAGCACAGAAAGAAGATGCGAGCAGGTCACGAGATTGGGTAAATCACGAGGGCAATGTAAGCGTCTATTGACAGCCAATGAAAAGACAAGAATCGTGCGAAATCCTCACGTGTAGTCCCATGAGCCAATCAGCGCGTCCATCCGAGATCGCTTAGGTAAGTTACGTGAGTCCACTGTAGGTTGATCAAATGACAGGTCATTCGGAATGTCGCCGTTCGAGGAGGGGAGCTCAGATTCTGCTCGCTGCTTTTGGCCGTTTAAATGTCGCTTGTTTTCCAGCGAGATTTAAGCGGCAATTTTGAACGGTCCTAGTTACGGAGTCTATATGTTTATGCCAACTGGAGCATACACTCATGAACACTACAAGTCCGGCGCGCTTGAATCTCCACCCGAGCAAGACCGGAAGCTTATCGAGTCGTTCATCGACTCCATGAATGGTCCGCTGCTAGATGGCGTCCCACGCGAGAATGTAGTGTTTGAAATTGAGGACATGCGGTTTGAGGTTCACCCTATGCAAGCTGTCAATGCGCCTCCGCATCATCAGCGTGAGCGTAAGGTCCGTTTGCTGCCGCCTGACTGCGTTTTCCATCCGCAAGCTGGTATATGTGCATTCTGCCAGGAGCTTTTGCCTCCCCGTCATCTGCAAAATGTCATATGCCGTTGCAAGAAATGTGAAAAGGCTCTGTTGAGGGAGTTGGCGGACGACTGGGATTGGGATTGAACGTTCGAACTCCAGTGTTCGATGGCTTGACCGGCCACCGACGCGCTCACTGAGTCGGCGCATTGGCGTGTTGAAATCAAGCATATTCGCTGTTTCTCATCTTGCACGTACGATTTGCGTATCGAAGACACCGATGCAATGTACAGCATCCTGAGTGAGTAGAATCTCGATAACTTTATAATGATCTGTTGACTGCGAGACTCAATCCGCTGTACCTAAATTCATCACGGCTACGGATAGTAAGCAATTGGAGCCTACGGCAGGTCACGATGCATGAACACTGAATGTCATGTCAGATCAAACCAATATGTTGTCGCAGCCAACAAGTGTACGTCCACGATGTGCGCCTGTTTCACGTCCATAGCGTACAGCATCGTAAGCCCATCCATACTCGGCGTATGAACCTAGCGTCTATGACAACATGCGCAAGATCGCATTTGTAGCATGAAATAGACATGTTCGTCCGTCCCGCAGGTCTCAGGCTACCTCTCGGCGATTGCAAGTACTGTGCGCCTCCGATACATAAAAGAAATCTCATCGTCAGATCCAGATATGTGCGAGCGAACGTGCGCGGTCAAAATAAGATACATGGCATGCGGCAGCGGGGTATGGAACGCGGAGATTACGGGGGGCCATACGGTTAGCGGATATACGGGCGGATGTATGCGTATGTATACGATGGATTGATGTATATGCAACTGGTGGTCATGCGAATACATGCCGGCTGGGTGGCATGGGGATACGGGGATAGGGCCACTAGCAGGCGGGGCGCGGAAGTGGCACTGGTGACGGAGAAGAATGCAATCTGGGGTGGAACTCGGCAGCGGCAGGCGGGAATGACGGAGGCGGGTGTGGGGCACATCGGCACATCTGGATGGCGGCGGTCACTGCGGGGAAGAAACACTCTTCAGCAACACGGTGATTCAGGCGGAGATGGCATATGCGCACATAGTACTCGACCTCGAGCTGCAGGCGGCACGTTGCGCCAATCATGAAACGGAATGACACGGAGTAAAAAGTCAAGAAGGTTAGAGTATGAAGGAGAATACGCACAAACATGAAAGCCACGCGGCGCGGCCAGAGGATGTTCAGGCCCACGGGGTTATACAGGCGCGCATTCCGGTCTTCGATCAACCTTTGCAGCCGGCGCATCTCCTGCGCACAGCGGGAAAGTCAAGAGTCAGACGACACAATCACGCGTGGGAGAGAGACAGCGTTGTGCAACGCGGCAGGGAGGCCGCACCATGCTGCGGCACGCCGACGCGGGTAGGTGGATTAAGGAGCGACGGCGGCGAGACAACACACCTTCTCGTAATGCGACATCTTGACGAGCCGCGAGGCCTGCAGAGTGAAGAAGGAGAGCGTATTGTCGAGGAAGGAGTGCCCCAGACTGTGCGCTGAGATGAGGATCTCGTTGATGTCGTTGACTGTCTCGAGGAACTGCGTCGGCGTTAGCTGCAGAGCATCGTGAGCGAAGAGCATAAGAGGATACAACCACAATGTGAGCTGCTCACCCGGCCCTCGAACTCGAGCGGATATACCGCGGCGAACTGCGGGAGCTCGCCTGCCGAGTAGTCGCGCTCGATCCGCACGACCTCCCGTGGGTGGTGCACGCCGATCTGGCCCACTGGCGGCGTCCCATACGCCGCATCAGGTGGTGGGGGACCAAAGTAGTATGACGAGTAGGGGATGAGTGGTCGCGACCGTCTAGAGGCCCCGAGCGGCGTCAGCAGAAGAATGGAAAACAAAACGAATGCTGCACGCACAATGGTTTTGTTCCTGAGAACTCATGCACGATGCGCGTGTGCGACGAGCCATACGGGTCGCGCCCGCCATTCGTCGCGGGCGGGTCCATTGTCTCCCATGGCGGCGGCGACGGCGGGTGGACGTCGAGCCGGAGCGGGTGCTCGTCCGTGTGCGCGTGCTGGGCGCCCGCAGCGCCGAACGCGATGTGCAGGGCGTGATCTGCGGACGGGACGCCGTCTTTGGATTCCGCCGTCGTCGCAGAGCCGAGGTCGTCCTCGCGCCAGGACGCACTCAGCGCGCCGATGTCCATCTCCGAGTCGGGCGTGCGCGGCTGTGCGTGGGTGTCGAGCGGTGTGAGCGGGTGCCTGGCGGTGTCGGTGGTGGGCGAGGGGCGGAAGCCCATCATGGCCATTCTCTGCACGAGCTCTGGGTCCGACGCAAGGTCAGGCTCGGCGCGGGGTGCGCCTGCCCGGGATGCGGAGGTGCTGCCACCCGACTCGTCTGTGCCCTCACCCGCTGCTGCCTTCCACTCGTCCTCTTCTGCGTGTGTGTCTGCGGTCCCTGGCGTAGCGGCCCGTGGTGGATGTGGGTCGGTGTGCGAAGACAAAGGGGGGCTGGCGCGTGGTGAGGATCGCGGCGGTGGCGGCTCGACAGACATTTCTGGCAGGTACCAATCGCTCCAAGGTATCCGATTCGCAAGCACGACAGAACAAGCAGAACAGAACAGACGACGGGGCCTCCGGCGAAGTGAAAGAGCAGAGTCGGAGGGCTACAATACAAGCATCGACGGTGAGACCGCCGTTCATCACCGGTCTTCCCGCATTCACGCTGCTTATACAGCACCGCCGCGGAGTCAAATTCGCGCTCAGTTGTCTTCAAAATCGTCCGCCACCTCATTCTGCACTCGCAGCAGCATTTCCTGAGACTTCACCGCATCCTCTGTCGGCCCTGGGGCTTGTTTGCTGTGCATGCTCCTTCGGCGTATCTTGGGATGCGCTGTGTGGGAGCCCGTTGTTCCTTTGCTTGCAGTCCAAGTACTATATCCTCCCTGCACGTTCCCTACGCGTGCCTTCTTGGGGACAGAGACAACAGCTCGCTCTCAGGATCTTGAGAAACGGGTGCGAAAATCTGTCGACGTGATACTCGGAAGCAGCAACACGCTGTAGTCCGCCTCGCACAACCACCGCAGTGTCGTACGCTGCGCGGAACTTGGTGTATCCAGATGATACCCACTCAAAGCCCACGATCACGTACTGCCTACTTCCAAATTGCACGTCACCAGTGATTCTCAACTCTGTCCGTCATCGTACGATCCATTTGATTCTCTTCACCATCACGGATGCGCTCCACGGCCTCCGACTGTTTACTGGGGCCCGAACGGCTGCTGCTGGTTCGCGATATATGTGACTGCCAATTAAGTTGGGACATCACTGCTCCACAACGCATTTCAGGTTTGGTTGTGATTGTGCCCATGTACTACGCCATACCAAGACAACTCACCGCTTTGTGGATATGATCGGCTGAACGGTTGGCCGGCCCACGACACTTCCCAAAAATCTGGCCTCAACCCAATCTCACGCGCGCCGTGGTATCGTACGCGGTGCGGAACTTGGCCTGGCTAGTCGTAACCCACCCAATGCCCATGACACTGACAGAACGTGATGGTGGCTGGATGCACTCCATACTTCCTGCTCGTTCACATGTCGCCGTGGAACCGCAGCTCTGTTCGTTGTTAACCCCTCATCATCGCAGTTGCGCTTCATACGAGCCGCCACGTTCAGGGCCCAATATCCCTGTTTACCATTTGCGCCACTTATTGTGTCATACGGTCTGTAATTGAGCCTTCGGCTCGTCGATCACTGCCCCATAAGCACGTTCGATCTTGGTGTAAATGTAAGCACGATAGTTCATAATAGTGAAACTCTATTCACCGTGTTGTACAATTTGACAGTCGCAGCGCGTAATTAATCATAGTGATACTTAGGCTATACTGCAACTCATACATTTCCCTGCATGTTGCATGGATGGAACATACTTTTGATTCTGTGCTCCGTAGTCATATGTACTATACACAACTACCGTTTAAATATTGTATATGCAGGTAGGAGTACACTTCATGCTACATAGCGAAAGCAACACTCGGCATGTCTGTCATAATGGTCGTCATGGGAAATGGAGGCACCGGAACTTTGCAGTGTGAGTGTGGACAAGAGTCTGTTACGTGACAAGAACGATGAACGACGAACGACGAGCAGCAAGCAACGAGACGAACACAAACTAGGGTATCGGCCCCGAGCGGCCGTTGTGATGGCTTCCGTGGCTCGACGACGGGGACGGCGTGCCCTTCATCGCGGACGGCGACCCCACACTAGCACCCGCCGCCGTCTGATGCAGCACGATCTCGCGCTTGCGCAACGGCGACGTCGAGCGCGAGTGCCGCCGCTCGTCCTCCATAGAGCCCGGCTGCTGCTGCACCGGCGGCGACCGCGACATCGGCGGCGGGAGCTGCATCCCGCCCGCGCTGTGCGCGCCGATTGGGCGCGGGTGCGGCGGGAGCGTCATCGGCAGCGACGGGCTCGGCGGGTACGACCGCGCCTCCAGCGCCTGGCGGCCCTCGGGCGAGTGCGAGTGCGACATCGGCTGCTGGTGGAACGGCACGGGCGAGTGGCGCGTCGGCGTGGGCGTCGGCCGCCCCGCGCTCCCGCTCGACTGCGGCGACACGCGCGGCTGCGTGATGCTCCCCACGCGCGACCGCTTGTACTCGTTGTCCTCGACGCCCGGCCCGGGGCTCAGCGGCCTTTTGGTGCCGCCCACGGGCGGAGACGGGCGCGACGACATCGACGGCCGGCGATGGATGAACTGCGGTGACTGCTGGGGCGGCCCGCGAGACCCTACAGGCACGACGAAGCTGCGAGGCTCGGCGGGGCGCGACGACGCAAGGTTGATGAGCGCGTCCGCGACACCCTCGTCGTAGTCTTCGTCGACGGTCCTTGCTGGCGGCATGTGAACAGAGTTCGTGGGCGACGGCTGCGTCGAGCGGCCGGCAGAGCCAGAGCCCGTCGAGCTGGGGTCGGGGCTACTCTTCGACGCCCTGAACGACTGGGCACTATAGCCCGGGGTCTCCTGGCGCGCCGGCTCCTCCTTGACACGCTTCGCAGTCGCGCGCCGCCTGCGTTCCTTCTTTGGCGGCTCCGACGCAGGCACGCTGCCGCCCGACTCCGAGTCCTTGTCCTTCGTGTTCCGCCGGCGACGCTCCTTCGGCTCACCCGCTGCGCCCTGCAACGGCATGCGCGGGCTCTCCGACGTGCGGCTATACGTGGGTGGCGGTGGTGGCGGCGGCTGCGCGTGTACACGAACCGGCTCGGGGGATGCGTAGCGCCTCTCCGGCCGCGCCTCCATAACCGGCTCGCGCTCGTACTCGCGTGATGGCGCCTCCCGTGCGTCGAACCGCGGGTCATAGCGCCGCGCAGCCTGCTCGTGCATCACGGGCGAACGCCCTGCAGGGACCATGGGGCCACCCGTGCGCGGGTCCCAGTAATGCCCGCGGTAGCCCGGGTGCGACATCTCCGGGCTGCGCTCTCGGGGCGCGCGAGGACTCGGGGCGCGCGGGGGCATGGAGGGAGAGTGCGGGCGGGAGTACATCTGCTGGTGAGGCGGCGGTGGCGGGTACTCAGGGCCTTGTCGCCCTCGGCGGTCGCGATCCCACTCTACATGCTCAGCGGGCACCATGCGACGATCCCAAGCGGTGTCCCGGTCACCCAGTGGTTCCCGCGTATAGGGAGGCGGTGGCGGTGGAGAGCGGCGGGATGGGATGGGCGTCTGGCCAGGGCCCACAGGCTGTCTGTCCATGTAGGCGGCGCGCCCGTTGGCGACAGACGGCGGCCGCATAGCATGCTGAGGCGACGATCCGGGCGAAGGCGACATGCGGTAGCGAGCAGCGGCAGGATCATGGGGGTACACGCTTGGGTGAATAGGGCCACGCATCTGGTCAAGCGGGGGCGGCTGCTGCTGAGGAGCAGGATGATGCAAAAGCAGGCTCTGCCCAGCGGGTCCGCGCGGTCCCTCACGGGAAGAAGCGTAAGGACCGGACGGCTCACGACTATGCAGCGGCGGGCGGTCGACGTCCATAGGTGCCAACGCATGGACCGGTGGGTGACGGCTTTCGTCGAGTATGACTGGAGGCGGCGGGCCGCCGCGGAACGGTCCAGGCGACGAGCGTCCAGGAGCCTGCGGCTGAGGCGGCATCGGCAGCGGGAGTTCACCAGGGGGTCCCCTCGAGTCCGTACGGAAGATGGGCTGCGGACGAGGACCGATACCTGGCTGGAGCAGCATCGGAGGGCCTGACAACCCGGGCGGTGGCATCATCGAGTTGGCGTACGCCGTCGGGTGGACGTCCTGTGGTCCAGGTGCTGCAGGAAGAGCACTACCAGTAAGCTGGGCTTGTCTCAACAACTGCAGTCGTTGAGCGATAGCAGTATTGCTGGGATCGAGCTCGGCAGCACGCGCGTATGCGTCAATAGCGTCGGAGATCTGGTTGTTGCAGCTCTCGTATAGGCTGCCAAGATCAAACCACACCTCCGAGATGTAAGGATTAATGCGGATGGCGCGAGAATAGGCGTCGAGGGCGTCACGGTACTGGTTGATCTGGAAATACAGAACACCAATGGAGCACCAGAATGTGGGGTTCCGGCCGTCGCGATACACGGCTTGCTGATATGCCTCGTATGCCTTATTGTACTTTTGACCGGCCATGTACGCTCGTCCCAGGAGGTACCAACTCTGGGCGTCCGCGGGATCTAAGGAGGCCATGAGCCACGCAACGTGTACAAATTCACAACACGCCTTACCTGCCTCGAGACTCTTCGTGAGATACTGGATGGCGACGTCCTGGTTCTGGAATGAAGAGCCGTCCTGATGATAAAGCCATCCTAGCTGCTGCAGAACCTTTGCGTGGTTCGGGTTGTCCTGGACGACGCGTTCGTATGCATCGCGTGCACGCACATGCTGTGCGAGGCGAGGAAATATTTGTGAATATATGCGGGGCACAACGTAAAGCGGTTACGACTTACGTCTCGTTGCTGCTCAAACACGTGCCCGATCTGGAACCAAATGTCCGCGTGTGCGAGAGGGCTTGGCGGATTGCGCAGGATGCGGTCGAAACACTCGAGACTGTCGGCGTATTTGCCTTGCTGCTTGTAGATGATACCGAGACGGAACAGTATTTCGTTCGCCTTGTCAAAGTCTAAAACACATGATCAGCGCCCAAGCTCCGACCGCTTCGTAGCAGACTTGATACCGACCTTTGTCCATTTTGAGAACCGAGGCGAAGGCTTCCTCGGCGTGGTCCAGGGAGCCGTATCTGTCATAGAGAATGCCAATGCCATACCACAGTTTCGGGTCCTCCTGTACTTGTTGTCAGACATTGCGCAGTCGAGCAGGACAAAAGACCTACCTTGGGATTGGGCAGCAGGTAGAGCGCCTGCTGATAGGCCTGATAGGCCTTCTGTAGGTCATCCTGCATGAGGTAACAGTGTCCTAGACGGGCCGGTTAGTCCCGGCGGGGTCGGAGAGGGGTCTGGAGGACGTACCGAGGGCGCTCCACACCTCGCCGTTGTCTTGCTGCATGCTGATCACACGCTGAAAATATTCGACGGCCTGGAAAGGCAAGTCATCAGCGATCTGCACAACCGGCGATGACATAATCCAGGGGCTAAATGCGGGACGCATCGCCGAGCCAATCTCAACTCCGCGGTGGGTTTTCCCGTGGCACGACAGGCAGTAAATTAGGAGGGCGTCTACTCACCTTCGGGTAATTTTCCTTGATCCGAGCAATTCCAGCGACCTGTGTCAGGCCCGATAGGGACATGGGGTTGTGACGCAGCGCGTTCTCGTACGCTGACAGGGCGTGCTCCAGGTTCCCCATCTGCTCGGCTACTCGACCTGGGTCCGATGTGAGCTTGATTGGCACCGCGCCATTCGGGGTTATTAATTACCTATCAGCAACCACGTCTGCTCATTCGCGTGCGCGAGCTTCTGGATGGATGGCATGACGGGAACGCCATTGGGCAGTAGTGCGCTTGACAGGATGGGAGGCGAAACCATCTGCGCCCCTGGTGCATGTCCGGACGGGCCAGACAGTGGGCCCGGCGGAGTGGGCACACCGTTGCCGTTCATATGCGGCGGGTGAGCGAGTGCGTGCGGAGGCGGAGGCAGCGAGTGCGAGTGGTGTGCGGCGTGCGGGTCGTGGAGGTGCACATCGCGTTCGCGTTCGCGGTCACGGTCGGGTTGGCGGGGATGGTGCCGTTGGGACATGGAGGCGTCGTCGAGAGCGATAGAGGCGACGACACGGGGCCTGCGGGGCGGGGCAGGGGAGAGGGGAGCAACGCGCGTGTGGAAATGAGAGAAGGCAAAAGGGGAACGGGCGGCGGAGAGGAGGTATATATGTGGGGGCTCGCGCGAGATCAGGCCCATTAGCGATCACAGATCGAAGACTACACGTTTGGCGGCGATGGGATCTGGCGAGCGTGCGCAGAAGCAGCCTGCGCGCCTCGTGCCTGCATTTCCATATCTGGGGGCGCATCCGGGCGCCTGTGCTCCGCGGCGTCGCTCAGGCATCGAGATCCAGATCTGGGATGGCCCTATACCGCTGCCGCCGAGCACCTGTCCACATCGGGGCGCATCTCGTCCCTCAGACAGTCGCCGAGTCTTCGGATCGATGCCCTCGCCTGGGGTCCTCCATATCCGTGCGCATGCGGTGCATCCAGGCTGATATGAGCCGCAGGAGGCGACTCCCGCGCCGCGCTCCTTCCCTGCCACGTCCGCGTATGTATTAGTCCATCCCGTGTGCCGATGCCGCCCCCTATAGCAACCGTGCTGCCCGCGGGCGATCGCCATTTGACGGATCGTCGCATCCCGCTGCACTTGGCTCCCACCAGCCCTGCATCAGGCCATCTCGGACTCTCTCCGCCAGCACGCACACCGCCCGAAGAGTCTGTTCCCATCACCCGTCCTGGTGCGCCCCTCAGCCTGGCGATCTGCCACCGCTGTTGGCGGTCACATCGCTGGGTCCCACTAGTAGACACCGCAGTTAATGCCCTGTTCCGGGCCCGTCGGTCGGCCCACCGTCTGACGGCGCAGAGCGCGCACGATCGCATCTTCGATCGTGCGATACACATGTGGGTGCGGGCGGAGAAACGATGCGACCCTGGCAACCCTGAGGTCATCCGGCACATCAGCCCAGCCTGTCTCGGCCGGCCCTCTTGCACATTCTGAGCATCAACATCGCCCCGCGGTCGCCTCTGCTCGAAACCACGTCCTCCGCGGCGAACTGCCCGGATACCCCGCCCCAGCAGCTGCATTGCTTGTGTGTCCCGAAATAAGCTTTCGCGCGCCAGCGGCCAATGCGTAATGGTTCTGCCTGTTGTGCGTGTGCGCTATCGACGGTTGCGATAACATGACGCGCGCTAGGGGAGTGTCCGGCAAGGCAGCTATCCCTTTTACCGCGCCCCAGCCGCCTGCATCTGAGATGCAGTTCTGATCGGGAGGTCATCTGCCTTTCGTGTGCGATTTGATAAACCCAGGGGACACCGCTACATGGGAGCATCAGGGTGACGCGGGCCGCCCACATACGGCAGTTCCAGACGCACACTGACATATATCATATAACCTTGCTATTTTCAAAATCACATGTGCTGTCATACAAAGGCAACTGACAGACCGTGGCACCGGCGGCGCAAGGCGTCCAATCGCCAGTAATATCACTTATGTGGAAGACAACAGCCCAGACGCTCGGAAGCTGTGCATCCGACTTGACACACAGGCGGCTCCTACACAAGCGTAAGACGATATCCTGATACCGCGTACCAGCTTCTCAGTCCGACCCAGCGCATCGCCGCCTACAGACTGCGGCAACCACTACACCCCACGTAAACGCCGGCCTGACCACGAGGCGCTGTTCGCTCTCGCGCGCCGCCTCCGTCGTATCCAATGCTGAGTTCGTCCCCTCAACGAGCAGGTACGCGCACGGATACAGCGTGCGCGGAGACCCCGAACCTGGCCGGGGCAGATCTCGAACGACACAGCGCTCTGCCAGACTCTTCGCGCGGCCAACGGGAGGAGTCGAAGCCCGCATTTGTTCCTATCCCCGCTAGAACGCGCGGTGTGGAACCGCACAGCGAGTGAATGCGAAGTGCGCGTTCACTCGCTATGGGGTTCGCACTGCGAAGCGGGCACTGGCCCCGTTCCCAGGACCAGGATCCTGTACTGTGCATGCGCCGCGATAAACAGCAATGCCCCCATTCGGTGCACGAAGGTACCGCAGGGCGGCTTCGCGCGGGGGAAGGCTGTACATATCCACGTCCAGATCGATATCACGTCGAGCTATCGGAGAGGCCAAGACCCTGCCATCGCATTACATGAACGGGCACTGTGGGAAGGTGACATACGACCGCAGGAGTCCCCTTGGAGATCGAAGCTCGCCCTGGCAGAACCGAAGCGCATAGTTCATCAGACGGTTTAAGCCTTGGCGGCAGACAGGCAGAGCTCCCCTGGACGGCGGCCAGCGCGCCTCGGACCCTTCAGGGCGGCCCGCGTGCGGACAGGAAAACGAATGCTAATGCACGCGAAATGAAAGGCAGATGGCTATCAAGGTTTGCCCACTTCCGCGCGCGGCAAGGCCGTCGGCCCGCACGCCAGTGCCATGGCCACTAGCAGTATCCATAGCACGCTGGTGCTTCGTGTCCGTGCTCCGCGCACCGTATTGAACTCCAGATTCCGACCTCAAGCTGATGCTGCGATGACGCTAGCCGCGTTTGCATTAGGCGACCAGCATGTTCAGTCCAGTGGGGGAGCTGTCCGCTGTAGCGCTAGCATCCGTCGTTTTAGCAAGAGCCGCCGCGTTCATCCAGCCGGATCGGAGACTATTGCTCGCGCAGAACCAGGAACGATGGCAGCGGAGCCGCGTTGTGGGGCTGAACCCGTAAGGTACTCTAGTCGCCGAACGCGGTGTTTGGGCGTGCACTATGTCGACACAGACACGAGTACAGTGTTTGACAGGGTCCGCCTGCCACAAACTGCATTGAGTCTGAGCAGAGTCTAAGTCGGAGCGATCACCGTGTTATACGAGCATGTTCCATTCGATTCCGCTGTGACGTTCTATTGCGTGACCGTGATGCGTCACACCGATCGTGGACATTGGACGCCGAACGGTTGACCGGAACTCACACTCAACCTCAACGACTGACCACGGCGTCGACACATACGTGGGCACGATGACTCGTGAGTGTACCGAACCCTGTCTCAGTTTTGTCTGGCTGTGTCGATTCACTGAAGATCTCTACTGCTCGTAACACCATGATGCAGGGGGCAACCAGCGCGAAACGGACCGCTTGAAGGCCCAGAAAAAGGCAGCCCAGGCCAAGAACAAGCCAAAGGAGAGCGCGAGCACACTGCAACAGCGCCGCGAGAAGTGAGTCACTTCTTCCACTCCCCCACGCCCCATCTCGCGCGTGCACGTCGCGTTCTGCCTACGCCCGGTCTTAACGCGCTTGCTCACACGCCCCACAGAGATGCCGAGATCCTGAGACAGAAACAGAAGGTGTGTGTACGCTCGTGGCGCTCTCGGCTGACATGCTGTCTAACGGACCCTGCAGAAGAAGGAGGAGGACAAGGCGGCGGGGGCGGCAGGGGACGGCGGGAAGAAATAACATGTTTGAGGAGAGTGTTCCCATCGCACGCCCGCCCGATCCCGACGCCACCGGGTTGGTGAAAGACGGGACGCAAGAGCGTCTCATTGATTTGCTCCTTGGTGTTCGGGACCTGTGCACATCTTTTCCGTTAATTTGTCTCGTCTGTCTGCGGCGGCACTGTTGTGTTCCCGGGTGTACTCTCTTATGATATTTAGATCTCTGCGGACAATCATGGGCAGTGGATGATGAATTCATCCATTTTGTTGTCATTTGCCAAGCGTCCGCTGCGATGAATGGCTCGATCTCGATGCACCGGATCCCAGTGGACACGAGGATCAGCAGCCGGACACACTAGGCAAGTTATACAAAGGACAGGGCAAACTCATGGAACGCAAAGCTTAATGGACATCGGATATCGCATGCCTCATACAGCGTGAACAATGCCCGAAAAGCATGTTACGGTATGTAGCACGGCAAGACCCTCAAAATCGGAGGTACCCCAGGCTCAGGGTCTTTATAGACATTAGCAAATTGTCTCATCTGGCAGCCACTCAGGCGACACAGGCGCTGTGGGCGACCCCGGGGCCATTCGCATCTGTACCGACAACTTGCTCATAAGTATATATGGATGCCGCATCATCGGCGGTCCTCCGGGCAGACATCCGCTCTGCGAGACAGCGAACTTGGCTGCACCCCGGTGATACAGTCAGGTAACGTCAGCGCGTCCTCTTCGCTGCCAGATTGCACGCACGCGTGGGCCTGGAAACAGCCTTCGCAAACGTCGCTGTCAATCCGCGCGGTAACGGCCTACCTGCGGCGTACAAGGACGGCTCGGAAGCGTTCTCCTGCAGCCGATAATTTGGTGGCGCTGATGCCTCGAGTGGGCAGCCGCCGACATTCTATTGGGAGAGGACAAGACGCCCCCGTCACTCAGACGGCTTCTATGGGTCCGAGCATCGGCCTGGGGCCACTTGACTGGCTTTATACGGCAATAGTGCGGCCGTAGCAGGCTCAAAACGGGTCTCGCCGTGCTGCTGTTGCACGCCTGTCCGCCGGAAGCGCCGCTTCTCTTCCGGAATGAGGATCACGAATCGAGGATGTGCTGGACGGCCATTGCCATCGGGCGAGGAAGGGAGCATCAGGAAGCTGTCAGCCAGAGCATTGCTGTATCAGGTTCAATGAACGCCCCAGGCGGCTGCCTGATTGTCCGTTGCGCAACTTGCGCCGAGGGGCCATCGACTGGATCTGAAGGCAAATTGGCAGACGACGGCTGTTCTTTGAGCGCCTGGCCCGATGAGTAATGCGGATTGCGGAATGCTCGTCGTACGGTGATGGTTGTTCATCCGGAGATCCACCTCCCGCTCTTCGAGGCCTCTCGATTGCAGCGGGGACGCGAACACGTGGAAGCGGGCGTAGCGACTAATACTCGACATTTGATGAACTAGCCCCGAGTGGATCAGCGATGTCCTGCGATGCGACACGCATTGTGCCGCTGAACCCTCATATATGGGAGACGAGTCATATCCGGGTGCAATACGCCGGGGAGATCATCATCAGTGCAGGTCAAATGGCCTGGCCAGGCGCGCAAATGAAAGAAGTCGGGACGCAACACGTGGGGCTGAGAAGCGAGGCATTGCGGCCTAGAATGGCAGGCATTCAGAGGCGGTAAAGCGTCCGCAGCAGCTTGACATGCGGACGGAAGACCACCGGAGCGTGGGCGAGAGCAAATAGAGCTGGAGAAGCGGATCAGGGAGCCAACATGTGTCGCGGCCGTGTCCCCTCCATTGGTCTGTCCATCAGTGGGGTAAGGATACCCCGGCGAGCCGGTCGACGCCAGCATGACAGGACATCTGCAGACCACCCGTGTGTCCTCCCGCGATTGCGACATTGAGGCACGGAGGGCCACTGTATTGTATGCGAGGTCCGCCAACAGGCACAAACACGGAAGCGTCGCTCTCATCCAGCGACCCTGCGTAAATATTGCAACGGACAACGTGAACAGGCACCTGTGATACGCCCTTCTCGGCAGGTGGGACCCCCCGCTGCGGGCGCCCATCGTCTCGCGCTGGCCAGTAGACGTATCAGAGAAGCCCATGAGACCAAGAACTCTGTTGTGGTAAATGGCCGACACAGCCGCATTCCATTGCTGAGAAGCGCAAGGTTTGATTGTGCCCGCCGGAGACCTGGATCGCGCAAACTATATCACATCTGACGTCCACCAGGTGTCTGAGTGTCAATTAGACTGGCGACGCGACCGTCTGGAACGTAGACGCATACGCAGCTCTAATCGGATCGCGTCCGATAGCAAGACGCGAACCGAGATACCGACAAGTCTGTCTGCCATATACGTGCCGGTGAAGGACGGTACTAAACGGGATCGCATGGCTTGACCAGGAGCCCTGTTGTCCTGTTACAGCACGGACGCCAATATGTCTTATGCTATGACGAGCGGTTTGCGCAGGACATTCAATTGGCAAATAAGTGGGGCCATATGTTGATTGCGTTCGACAGCCAATGAGGCAGTTCACTTGCCGGATATCACCCTCGGAGTCAAAGAAATGGGGGGTGGGTGATCGTATGATCTCCCCACGGTGATGAAAAAAACCCGTGACAAATGGGAGGCGTGAAGGCATCGCGTCCCAACCCGGTAATGGGCGAAATCGAAGCGATTCATTTGGCACGATAGGTGAGCCTGGGAACCGGATCCATGTCGGGCGTTCTCGACAACCTCTGCGATAGAAAGGTGCCCGCTGGGATTCGCGATTCCCCTAAACTCTTCTGGGGCATCTTTTATGTTTCATTTCCGCGAGGCACAATCACCAACACTAGTTCGCGCAAGCGCGCGCAGATCTAGATGCAGTTCTGTGCGTGTTGGAGCGTGAGCTTGTGAATGCGAGCGAATGACAGCGGCGCACCGTCATCAGAAGCACATTGAAGCTCTAGTCATGGATGAACCTTCCTCGTTAGCGTCAATTGCCATTATGAAACGGGAGAACAGGGGTGTCGCGCAGGAATAGAAAGGGGGGTAGTGGCCACCAGTGAAAACGCAGGACGTCTCCTGCCTTCGGTTGACGACTACGGTCAGGCCCCCACATGTTCCCTGCGGGCGGAGAACAGATCCGCGGAATTTAGGCGGAATACACTCGGATGAAATCACGCACGAGGCCTGAGAGTTCACTTCGGAAGACGAGCCTGGAAGTGTCCCCACGGATATCAGTCATACCACTGAAGGCGAACGGACGCACTACGGGAAGCACATCGCTGCTTCGAATCTTGCCGTATCAAGATCGAGACCTATTTTCGGGAGCTGTACTGTACCGTGTGGCACTCACACAACGATATCCGCCCTAGCGCTGGCCTACGGTTGGCGGGTGGGCGCAGGTCCAACTTCGTGCCTCAACCACTGATCGGTCCTTGCCGGGGTCCTCAGTGTGACTAAGTTGTAACGGTAGTGGCAGTAATGGTCTATGTATTTTTCCATTATCGACATTGTATGTGATATCCGCGCCTACATCATGCTTATGTAACATATCTTAGGCACACAAAAATAGAATATGTACCCAAGACAATTACCACGATAAGATAGCCGAGCATATGGTATCTAGCAATGCTCGGTTTGCGTGCATTTGCGTGAATGCGTGATTTCACCATGGTACATAACTTAAATGCGCAAGGAACCAGTATATGAGCAACTTGACTAATATTCTTGAGCACATCATGATGCACAATTACTGCGGTGTTGAAGTAGCTATATTTATTTAAATTGTAGTCTAGAAGCAGAACATATAAGACTAGAGGGCGACATATATGGAGTTGAAAGTCATGTATATTTACAGAGTCGACTCAGCAGGACATTTCGTACCTTACGTAATCGGACATTGGCATAGTACACTCAGTGCCGTCGCACCTCAAGCCTTCAGATCTCAGTGCTCGCATATTCTTCCTGAGCGCCGAGTAACTCATTTGCTCGTATCATATGGTGCGAACAATGCTCATACCTTGAGAATATAGCATAGGCTTATTAGGTCTCCAAGCATCTAACACTCAGTTATGATTACCTAAGCTCACCATCTTCCATGCCGCCGATGCCGTCGAGCAGAATCTAGCCCTTTTTTGGGTTACGTAATGGTCCGTCTGGGGTTCTGTCACGCTGAGATCTATCACGGGGTACCACACGAGGCAGGACCCCATATCCAGTTACCATATCTTGACCTGCGCCCACCCGCCAACCGTAGCTGGCCACAACATCAGATTCCCTTGTGGGAACTGTTGGTCATCTTCAGATGGCCCGTGGATATAATCAAGCCTGCGTCTGCCCACCTTACGGTTGCCCTTCGTCATCAGAACGGCACCTTCGCGAGAATGGGGAACATGTGATCCTTTGCGACGAATTACACATTTGTGAGATGATCAGCTTTCAGAGGCCGTTACCAACTAGTCGCAAGTGAATTGACAACTACAAGTGCCGCTCGCCTCGTGTGCAGCGGAGTACTGTATATGAAATCGAACCGGTGCTTCCTCTTCTAGTTCTAGTAGACGCACAAACGTCGGCCTCAACCGGTTTTCCACGACCACTTACGGAGAGGAAGGAGGATTGAGTTGCGAAGTTCTTCAACATCATTGCACCGCCCTGTCTGGGAAGACTCCCATCCGCATGGACGATTTCCCAGCCCACGAAGACCCGCACCTACTATCTCCCGCCAAAGTTCGGCTGGGCGTGCGCATCGTGACAACACCTTTCGGATGAGAAGCGTAGCGGCGCTCGCGCAGTTGCCACAGAGCCGGGTCCCAGTGCCAGCATCAACATGTCCGCCCCTTGCCCGAGGTCACACGCGGAAGCCTGCCACGGGAAGACCAGAACATCGATGCGATCATCATGCATCTCGCTTTGAAATATCTATCATAGGGTCCGCGGAAACTCCTCCGCAGGAAGTGGTATATAGCACCGTCCCGAGATGCACATCTTGGTGATCGTCACCGATGAACGATGATCCGGCGTCCTTCGGGCTGGTGCACGCCGCGCTTTGCACTTACATCGTGATATAGACGCGGATGTCAAGCCAGAACCTGTGATGATGATAGTGATGATGTATACGCAATGCACCGTCCTAATGGCCCCATCCACCACTGATTGCTGAGTGGGGTATTTGGATTGACTGACCGCTGTGAGTCGTAGAACGATGATCATTCTCACACTCACGGTCATTACCTTAAAAAGGCTCACAATGCTAGGCTTCAGTAGCCTCTGGACACGATGCTTAGGAAGTCTCTCACCTCACTTCAAGAGAAATGACACGTGGTGTTGGGGACCGATGCCCCGGCACAATAACACATATCTGACGACGAGGTGTTGAAAAATAGATTTATAACAAGGCGCAGCCGAAGAATGCCCAGTTACACTGTGATCTAGACACACTCTACTCCAGAAGCCGCGAGGTCCCTGTATGCCATGTCGGTACTAGACAGATTTCGGTCTAGGGGCATCACGCCGCAGTGTCTAATTTGGGCCGCTTCTCGAGCACGCTATCCACTATCCCAAACTCACGGGCCTCTTGTGCTATATGAGCGCGAATGGCTTATCAACGCTGCCCACATATAAAAATGAAGTAATGCAGACCTGTCATGAAATAGTCCCGCTCTAGGGCTGTCTCTGTATATGTATGAAGACGATCGTTTAAACCGACAAACGCACATGAAGAGAAATGAGAAGGACAGACCGAAGCGCTGGACACCCGCTTCCACGCTCTCACCGTCCTTGCCACAATGCCGTTGGTAAATGTCTGTGAGCAACTGACGCACGCGCAGGATCTCCTTAGCGTGGATGACGATGTCGGATGCTTGGCCTGAAGCACCGCCGGACGGTTCTGTAAAGACGCAATATTCATGTCAGTTATGTAATTGTTGCGTTTACGAGGAAGCAACTGGGAGAGAAGATTACGCACGGTGGATCATGATGGTTGAGTGTGGAAGAGCATGTCGCTTGCCCTTCTCACCTGCAGCTAGCAAAAGCGAGCCCATAGAACATGCCTGGCCCACGCAATACGTATGTATGGGCGAAGACACATACTAGATGTACACGTGAGATGAGCTCCGTACAGGCATCATATAAGCAGAGGTCGACTACGCACCTGCATCTACATCTGCATGGATTAGTAAGACGACATGTGCAGGTCTGTGTAGTGCTTACTGTATCGTATATGGCCAGCCCTGCGGTTACACTGCCGCCTGGGGAGTTGATGTAAAGATGAATAGGCTTCGATGTTTCTTCCGCCTCAAGAAACAAGAGTTGTGCAACTGTGAGCGCAGAGTCTGTGTCTCTGATCTTACAAGCTACGTCAATAAAGTTCCCAGTCAAGCGAGAGGGGAGTAATTACCGGTCCATATAACATGATGACCCGCTCTCTCAGCAACCTGGAGAAAATATCATAGCTACGTTCCCCCCTCCCCTGAGCGAGTCACATTGAGCATTGAGCATGCGTTCCGATTCCGAAGATGGCATGTACAGACAGTTTGTTCGATGACCATTGGCACGAGAGATGCTACCGAAGATGGAAGATTTTGTGACCAGTCTGAAGCCCAGGGATGGATGTGGCGACAACTCTGGAAAGCATATCGTTGTCTGTATCGAGCAGCAGAAAGCACAGAGCTCTTCAATATTTGCCTGCAGCTCATCATCGTGGGCAGCAATTTCCGCGCGGACTTGGTGGACAGTCAAGAAGTTCACCTCAGGCGCGCCGGACTCTGGCCACGTCCACGTCCACGTGACACACGCGTTCAACAGCTCGAACTGACGACTCTCCTCCTCGCTGCTTGCTTTGGCTTGTCTATGCTCTCGCTAACGAGTTTGACTTCTTCTCACGCAAGCATATAACCTCAAGATTTGCTCTAATTGTCTTGTGTTGCAACGTCCTCACCGCCTTGTATACAATAATGTCCGCACGCCAGAGAATTAGTCGACCGTCCGAGCTTGAGACACCCATGGACTTCGAGTTTACGTCGCGTCCTAGTAGTTTTTCAAAGCCTGTGTGGGCCTCTGGCGGTGAAGACCCAAGTACTCCAAGGAAGAGTGAGTCTTCTGGCTATGTAACGCAACGATCATGCATGTCTGCGCCACAATCTGGTGAACGAATAACGCTGCTTCGCGTTGCCTCAATCGGCTGAATACGATACGCGACTGCGTGCTGTGTCTTTACACCTGATCGACATGCCACGAATATGCTGAACAATTATTTTTGCAGGGCCATTGGCAGACGCGAATACGCCTGCTCCTGCTTTTCCTGCACCTCCTCACACGCCGACATATTCATCGTTCGGAGCTCACTCGAACGTCCCTTTCTTGTTTCAACAACCCGTGCCGCAGTCTCCGCACACGCCAGCATGGGTTCCGCCTCCGCATTTTTCACCGGCGAAAGCATTTCCGCAACCAGATATCAAGGACGTGGATATGGCCGAGTTGAGCCCGCCGAAAGCGTCTCAGTCGTTGCCAGTGAAGGAGGTGAAAAAGGAAGTTGAGAGCGGTGACGGTGATGGTGACCGGACCGTTGCATTGGGGGCGATGCGCCGTGTGTTTAGGTCGCGGCAAAAGGCGCGGGATCGCAGTCGACTTCGCAGAGGGCGAAGCAGGAGTGGCGAGGTGGACGACAGCGACGAGGATGAAGACAGTGATGATGAAGGCAGAGTGACTCCACTCACGCAGAACACGTCAAATCATTATACGCTCAACATGCCTGGTCCGGCGCCTCCTCAGTCTGACTTGCCCTACGTGCTGTTAGGCTACCTACAATTCTTCTTCAATCTTTCCCTCATTCTAGTGTTTCTGTATCTGCTGGTGCAGTTTATCCTCACTGTCCAACGCGATGTGGAACAACGAATATCTGAGTATTCAATGGGTGCGTCGATGGTCTATGTTGTTCGATGTGTGTTTCGTTAACATCGCTGCTTCCTTGTAGACATTGTTCAGGAAATAGCGCAATGCGCGCTACACTTCAAGACCAATCTGTGCGCAACGAATCCGATACCTGCCATGATGCGTCAGTGTGCTGCATGGGAGACGTGCATGAATCGCGATCCCTCCAAAGTTGGCCGAGCTAGGGTGGGCGCGGAGCTCATCGCAGAGGTTGTCAATGGCTTCGTCGAGCCTATCAGTTGGAAGACCTTGGTGCATAGTCCTCATCCCATAATCGTGGTTTATACGCTGACACTAGTCGTTTGGGACCAGATATTCACATTGACATCCCTAGCATTCTTGACCGCTTTCATCAATGCACTGCTCTCCTTGTATCGCTCCAAGATCAATCCGGCGACTCACGCGCAACCTGTGCATCATCCGATTCAAACATTCCCCATCGCTCCACCGAACACACCGTACGCCAACCATCACCACTATCTATCGCCTCCCCCAGAATGGAGCAAGTCTTGGTCAGGTATGCAGGATGACATCACCCAAACGCCGAGTCGGAGACGCAGGCTCGAGGGTGGCGCAGCAGAGAAAATTATGTGACCTCATAGCAAATAAGTACTGATTATGACGTTACCGCTTATGGTGTCCTGTGTGTACGATCTGATGCTCCTACTCCCTTTCACGGCCCTAGTTGTTTTCATGTGGAGATCTTGTAAGTGGCAGTTTGAGTTCAGTCTCCGAGGTCCCCTTATCAGAGTTCAACAGATAGATTGCTCGTGACTGAATGTTTGATTGTTCTCAGCGCTTCACTCAATGCAGTATTGTGGTTTCATGGGAATGTTCCCTCATCTGCGCCTTTGTTATGATGGCTCTTGCAAAATGATACCTGGACACAGGCACAGAGACATACGTGAGTGATCGATTGATGGGATCGAGCTGATGGACACAGTCCCAGGTTCCGCTTTGCGCGGTCTTGGAGATCAGTGGCGCCTCTTCGCGGACAGTGTCGGCATCACCATGGCATCAAGTCAAAATCAAGGGAAGCGCCAGAGGAGTGCTATTCTTCCACCGACATATGCCTCGGCGTGGCCTAGCTTTCCCGATCAATCCCAAATATAGTTCTGCGAAAGGTTGGAACTCTTTGTCGTTCCTCGATGTGTTGTAGACGGAACTGCTAGTTGAGAGTAAACAGTGAGTGCGCCCCTGCGCAGCTGCCGGTGCACTGCCACGTGGCTTTGACATCAGATCATTCACATCAAGGCAAGAGCGTTGCCGACCCTCACGGCTGTTGCAGCGGGTGAGACTGTTGGCGAGGCCAACTCGGAACCGTTAGCCTAACGGATGGTATCCAATAGATGCCTGTTAAGCGCCTGCGCCAATCCAGCATAGGCATAGATTGCGTGAGTATGTCGCTTTGCCTCCGTAATCTTCAACTTCCAACTTCAATACCTTGGGAGCTGCATTTGGAAGACCGGGACGCGCATGCCCAGGCACTCAAGTATGAAGGCCAGGTTCCCGAGTGGTGTCCATGCTAACGCTTTCCCTGTGTCTACTAGAACCGCTGGACCGACTTCCTGTGACCGGTCCCGTACCGCCGATATATACCGCCGATGATCAATTGGAAAATGACAGGGTCACGTATTGTACTAAATGCGGGGAATGTCGATGCTCTCGGCGTCTCTGCGATTCCCACAGCCAATGGAACACGTTGATGCGAGAACGCCACGGCGGTTCACGCAGTGTTTTGACCTGTCTGGACCGGATCTCTGTAAACCTCGACTGCAGTAATATATGTACCGGTAGGTTGGTCCGTGTCGTAATTGATTGCGTTCGGTTGACACGTTCACGCGCCTGGCAGGGAGATTCGTTTCGTCTGTCTATCTTGGTGCACAATTCATTCCTTCGACCCGATCGTCGCACTATTTTCACCAAGAGCGACAGTGGCGTCATCTCCAGACTTGCCAGAGGCGGCTAGTCTGTCGAGACAGCAGATGATCTGCTTAGTCGAGAACATCCCCACGAGTCCCGTCATTTCGACCGATATGAACTATACCCGAACGAGAAGCGCTTCACTCAATTGTTGGTAGCCCATTGGTGTCTCAGGGCGCTTGTCCTTTCTAGACACTCTTCTGACTCTGTCGTCGCTGAGGTGGACTCTGATACATTGCCTCGTCTCAGGACACCTGACGCCAGCCCTCGTGATTCCGCGCCAATTTCCCTTGACAGCCTCGGATGTACCTCGGACAATCCCATGCAGAACATGTGTAGAACCTCTTCGTAGTTGAGGCTGGAGCCCGGACAGACAACTGTTCCTGAAAGTACTGTCATTCCACTGGCGCACACAGGTCAGTACTGCTGTTCACGGATGAATTCTCCCGGGGCGCCTGGTCTGGGTCTTAAGAATGAGGATCCGGCGTGGCTGGAAAAGGTGTGTGAGTTGTTTCGTTGCACTCCAATGCTAGTCTACATCCTTATGGAGGCTGTTTTAGCGAAGGCAGTGTGGCGTCGGGAGATGTTCTCTTGATTCTGGGGCTAGATGTTCGAGTCGCGCCGTCCTTTCTCAGAGAGCTTCGGGAAGCGAAGCCAAGGTTCTGACTTCGGCCCTAGGTTTCTACAGGCACCGGTCCGCCGCGGCAAAGGGTCCATCGCCGCGCTTCTCTCCAAACGCTCGACTGACGCGAGGGAGCGTCTTCCTTTCCACATGTGTGTGCAGAGTCTCAATTGCAATCAGTCTCATGACATTCTGCGCAGCCATAGTCACGGAGCGCTGATTACCGGACCATTGGGACTGGTCCCGTTCCCTGAGAACATCTGCCATAAATCTGAGATTAGGAGTGTCAAACTTTCACGGCTCCTCGTTATCGGTATGTCATACTGATGGATCTATGTCCGGTCTCACACTGAGGTCAGGGTTTCCAGGTCAACTTTGACCGAGGTTACTTCGACGCCGCTTAGGGGCGTTCTCTGAATAATCTCCGTGCCTCGGCCCTGCGAATGTGCCAACGCTGCTGCAGGCTGTTCCGTTGGAAGCCCGCATACTTATCTCAAGTTGCCGTGCCGCATTGGGCCAATGGCATGATGTCAATGTGTCAACATTACCCATTCATCGGCACGCTTCGCTGACCCGGACTTGAGTGATTGGTACGTTGAGTTAAATTCGTGCATGTGGCTGCACACCGCTCATGATGTCGGCAATACAATGAGGTACAGTCTCGATGTTTTCGCTACTTGCCAGTCATGAAGATCCCGCAGCATGTGATGTGCGATGCGCATCATTGAAGCCACTGTATACCAACGATTACCTCGTGACCCTGATATGAAGGTCCGTGGCGAAACCGGACACACTACAATACACAGCTGTATCAGACCGCAATGGAGCTCCCAAGTGGACAATAAGTACATACATCAAAGCAGGTGCGCCACTTTCTTAGTTCCATCGGTCACTCTCAAACCCGGTTTCTCGGTGGTTACAGCAATTTGGACTCGTGTACATTGTTGCAAACATCCTGATTGTCGTCGTCAACGGCAAGGTCTGTTTGATGGCCATTTCGGAAATCGATGCGAGAAACGAAGCCCGAGTCATTCGGCCCAGCCCTCCCCGATTTCATATTATTGACAGCACCCAACGCACCTTGATCTCAGGAGTGATGAACATTGAAAGCTGGTGCCTCCGCAGGCCGGATGAGACCTAGCAGACGCCCTCTTTGCAGCCGCCTTCATGTCATGGTTGACCGCGACTGCATTCGATTATTTGCATATTCGGCTCAGACCGGAGGAGTCAGGAAGACGTGGCTGGGGTAACATTTGGTAAATCCGTGAGCAAAAACGGTCTTGTGCCGTTACTGTATTTGACCACCTACGCGGGGGAGCACTCCGACTCCGCGACGGTGAGCACCCGTTGGCGCCTGTTTGCAAGGAAGCTGACTCATCCGCAGGAGTCGGTAACATCTTTGACTGCCCACGGTACTCGTATGTTGTGAGGACTTTTCCCGTTCGCACGGCATAGCCAATCACGATCTTCCAAGCCTTGTAGATGATCTCAGAGTCCCCAAATTCTTCAGCGCTGCGTCGGCCCATCGCATGCATCAGGTTTGGGCCCGGAATCTACGCTCTTCTGCAAACTCAAGGTCCCATGTCCACTGCATGCGCGCTTCGCTTGACGCAAGCGCACTGCAGAGACCACTTGTTGCTTTACAACCCGTCAGAGCCGCTGGAAATCATGTCGCACGAGCCTGGTTGATATTGAGATGGCGACGCTACAATGCTTCAGTCATCGCCGCGCAAACAGCGCCAGGATCCACATCGGCGTCAACTGCTACAATGAAGCAGGATGCGGAAGGTGTGCTATGACGCTGGCCCAAGAGGACGAATTATAGCTTCCCATCACTCAGTCGGAACTTGCCATGTTGCTCCCCGAGTCCTTTTCCCACTCATTAGTTCATGCACACCGTCTCGGTCACGTCGGCGGTCAACACCCACTCGCTTGATGCGTCAAGTGTGACTGCGCGCTCATCGCCTCGTGGCGTTCCAAGGTGGCTCGTCAGCGCTGAGGAGTGGTGCTTTACCCAGCAGAGTACGTGTGACCTTCAGACGTTCATGATCATGTACAAGGTCTAACAGATACTGCTTGAGTCTGTGTACATAGCCAGTCATTCGAGCGACTGGATGCTTGCTGAAAGGCCCACCGTTGGCAGGACATACAACCAGATTTGGTTGTCAGCGACTTCGTCGCGATCACCACATATAGTCTTAACTCGCGAAAATGTAAAAGAGTCTAGTGTTGGCGACCTAAATCTCAATGCTTGCTCGCCTTAGCTTGTGAGACAGACGTACTCCTAGCGCACAAAATACCGGCTCTAGATAGATCACGCTTTGCCCTGCTCTATTCCCGCCCTTCGCATCCTGGGTGACTCGTTCTATCCGGGCTACTGGGTTAGCACGGAGGTTTGATGTGTCTGAGCTTGTTGGCCCCGAGAGAAGGGTTTTTGTAAGGTACTGATTCTTGTCTTCTTGGGCTCAACGTCAACCTTTGCTTACCCTCTGCCTCCGTGTATGCACCTCTGTAGGCATCTAGTACAAGTGAGATCGGGGGCCGGACACAGCGCATACCTTGGTGAGTCAGGCTTTACAATACCACTACAAATAGGATGGCACATTCGCCAACACCGCGACTCACCATCTGGCGGGTATGCGGGACACGTGCAAATGTTCAATGCGCCAGACTCAGATATTAGGGTCTTCATCCTTTCAACACGAGCCGGCGGTCTCGGTCTCAATTTGCAGACTGCCGACACCGTCATTATGTGCGTCATGCGTTATATACTTGCACAAGAGGATGCTAACGCAGGAATAATTTAATTGATGATAGTTTCGATAGTGATTGGTGAGTTGCTTCTAGATCGGATGTGTGTTTGGGTTGTTGAATATCCCTCCAGGAATCCGCACGCCGATCTCCAGGCCCAAGACCGTGCCCATCGTATTGGTCAAACAAAGGTGGTCCGTATTCTGCGTTTCATCACTGAGAAGAGTGTAGAGGAGTCTATGTTTCAACGTGCTCGATACAAGTTGGACATCGATGACAAAGTCATTCAAGCCGGTCGCTTCGACAACAAGTCGACGCAAGAAGAACAGGAGCAATTCTTGGTGCGTTCAGTCAATAGTGCTCACGCCGCATTTGCTGATTAGTTCATGCTCTTTCTAGCGGTCTATCCTCGAAAACGACCAAGCAGAGGAGAATGAAGAAGCCGGTGACATGAGTGACGAGGAGATCAACGAGCTTATTGCTCGGAGTGAGGAAGAGGAACAGATATTCCGTGATATCGACATCCAACGCGACCGGTACCCAGCATGCGGAAGTTCCTCAGAGTACGATCAATATGGTGAGAACACAGTTCGGCGACGTTGTCTCGTGCGAATGTCCCTGTTACAATGTTGCAGACAGCTTGCGAATGACATTCCTTAGCTTCAAGAGTGTTGTACCGAAGCGGGAAGCTGACTAACCGCTTAATCAACGGTAAGGCAAAGGAATCTATAGGCAAAACACAGCCATTTCATATCTCGAACCGCTGTAGGAAGAGGCCCCCTACCTTGTCAACGAAGTCATCGGATGTTCAGCGACTCCGCGCAGAATCAATCTGCGCTCATCAGGACGTATGTACCTGGTCAATTCGCTCTCTGTTCGGCTCACGGCGGTAGGTGAAACTCATTTAGCAAGAACCAGGAAATAGGCCGAGTCACAGCCAGAGGGCCATAGTAAATTCCTCATCATGATTAGGACATTCCTCGTGCTCCCTCTTCACAACAGGCACCCGCTCTGGCCATTAGTAGGTCCTACTTATAGTTATACTGTTACCATTGTCGTCTCCACAGTCACCGCGGAAGCCTCGGCATGTACCAACCTCCGTCCATGACTGGTGACTTGCGATCGCAGCCCAAGATGAGTGTTAATCGGCTGGCATATAGGTCTAGAATTGTGCTGATAATTGACATGTACGTCGAATAACGTGCCACAGAATATGGTATCAAGTCGCGGTATCTCGCAAATAAGCTCATGTGTTGCCACTTCAAGATGGCATTTGCATGGAATCACAGAGGGAAAGCGACAGCAAACGTGCAACTTCTGGAGCAGGAATGTTCAAGGGTATACGATGCGGCTGCACAAACAACGATGAGAACCATTGGCTGATCGGGCAGGTCAATGAAGGGAATTGAAAACCCATCGTCATTGTCGGCGAATCGTGTACGACACCTTAATATGCAAACCCTTCTGATTGCATGTAGACGTCAACGGCAATGTCAAGACCAGGTGTAATGGGGTGGTCCACCATCAAATCGGTCTCGAGGCTTGGCCATGCATCGCGAGACTGTCGTGTCAACTAACCTCCTAGACACATTCACCTTCTTGGTGCCTTCATTGGACGCGGTGGACTCCGCCGATATGTTGTATCTGTCGTTATATTCGAAGATTCGATATTTGCGACAACCTACAGGTACTAATGTTCCTAATGTTGCACGAATGATTCAACTTCACTACCGAGATTCCCTACGAGACGTCATGGGACATGTGAACTGTGCACGTATGCGGTCCAGACTTACTTCGAGAACACCCTCGGTTTTGGATGTCTTCAACCCCATCGATTCTTGCCACGCCATTGCTCCGTGTTCGTGGCGCATGTGCTACATGAGTGGCGTCAGGCTCCGACGATTCTTGGAAAATGCTATGACTTCAGCAATATCGGCGGACAAGCTGACTGGTAGTTGTATGCGAGGCTTGGGTGTATAAAAGCCGTGGCGTGCAACAGGGCTGAGCACCCATCATCGTTAGCTCATCTCTCTCCTTGCAAATACTCAAGGCAGCACGCTACAATGTCGATCCAGGCCGGTAACTATAGGATTCAGAACGTCGGTATCGGGAACTATGTGGATCTGGCCGGCGGGTCGAGTATCCAGGGCACAAGAGTTCAGGGCTGGACGAACGCCAACAATTTGAATCAGCTCGTAAGACACAATGAGCGCAGATGTGTACGTGCCGCAAGTACTAATCCCTTCTCCAGTGGCAATTTGAGCCGGTCAACGACAACACCTGGAAGCTCTTGAACGCTGCGAGCGGTACATACATGCTTGGTCCGGTCCACGCCATCGTGAGTAGGGAAGCACAGCGCTCTAATTCATTCCATCAACGAAGAGATAGTTGACAGAATGAGGGTGTCGTTGGCGGCACGCCTCCGGACGAGTTATGTTCATCGACTCCGACGGGTCGTATCAGTGAGTCCCAGAAGGACATGATTATTCTACTTGCTAACTCTTGGTGCTGGCATTGCGCCTAGGATTCAACTCGTCGACGAGCCTCTTCTGCTGTACCTCGGCGACAGTACGGATGGTACTCAGGTATGCATTGACGTCTTTCCCCCAGCTCTATGACATCTCTTAGCGAGGGTCAAATTGCAGATCGTCCTCCAGGCCGCCGACGGTGGCGACAACAACCAGTTCTGGTACCTGCACCCGCAGGCGGCCTGATGCGGCTTCGCGACTTCCATGGGCTCAGCTTGCTCGATTGATGGATAACGTGGTCGACTGTTACTGTGGAGTCATTTCTTGGTGTATATTCCATATGAGGCATTCCTTGCTCTGTTGTATGGCGCAGTAGGTATTTCGAAAGAATCGACGTTCGATGTCTGTTGCGCATGAACGAAGTGGTGCCGTGTGATCCAGAAACAGGAGTCTGTCCGCTCAACAGCACAGGTTGAACATGGGTGACATAGGGAAGCGCAGGATTATAGGGAGCTGAATTTACGAAGACAAGCCAGGATGCGCCATGATTGACTGTTCCAATAAGCCGCTTTGCATAAACCCAAATAATATTGTTCGGCGAAGACTTACCGATCCTCCGCCGACACGCACACCAGTACGGGATCTCTGAGTGTGCCAAGGATAATGTACATGAGTTCTGGTGAGCGTGTGCTATTCCTCATGATCAATACTGTCAACAGCGCACCGACATAAGTTGCCCTGGAGTCCGCACGACCGGACGCGTCTCAACGCACATGCAAATCGAGGGCGCGGAGCCCATTGCTAAGAGCTACTGGAGGCTCGTTCACACTCTACATGTACCTACGCTGTATGGAGTATAAACCCGTCGAACTTAAACGCACATGCAAATATGGTAACGTGACCCTCACGACACTTTGGCGCCGTTCGCGCGCTTGCTCGTTATTTTCTAGGCTTGTATATCGATGATGGTCTGTGCTTCACAACAATCATCTTGCATGGCTTGCCGACTGTGACTGCGCTGTTTCCCCGAAAACACTAACGATAGACCTCCCTCACAAAAGCCACAGACAGGCGGCAGAGAGCATAGCGGCGCTCGGCACGGGGTGACGTGCACTTGCCACTCATCCCTCAAAGGTTGTTCACGACAGCCATATGAAGTAATCTACACCAACACCTCGATGTTTGTCGAGGTCCTACCCTGTCGCTCTCCGCTTCCGCAAGCAATAGCAGACAGCGACGACCTACTGTGACGCGATCAGGCTAGTAACTTCTACAATCTGACAATCAGTTATGGAGCCAGGCGTATTTGCAACGAGTTCTTTCTGAACAGGATGTATATATTGTTCATCGCTGACCATGACGGCGAGAGGACGAGGAGATTACAGCAAACGTCTGCCTCACGATCCTCATCTGATAGCCTATCTCCATGATCGGTCATCCTCCCACCTTGCCCCAAAGTATGACTTACGGAGGGTCTATCATTGTTGGTTTTGTTGTGATCGGCGTAATTCAATCAAATTCCATTTCCATCACCGCTAGCATCTCGTCTCCGGTTGCAACTTACCATTTGTGCTAGGTGTGACCCTGTCAGATTGAAGATTCGATGGATGCATAGGCCGACCTCAGACGGGTTGGCTGCTTTCGCTCGCTGTTTGACAAACTCTCCCGCCTCATATAGTCTCCGCGTCATCTCACTATTTACCAGTTGGCTGTTGCACGTAATAAGAGGGGCACATGTGCATCATGCGGTTCACTCAGGTCCCGAGTTTTCTCGATGGGCAATTTGTGTTTGGCATACTGGATGCTTGGTTTCAAGTTGATTGAGGAAGGGTTCGGACATGCTGATGGATCGTCGCTGAAGCGGAGCACTACACCAAAATGTTCTTTCTCTCACGGCCGGGTCGCTGAAGCCTTGAGTTTGCCTGTTAAAGCCGAATGACTGTTATGTAAATGCTGCCTCAGTAGTTCAGACAGCTCCCAGCTTTCCTGATACTATGTCACAGTGTCGAAACCCTTGTGACGGGGGACATTTATTGCGTAGCGCGGTTGCTTGTTAATGAAGCTACATGAATCGGCACAGGAATCTACTATCCCAGCCCGGTTTTAGCTCGCGGCAGCTGATTTCCAGCGTTCTCAGGAATCCCAACCTACAAACTCGGATTGTGCGTTTCTGCCTTTGTATCGCAAGGTACCTCCAATGTTTCACATACACTCTTCAAATTCACACGACCCCGGGGATTTGGTGTAGCAACGCTCTGTGCGCTATACCATCTACAGACTGCTGGGAATGTCCGAAGACGGTGGTATAAAGCTTGCTCAGTGAGGACCTCTGTATTCAGACAACTGCCCCGCTTTCGCTCACTGCCTCGATTCACCCCCCTATCTCACAATGTCTCAATTGCCCAAAGGCCCGTGGACTAAGACGTTCTTTGTCAAGAACGTAGGCACTGGGTCTATGCTCGACCTTAACGGGGCCAGTGCCGTGCAAGGCACCCGTATTCAAGGCTACCAGCAGAATTACGGGACGGCCCAAACCGTAAGTATAGGTATCTGATCTCCCGCTATGTCACTCGTTCATGTGTATCATATAGTGGAGCGTCAGTGCCGACGAAGACAACAATTTGGCGTTCATGAACGCTAATACGAACACCTATGCCTACTCCCCAGAGCCCATCAATGTCAGCACCTACAGCATCTCATAGCTATAGGAGTCTGGTTTAACTAATTTCGGACAGGGAGGCAATGTAGTCGGAAGTGCCACCTTGGTGCGTTTCAAGGTTGTCGGAGACGGTGGTAAATACCAGTGAGTACAAGCGTTCAGAACATAGTATTGGCGCATATCTACATACCTTCCTTATCAACAGAATCAAACCCCTCGATGCAAACGACCTCGCGTGGAGTCTTGCCAATGGTAATGACTGCACTCCGGCAAGTACAGTATTCCCTAGCATAGAACCAGTTATTCAAGCCGCCTTTACATCTAGGTGCTGTTGCAAGTCTCCGTCAGCGGTAACCCCGCCCAGCAGTGGGTTTTCGAAACTGTCGGATAAGAATGTGATACATTTTTGACTGGTGGGCAGCGGGCCGAGGAATCGTCGTGATCACGTCGTCATAGTCGAGTACGTTCTGTAATTGTAGCCCGGTCACAATCATATTCAGGCAAGGGAGACATGTTGGACGATGTATATGACGCTCCCTGGGCCACAGGCTTCCATACCACACGCATTCATTCTTCATCCAGTTGTCAACAACCATATAGCCAGGTGCACATAACGTGACCAAGGTTGCGACTGGCTACGTGTCTCCCCCACGGTCTAGGTTGAAATTGTTGAAATTGTGGCGAGCGCACGCCACTGTACCTCGAAGACCGAGTTTCTTTGTCACGCGTTTGATAGAGCTGAGACAAACGCGATATACCCTTGTTGCTTGTTCTCGCTTCCGGTCTCAGGCGAACTTCGTCAGCCTGGAACTTGCACGTGGGTCTCAAACCCAGAGGCTTGAGCATTTGTCCAGGCGTATCCATTTGAGTGACTATCGGTACGAGTGAGTGGCGGCCATGATAGCAAGCGCATGCTGCGAAAGATTTTAAATGGCATACATATAATTTCTCCGGTTTACGCCATCATTAGTGACAACGTTTGTGAAGTGGGCAGATATGATGATAGTATTGTTGATGGAACCAGGCACATATACCTCTAGACGTATTCATGTTCATTGACATTGACGGGTCGTACGAGTGCTAGAGCACTGACTCTGATGGACAGCGCGATATGTAAGCATCGACAGGAAAACTTGTCGATGGTCGAGATCCTACGGCAGCACCGATGAGAAGACATGCGTCAGCCATCATAATCATTACGCCTCATCTCCGTCACATATGCCAGACCACGACACTCCCATATTTTCACCACTCTCAAGCCAGCATTTTCTGCCAATGCACTAAATTCCTCGGGTGTTCTCTCTACTCCATTGAAGAGAGCTAGCATGCCGATGGCGAGAATATTTCCCATGTGATGTGCATAGCCATAATTGGCAGGAAGAGGTGATGGAGCGCTCTTCAACAGTGGTGAACCAGCCGTCGTCTGCATCACTTTATCCGCGACAAGAAGTCTCGAGTCGCGTCTCATAGCATCGCGGAGATGACGCAAAATCGTGACACATTCATCGTCGGGCCAGTCGTGGCTGCATATGATTATGTGATGAGAAAGCATCGAATGACTGTGGAACTGAGTACTGACAGAATATGCCGCAAGATGAAGACATCTGCTTCTTTGACGGGCTGTTGTGTGAAGAAGTCGTGACGCATGAACTTGACACGCTCGGCTTCCAATGCCTCCGGGAGTTCCTGCTTCCAGATCAACTCCGCCTTCTCAATCACTGCCTCCCGATCTTGTACGACGAACTTGAGGTCAGGATAGCGTTTTGCTAGCTCAAGACTCATTCCGCCTGTTCCAATATGCCGCTTTGTATAGGACAAAATGATATTGTTCAGCAAAGACTTACCAAGTCCTCCGCCGACGTCTATGACAGTACGCGATCCCAGAGTGTGCCAAGGATAATCTGCGTGCGTTCTGGTGAGCGTGTGGTATTCCTCATGATTGAAACCTTCAGTAGCGCACCGACATAAGTTGCGCTGGATTCCGCGCGACCGGCCGCCATCATGCCGCCGATCCAAGTATTAAAAGCCGGACGTGGACCCATCGTCCCGTCAGGTTGCTCGACCGGCTCTTCGAGATATTCCCACAAAGTCGAATTCGTCCCATATGCTTCTTGGAACGCAGACTCGCGCGGTGATCTAGAGTGGGTCTTAACTGGATCGAATAGAACAGCGGGCAGCTTCTCCGTAACAGCACCTCCTTGAATAGAACTTTATGTACAATATTAGTCCAGTAGAGTGAGTCCAATAGCAGCAACTTGCAAAAGAAGCCAGGAACAAAGGGACTCGTTCGCCACCATGTACTCGCTCGTCCGAGTGTTCACAAAATAGCCATCCTTGATTTCGCTAAATATGTGAATGGTGCTGAGGCAGCGCAAAAGCTGGGCTGCGAGGAGAAAAATTTCAGTGGACGATCTTCCATGTGACAAAATTACACCTACCGAGTTTTCTACCATTGATTCCAGTTCGCCGACCAATATCCTCGACGGAGATGCCTCGCTGCGGGTCGGCTTCGGCGACTATGTCTGCGACCCGTGCTTGCACCGCTATGTTTAGGCACTTGGCGGCGAAGTACGAAGAGACAACTTCGCCGAGACGCAACAAAGGATCCTGCACGAGGTCAATACACATGCCGCATGCCCCGATAATGACACGGCGGGCTTCGTAGAGTGCGGGCGACGGAACATCGGGAGTGTTGTTTGGCTCAGAAGCCTGAGCAGCCTCGGCTTCCCATTCCTTGATGACGACCTCTGACGACTCGACGAGCAGGCGAACCAGGGAACGCAGCTGGCTGATTTTCTCTGCGACAGGTTGCGACATGTGACGAGATTGACGCTTGCAAAGCACAAAAACGACAGAGGTACGCGATGCAGTTCGCTTCTGCTTCATGAGCCCATCTTTTCTATTGATGTCAGTGGGATGACTATTCCTAATACGGATGATGATATTGGTTCGTCGGCCGCGTTCACCTACGACTTGGGTCTCGGACTATGAACACGCGCCCTTGCTTCCTTGCGACAACCGGACTTCAATACATCAGCTCAGGGTGTGGAGATAGGGTGCGAACTTAGTAGTGTATTACCGGTATTAGCTTGTTCATCCCTAGGATCTGGGTAGACAAGCAATGGCATTGGGAAGCTGCTGATGAATCTGGCGTGTGGCACGGAATGCGTCAGAACCTTTGACGCAAGCACTCCTGCACTCGCGAAGGCCTGCGGTGAAATCCCGGAGGTATCACGTTACACCTAGCTATCATATCCAGAGTAAGTGAAGGTCACAAGAAAAGAAGCGTCAGAAACACCTCGCATGTGCGGTCAGGGACTGGACTGGAACATGCTGCTTTGTGAATTGTCATCCTGATGATCCCTAAGAGAGAGATTGTGTACGGTTGGCGGGTGGGCGCAGGTCAAGATATGGTAACTAAATATGGGGTCCTGCCTCGTGTGGTACCCCGTGATAGATCTCAGCGTGACAGAGCCTCAGACAGACCATTACGTAATCTAAACAAGGGCTGAATTCTGCTCGACGGCATCGGCGGCATGGGAGATGGGGCGCTTATGTAACCATAACTGAGTGATAGATGCTTGGAGACCTATGCTATATTCTCAAGGTATGAGCAGTATTCGCGCCATATGATACACATAAATGAGTTACTCGCTTCTCAGGAATAATATGCAAGCACTGAGATCTGAAGGCTTGAGGTGCGACAGCGCAAAGTGTACTATGCCAATGTCCGATTACGTAAGGTCCTGCTTCGAGTCTGTAAATATACACATCTTTCAACTCCATATATATCTCCCTCTAGCCTTGTACGTTCTCCTTCTAAAGTACAATTTGAGTAAATATAGCCGGTCAAATACCATAGTAATTGTGCATCATGATGTGCTTGAGAATATTAGTAAAGTTGCACATATACAGGCTGGCACATTAACTTGTGTACGATACGCCAAGTAAACGCAACCCAATTATTTCTTGATACCATATGCTCAGCCATCATGATAACGGTCTTAGGTACATACTCCATTTTGGTATTCCAATGGATGATTTGCTTGCCAAAGGTACCTTGTGTAAGCATGATATAAGCGCGGATATCACACACAGTATCGATAATGGGAAAATATATAGACCATTACCATCACTAGACGTTACAACTTAGTCACTCTGAGGACCCCGGCAAGACCCGATCAGTGGCTGAGGCACGAAGTTAGACCTGCGCCCACCCGCCAACCGTAATTGTGTCAGAAGTCCAAACACATCGATGCCGATAAAGCATGGCGCACGCGGCCCAGGCTATGAGTGGCAACAGTGGCAGTATCTGTGCTACAATCACGGAGCCAATCGAACGCCCCCACTTGTCCTCTCAAAGAATGCAGATAACAGATTATGACACGGAACTGAACCCGGTATAGCGACTTCTGGTGATGTGTCTAACAAACCGTGCCTGCAAGATCCCATACGTAACAAAAGTACCAGTGCGCCAACTATTCGCATCGCCCGGGTCTAGGGGTTGGCATCGAAGGATAGCACCATAGTATCAGAATAGCATTACCTGCATGTTGCTACCCTAGGGGTATCAGATACGGGCCGGGCCCTGTGTTTCCCAATCCAGAGCCGACCCGTAGGTCATCTAACGATTATTGCACATTCCGTAATAAGTAGACTAGTGGGTGTCGTGACTCACCCCATGATTGGATCACACTGTCACTGGCACAGCCTCAGGTACCGCCCGATGCCACTCGGGCACTTTCGAGTATGCGATGAACGCGAGACGTCATAGGCTTGCATTGTTCATGCTATGGCTTCCGGAGAATCTAGACGCGCAATTTAAGCCACATTTAGTACCGACATCTACAACCAGATAGCCTCGAGGCCACCGTACGAAATTCACGAGTAGAGCAGATCAATTACACAACGAGGCGTTCCTGAGGAGTGGCAAGTTTCCTGTTATCGGAGAGAAAGTTCCGCGGGATATATGGACCTACATCGTGACGAGCACGCTCTGAAATGCGAAGCCGAGAACACTCGAAGCTGTGAATCTGACTCAGTTGTGTGGTCAACGCTCGGAGGAAGAACTTCATCTCCGGGTCCAAAGACGCGATCACGTGCAAGCGTGATGATCAACGCGCGCATCAAGCGCCCATAGGAATCGGGCGCTCACTGCCTCATACAAGATATGAAACAGGAGGCCGCTCTGCGCCCCCCTCCTTGCGGTCGTCGCGGCGGGTCAGCACAGGCTCTGTTTCTCTCATAACGGTGCAAGGGCCTGACAATCCTCCTTTCTCTTCTTTTCGCTCTGTATCGTATTCTACAACACTAAACCTTGGTACGTAAATGATTTGCAATTCATGAGTTGGGGTGTCCTGATTGACAGACGTCGATATCCTATGGCGGTAACAGTAATCGTATCCTGATGCCCTCGACCATTCGCTCAAAGTCGGTCATGTCTTCGAGAAATATGTTGTGCTGCCTCCTGGGGCTCGCCCATCTGGCTGCAGCACTCCCCAATCTCCTTGATCGGCGCAGCACGCCCGCTGCTGCCCCCCCTGCCAGGATCGACATTCCTCTTCTCTTTGATTCGAGTGGTCGCTACATCATTCCTGTGGGCATGGTACGTGCTATACTCGATACCATCAGGCCGTTGACGTATCGGTCCGTCTAGTCGCCCGGTCCGCATGTGCAGAACTTCAATTTCACGCTAGCGACGAGCACTGGGCTCACGTCTGTTGCTGGGACGGGATGCAGCTCATGCAGTGGGGTCAGCTTGTGAGTAAAATATGCTCATTCTGTATCCTATATACTACATCGGTCCCGTCTGGATCCTGACTTGGCTTGACAACTGTAGGTATAACCAATCGGCATCCACTTCCGCAAAGTCCCTAGACTTGTCAGATGAGGTTTCGCTCGTGAGCGGCGCCTTCAGCGGGACGGTGATTAAGGAGAATTGCGACATGAAAACGAGCAACGGGTCCTCGTGGAACTATCCGAATCAGACCAGTAGGTCGTCTTCGCACACGACTCATCATGGATTAGCACCAACCTCGGACATCGTTTACAGTCGTTGTCGCCAACCAACAGAACTCGAGCTCCGTCTTCGCTCACGGAGTGTCCGGAATCATCGGCTTGGGCACCAACCGCATCTCGACACCTACCACGGGAAACAACTTTACGGCTGGATTCAATGACACGATTTTTGGCGAGTGGCTGCAGCGCAATCTGGACCAGGATGCCTTCCAGTTCGGCATGAGCCTCAATCCGCCGGTGCTCACACCGACGAGTGCGTCGAGTCAGGCCGTCGCTTCCCCTACATCGACGAGTGCGGGCACGCTCCACTGGCTGCAGCCCGACTCGAGCGCGTACAACACTCAGCAGATCGTGTACAAAAACGTGGAGAACAACTCGTCGGTGACCTATGCGAGCGGCAGTCAACCTGACTGGTCTGTGGTGCTGGACGGGTGGGAGTTTCAGGGCACCGACACGATTGAGACTCAGCAGGAGTTCATGGCGAGCGTAGACCCGTACTATACGGACATTTATTTCCCTATGCAGCAAGCACAGATCATCAGTACGCCGCTGATGTCTTGGTCTGTCAATGAGTTGCTAACGACATCTATTCATAGACGCAGCGATCTCCGGCTCGTCACTGCAGACAGGCCTGTCGAGTCTGGGCACGCAGTCGGAGGCGTGGACGGTTCCTTGCGATGCTGAGTTCTCGCTCACGGTGACCATCGGCTCGCAGAAGTTCACGCTGGACCAGTCGGCACTGGTCATCAACCTGGGCAACAATGTCTGCGTGAGCGGCATCGAGGCGTGGACGGACACGTCGGTCGATGAGTACCTACTCGGCGCGCTCTTCATCCAAAAGTTCTACCTGTGCGTCGCGCTCAAAACTGCTTGTGCATCATTGCTCACTCTTTCCCACAGGGTCTTCTCCATCTCGCGGAACGGCACCGACACTGTCGGCTTTGCGCCACGCGCCGTTGTTTCGAAGGGCTCCCAAACGGGCGCTATCATCGGCGGGACGGTCGGTGGAGTGGTGGGCGTGTTCTTACTAGGCCTAGCGGCGTTCTTCTTCATCCGGAGCAGGCACGACCGCGCGGAGCTCAAGCACACTATGGCGGAGGTCGAAGAGCACAAGGCGGCGAACGCAGTGGAGCCATTTCCGCTCGGGCTGCCGGTGACGCCGCAGAGTGGGCAGTCGTTCGCTGCGCAGCAGGCATATGGGACACCGCATGGCTCGCCAGATGCAGGTTCACCGCTGTTGCCTGTGCACCACGACGATGATGTTGCGCCACCAACGTATGAGGAGACGGAGACCTCGCGCTCGGAAATCGCGGCGCCGTCGGCGATAGGTATCGCGCGCACGAGCAAGGGCGAGTATGTTCTACCGGCATCGGTGCAGGCAGGGAGCTCCAGCTCGGGGGAGCCTCCGCTGACCCCGAATCATGGTCTGGGTATGTTCAACATTGAAGAGTAATGTCGCTTTTTCTTTTCTGTATTTATTTCGCTTGGCTTTTTATATGGACGTCTTTTTCTACGCCGTCGGCTATGAAGTTCGGTCCATGAATCCGTGGAGAGTATCACGTGTACGGGAGTCGAGCAGTGCTTTGAATGTAACAAAATTTCTCTTCATCCATGTACGCCGTTCTCAACGACAGGCGGTTGAATGTGGTGCACATCAGCGTCAGTACGGTGTTCCCCTGTGACGTCGTTTCCATCTGACGCGTTCTAGTGTATCTTGAGAATGATATCCTGTGTGGCTCACTTTGACTTCGCGAGCGGAATGGCTAGGGTGATTTGTTTCGTGCATCTCACTAGAGTTCGGTCATCCCAGTAACACACAGTACGTCACATGAGAGGACGAATCAAACATGTTTGTACACGTTATTTTATCACGGAACAGCCGATGTGACATAACGAACCCAGTGGTTCGCAGAGCGTGCAGTCACAAGCATACGAGAATATCGGTTCTAAAATGCGCAGATCGACATATGTTGAAAAGTTCACCATTCCGGTTATGTTATGGCCCTCCGCGGTCGTCACAGTACCAGTGTCAGCCGGACCGATTGAACATATGGCCTCAAGCAAGGAACGGGTGCCGTGTTCCAGTGTGAGAGGTGTTGGATCGAAGTTCGGGTTGACCTGTTGGAATTTCTCGAGTAGCGGCCCTATGTCTGTCACCATACTAGCTAAAGCTGCAATTGGGTTCCATGTAACAGTCCAACATCAGATCCACTTTACTCTTCAGAGCCAATAAGGCAACAAATATGACTTACGGGCATCGACGGCGGTGGCGGATACATCGACTATGCCAGGAAGTAGGCCAACCGCGGTGAATCCTTCGCTCTCCAGGAGAACCGCGTACTTCGTCAAGACCATGTGCGTCGCAGCTTTGGACGCACCGAATGCTGCTTGGACATCGATCCGCAGATCCCATGTGATATTACGCTCGCCGACGTGACTGCTGAGGATGACAATTTTTCGGGTAGTGCCTTTCCGGAGCAAGGGAAGGAATGCGTTGATGGAATGCACGACACCCACGGTGTTCACCTTGTACTACATAACAATTAGTTTAGAGCTACGACCTGAAATGAAGGAGAGACCACGAACATATTGCAGAAAGTCTTCCTCGAGTTTCTTGTCGTCCTCACTGAATGGATGAATGTACAAGTCAGATAAGTTCCTTCAGTCAATGACGTTGGGTCGTACTAGTCGGTCACCCTCTTAAACATCGTCGGCACTTCAATTCGTGCTGCACTATGAATGAGAACATTCAAGGAACCACCGGTACTTTCGGCCGCTCGTGCCGCGGCGTCCTTATGCTCAATCAACACCGGGCCAAGAACGTTGGTCCACGATGACATTACCTTCAATGTTACGTGGTCGGCAAGGTCCGCCTGCAGGACATGCACATTATTCTTCTTCGACTCGGTGACGAAGGCCGTGAGGTGCGTGGAGGTAGCAATGTTTCGCACAATGGCAAAGGCGACATTGTGAGGGCTAGCAGTAGTTATATCATAGCAGAGCTTACTGAAATCGCGCAAGTCAAGACGTCATATGAATATTCGAACGTTGTGTCGGCGCAAGTGCCACCGGGACACGCGCGGTTTGTAAGTCTAATGCTAGATTCGGGGAGGGGGCATTCTCCGAGTTCGGACTTAGCGATGTCCGGTGCCGGGCACATACAGGAGATCTTCAGTGTGCATTCGTATCATGAGCAAATTCTGCACGTACATACTGTCCGCACAGTCGGCGACTTGATAGGTGCTGCGTATAGCATGGCACCAGTCTCGTGCAGGTTGTAAGCCGTAAACCAGAGATGATATATTGGCGGTGGTGGAGCTACTATTCTGTTGTATTACGCCAGCCAGCAGGGAGCATGACCAGCGAGCGTTTCAAAATGACAGTCGCGAAGCACAGACCATAATATTAAATATGCAAGCCTCGAAGCGAGGAAGTCCATGGATGGATGACGCCAATAAGTTGAACGACTCGAAGTTGAGACGAGACGGTCACGTTACCGTGTCCGCAGGTCGAGTTACATTCGGAGCTAACTTGAATCTCGGACCGGTCTCAATCATCGCATATTCTGGCTTGTCTTCGTACACTCAGCCCAATATATTACGAGAACGGCGGCGCTTCCCTATACCACTCTTGTTCAATCTGTGCTTTTGAGCGGACAAACTCGTGTCAGGTTCTGAATCACGATCCACACGGCACCACTTCATTCATGCGCAGCAGACATCAAACATTCATTCTCACAGACCAACTACTGCGTCATATGGAACACACACCAAGAAATGACTCTCCACAGTAACAGTCGACCACGTTATCCCTTAATCGAGCAAGCTGAGCCCGTTGAAGTCGCGAAGTCGCATCAATCCTGCTGGGGGTGCAGGTACCAGAACTGGTTATTGTCACCGCCGTCAGCGGCCTGAAGAGTGATCTGTGGTTTCATTATGGCTAAGGGACGTCACAGAGCTGGCGGAGATACGTGGATGCGCACCTGGGTGTCGCTTTCACCACTGGCGAGGTACAGCACAAGAGACTCGTCGGCGAGTTTGATCCTGTGAACGCAATTCCAGGACAAACAGTCACCAAGTGGAGCGACCACGTCTTTCCGTGGTATACCGGACTCACTGGTACGACCCGTCGGAGTCGATGAACGTGAACACGTCCGGAGGCGTGCCGCCGACGACACCCTCATTCTGTCAATCATCTCTTCGTCAGTGAAATGGATCAAAGCGCCGTGCTTCTCTACTCACGATGATGTGGTTCGGAGCAAGGACGTATGTGCCGCTCGCAGCGTTTAAGATCTTCCATGTGTTGTCGCCAACCGGCTCAAATTGCCACTGAGGAAGGGATTAGCAACTCATGCACGTACATGTCTGTGCTTATTATGTGTCTTACGAGCTGATGCAAATTGTTGCCGCCCGCCCAGCCCGTGATCCTGGTGCCCCAAGCACTCGACCCTGCAAACATATCCATATAGGTCCCGAAGGCGACGTTCTGAACTCTGTAGTTTCCTGGCTGGACCGACATTGTAGCGAGTTGCCTTAAGCGTTTGCAAGGAGAGAAGTGAGCTAACGATAGTGGATGATCAGCCCCGCTGTACGTTGCCGCTTTTATACACCCAAGCCTCGGGTGTAACCGCGACTCAGCTTGTCCGCCGATGTATGTTCAAATCGTAGCATTTCCCAAAAACTGTCGGAGTCTGACGCCACACATGCAGCACATGCACTTAGAACACGGAGCACTGGGGTGGCAGGATCCGATGAGGCTGGAGGCATCCAAAAACGAGGGTGTTCTTGGATTTGAAGTCAGTGTGGGCCGCATCTGGGCGCAATTCACTCACCCTGAGACATTTCGCAGGGAATCTCGGTACGGAAGTTGACTCATTTGTGCGACATTGGGAGTATTACTACCTGTAGGTCGTCGCCAATATCCAATTTCTGAATCCAACGACAAATACAGCATGTCGGCGGAGCCCACCGCGTCCAATGAAGGCATAAAGAAGGTGCAGGTGTCTGGCAGGTTAATTGACATGACAGTCTCGCGATGCATGACCGTGCTTCGAGACCGATTTGATGGTGGACCACCCCATTACACCTGGTCTGCACATTGCCGTCGAGGTCACGTCTAGAAGGGTTGGCACATTAAGGTGTCGTAGTCGAACCGCTGACCACGACGAGAGTTTTCTGGTTACCGTCCCAAGACTGACCGCTCAACTAATGATTCTCATCATCGTTTGTGGAACCGTATCGTATAACCTCGAATAGTCTTGCTTCAGACGTTGCGCATTTGCTGCTGCCGTTACTCTGTGATTCCATGCAATTTTCGTTTTGAAATAGGAATAGAAGAGCCTTTGTGGGATACCGCAACTTGAAACCATACCCTGTGGCGCCATGTTCGACCGCGACGCACATGACAGTCATCAGCAAATTCTAGAGCTATACGACAGCCGATTGACACTCACCTCAGGCTGCAGTTGCAAATCACCTGCTCCGACCATGGACGGAGGTTGATCTACGCCGACACTCCCGCGGTGATGGTAGGGACGAGAACGGTAAAAGTATAGCTATAAGTAGGACATATTAATGGCCAGAGCGGGTGCCTGTTGTCTAGAGCAAACACGAGGGATGTGCTGCTGATCATGATGAGGAATTCACTATAACCTTCTAGCTGTGAGTGAGGCCTAATTCCTTTTCCTTGCTAAATTACTAGTTCTGCCTACCGACGTGAATTCTGTAGAGAACGAAATGACCAAGTTGTGACATACGTCCCGATGGGCTCACATCAATTCGGCGCGGAGTCTCTGAACATCCTATGTCTTCGTTGACAAAGTAGGCCTCTTCCCACAGCCGCGGTTCGAGATACGAAATGGGTGTGCTTTGCCTACGGAGTCCTTTCCCTTGCCGTGGAATAAGCGAGTTAGTCAGCTTCCCACCTCGGTACATCACTCTTGAAGCCAGGGAATTTCATTCGCAAGCTGTCTGGAATGTTGTAGTAGAGGTATTCGCATGAGGTGACGTCGCAGAACTGTGTTCTCATCATATTAACTATTTCGAAGGACTTCCAAGTCAGCATGCTGGGTACAACCACCCCGCAATATACCCAATTCAGAGTTGACACAAATACGTAGTTAGCCGTCTATAGCCAAATCAACAGTCGTAGTCAATACAACTGGATTGACATAAACGTGAGAAGAATATTCGAGGCCCATCGTGGAGTGACTATGATCGTGGCCGCCTTGTTCAACAGTTCAATCCGCACCTGCCAGTGCAATGAACGTCAGTCTCTCGGATCAGCACCAACGCCTTGTGGTCTGGAATTCACCTTGAAGAGCGTCGGTGTAGGTGAAAAAATATACGAGAAACGCCTCGGTGGCAGTGATGACTCGGCGTCATCAGCGTTTGGACTCCGTAATGGGCGGGAAGACAAGAATACGCATCATGGCGGGATGGGAAAGGATAATGCGGTGGCGCTCGTCTACAAATGACGCACTTTGATTTAGAATGGCCTAGACTGTATTGAGTCATCTCAGGTCGAACAGCAAAGCGAACGACTTGCCGCTTGAGCCAACTTCATCACACAGTACCTGTGCTACATACACAGCACACGTCAATCCTTGCTCTCCCAAAGAGATATATTGCGCCGCTTGACGAAATGAAAAATTCTTTTTAAACAACTCGAGGGCAATAGTTCACCACACTCCGAGCTAATGCGGTACAAAACAGCTGCGGGCATTGGTGTCTTCAAGCCACACTAGTTACTACTAACAGGATGCATGTACCAGAACTGGTTGTTGCTGCTGCCATCGGCAACCTGAAGGGTGACCTGTTTTCTTCACTCAGCAACATCACAGGGTATGTGGAGAGACATTGATCATCGTACCTGCGTAGCGTCATCACCGTTAGCAAGGTAAAGCACAAGAGACTCATCGGCTAGTTTGATCCTAGCAGCAATGCCATGACCGAGATTCAGCAAGCAGATCTTCCGTTGGTATACTGCACCCACTGGTACCACCCGTCGTTGTCGATGAACGTGAACGTGTCCGGAGGCATACCACCAACGATTCCCTGATTCTGTCAATGGTCTCATCGTCAATGTCTCTACCGAGTTCCCAAACAATCTCACTCACGACGGCGTGGACAGGGGCAACAGCATATGTACCGCTAGCAGCATTCATAATCTTCCATGCATTGTCGCTGATGCACGCAACGGGCTCAACCGTCCACTGAATGAGAGATGAAACAATTGAGTGGATGTATGTCTGCATTGATCATTTCTTACGAGCTGGTTCAAGTTCTGGGCATCTGTGTAGCCTTGAACCACGGTGCCCTGGGCACTCGACCCGCCGGCCAGATCCATATAGTTTTGGAAGCCAATGTTCTCTATCCTATAGCTTCCGGGAAGAATCGTCATTGTGGGCGTTGCCTTCTGAGTTGCGCGAGCCTATGCAGGGGGAGGGTGAGCTGATAATAGCGGATCCTCAGCCCCGTCTCACAACGCGGCTTTTGTACTCCCGAACCGCGGGTGAACCTGCAACTCACCTTGTCCGCCGACATATTTTTGAAGTTGTAGTATTTCCTCAAAACGGTTAGAATCTGACACCACGCATGGGCGCATATGCACTACGGATCTGGAACAACGCCTGGTGAGGTACCAATGAGGCTGAAGACATTCGATAGTGAGCGTATCCTTGAACTGCGAACTGAATGTGGACAGCTTCTATACGCAGTTCACATATACCGGAGATCTCACCGAGCACCTTCGTGGCCATGCGGGCGGATTACCATTCACTATTCACATATATCTGATAGCCGCATCCCATGACATGTATAAAACGTCGGTGGGTAGGGTCCAAGGCATTCAATGCATACATCTAGAAGTTGAAGTCCTTCGGTAGGTTCACAGGACAAGACCACGATGCATGTCCGAGAAATGAGACTGGAAGTCGGCTGTTGTTTTATGCCACATACCGACCTTGCCTGTACTGCCTAATGAGCTCACGATTCAGGGTCTGCTTGGAATCAGAAGAGATTCACCTGTCGAAGTTGCACCGCCTGATGGTAAGTGTCTTCGCCGCGTGGAGCCAAATTACCGACTGCGACCAAAGCTTTGTACTGACGCCACAAGACTTCCCAATCATACGGTGCACATGTGCTTATGGCGCCGAGGGAATGCTCAGGCAGCCGTATGACAGATAGACCCGTGGCTCGAACCACTGTATATTTGCTATCCCAATTGCGTTTGTAGCACTTTTCATAATAGCAGCGAAAGAGCCCATTTTGTAGGACACTACAACTCAAGACCGTACGCTGTGTTATCACAATCCACGCACACGCCTGTTGTCAGGAAAGCCTAGACTTATACACCAGCAGATTGACACTTATCGCGGGTAGTTGTTGCAAACCTCCTGCTCTAGCTGTAGACGGAGATTGGTACATACCGGCATTTGCGTATTCGGAATCGCGACGAGAACAGGCGCAGTGTAGCTATAGCTGGACCCAGTGACAGTTAGAGCGTTATTGTGCTTGAAAGAGACAACACGGGGGATGCCCAGATCTCGAAGATCTCGACGAGGAATTTGCAACGACTAAAAGGCAATGAAGCATACTTTTTGGTCCTCAATGGGCGTACCAGTGCCTGTCGCCACAAACCCGATAGTGAACAAACGAACCAAACATTTACTTCCGAATGCGTACGTTGAGCTGATACTGAGTCGCCATACTTCCGACACCTTGAACGCCAGACACCGGTCAAATAGGAGTTGAGCCTTGTGTCATTATATGCATGAGACAACTCGGGAATGTGCTCATAACACGAGAATTGCCCATCGATATGTCACAGCCCAGATTGTTCAAGTAGCAAATTCACAAAGGCTGGAAGACAAGAGAACGTTGGTGGAGGATAGCACTTAGTCCGAACGCCATGCACAAATTTTGCCTCATGATCGGATATGTTGCTGACCTCTTCGATATAACTGCCGTAGTATCAGTATCGCAACAGTAATACAACTTCAACGAGGAGGGTGTTGGAACTTGAGATTGTGGCGAGCGCATGCCACCATATTTGGCATTGTTTGTAGTACCTCGCAGACTTTGCGCGAGCCGTCCTGTATGTTCCTTACGCGTTTGACAGAGCTCAGACAAACGCGATATATCTTCGTTGATCATTCTCGCTTCGGGTCTCGGACGAACTTTAACAGAGGGATACAGAGGGAACCGAGGATCCTCACCGTCTTGACGAGCTTTGTTTGTGTTTCCAAGGTTGATACCCGTTGAGCCACAGCGCAATTGTTGCGCTACTAAAGCGAAACCGGGGGCTGCGACGTCGCCCTAGAGGCTCGTATTGTTCCTAGTCGCCATCGAAGGGAAGCCTTGAGTTGTTCGTATGCTGTCATAGTTCAGTGTAGGTTTATCCTAGAAAGCTAGAGGCACAGGCGTAATTCCGACGTTGAATATTTGCACGTCGACACGTTGAACAAACAGCCTGTAGGTTTGATGAGATGATGGCGGAGTAACGTCGGAGTGAGTCGACGCCATCAAACAGCGGCCCTCTTCGGTCACTCCTCATTATCAACGTTGAAGTGTTGACCGCCGCTGCCCCATCAGGGTCTCACTATTGGTTCGCAAACGGCTGGGATGTAATCCCCGATGGCACTTGATCTCCACGACTAAATGCTAAGCATGGCGTGATATACCTCCGTAGCCATCTGACATTGACTCGTCGTCAATCATAACGAACTTTCGCCTGATCTATATGGTTGTCGCCGGACTTTACTCTACCGGTATTGGAGAATCGCCTTGACCAGTGCTCTCTGCTCAGTAGACTGGATAGCACAAAGTGTCAATGCATCACACTCATGAACGCTTGACTGAGCGTCGCGCGTTCAAAGCAGTTCCGAAAACATGCTCAGTCTGCCCGTCACCTTCAGACATACTTACCATATTTTCAGCTTCCAGATTCACCCTTTGTAAGGCATATCACTTCCTGACCCTTAATCAAACATTCTTCTTCAATACTGGGATCGTGCACCATAGATCGTGCACCGAGATGTTACCGGAGCTCATCTCAAGCTAGGTTCTTTCATGACACACGCCAACGTTGCCTGCACAGGAAACATACTTACATCACAACCGTAGTTGCAGACGCATAGCTTCGTTGAATCGGCACACACAATGAGTTGAATGTACACGGTGCAACAACTGGGAACATTCGCTCTACCTTGCACCACGACCCTACCAAAACCCTCGTCCTGGACTGTTTACCAGGTGCAATCAGTTGTCACCAAACTTGGCAATGGCTTTCACGTCGACGGTTCCTTCCCCTTACGAATCAGAGCCTCGAGAATTGATACTAGACAGTGACTAGAGTCTGAAGACTCAGGGTTGATTGTCCTTGTGGTAGTTATAAGTCTTCTTATACTCCACGATGCCGCTGATGACATTAGTCCGGTCCGATCTGTGCATGTTCTCTGAGTCACTAGCACTGTGGCTGTGAAACACGAATGCCGACGGTCCTTAACATCTCGAATAGGGTACTTCGGGATTACAACTCCATTCTCACTTGAACAACATAGCAACAGTACGTTACAATGCAAGAGGTTACCCGTAGCATTTGTCCTCATCCTCGACATCTGCGGAGCAGACACACCCGCACTGCGAAGCTACGTCCAGGATCCTTTCGCCAGGCGCCTACTGAGGTTCGAAGTACCAGAGCTGCTGCTCGTTCGACGCGATACTGGTGGCGAGCACAAGCTACACAAATCTGTTAGCTTGACTCATGTAGACGACAGCACAACGCCTACATCGGTCCAGTCATTCCCATTAGGGAGGCTGACCGCCAGGTCGCTGTCCGTCAGAAGAATCCTATACAACGCATCAGTCGGGCGCATACTACTACACAATCCGCGTAGAACATACTGGTATTTGCCATTGGCGCCATATATCTTGAAGGTCTGTAGATTGTTGTCCGTGACAACTGCCTGACCCTGTGATACGATAAGCACAGCAGCCTGCCATCTGGGTACCGGGTCCAACACGCACAATCGAGGCGTCCGGAGCATCAAGATTTGTGGAGGTCCCGGCGCAGGTAAGAGTGTACGCGTCGCCCTCTTTGGTGACAGTCCACTGCGATCCAAATCTCTGTCAATGGCACTTACTATTCTCTGAGGAACGGGACTCACATATTGCGCCAGCGTCCCATCGTTGTGAAGTCCGCACACTTTGTTTCCAGGAGTAGAAGTATCTCCTGGAACGTCCATGAACTGGGTGGGGAAGGCGACATTCTTGATCAAGAATGTCCCGGACGGGGGACCAATAGGGAGATCAGATGTAGACATGAATGATAGTCGAGAGCTTGTCTGCGGAGGTGGCTTTCACAGTTGGTGCTAGCCTGGTCTGTGAAGGCTTTGTGGCCCTCCTTATATAATGTCTGGCCCCGAGCCTTCTAGCCGCTGAAATCGAAGACTGACCACTGCTCGCTCGCGCAAAGGGCGTGAGTCCGTTCAGGATAGTGCATGTAAGTTCATAGAAGCCCGGAAGCATACTTCCAGGTATCAGCGGCAGCGACACATTACCGCTACTTCCCAGAAGCCTCTAGACGTCCAAAAAGCTTGATTGATATAGGTATTTACTGCTCACTTGGAGACCTTTTGCTCTTGCATACCGCTCAAAAAAACAATAAGTTGTGATGCTTATATACGGAGCTTTTCCTCATGAGTAGCCAAGTCAAGTAAGAGATCCGTGAAAGGAGGAGTCATCGGTACGGGAAACTTGTCCGAACCACTGTATGATAAGCCCCGTGCTCGGTATTGGAGAGATCAACCGGAGTGATAGCGTCAATACCACACGGTCCACCTTCGAGTGGTCATCGAATCTGATTTATGAAATGTACTCCTTTGCAACGGAGTCTTCGCGGACTTGGAAGAGCTGGCGCCGCTCTTACACAACCCCGAAGTAGGGCAAGGCTCATCAATGAATCTCCGACAAGCCTCAGCGAAGGTGGACAAGTGCAGCGACGTTTGAAAAGCTCAGCGAAGTCTGGGAGACTCAGCGGTATCAGTGTGTACCTTCCATTTAGGCATGTCATCTTCATCGTGTGAGAGGTCATTAGCGTAAAGGAAGTAATGCAATAATGCAACATTCTAAACAGCCTTGAGCGGTTTGCGAAGTTACTGGATGTTCGACATGGATGCTGTTCGACGTACCAGACAGCCCGCGAGCTTCATAGAGCCCAGCATCCACTCCAGTATTAGCGAGATGGTAATGTGGCGGCGTAATGATTACCCTTGAGTCCTGCGCGACATATTCTTCAAACTGTTCGCAGCGGGAAGTCGCAACGTGCTGCCAGCGCTCTCGCTCTCTGTCCCTGTCCTCAGGCCACGCACGCGGCAGGGCAACTGCTGCTCATTGTGCTCCCCGGGTGGCGGCGAAGGGCCCGAGCCAAGCGACAGTGTCTCTAGCCTGAGTTCCAGCTGAAGAATTGATAGTGAGAAGTTTTTCGCAGGTCATATCACGCCGGCTGTTGCTTCAAGCTTCAATCATTGCGCAACGCCACCACTTCGGCGATGGAGAATGCACTCTAATACCAGAGTGGCTACGTACGATTTTGCCTTACACGTAGTTTATAGAATCCCTTGGTGGCTACTGTCATCGCTAGTGCTTCGGAAGGTCTTGTTTTGATTTGTAAATATAATTTGATCGTCAACACAGCGAACGTTATAATCCCCCAATGAGACAGTCATAAGTACAAGACGTTCGTGATTCTGAAATGCACAGATCGACATACGTTCAAGCGTCCACCACCACTCTGGCTACAGTATGGCCCTCTGCGGATCTCACAGCGCCAGTATCAGCCGGACCGAATGAATGTATGGCCTCAAGCAAGGAACGGGTCCCGTTTTCCAACGAGAGAGGCGTCAAGTCGACATTCGGGTCAGCCTTTTTGAATTTCTCCAATAGTGATCCTATGTCTGTCAACAAGTCCGCCGAAACTACGATTGGGTCCCATGTGACAGTCCAAGGTCAGATCCACCTTACTCTTCCGAATCGATAAGACAATAGTGATGACTTACGTGGACCAACTGCAGTGGCAGATATGTCGACCATGCCAGGAAACAGACTGACGACGGTGAATCCCTCGCTCTCCAGGAGGACCGCATATTTTGTCAACACCATGTGCGTCGCGGCTTTGGACGCGCTGTACGCCGCCATGACATCGATGCGCAGATCCCATGCGATATTACGCTCGCCTGCGATACTACTGATGACCACAATCTTCTTGGTGGTTCCTTGACGGAGCAAAGGGAGGAACGCATTGATGGAATGGGTGACACCCAGAGTGTTCACCTTGAACTGCCAAATTATGGTTTAAGGCTCAGATAGAAGATCACAGAGATACCACGGACGTATTCCAGGAAGTCTTCCTCGAGCTTCTCGTCGTCCTCACTGAATGGGTGGACGCAGCAGTCAGATAAGCTTCTGTAAGAGTGAAAGATGTTGCGGCATACTAGTCTGTCAGCGTTTTGAACATCGTCGTATATTCCATTCGTGCGGCACTATGAATGAGGACATCCAAGGAACCACCGGTGATTTCGGCTGCGCGAGTCGCGGCGGCCTTGCACATAATCAACGCCAGCACAAAAACACTGGTTGCAATAATATTACCTTCAGTGCTACATGATCCACAACGTCTGCCTGCAGGACATGCACATTGTTCCTTTTCGATTCCGTAACGAAGGCCGTGAGGTGCGTGGAGGTTGCAATGTTTCGCACAACGGCAAAGACAACATTGTCAGGGCTGGCAGCCTGATAATCGGGCGTCAGATTTTGGCCATCGGACTTCGATGACACAATTGGACAAACCAGTTGACGGACTAGCTCCAAGGCTATGCCCCGAGAAGCACCGATCACAGCGTAAGAGGGCATTGTAATGACCAAACTGGGTAGACTCTAGAAGTATGTGGGGAAGACGTGTGAGGCAAGAGACGGATAGCGCGTGATTTACTTGGTGGCATCTTACAGTAGTTATACTGCCACAGCCTTTGCTGAGTCTGAATGAGCACGGCTGCTATGCCGCGAAGACGCGCAAGTACTACACCAATTCTTGACGCATGTGTGCTGCTGCTGCGACTCGGAGATCATATTGTAGGACACACGTCTCGGCCTGTGTGCCGCAGACACGCGCACGCAGCGCTTGCGCCATGGTTTGATGAGTGCATTCTCCTGCGGGATTTGATGGTTCTCACTAAAGAGAGGTGGAGATACGGAACGTCTGGGTACGAAGATCCTTCTAAATTAAGCGCTTGTGTGGAGATCAAGGGCGCCGCGGAGTCTGAATCTGCCCGTCGGACAGTCGCGTCCCGCTTACCTTCACTCAGTGACCATGGCTTCATGCATTCAAGCAGTATGCTGTGTTCGAATCTCCACGCCAGCACGTTCACAAATTCATATACAAGAGACGTATGATGTACGCCAGAGAAGGATTCCGCAGCAATTGACAAACATTTTCACGGTGCATGCGGCATCGAACATTCCCTGTATCAAGTAACCACATTACGTTGTAGACACCACTCATCATCGAAGAAATAACGGACTTCGGTGTGGCTGTTCGATCTCTTACGGAACACAGTAAATGCAGTGTGTTGCTGTTCAAGCCACTGCACCGTATCTCCCGGGGGCTATGAGAAGACGAACATGGGCCAACGGTAAGGCATCCGAGATTGAACGTTGAGATGTTTGTTGAAGCTCTTGCTTCTCAGAAAGATAACCGAATGGGCGCCCGTAGAGGACAGCACCGTCTTGCCACCGATGTGGCTGGTTGCGACCTGCATTCAATTCCTAAGAAACGCGCCGTCTGACATAGAATGAATCATGCACCTTTCTCCGGCAGCGAAGGCAAGTCATACGACCACTTCATGTGGTCTGATATGATTGTGCGTGCGCCCATCTTGCTACCTTTCACCTGAGTTTGTTGTAACGTGCCTCCATTTTGCCTGCCGTCCCGCTTAAGACTTGTTCCTGCTTGTAGCATTCATCTATGCCCCCGTGTTGACAGAAGAAGCCTGGTATCTCATACTGGCAGGTATCAGTCATGGAGCTTTAGAATGCGCTGCAGGGTGAAGAGGAATCAAGCAGAGCTGCCATACGGGACTTCATACACCGCTACGCGCAGACTGTAAAGGCGTCGGCGGAGATTACAAGGGATGTACACAAGTTGTACATCCCTTGTTATTACCGCCACTACGTAGCGTATTCAACATACTCGTCCGCGCCATGCCAGACGCGAGCATCAATTATCTATGCGACCCAGTGCGCATTCGCGGTCGACGCGAGCGCAACGTTCTCCGAAAACCTCTCTCCGATACACCATGCGGAATGAGCTCTCCGAGTCATGCATCCCTCAGTGCTTAATTTCTACCTGCGACACGCTCATGTGGAGCATACGACACCAAGGTCGCGATTATCTCTCAGACGTACGACACTGCGGATGTTCGTTCGCGAGATTTCTAAGAGGCCTTTGCTTGCCTACTGAATGTTCCTGAAGTTAGATGACTGCTGGGACGCAGTAGAATAACGAGAAACATGTGGATAAACCCTGACTTCGGTGCGTTCCCCCACATGAGGGTCTGAACATTGTGAGGAACGTATCCTTATTGAATGAGGCACTAGAGCGCTTGTAAAAGCCAAGACGGTATTGTAAATTCCAATGCAAACGTACATTCGCCAAGGATCAGTATCAGAGCGCTCGAAATGATCCAAGTAGAAGCTTGCTCATGTGGCCATCTGACGCTGCGAACGCTAAGTCGCTTTGCCCTTACCTTTGGAAGGCTGCCCGTAGAAGTACCTCTTGCGGCCCAGACCTAAGAACCAGGCAAGCCTTTATAAAATAGCAATCAGATTTCTCGTTATCATCACATATGAATCTCGCTCTCACCTTCCTCCTAACAGTACAATCACAAAGGTGATGTTCCCGTGGGTCATCGAATTCCATGCGAGAGGGTTGTAACGCAGATCGGCTGGCAACCCGATCCACGACCATATCATGCTGTTCATTCAATTTCTTTCAATTAGCCATGCCTCCACGTTGATAACTTCGATGGACGAACTGAGTAACCTACAGCCGTGTTTCTGTCAGCATGTCTTCATTCAATGGTTGACAGAACACGTACATCGGCAATTGCCAACGCTGTGAAACTGGCGCCGATAATACGCTCTTGCGCAGCAGGATTGTTGGGCAGCGCGTCTCGCGCCGCGCGGAACACAAACGTCGAGATCAGTCCGAGCAGGAAGTAGCCTGAAAGCCAGCGTCAGCCCAGCGACAAGCCATGGTCCATAGTCTACATACAGTTACCGAGCTGATAGATAGCCATATTGGTGCGCGAGTCCATGAACCCAGCGGGAGGCACGGGCGTAGCATCGGGGATAAGTTCGTGGTGGAACCAGGTAGCACCAGGGAAAAGCCATATCATGATCGCAGGCAAGATGGTCGAAACTTGAGTCAACAAACGACTTTAACGAGATCCAAACGCAGGGACATTGATGGAACGTACTCGGTTCGATGTGGAGATACATGAGCTGGTACAGCCCCGGCAATGCAGGAAAGTCGCTCATCGTGTAGGTTGCTGTTTAGAATGCAAGAATGTAGTTTTGCCAGCGGTCGCAACAGACTCGTCGCCGTGAGAGCGGGAGTTATAGGAGATCATATCCCAGCTGTTCCCAGCCATCAGGGCTGTGCATGCGCTGTGATCAACCTTTGGGCGCCGCTGTGTCGAATTGGTCGAAGACAAGCGCGTGCTCCTTGTCGCTGCTCGATGTCGTGCTTCAACCTCTCACTTCGCCCGTACAGCCCGGGCGCAGATAGTCCAGGCTCCTCGGTCTTTGACCTACCAACACAACAAGACAGACCTGTAGAGCGACCAACCCCAGATCTTCAGACTACCGACCCCGGCCAGATTTCAAAGAATATCGAGCGAGAGGACGGTGGTCCTTCATTCCTGGTGATATCTGGCGGCACGGGCTGCAACTCGATATGCCCTGCCTTCGGGAACGCGTGTTATGTGCTGCCAGTGTCGGACGACGGAGGGTCGTCGAGCGAGATCATCCGTGTCCTGGGCGGACCGTCCATCGGTGAGACTATATGGCGGCGATGCAGCTGCGTCGGAATTGACTCCTGCGAACTCGCTTAGGCGATATACGGTCGCGTCTCGTACGGCTGATCCCACCAGCAGCGCCGTCGGCCCCCCTTGACTGCATTCGCAACCTCCTGGCATATCGGCTATCGGCAGACAGATCGGAACGCGAGGCTCGCGACGAATGGCGAGACATAGTGGAAGGTCGCAGCTCGCTCTGGTCTGGAATTCCAAATGACAGGAAGGAAATGATTCGAGGTTTGTCGTTTCCTATACCAGAAATACGAATCTTTCGAGACCTGCATCCAGGTTTTCTCGTACATTTTGAGAGCGAAGTTCTCAAGAGAGCACATAAGAATTTCTCGTTTGTCAACGGCAGGTGAGTGTGCTCTCATTAATTGAGGCGTGGGCTCTTCAATATGTCTAAGAGGTATAGCTATTCGGAAGCGTATAGCTTGTTGTCTGCATGCTTGCGAGCTGAGGGGACGTCTATGACGTCATTCTTCACGTTCAACATACTCTGGGCTAGTAATTTCAAGCCAGGGTGTTAAACACTGTGTATGAATCTAGGGTTGAATCCGGATTCGGCCCAGCTTTTATGATTTCTAGCGAGGCCCGACTTGGGCTTAAGCCTGGCCCTGCTAGCAACTTCGTGTTAATTGGCATTCATGGGTACACACTCAACATACTTACTGTCTCTACCCAGCATCGGCAACTATTTCCTCTCTGCGGCCCAAGCATTCTTCAGATCTTTGCCATCTGCCATCTTCCTCTTTTCGTCCATAACGAATAGCCAGGTCCGTACAACTCACGCCGGAATATTGCGATTGAAAACGAAAGGTGCCATGTGTCGCAGGCAAACATCCTCCCGGTGATAGTGACAAACCATACTGTCACGATCGCCGCCGAACTAGTCAGAGCCCCGTCTCTTGCGGTGCACGCATGATTGACATGACACGTGCGTTCTGGTTCCGTTTACAAGGAGAACGGCTGCCGCCTGGTCGGGCAATGCGAGATATCTCATCCAGTCAAGCAGCCACTGGGCATCAACATCATTGCACCTGAAGCAGAGCACGAGGACAATGCGGATACGGACGCTCTCGACGGGGTGATATCACCACAGCGGAACGTATTGTTCCAGTCTGAGGCTAAAGGAGAGTACGAACCTCTGGATGCGAGCATTGTCAGTGAGTCTTGGGCCATTCACGCGCGTTTCTGCGGTATACTGACCGGAGTCAAAGGGCTCTATTATATCAATGCATACGGCAGCGAAATCCATCCGTCCCCCAACCCGGACTACATAGCCAATTTGTCGTTGAATGATGTGCTCGTTTATTCGTGCGGGTCACTTTGGACGAGGTGAGTCACGCGTGCATTCAATCACAATTTCTAGTGACATTTGTCGGCCACCAGCATTATTCCGTGCCTTGCACTTAAAGGCGTTGCTAATGCCATTGCTCGATCACGGTCACTCAAAGCCAAAGTTCTCTTGTGTACGTGAGCTCATTTTGACCTCAACACATCGTCTCACCGGCATGCAGTGAATTCTCGCAACGATCGCGAGACCGACGGTTACACAGCGGTCGATTACATCACGTAGGCGCGACTCGCGTTCTCCCGTGTCTTCTGGCTAAAATGACGTTTATAGAACGATCGTCCGAACCCTAAACACTCCTTATCACTCCCAGACATACGGAGGCCTCGGCAGGGTTGAAACCACGTACCCGGTGTCTGCCTTCGTGACGCACCTCGTATACCTAAAAGGGACTTTGGTAGAAGTTGACGTTGCGCGGATCACGGCAAGTGTATATGCGCTGGCCGGCCGCTCCTGCATGCTGAATTTCGTTTAGGCCCTCGGCGTGAGATGTGTGCAAGTCGAGGGCAGCCTGGATAAGACCAATCAGCCTCAGTTTGACGCAGCCTGTGTACGGCAGGCAGTCGAAGGGATCATGGAGATGGACACACGACAGTGTTAAGCACTGGAACTCCCCTCTATCTCCGGAGCATGGTGTTATCCCGTGCTTGCTTTACTCATATCTTTGGGTGGGTGTCCGAGGGTTGTCGCGACTCTTGGTATGCTTATTGCCTGCAACGATGTGTATACGGGAGGATGTCATATGTCAATAAAGGACCTAGAACGTAATGCTGATGGGCAGCTGACCTGAGCTGTACCTGGTAACGCGGTGTAGACACTCGCTTATCTTCTAACCTTGTTTGTGCTGTATACATACTCGACTGCGAACAGTGTAACTCTGTCATGTCCTTTGGCGTCCGATGAATGGCGTAGCAGCATTCACCACGGGAACGGCGGTGTCGCCCCCACCGCCTTCCGATAGGCTGCATGGGGTCGAGGCGGAACAGGACCTAGGTGGGCCAAATAAGATGTCTGTCCACGATCCATTCTTATCTCCCACCGACAAACTTCCCATCTCCCACCCACGTTCAGGAAACGAGCTGCACCATGCACGAGATGAGCGGTTAGTGACCTCGCATTCGGACAGAGGCGTGCAGGCAACCAACGGCCAGCGCAGACACAAAAGTTCTCCTGCTCGCGTTGAGACCGAGACAGCAGTCGACGCGAACGACCACGCAGCAGCAGCCAAGATGCGCCCGAGGAATATGACCATCGAGCTCCCAGAGGACGCCATCGAGATCCTCTACGACCGCAAGCTCTCCATCGAGGACCACTCCCCCAAACCTTGCATAGTACCGGGCAACGCACTGCACCTCATCGACGACGACCCATCGCCCCGCTCGCAGACACCGTCTTCGGTGATCATCGTGTCTCACGAGGAGGGCACAGCACACGACCAGCCCAACACGGACGAGCGCAGCTCCTCGGAGCCGCCAGCGCGTCCCGGCCCCAGAGTGCGCTTTCGCTCACGAGTGCGTATTACGTCCGGCGTGCATCGCCATCGACACAGCGCGAGTACTCCTGGCGTGCCCAATGGCATTGTGCGGACACCGTTGGGTACGCCCTCGTCTGGTTCGTCGTCACCGTCGTCCTCCATTTCTGCGCCGCTCCGATACCATGCGGACGAGAACGCCGCGTGGGGGCCGCTCGGACGCCGTATCAACGCGTACGCGAACGGTGCACCACGGCAGAAGAGAGCGGTGTCCTCGCCGGCTGTCATTGGAGCGGGGGAGAACAGGGTCCGACAACTACCTAATGAGCGGACACCGCTGGTCCGATCTGCGAGACGACCTGGATACGTGAACACAGACGAGCTTGACGAGGCGAGGGAAGACGAGGAAGAGTACGAGGAGGAGCTGCGCGCTGCGGCGCTGAGGAGGGAGGAAGACGCAATGTTTGGCCCATGGCCTCGGAGATTGCTGAATCGACATGTGCGTAGCCTTCTCTCCCTGATATTCCGTAAGTTTGAACGGTCACTTGTCTAGTGGTGGTGGTGGCACCTGGAACCAATTGTGTGCTGTACATATTGCTCCGAGGACTCCGACTACGAGGAATGACTTATACCTCTCGCGCTCTCATTATATCCAGCTTTCTTCGCACTACTATCCGCTCTGCTCAATCGCCTCTGTAGTCTAGCATTCTGCCATGTATTGTGTACCTACGATACTATGTATACACTTGGTAGTTGTACTCGCTGCACTGTACAGGTTGTTGAAAACCGCCGTGTAGCTCTATGTTTGCCCCTCTACTCATAGGCTCACTGTTTGCCGTTAACCTGCCCTGACGCAGGCTTGACCATGGTTGGCGGGAGGGTGGTGATAGCGGGGAGAAGCGATGCCGTGGCCTTGCGCGCATTTTGGATGAGCAGCTGATCCATGACGACGAGACTGGCCATGGCCTCGACAATCGGTACTGCGCGGGGAACGACACACGGATCGTGACGGCCCCGAGCGGCGAGCGTACCCGGGGTGCCATCGTATTGAGCGGTCTCCTGCGCCTGTGAAATTGTCGCAGGCGACTTAAACCCGACTCTATAGATATATGTCAGAAGTTCGCTTCCATACTCCTGGTTGCACACAAGATCGAACCCACCTGAAGTAAATATCCTCCGCATTGGTGATACCGCCCTGTACCCCGCCACTCCAGTTCGTCTTCGTGCCCATGGAGCCGTCGGGCTTGACGAAGAACGCGTCATTGTGCCTGCTCCCGGGAGCCTCTGTCCCGCGGAAGCCCGAGCCGATCTCGAACGCCTTCGTTGCGGGAATAGAGAGCATCGCGTGCGCGAGCTTCGCCTCGAACTTGTCGAAGACCGGCTCACCAAGGCCCGCGGGCACCCCGCGGATGACGCAGGTGACAGTGCCACCGATAGAGTCAGACGCTTCCTTCGCGCGGATGATGCGCTAAGTAGGGTGTATCAATGAGCTCTGCATACTGCTGAAGAGGAGTACCTTAGGCAAGTACCTTCGTCATCCGCTCAGCGGTCTCTGTGTGCGGGCATCGTGTTGGATGGCTATCCACCTGCTCGCGGGTGACCGTCTGAAGTAGTTGCACGAACTCGGAGCTGAGAATGTCCTCAACAGAATCGTCGTCTTCAGAGGAAGCCTGAGAGCCAACCGAGGACGGTAGGTGTACTTTTCCCACAGACGAAACAAAAGCGACGATCTCAATGCCGTGAACGAGCTTGAGGTATCGCTCTGCAATGGCTCCCGCAGCGACTCTGCCTATGGGTCCCATGGGTCAGTCATATACAATCGCACAGCATCGACGATGCTACCACTCACCGATCGTCTCGCGGGCACTGCTTCGCCCGCCGCCACTGCTCGCCTTGACGCCATACTTCTCAAGGTAGGTCCAGTCGGCATGACTGGGTCTGGGATACAAGTCGGTCTGGTGCAGCAGTTAGATTGAGAGTCTTGAGGATCTGAACAGCAGATGCAAGCTGACCTCAGAGTAGTCGTGCGGTCTCTGGTCCTCGTTGCGGACTAGAAGGCCTATAGGCGTACCGAGCGTAATCCCGTGCTCAATGCCGGACTGTAGCTGGACGAGATCCTTTTCGTCTCGCTGTGAACGAACACTTATTCGTAAGCGTCTGAGCACCTGCGACGAAACTGGACGTACCGGAGTGGTCAAGTTGCTCTGGCCTGGTCTCCGTCGGCTGAGCTGGGTTTGCACATCCTGTGGCTCAAGCGGAAGGCCCTTCATCGACGTCAGCGTACTATCAACATATAAGTGAAGTGTCTTCAACGTACAGGAGGGCAGCCATCGACAATTGCACCAACAGAAGCGCAGTGAGACTCCCCGTAGGTAGTCACTCGGAAGAGGGTGCCAAAAGTAGACATTGTGGGGGTTGATACGCGGATGGTCCTATACAGCCCGAGTTTTATTCGTGAGGACCTGAGGTGAGAGCAGACCGGAGTCGATACAGGCGCACGTACTCGGTGCCTTCGCGAAGACGATCCCGGAGATACAACGATGACTTTCAGCGCCAGGAGGCGTCAGTAATGTTGGTTATGTGGGACCTGAGACGGTCCGTCCGATAGCTCGGAAGTCTGGAAGACAAAGTCTGTGAGTACTCACACAGCACCCACACAGGAGGTGGGCGCGCCTGTGAATGCGCCGAAGCAGGTCGGGACGCGTACAAGGCGGTGTCGATCCGTGTCCTTCTTTTTTTTTCAGAGCCTACTCGGACGATAGACAGACCCTCGAACGAACGGAGGGCAGGCAGCACGGTAAGTAGTGAATATGATCCATTGCAACCTCATCAATTTCGTCGAGACAGAAAGTGACTCGGCTAACTCAACATAGATTAGATTAGATGCTCATGTCTATAGAGGTACGTATTATCTACCGTTGATTTCAAGCTTGTCCTTGTCATTCACCACCTATGGCAGAATCCCATACATCAGAGTCTCTAGAAGACACCGCACTCTCGAGGCCATCTACTCCTGAATCTGTTTGGAGGTTGAAGTCACTTCTGCAACAATTATTACGAGTAACGATCCTCGATGGTCGGATCTTCCTAGGCACATTTGTCGGGACAGACCAACAGCTGAATATTTTACTGGTGAACTCCGAGGAATATCGCATTGGGCCAGAGTCGGTTGATGGAGACCCGAATGGACGCTTCGTCGGGCAGCTGATGGTGCCCTGGAGGCTGATCAAGACAGTCGAGGCGTCGACGAACGCTGGGGGAGCTTTGCGTAGAGTTGTTGACGGATACGACGACGACAGTATGTACGCGTGAAGGGGAAAGACGCAAGAGGTAAGCTCCGTATCCCTAAATTGTCTACATTCTGTAGTGACATCTGTTTACCACCAGCACAATTGTGAAAATCAAGGCTTTCGCAGTGGGCACGTCCCGCTACTGCGACTTAAACCCATCCGATTGCACAGATGACCATAAATCATCAGCTGCATGTTAAGATGGGGCGACCAATACACATACCCAGCCGCTGATCGAGACGTCTGTACAATCTATGACATCGAGAAATGGTTTCTTGCGCCCGATACAATCATACTCGGCGCACAGCTTACAAATCTGTATGGAAGTGAAGCTGGATGGTGAGTTCGTAGAGTGAATACTATCTTCTATCAGGTCTGAACGTTGAACATGTATGTATCGATGAAGGTTTGCGAAGAGAATGCCGATGTGCTTCGCGACACTTGTAGCTCAAGTTTGACTGTGGGGTATGACTCGTCGACCCTTGTACGCATGTTGAGTCGGATTCCCGTCGCATCTTATTCGCAAGCGAGTTTCTCTTGCTTGCTTCTACGGACACGTTCCTTGACGATGGGAGTGTACTTTGCATTCGAAAAGTGAATTCTGCACTCGTACCAAAACTGTGGACTTAGTGGCCCGATATGAGATGGCTGTTTCAGCATAGGTGATGTTATTGTCTGGCTTGCCATTAGTGTTCCGCGATGAACCTGAGAATAGTGATTGACATCCATCAAAGCACGACGGTGGGATCTTGATGGTCGATCATCAGTGTTGAGTGGCATCTCGCCGCGGTGAAATGTTTGAGAGAACTGCTGCATAGCCTCCGTTTCCGCCGACCTATAATGCATGCGCTCTGATCTTCAGCACACTGTTCAATTTCCGGCGATCTCTGCTCGATGTCTTTCGTTACAACGAAGTCGAGCGTTGCTATCCATTACCCTCATGCCTCGAAGCCTGGATTGAAGCTTGTTTCGAAACGGTACAGCTTAGCCCACAAGCGCTCCAGCGCTGGACTCACGCTCATATTTGCCCACTGTACAGGCGCTCGTACGTATAGTGCATCCGTGATTCATCACCGTTGATGCTGAGGCTGCTCTACAATCCGTGATCAGACAAAGAACTATGGGAGCCTGTCATCGAGAATTTACTTCAGCGAGAAGATAATACGTCTCTCGCGGTCCGTGAGGCCTGGTCAATCGACTGGCAGAGTCACGGAGAGGCCGCCGAGTTAAATGAACACGTCCTCGGGACCGACGCGGATGGCCTATGTACGTCTACCAAATTTCTACTAGGCACTCTGGATAGCAATGGTTGTAACATTCTTTCTTTCAAGCTGTGCAGGAATGGGCAACAGGAATACAAGGGCTAATCAATTCCAAGCTGCTTGCCGGGCATCGGCTCGTCTGCATTGGCCATTCTGCAGGAGCAACCGCGATGTGGGTGAAACAGCCATAAGAATTCCCTGAAGGCGTGCTTACCAATAAATCGTACTACCAGGTTACTTGCCGTCGCCGCTCTACCCCAAGCTGATACTCGTATCAAAGGCATCGTTCTACTTGAACCGTCTCTCATTACGCGCGATGAATTCCACAAGCACCTCCGCGAGCGCACGGCCGCGCTCGATTTCATGCAGAAGGCGGTCGCTGGACGGCGAGCGGAGTGGAATACCAGAGAGGATGCGATGCAGTATTTCAAGAAGCGCATGCCATGGAAGATCTGGGACCCTCGCGTTCTCAATCTCTTTGTCGTCAGTGAAGAATACTATTGCCCTGAACGCTCACTAATATAACAGAGCAGACCTATGGCCTCAGAGATGTGCCCGCCAAGGATCAAGAATGCACCAGGAAAGTCACATTGAGATGCACCAATCTTCAAGAGCAAAAGGCCTTTCTAGAGACAGAACCTCATTTCCGAGCTGTCGAAATTCTGACCACGTTGACGATCCCAGTCCACTGCATCTTGGGCGACCGCGAAGATATAGTGTACGGTTTACGGCGAGCTACATCAGATTGGACGTAGTAACAGTCGTCTCCCGCAGGCCCAAGTACTCACACGACTCCATTTTGAACGTCCACAATATGGCTTCTGTGCAACGCGTACCCCAAGCTGGGCACTTCGTACGTCACTTTCCTGTCCCATACATGTAGAATGGCCGTTTACGAGGGCGGCCAGGCATTGCAAGAAAATCCTGATGGTGTAGCGACTTGTATCGGCAACGTCCTCAATGCACTCGACGCGCCACAGTCGAGACTATAGATGTATGGACTTGGCATATAGACGACGTCTCTCTACGTCATCTTGGTAGCCCCGTAGGAGTACTGCACTGAATATCGCGCACACAAGTCTGCATAAGGATATACGCTGCGCTATTCTACTCTACAGGTCCTTCTATATTACTCAGATATACATGGTCGCTCGTGGATTGAAACCCGACGATTGAGTTCGCAATTAGACTGTTAACTGTCTGGCCTTCTCATCACCTTAGCTCATTAGCCGAAAAGGCGATTCCATAGTTCCATTCCGGCTCGTTTGCGTTCGTCCGCAGCACCACCATTCCCGAGCACGGACTTGTTCTCGATGGCACGTCTGCTGAGGTAGGGCATAACCTAGAGATTAATCGTTGAGCCACAAGACACGGCAGTGAACCGAGATCAGGCTCACCTCTGCAAGGCGCCCATACGGAATGTACTTGATAACGAACGGTGATGTGCATCGAGTCCGATCCACAAGGGAGTTGGTCAGAGCATCACTCATTCCTGTTGCAGGTGTTCGTATAGAACAGCAGTTGAGGATCTGGGACGACGTCGCTCACGGATGGACACGTACCGTACAGTTGCCCGATCGCAACGCGTTCCGTAACATCTTCAGGCATCCACAGCGCACCATCCTCATCGGCACGTGCCATCCCGAGCATGCGCAGCTGCTCCAGGATCATGTCGCAGCTCTCCCAGTTGTGCGTCCCGAATAGCACACCCACGCTAGGCGTCGCGCCGGTGCGCGACCGGCCAATGTCCGCACGAATCTGCGCGAGCACCAACGCCGCGCAGGTGTTGTAGCACGCATCTGTCTCAGGCTTCGTCGCCCAAACTGGCGGTGCGGGATCAGGGGAGATTGACAGCGCGTTCGGAGCCCCGCGCACGGCGTGCGAATCGAGCTCATGCGGGTGGTACGCGCCCCGTACGAGCTTCACGCCGAGCGAATAACCGTCTGCACGTGCCGCCTCGAGGCTCTGGCGAAGGTATTCTGGTGTGCTGTAGAAGTGGTCAGACGTGGGGGTACAAAGACACAGTGGTTGTGTTGCAGGCTGACCGACGGAGGTATGCTTGGTAAGTCTGGTATACGAGGGGCTGAACCGTGGAAGTGTCTGAACTAGAAGACGAGCGGAACCACGATGATGAACGAGACTGGAGTTTGTTGAACTCGTGCTGCAGCGACAGGGCAAACGCGTCGATTGCAGGCTGATTGGGGCGTGAGACATGATGTATCCGAGGTGCACAAGAGTATGATCCATACCTGGTACCAACTTACAGTGCGTGTCAGTTATGTGAGTGCATTAGGGTATCAGAGAAGACGGCGACCGACCTATGCTCCGCATCGATGATAATTCTGACACCGCGTTCTTTCGCTCTTTGACAAATAGCGCGAAGATCGTCCCTCAGCTCGCGAAGATCCGCAACATCCGTCTCTGTCAGCGGGCTACCGGATGCCGGGTATGCAGACAGAACACCGAAATCCGAAACCAGGGGTCGACCGGGAAAGGGGACGGGCGGAGACACGGACGGACGTGTCGAGAGAAGAAATTTCGAGAAATTGGTGAGAGTCTGTGCGTGAGGCAGCATGGCGGTCTGTGGTAAAGCTCAGAAACTTGACCTATGACAGACAAGCAGGCAGACAACACACCAGCTTGATCGCTACCCACGTCTTGCGCCCGCGCAGGTCGCGCCCGCCACCAAGCGAGTGCTTGTCCTCAAAGTCGGCTGCCACGTCAATGCAGTGCAGGGTTTCTGCAACGATCTGCTTATGCACAGATTGCTTCACTGATCCCTTTGCCTTGCCCGCGGCCTCCCCCTCGTCGACTTCGACACTGTACGCGAACAGACAACCTTTGTTCTCAGCGCGCAACTGCTCGAGAAGCGGCACCGCATCCTCAGCAGTGTCACCGCCAACAAACTAGACGCTATTGGTATCAACCGGGTCGGAAACCAATGACGATGACATACCTGATCAAAGAAAGTGACGCGCACGATGGCCTCTGTGATCTGCTTCAGACCTGGGATTGCAGAGACTGTAGACAGAATTGCAGGCGACCAGTCGACCAAGGCTGGAATTGAACACAGTGAATATACCACATATGACCTCAAGAGCGCAGACAGGGGTGTCGATGGTCTTTCCGACTGCGTCTTGTATTCGAGGTGTTCTGCATCGGCATGGATGGTGCTCAGAGCATTCACGAGTAGAACAGAAGTCGTCAGTGCAGCCCCAGTCGTCAGTCCGATGCGGGCCAGACCCCAGGTCTTCCGAGCTGAAGCAGAACGAGATGACACAATAGTTCGTACCGGGTAGGATACAATGGGTTTGGCGTGTCGCCCGCAGACAAATCTGAGGAACATGGTGGGCGGTACCCAAGTCACCTCAATGCTATCCACTGAGACTTATCTACCCCCTGTGGTCGTATCGATTGCATGGAAGGTGGCAGGATGTTCGCCTCGACGGCGCGCGGACAGGAACGCGGCCGGAATCAGCGGAAGAGCCGGCCGCCTGCCTTTTAGGTACATCAATGTGACAGGAGTAGCCTGACCGTGACTGAGCGCGTCCGACGCGTGTATACGCGCTCAGTCGCGGTGAGGTGCGCCTCTTCTTTGCAGCAATGCCGGCCCCGCATATAATCGCAGTAACGGCGATTGTGTAGCGAGGGACGGAAAAATACCATCGACTCACAGCCAGCGGCCCGTTATCCATTCACTGAAACCCTCTGTAGAATTTTGGCACTGACAACCTTGCATCCCTTGGGGCCTTGGGAGAAACCCTGTGTGGCTGAGTGCAGAAGCATCCACGACGTATCCTGGCAGTGACTCTCTAACTGGAAGATCGCCCGCGCGCTATCATGGGTTGCTTGCATATATTGACCGAATTGCGAAACAGCTTTCGAATTATAGCAGCCCAATGACAAAGAATTTAACATGGCGATTTGTGAGAGTCTGAGTGAGTGGGAGGAGGTAAGAGCGGGGTGGTCCATCTGGAGAGAAGTTTATGTGTGCAGCAGGAATGAGAACTTACTCAGCAGCAGAAATGGCTTACGTAATAATATGCCTTTCTTGAGAACACCTTCAAGGCCGCTTGTAGTCGCCCTGCACTATGGCAAAACGCAAAACACAAGTTGATGATGCAGGCTCTGACAACGATGACGCCAGCGAGCGCGTATGTTCCCCCTCACATAGGCGTACGGCGCAGCTCACCTACTGGACTCAGTAGAGTCTCATCGACGTCGATTTTGACTTTTTCGACCCACACCCGGACGTAGACTATCTCGCCCTCAAAAGGCTCGCCGCTCAGCTCTTCCAGGTGGATGCGGAACTCCTGCACACTCATGATCTTGCAGACTTGATCTTGTCCCAACCGCTGGTGGGTACCACCGTGAAGTGCGATGGGCGGGAGAGCGACCCATATGCTGTCCTGACGGCATTGAACATGCATGTCCACCAAGTACGTTAATTTACAACTGGGCTGCATACATTTGATCCGAAGCTCTCGCCAGAATCACCCTTCTATTAAAGCCCTGACAGAGTACGTCCTCGCCAAGTCGTCTCGCGATGCATCCTTCCACTCCACGCTTCAAAATCTCCTTGGTCCGGCGGGCCTTGCCTCACAAAATCACGTTGGGTATGTCTTCTCCGAGCGGCTCATCAACATGCCCGTGCAAGTCGTCCCCCATATGTACCGCATGCTAGCAGATGAGATACAGTGGGCCCTCGATGACGTGAGCAACGTTGCTCTCGTAAATGCATGCACACCAGGTTTACATTTCTGCGCACAGAACGAACCATACAACTTCACACACTTCCTTATCATTTCACGGATATACCGGCTTTCCGCAGAGGAAGAGGCGGAGCTGCAGGGTCCCGCACCGCGGACAAAACGGCTGAAGCAAGCAGCGGCCCAGGCGTCTCAAAGTTCTGCAGGCGGTGTTTACCCCTTCCACCCCGAGGATGAAGTAATCCAAAAGGTGTGTTATGCTATCTCTATTTTGCTGATGCTCTGGGACAAACCACGCTATTGCGCAGATTGCATTGAACTCGCTGGACTTCGAGTTTACGCGGGCGCAACCACGAGAGGAGGGCTCGTTCGGTCTGGATATGGGTGGGCGCATGATGCTTGTGTCCGCTGCACGCCTCCGTGAGCTAGTGGCCAAGTTGAACGAGGCGTATTCACCTTCATCATGACATACAAACCCTAAGCGACAGCTGTACCTGCCTTCGATAGGTTTATCCGCTCATACTTGTCTACATGAGTACCGCACTTTGTCGACAGGTCTCAGATTTCACGGGTACAAACTGAACGGCGTGATAGTTTGTTGCCGCCTTGATTGATATATACAAATGGTTTTCGGAGGCTTGGTCATATTGGCTGCCATACACCTGTAAATATCCCAGTCAAGGCGAGGAAGACAAAAATGCCAGGACATGTTTACGGAAAGGATGCCTGGTGGCCCTAGCGCTTCGTGCCTGAGATAAAAATGTTTGATCGATCTAGATTTGCCCCGTGCCTTCGACGAGCTTGCCACATGAGCATTAATAACTTTGAGTTCTACTGCTAAGCTATTGGATCTCTAGAGTCACGAAAGTATAAAAATGACGCTACACCTTGAAGCTGAGGCACTGTATGCTCGAGCACAAAGGGATGCTCCCCAAGCGAGGTTTGTCCTTGTTTTGCGGCATTCGTTCTGCATCGAACTGAACAATTCGCACATGACTACTAGTCATGCCATGGCAAGTACCCTGACAAATCGATCTCTGGGCATGTCTGACCGCTCACATAGCTTCGTGCCGTCGAAAATATCCTTCTATCCACTCTTATAGCCATCCGCGATGCCATAAACCTATCCCGTCCGGTAAACCGTCTACCAGCGGAAGTGCTACTCCAGATATTCGACAACGTAACCGTACCTTCTTCCTCACGCAACGACACTACCCACCAAAGCCTCGTATGGCCAGCACTATTTGACTTCAGGGAGCCGAAGCGTGTAGTGCCCCTCACCCACGTCTGTCGTCGCTGGCGTCAAATCGCTCTTGCAAGTCCCATGTTATGGACAACCGTCGATGAGCGGTCCAATATAGACATCGCGGCTACTCATCTGGCGCGCTCTGAGAGCGCACCCCTTAAAGTCTTAGTCCGCTCCTTCACGAAGCCTGTCGCCAGAACCATCTACTCCACGTCTGCATCCCGCATTCGGAGGTTGTATCACCGGTCGAATTACGGCACGATTGTCCATTCTTTCCTAGGGTTTCCCGCGAATGAGCTAGAAGCGATCGCGCTGGAAGTCAGAACCAGCATGGGAACGCTCTCGAGCTATGTGGCCGAACCACTCCTCTTCGAAGGAAAGGCACCACGGCTCAAAGTGCTCGTACTTCACAAGATCCCATGGCTCCCTGCGAACCGCTTAGAGAACCTGACGCACCTCTCTATCAATGAAAACACCTTCAGCTTGAATGGGTGGCTCAAGTTTCTATCGGGCGCTCCTAAACTGCAAGAAATAATTCTGCGGTCGCTGAGAGTCACCCAAAAAGAGGAACCCGACGACAGTAATCGAGTGGCTCTGAATAACCTGCGTCGTCTCGCAATAGGAAACATGGATGGATCTGCCGCTTCTTGCCTCATTTCCCATCTCATCTTACCACCCAGCCTGGCACTGTATCTGTTCAGCATCGACACAGAGCTCAGGACAGACATAGCGTTCATGCGCACGCTACCTCGCCTTCCCTTCATGGACGACATCTCCCAGCTGAGCCTGACCGTCAAAACCGGGCCGGGAATGGTCATGTTCACCGTGATTGTTGCAGGCGCATCGTCTGCGCTTCGTATCGACTGGAGTAGACGACTGTACTCGGATGCCGTCTACCAGCTCCGCGCAGAGTGGGTGCGAACGCTTCTCAGCATCCTGGATATGTCAAAGGTCCAGGAGTTCTGGATTGACGGGCCGCATAGCATCGCAGATAGCATTGAAACCCTCCTGGTCGCCATGCCTTCACTCAAAACGATTGTCTTACGCTCTTATGACGTCCTGTCGCGTGTATACCAGGTCCTGATGCCGCCGCGGCCTCACTGCCCCAACCTCGCAACGCTACAGCTTCTGTCACCCCAGACATTGTCCATTGATGATTTGGGCGTGTTTGCACGTAACTTAATGCGCCCTTTAGATCTCCTTGTCATCAACGAGGCAGCACTGCGCTTGACGGGGCAGCATGCTAGGGATGAGACGTTGCAGAATTTTCCGGCCACACGTGTTGAAGTATGCGATCAGAGAAGCGCGACAAAGTGCATGGTGCTACCTGCGGTCTGGACCAACGGTACACCTGCGCATGGTTTTTGGGAGGAGGATCCTCGTATTGTTCACGGATTCACGTCAGCGCCTCTATATCTTCCACATTAGCATACCTAGCGACATTGTACTATTCGATGAGCTTTGGAAAACGTACCAGCAGCGTAACGCACTTGCATCGACCTGCATCTACCCATTCGTCGACCTATTTATTCACATCGTCGTATTTTCGTCATAGAATGGAGTTGGTATCACATGCTCGATGTGTCGCGACGCGTCTCAGGAGCCTGGACGACGCTCTAGCTTGTGCATGAACGCGAGACCCTCGCGAGACGCGTCTGAATGGTTGCACGTGACCTGTGGCGGGACTCAGGCTTGGGCGGGACAAGGCTCGATTGTCTCGACAATTCCTTCCCCCATTGGAGTTTGCTATCTTTCTCTTCTCTCTTCCTACGCAAATCACCCAACATGACGAAGACATACATCATGAACGGTCTCGTTGAGAAGGTGCGCAAGCCCGCGTTGTGTTGTAGGAGGCAAGGCTAAAGATGGCACAGATGCAATCGTCCGACCAGGACTTTCGGTCGGTGCAGCAACGGATTAACTGATCCGGGACGCGTTTTAACATCCGCTTTGCAGGTATATGGGCTTGAACGATCTCTTGGTTGCTGTGAAGGAGGATCCTAATAGTCTCTTGGGTGATGAAGCGGTGGAGAACAAAGTGCTCCGCCAGGTGCTCCAGCTCGTGCAAGACAAGATCTCAGAAGTCAAGAATCAGGCTGTCAAATGGTAAGGGCGTTAGGCTTTTCCTAGTCTGCGCGCTCTCACTCCGTGTTTAGTCTAGGGCAACTCATCAAAATCATACGCGAGAACCAGATGGAGTATGTTGTGGATCGCTTGATTGACTTCTCGTCAGGCAAGGACGAAGAGCTGCGGGATATCTCAGGACTAGGTAAGCCGTAGCAATTTTGCTTAGCTCGAGCTAACGCTAACGCGCGCTCGTAAGCCTTGAAGACGATCACGGCTGAGCTACCGCCCGGGGGCAAGATTGCCGCGAAAGCCTGCGAAAAGCTCACGCCGAAATTGCTTGAACAGTTATCGAATGTACGTCCACCTTCAGTTACGCATATGAATGAAAGCACTCACCGGTCACTGACAGTCGGCTACGCCTCCCGACACCCTCCTCGAGACACTTTCAATTCTGTCCATTCTTATCACCCGTTTCCCGGCGTACGTCGCGAACCCTGACCTACAACCCCAGCCCTTGCAGGTTCTGACCCCGATGCTTTCGCATCCCCGTCCCGCTGTACGTAAACGCGCGATCACGACTCTCGCGCAGTTTCTTCCTACCACACGCGCTGTATTGTTCTCTGAGCTGCTCTCTGGGAGCGTCATACCCGGACTGGGTCCCTCTGCTAATGTCGATAATCAAAGAACGACTGTACAGCTCGTTGCTGCCATCGCACGCCATACGCCACACCAGATTGGGCCCGAGCTGAACAGTATAGTTCCGAGTATCGTCAAAGCGGTGCAACGCGAAGACGAGGAGCTGCAAGAAAGCTGTCTACAGGTATACTTGGGTTGGCATACTACGTCGTCGCGTGGCTGATGCGCGCCACAGGCTTTGGAAGCACTCGTACTGCGATGTCCAACGGAAGTGACACCTTTCCTTTCGTCTATTGTTTCGGTTGGATGTCAATTTATAAAGTACGACCCTGTAAGTATCACCTTATGCTCGCAAAATAAACTGTGCTTACTCTGGCTAGAATTATGCAGGGGATGCAGATGACGAGGATGAGGAAATGGCTGACGAAGACGATGATGATGAGGCAGAACTCGGTGACGAGTAAGTTTGCTATTTGTTATATAGGATTACCACTGATGATAGATTCATAGGTACTCTGACGACGAAGATACATCATACAAGATCCGTCGCTCGGCGACCAAGTTGCTTGATGCCGTTGTAGAGACGCGTCCTGAACTTCTCATCACTATCTACAAAGACGTGTCGCCAGTGCTTATCTCCCGCTTTGGGGACCGCGAAGAAACCGTGCGGGTGGAAGTGTGGGCTACGTACGCGAGCCTCCTCAAACAGACTGGGGTATACGGTGGCGTTGCATATGTAAAAGAGCAAGATCACATCATCGGCGGAAAGCGAAAACGTGGTGAAGGCATGGATGTTGAAGAAACACCATACACCTTACTCAGATCGCAGGTGCCCGCGCTCGCAAAGTCTCTTCTGAACCAGCTGAAATCACCGAAGACATCGCCTACTACACTGCAAGCCGGCTTCTCACTCTTGCACACCCTCCTGGATGTCCTGCCGGGGTCACTCACCAATTTCTCGCCGCAGATCATTACCACAACCAGGACTGTACTTTTGCAGTCGTCGAAGACAAGTGCATCGACTCTACATATTACATGCTTGTCATTTGTCGCATCATTTTTTTCAAGTCATCCCCCTCCTACGTTCGCGAGCTCGTTGGACAGCATAACCCCCATCCTACTCAAGTCGTTGGGAGAGAAGCACCCACGAATCGCGTCGGAGTCTTTCCGCGTTTTCTCTGCCCTGCTGAATGCTATGAAGCCTGTGAAAGGTGGAGACTGGGTCGATCCTGTATACAACGAAGCAGTGCAGAGACTCGGCAACCACGACACGGATGCGGAGGTAAGGGTGTGCGCGGAGGTCTGCATCGGAGACTTGTGGGTGTCTGCCACGGATGTCATGAAGGGAAAGAACAGGAAAGAGTGGGATGCCATGTGCAGGACCACGGGCCGGACAGATGGCGCCGTCCAGGTTGTTACGCGTGTCGCAAGCGAGGTCGAGATCGACGACAACTGGGTGAATGGTTGCATACAGTGGTTGCTGATGCTCCTCAAGAAAAGCGGGAGGGCTGGAAAGAGCCATATGTTCGACTGTCTGCAGGCACTATTGAGAAGGTATTCATTCTCACATCTCGGGCTCGGCCATGGTCGCTGATATCAATGTAGGTACAAGTCTGGGATCCCAGCTGATCTCCCATCCAACCTCGTTTCTCTCCTCAAGACATACATTACGACGGCGGACATCTCGCTCATGTCCCTGGCGCTTAGCGTCGTCGCGTTGCTGCTTGAGTTGTCTCCAAAGGCCACGTATCCAGAGGTCGAAAGTGTATTGTTGACGGATATCTACGATGTTGCTCATTCGCCCCTCGTGGCTGGGGCTGCCTTCGACTCGATCCTAGCGTTCTTCGCAGCTCTAGTCGAAGCGGACATGGAAGTTGCAACGCACGTCGTGCCCAACTTGGCTATCGCTGTGGAGAAGGCTCCCAAGGCAGAAGCATCACAAGGGAACGTGGCGAGATGTATCGGCCAAGTCGTCAAGGCTCAGCGTGGTGTGGCTGCCGGTACTGTTGCGGAATTCTCGAAGCATCTCAAGGTGAGTAAGTGCACCGTAAGGAGATCAAATTCTCATCCTTTCCATAAGCCCTCCTCCAAGGCCAGAACGTCACAAATCGTCCTCAGCCTCCTTGTGATGGGCGAGGTCGGTCGATTCATGTCAGTACTTACAGCACTGTATATTTTTCGAGGCAACTCAAGTCGTTGCGCAGTGATATGTCCTTGCAAGAGAATGTCTTCTCTCACGTCATTGAAAAATTTGCCTCCGAGCAAGAGGAGATTCGGACAGCTGCTGCCTTCGCCGCTGGTGAGTATTATGTTTGACGACTCATGCGAGTCAAAATCCGATAACCGCATCAGGTAATATTGCTGTTGGAAACCTCCATCACTTCTTACCCGTCATTGTCAAGATGGTTGAGAATGACGCTGAGAAGCGGCTGCTGTCACTCCATGCCTTAAAAGAGGTAGGTTAACCTAACTTCGAATTGATTGCGGCGTGACGTTTATTCCTGCAGGTCGTTACCCACTGTTCGCACGGACAGCTGGAAACCGTAGCGGACCTTCTATGGGTTCCGCTGTTTGAGCATTCTGATAATACGGAGGAGACCACCCGCAATGTTGCGGCAGCATGCCTCGGCAAGCTGACAACTACTCATCCCTCTCTATACCTGCCACAGCTACATGTGAGCATCCTACTGCTTTAAAAGTAATGCATTACTTACCGTCACATCAGGATCGTATCCGGGACGCGAAACCGGCATCAAGAGCAACCGTTATCTCGGCCTTGCGATACACCTTCACGGAGGCTTCGGCTGAGTTCGATGTGTTGCTGAATTCCGTACTCATGGATTTCCTTGCTTTGGTTGCTGACTCGGACCTGGTGGGGTTCTCTTCATATTGCTGTAGTATTGCAACTGATGGTAATGTCACTACAGACGGTTCGTCGGCTGGCGTTGTCAGCACTCAACTCTGCCGCTCGTCTGAAGCCCCATCTCATCCGCGATCAGCTCCAGTTCATTCTACCCAATCTGTACAAGGAGACGGTCGTCAACCCTGATCTCATCCGCACTGTGCAGATGGGCCCCTGGAAGCACAAAGTGGACGACGGTCTCGAGGCACGTAAAACAGCATATGAGACGCTGTACACGCTGGTCAGTAACTTTTGCGGTTGTGTGGTTTCCTTTCGCTTATCATTGCTGTACTAGCTGGACACATGCCTCGCAAAGATTGATCTTCATGAATTTTTAGGCCGTGTACTTGCAGGCCAGTCTGATGAATCCGACGAGGTGAAGGTCATTTGTCACATGATGCTTTTCCGGCTCTCGCAAGTGGCTCCGACTGCGGTTGCTCAGCGCCTTGACGAGATCACTCCTCCGCTGGAAAAGAGTATGAAGGGTGCGGTCGTCACAAAGGACACGGTGAAACAAGATATCGAGCGTGCGGCCGAGTTGCAGATGAGCACGCTTCGAGCGGTGGCGGCACTGAGCAAGATCAGCCAGCCTGGAGCAAACCCACGCTTTGATGCATTTGTTGACCAGACGAGGAAGTCTCCAGAATGGGGAAGCGAGTTCAAAGAACTTGTGGGTGCTTGAATGAAGCAAAGCTGTGTGTGTGTATTTTTTCCTGGATGCGCCCTTCGCGGTCGTGTAAAGATAGAATGCGAGGAAAACGCTGTCGCAATCAATCGTGCTGTCATTCTGTAGCTATACTAACATGTCTACGTACCATTGTTTGATCTGTGTTGCAATCGAAGCTTTATGAGACATTCGAACTGCGACTCCTTCAGGCTGAGATATAGAGCAGCCAGAATAGGCCAACGTTGCTAGCTGTACTGTGAAGACGTCTAACTCATCACCGTAGTCACTGGCTACCACAAATGTCAACGGTAGTAACTCAACGGAATGAGTTCTGTTTGTGCCTACTAAATGCATCGCGTTACTGAAGAATGCCACTGACATGTATGTACGCGACTGTGGAATTACCATACGCTATGAAGTAGTGAATGGCGAGAGTAGGGATATAGCACAGATGCCGCATAGACGTGCAGGCATTATGAACAAAACAAGAACCAAGGCCTGGAGACAAAAGACGAATGAATTCGAACCAACTGCACGAACAAGGAGCCGAGGATGGTCAGTTCGCTCTATAAATGTCTCAGACAATACCGACTTCGGATAGGTACGCAGAGTGCCAAGTAAGGCGTGAACCATTGGGGGGTTACGTCTGAGGCTGCAACAGACCACGGATCGCTTCACTTCCTTCTAATTGCATTGCATCGACGCTGCGCGAATGAGTATTTACATCAAAACGGCAATGACTCGAGAGTTCAACTCACCCCATTCCTCCGGCCAGAAATACGGTGAGGGAACGCCGTCGGTGCATACATCTGGTAACGGTAATGCGATTGGACCATCTTCGATAAGCCGTACCACTCCCACATGAGATCTGTTTTTCTCTAGATCCTGTGAATACTTTTCAGAGATCATGCTTCGTCTCTCGTGGCATTCGAGTTCCTCCAGAGGGCAGCCCAAACGCGCCCGAGACTCTGCAAGATCGAGTATCTCGGTGGGTTGAGGTGGGTGCAATAGTACAACTTTCGTAAGCTTTAGCCAACAGGAAGGGTTGTCCAAAAGGGCCCCTATCATAGTAACGCAAGCGGAGGGCCCGAGGTGTAGTGTCTCCACCCATGGAGTATGTTCGATGATCGCCTCTTCAAACTCATCCGAGTAAGTACTTTTAATCCAAAGATCTTTCAATTGGAAATGTGACAGTAGAGCCACGATCCATCGGACCATTTCTGAGCCTTTGGGGCTACTAAAGCGCACCGCTTTCGAAGGACCAGCTGCGATTATCGACGCGGAGTACTCCCAGGTAGAAATGTGCAAAGACTGTGCGTCATTCTGCGTCAGAGGTACCAGCCATTGAAGATCGGGCACTTCACAGAGTTCGAAGCTGGCCGCCAAGCACGTAGGAAGACCGACGTGCGAGAAGAGTCCGGATACAATGTTCCTGTCTGGATGGTGGATTGCGAGACGGCGAAGATGCTGAAGGGTCACAGCAGGGATATCTTCATGAGCGTCGAATGACTCCATAGCGCTGATTGCCGATAGGCCCAGGTCCTCTAGTCTTGGCGCAATTGACAAGACGCGAAACAAGTCTACGATGTGTAGCTGATTGTTGGCGAGGAAAAGGTGCGTGAGATTGGTGAGGGTGCCAGGCAGGTGCCAATCCACCGAGCGTAGGACAAGCACCTTGACGTGAGAAACATCGCCTTGAAGCACACAGTCCCGTGCTGCCAAGGCGCGGAGTCCGTGGGCGTAGGACGTGGGTAGGTCGGAATCGCACCCTCTATACGAGGCGAGCGACTGAATGCGCTGTCCGTCGGTGTGCCATAATTGTTGCACGTTGTTGAGCACTTTCAACGGCGAGCTGAGATAATACTCGTCAACGGCATCAGGACGAAAGTAGATGTTGGGGGTTGTCCAAACTTTCAACGGCGCGCTTTGCGAGCGTAAATAATACTCGTCAACGGCACCAGGATGAAAGTAGCTGTTGAGGGTTGTCCAAAGAGTGGGTGTGTCCAATGCCACATCACGCCACCGACGACATACATGTGTCAGTGGGAGCAGCACATTGGTATCCCTGAAATCGAACAAGGAATCCCAGACTAAGAAATCGCCTCGGATGTCAAATGGAGATAGTATTCGGCGGAAGATTTCACTGAGAACCTCGACAGGAAGACGGTTGATAGGGCGCTGTGCGTTGAGAGACATCCGGACATCCGAAAGGGAATTCAGGAGCACATTCTCGATGCACTCGAGCTGGAAGCAAGTCCTAATCAGGTATTCGATTCGATTAATCGCCATAATAGCTTACATCGGCGAGACTGCATGCAATCAGCAATCAGCAGTCAGCTCACTATTATGAGCACGCTACTGACCTCCATTGTCCGCAGGAGTTACTCAGCTTCTCCAACAGCGACGATGCTTCGGAACAAGTGAGATGATTGTCCACCATGTTAATGGATCAGAGTATGTGTGAAGAACTGAATGGATATGAATTCGTCAGAGAGAGTGCGGTGACAAACGGCCCAAACCATCTGATACGACTCGGATATAAGCGCCAACGCGAATCAAAGGATGTCCACAAAGGAGTGATGCGTGACCGAAAATTTGAGTACTTATGCGCGAGTACGAAGTTCGCAGTATTCGTATCAGCGTGGCCGCGGTTTGTGTGCTCACTTTCGGACAAGGTTAGCCGAGGTCGTCGTTGTTAGCACTCAAACTGAAGGCCCAAATAGAAAGTTACAGATGAACCAAAAGTACAGATATATGCATGATACAGACAAAGTCCACGAGAACCCTCCGAGCCCTATATACAAGATATGTAAACACTTCATGCATACTATTGAATTGACGGTCAATGATGGTCACGTGAGAAACATAGAATGAGACGTACCCGAGTGAATGTACCCATAGTCATGAAGGTCTCTTTCTTCTTCGGCCCGTCCTTCGACGCGTATAGCGACCTAACAGCGTCGCTCATGTTTGCCTTCCGCTTAATCTCCTCCCGCGCAAGGCTGGTGGCGACGGCCTTGCTCGCCGCCGCAAGAGCAGGGTTCATCGCTGGCGTAGGCGATACACGCTTCTTGGTCGGTGGTGTCTCGCCATCCACTGCGTCAGCATGTGCCTTCCGCTTCTTCCCCTTTGTCTTCGCGGGCTCCGCTGCTCGTTTCCGCATCATTGCCTCGTACATAGTCGCCTCTTCTTCGGGACCAGGGTTGAGCGTCATGACATCTGCTGACCGGTCGTACTTGGTGGCGCATTGTGGGCAAACGTCCAGCTGTTTTGTGTTTTGGCCGTTATCGTGCTCCTTCCCTTCCGCCTCTAACTTGCCCTCCTTCGCACTGGGCGATGTGTTGCCAGACACGGCATTGTAGCCCGCAAGGGAAAATACACAGCCGCAGGTCGCGATGTACATGAATGGCTGTGAGCCATTCATCTCCTTAAAGTTGAGTGGACAAACGAACGCCGCAAGGTCCGTCGAGTCAGATGCGACAATTTTGCTCGTGTTGTGGGTGAGCTTCAGAGTTTTCACATCCTGAGAAGAGGAAGGCTGTGAGACGACAGCACATGGATGTGAAGGAGCATATACTCACCTTAAGCGACCTTATGTGCCCGCATATCTCCTCACCGTCTCCGTATGCTGATTTATCCAGAAGGTATTCTAATATTGAGTCCTTATTGTAGAGCTTTCCCAGTGCGCACGAGACAATGGGCTCCTGAAGTGGGCGCTACATCCAGAAAGTCAGTCCGTGACTCTTCAGCCTCGAAACTAAGGATAGATCTCACCTTCGACAATGCGCAGAAGAACCATCTTGCACGGGTTTGATTTGCCTTGTCTGCTTGCTCTGCCTGCACAAGAGTATGTCATCAGATATACATAAGCTGGCAATGATAGCCAAGGTGTACCTTGGCCTTCGTCCTGACGAGATCTCGGCGGTCAGGGATACTTCCTCCATCATTACCCATGTCGTACGAGTGAGAGAGCGGCGGCGGCGACAGGAGCGGGTAGAGATGTAAGGAGAAAAACGAGCTCGTCTAAGAGCAGTGACGAGGTGAGACCTGATGTTGTGGTATTAAGTAACGAGCGGCAGAGAGACCCTCCGGCGCAAGCTGAGCACGATCTAATCTTGTTCCGTTCGGCACTCTCCGGTACACGTGATCGCGAGGCAGAGCGCGCCGTGGCTCTAGAACTTCCATATTAAACTCGCCACAACCGCGCAGGACACCTTCGAGCGTGCCCACCTTACACAAATGCCTATTCATCGATAGGCCCTCTCAATACCCTGTGCTCATTGAGTATATCTATTAGCTCACGCTCTCACGCGTCGAAGTTGCCATCTAGGGATTGGTTGCGATCCCTTGCCCGTCTACTGCAGCGTCATGCTGCAGGAACTCTCTCACATGGACCGTATCACTCAGCTGCAAGATGAGATTCAACAAGTAAGCGTTCTCTGTCCCTTCACGCTAACGAACATTGACTCAAACGAAGGGCAGTTCCTTACAATAATGTCAAGCAGTATTGCTTACTTGACCTCTCGGGCCAACTTTCTGCAAGTTAGCCCCGAAGTTCCCATTACGAAACAACGCAAGGCCGAGAAGTACGATCCTCCAGAGGTGCTTGAAGGTTAAGACACCACGTCTGAGGCCGTGTTGTTTGCTGACGCTATGTCGTAGCCAACAAGAAGGAGCTTGTGGCGGACCTTGTTGTGAAGGCAAAACAGATCGAGTTACTCATCCAGTCTTTACCGGAGCCAGAACCTGAGGAAGCGCAGGTAGTGTACCTCTTCGTGCTAATGCTTGTATGCTAACTTGCACCCGAGGCGCGTCGTCTGCAAGGCCTCGAAGAAGAAATGGTGGAGGCTAACGCGGAATATATTCGAGCGGTGAATCGTGCCAGTGCGTCTCCTGTGATGATATAGATCCACCCCGCTAACATAGAGTGGCCGTTCACGTAGAGAGCTTACACCAACGGATGTCCTTGCTTTTGCGCACCATGCTAGACGAGGTTGAACTTCCCGATGATGCGCCTGGCTAGGCCAATCTTCCCAGAAGTTCTTTGCTCAGAGTTGGTCCTCAGCTCAATGACTCGATAACAGCACCTTCCCCGAAGCTGTGCACACCTATGGCTGGACACCAGGGTAGTTCGGTGTTGCAACATCCTTCACCGAAGTGTTTCACGATTTGCTGTCCTTAGAAGAAGTTGATGGGACGGGCGTCTTGTCACAAGGCGGAGGGGGTGCAGTGGGTCTGCACTCGAGGTGAAGGGGCGTGCGGTTTTATGGTCGTCAACCAGAGTGTCTTACCTTGAGGGCTATAGCTGGTAGACGTTATCCATGGGCGGACTAGCTCCTTTACAAAGCCAGCCGAATTAGCTCTGAGGGTTGTGAAGTGGCACATTTTCGCTGCACTATCTTCATTAATTGTGCCTGGACGCACTTGCGATAAATTGATGCCAGACTGTATGCTGTGATCGGCCGCATGACCGCTGATTAGCGCCGATTTATTACAAAGGTTAATTAGCATTACCCGACCTGTTATATAGTGCGGGCAACCTAGAGGCCACCTGTTTTGTGCAAACTTTCTGTGGCATTCAAATTTCCCCCGGATACTTATCCCTTTAGTAGAAATGCCCTAAATCATGCTAGGACCAATCCTACTAAACGGATTTTCATGAAAGTCGAAATTGCCCAAGATGGTCGCTTAAAATTGGCCACATCACGTGCACATGTCTATACTTGGTAAGTATTACATAATATACTTCCTAAAGCGGTATCTAAGCATCAAAAAGACGAGCCAGGGTTTCGGGAATACGTCTGTGGAATGTGTATTGTCTGGAGCTGAACTGATTCACCAGTTACTGTGTGTCTCAAGCCCCGATCAACAGGCATATATTCATCCCACACACTGAATGGTGTTCCCGATGATGGATGGTCTCGGTGTTGACAGAAGCACAAATCTACAATAAGTTAGCCTTGAGGGCTTGCAATATATAATGATAGTTCTCATGCAAGTATCGCTTCATTGCACCCCAGAACAACTCAATATAATTGAGCCCGAAATGAAATTTTGGCAATAAAATGCACAACACGTCTCTTGACTTGAGTCTCATCGAGCTGAAGGTTCTTCTAACAAAATGATTCATGGTCAAACACAGCTGTGGCACTGCTGTATCCCGATAAGTAAGTAGTGTGAGAATGACGCCGGAAAGACCGCCGGCAGACAACGTCCTCGATGGACAGGGATCAATGGGTGATTAGGTTACAAACCGATGGGGCTACCTACGGCGCGCGACGCCTACATAAGTCCTATTCCCACACCGGCGCACGACCACGTGACCCGGGCCGGCAGCAACGCTTGCCCGACATACCCAAAAGTCAACAAGTAGTATGCTATACTCTATGCAATATATTACCCCATGGCCACGGGCGCTCATTGGTGAACAACTGCCCGACCACTGCACATTTTAGGTGGTGACTATTGCCGTTTTCACGAAAGGTGTCGCGCGCATCAAACACAAACAAATTCTCGCTGAACGACCTCCCACTGAAAACACAAATATCTTGACAACCACTGAGCGTATCATCTTCATTTTTGCTGCGCTAGACTCGCCTCGTCGTCTCGCAGGTCCTGGTACCGAAAGCATCATGAATTTCCAACATTGAAATTTCGACATCTTCGGCATCCCCCTGAAGCACAATCGTTCCTGCTCGCGAACACGGCATCGGAGATTCATAGGATGGGTACCCTTGGGGATAGACGGGTGCTGTGGATGGCCTGATACAGCTGCAGTGTGTTTCTAAAGTCTGCCCGCTTTGTTATGTCTGGTTTTTGCTATGCTCCTAGCCATGTTCACATAATGATGGTATAACTTCGTCTCATCCCATTCAGGTGCCGGAGAGAAGTTTCATTAAGCTTTAAATAAGCATTGCCTGTAGCACAGACTCTCATTTTCTTTCCCTCCCTTGCGCTAGCTTTGCCAGTCATTCTTATACTTCCTACACTTGCAAGTACTTTGCCACTCCATGTTTGACTGTCTACATTATCTGTAACATAGATCTCATTATCAATATTATTTCAAATACAATACCAAGTGCTTATGGTTACAACAGTTTCCGAAATTCATGTCTGAAGTCCGCAAAACGGACTTTAAAAATTCAAAAAATCCAAAAAATTGGGAATATTGAGAATATTGTGTACAGCACTCAGTACCCATGTTGCCATATCTCAAAGATACACATCTCATGTAGACCTTCGTAAGATCCCCGGAGACATGAAAATGGTGGGCTCATTTGTGCGAAACAAAGGGCAAAGGAGAGTGCTGTGCCTCTCGCATCACATGTCGTAAGGTGGACATCCTGTGCAGGAACCTTGTAAGTATGAACACAAAAAATCCTGTGCCGACTCTAAGAATTAGTGTCGGGTGTCGACTGTTTCTACGTTGCGGGTCGTATACAAGACCCATGTTCAATCATCATTAATTGCTCGACAAGTCACTGGCATGTACACGCAGTGAAGTGCGTGGGCCTTGTGCATGAACCAAAGACCTTGTACTACATTCCGAAGATATGATTTGATATTCTGATAGTATTGAGGCACAAAGTATATACAGAATTAGGTGCTACCACAAAGTATATACAGAATTAGGTGCTACAACTGCGCGATCAGTCATCTCGTTGTATGGTATCGAACAACAGTACCATTCTCTGTACTTGGTAGTTGACAAAGTTGCATTCAGGGAAATATATTTGACTGAGGATCCTGCAATGTGGTGAGAACAGGCCGTGACCCTCCATGCCGATAGGCAGGCCATAACACCTAGTATGTGAGCCTTACGATCTTCCTGTTCACTCATTTTCAATCGCTCATATTTCTTTTTTAAATATTGATTCCGTGAGTTTAAGACTCCGTACAATGTATGTACGTGTAGCGTGTAGCCGAGCCCCGGGGGCTTCTATAAGTGAGCTCCACGCCCTCATACAGAGCGGCATAATGAAATGCGGCTCTCTCAATGTCTGAGCCCTACGTGATTGAGGTGGACTGTACGTGTTGTCTTGGGGGGAACTGTACGGCCGGTTCCCACGCGGCAAACTGCATCGCTGGCCCAACAGAGAGGCGAGGGAGGAGGGTCCAGGGGGGCACTCCCCGCGCCTCGGGGAGCAGTGTCGGCACTACTCAGACACCAGACTAGGCTGGGGGAGGCGGGGCACCCGTCTCAATGCCACGCTCGCCCCACAGAACAAGAAGGTTCTCGGCGCACCTCCATGTCACACCACTCGATGAAGTCCGTGAAGTCGATGCTCTGCGAGGAGGGGAACTCCGGGACCATGTTGCGGGCCCAATGGAACCGCCGCCGCCAGAATACGCGCTCTACCATGTGGGCCAGGAGGCGGACATTGGCCCGCGAGCGGAGCTATCCCTGCTCGCGATCTTCGAGTACTTCGGCCAGGTTGTCCACTCAGTCGAGACCATTGGGCTGCAGGAACCCAAGGACATCATCTGCAGACCCTGTTCGTTGAGTTGCCGCATGCAATGGCCTGTATCTCCTTGTTGGCCACCACAATGAAGGGTGAAAATGAAGTGAAACAGCGGACCTTTCTGACAGGCAGCGCCTTACTACACCAGTCTTCGTGACAAGCACAGGGGATCACATCGTTAGATGGCACAATGGGTGTGTTTCGGTAAGTTGTGACGAGCTGCATTGGAAGAGATAGATTGATACGCACTCGTAATCCCAGTGCTGGAGAGCATATCTGTCCTGAGTGCGAGGAACTGAAGTCAACAATGTTATACATAGAGAAAGGCGCACCTAGGGGCCAGTATTTGATACTCACCTAGTGCATCACAAACCTCGCAAACCTCCCACGACCAAACCTATATCCTTCCCTTACGAAGCTACGGTGTCCGCACATCAGTAGCCTGCGGAGTCTTGACATTGCCGTTTGAGAGCTCAGTAGTCGCGCTGTCTGCGATAGCTCAATCCGGATGTTGGAAACAGTTGCTTCTTGATGTCTCTAGCTTGCAATAGTAACCGCAGAATACGAAGACAGCATTGTGAGCACGTTAGAGGGCATCGTCGATGCCGTACGTATTTTTGTTATTATTCGGAATTCTTTGAATTCTTTGAATTTAAAAGTCCGTTTTGCGGACTTCGGACATGAATTTCGGAAACTGTTTCATAAGGACACTGGTATCTACATGGCATATCATTTGTACTTAATCATACTGTACCCATGTATCGCAACCCAGAGGCTAGGGAAATGCAGCAGTGATAGGAGAGGATGGTAGAAGGGGCCAGTAGGGGCACAAATGCAAGATACAATCCATAAAAACAAATGAAGGGATGTTTTTGAGATATGCAAAGGAACAAGGAAGGACAGTCGCCCCCAAGAATGTGAATAGCACAAAGTGGAGCAACTGTAGATGACATACCACTAGTATCCACAACACCCTCAGTAGCACCTATCCACGTCCAGGGAGACCTTTTCAGCGAGTTTCTGATGTCGCGTTTGCGAGCAGGAACGATTCTGCTTCAGAGGGATGCCGAAGATGTCGAAATTTCAATGTTAGAAATTCATGATGCTTTCGGTACCAGGACCTGCGAGACGACGAGGCGAGTCTAGCGCAGCATAAATGAAGACGATACGCTCAGTGGTTGTCAAGATATTTGTGTTTTCAGTGGGAGGTCGTTCAGCGAGAATTTGTTTGTGTTTGACGCGCGCGACACCTTTCGTGAAAACGGCAATAAGCGGTGCGCACCATAGCCGCGACATCGACAACGACGACCACAACGAGTGCGGCGATGACAGACATATACAGTCTGCTATCTCTCCCCTCGACATCCAACGCTTTTACAGCACTGTCCGGACCCAATGTTGCAGAGGCGGGGTCGGCATCTCCTCCCCGCAAGGTCGCCCGTCTTGCCACCGACTCTGACTCTGCATCTGCATCTAGATCTCGACTGGTTGTCAGTAGGCCTCCGGACGGTGGAGGGCCTGTCGTGATCCGGGTGCTCGGGACACCCAGTGAGTAATGGATTGACCACATCGCTGGGGCACCCTCTTATCGTCCCACAGTCAGGCCATACCCAGAGAGTCGCGCTGATGAGGATTCCCGCTTGCTGAAGCGGTGCCTCCGGGTCCTTCTCGTCAAGGATTGTCGCGATGCGCTCCCGGCGACTTATGAGGAGATCTACCGCGCGTGCCGTGCGGTCGTCTGCGTGCACGGCCGCGGTGAAGGCCTGTACGGGGACGTGCGGCTCGAGCTGGAGAGATGTATTGGCAGTCTCAGCGCGAGCCTCCTCGAGAATCAGGCACAGGAGACAGACTGGCTGCTGCCCTTCATAGAGGTCTGCGTGTGGTTCGAGCGACAGGCGGTAAGCGATATATCATGAGACCCAGATTAGCGACCTGACGTGCGGACAGAATCTGCTGCAATCTGTGTTGACCTATCTGGATAGAATCTATGTACCAACTCGGAAGGAGGCTGCGAGTGTTAGGTGTGTCTGCAGTACAGATGCGCTGCTTCTAGACGCTGAGTCGTATTAGACAACTCGCATATAACCTGTTCGCCGAACGCATCTTTGAGAATGCCGCGATTGTGCGCCGCTTACAGGCTGGAATCAAAGCCTGGATTGAATGCGAACGTACAATTGGGCAAGTGCTCCTATCTCGCGGTCTTTGGCAAGGCTCATCCGTTCTATCAGGACCGCGCACAAGATGCGCCCTCACATTCCTGCTCTCATCCGTCATCTGTCCAACCACGGACGTTACACGGGCATCTTCGAGTCATACTATGTCGATCTCACTCATGAGTTTTACACGGAGGAGTCTACTGAGCGTGCCGAGGCCTTACGAAGCAATGCACAAGATTTCCTGCAGCATTGTACCAAGAGGAGGCTCGAGGAGCAGCAGCGTGCGAAGGATGTGCTACCCGAGTCTAGTTGTGCTAGTGTTATGGACACCACGGACAAGGCTTTGTTAACAGGCAGGCTCGACTGGCTTGCCAAGGACGGTGAGCTTCACGAACGAAGAGGTCGCCGCTTGCTAAACTCCTTGGGGAAGCTCTCGGGCCTCTCATCGACGCTAGGAACCATCGGAGTCTGGACAAGATGTATCGGCTGTTCGCTGGGGTCGGGGGTCTCAAAGTGCTCTGCGCGGCTTTCAAACTACACGTCCATGTGGGTCGTTGTGTCTCAGTTTCCTATCATGAGCCTTGGATTGACGTCATATCTCAGAAATCTGTGAGTGCCATTGTGAAGGACCCAACGCAGGACGAGGAAATGGTGCCGCGCCTGCTCGAGTTCAAAGCCTTTGCGGATAAACTCGTCAACGGTGCATTCGCGGACGAGGTCGTCCAAAGAGCGCTTGAAACCACCAAGTCGTCCGCAGCCGCGGGGCCCTCGCGCGCGGCAGAGCTCGCGCGGGCATCCACGAAGGTCCCGAATCAGGACTTTGGCTATGCGCTCATCGACGCCTTCGCGTCCGGCTTCAAGGCACGGCGCAACAAGCCGGCAGAGATGATTGCCAAGTATCTCGACCGCGCAATGCGCAAGGGCCAGAAGGGCAAGAAGGACGAGGATTTCCAGGCGGAGCTCGACGCCGCGCTGGGGCTGTATCGCTTCACGGACGACAAGGACGTGTTCCGCACGTTCTACCATCGCGCGCTCGCGAAGCGGCTGCTGCTCGAGCGGTCTGCGTCAGACGACTCGGAGAAGGGGATGCTGAAGCGGCTCAAAGAGCGTGAGCAGACGGGTCTCTTGTTCTCTCGCGTCTGCCGTTGACACGCCGCCATATGCAGAGTACGATCCAGAGTTTGGCATGGGCGACCATATGTTCAACGACCTTGCGCTGTCCCGCGACATGATGCGCGAGTTCATCCAGCATCGCGCGCGTCTGGGCGACCCGGAGGCGTCGTTGCGGCTGTCGGTGATGGTCCTCCAACGCAGTGTCTGGCCGTTCGCCGCGCGCAAGCACGATGCCGACCTGCCTCCGTCGGTTGGCCTCTCTCTTCATGTTCGATCAATGCGCCCGTATTGACCTTCCCGATCACAGATGCAAGACGAGCTGACGAGGTGCGCCAACTTCTACAAGAGCAAGCACTCTGGCCGCAAGCTGGATTGGGACCACGCTCTCGGCACTGCGATTTTGAGGGCAAGCTTCAAGAACGGGGAGAAGGAGCTCTCCGTCAGCCTGTACCAGGCGTTGATACTATTGCTGTTCAACGACAACACTGAGATTGCGTACAATGATATTAAAGCTCAGACGCGGATGGGTACGTCACATGAATCGGCTGGTCTGTACCAATCTGGGGCTCATCGGACCATCTTTGTTTCGCAGAGGATGCAGAGCTCCGCAGAACCCTTCAAAGTCTGGCCCTCGGAAAGAAAAGAGTTTTGAGAAAGTCCCCGGCGGGCAAGGACGTCAATGATGACGATGTGTTCCACTTCAATCCCGATTTTACGGACACGAGGTATCAAGTGCACATCAGCTCCATCCAGACCAAGGAGACGGTCGGTTCTTCAGTCAGCCAGCCGGTCTGTGTGGCACTGCACTAATGCGTTTCACGTGCAGCCCGAGGAGTCGAAGCGCACGCAGACCGCGATCGAGAGCGACAGAAAGCATGCCCTGGACGCGGCGATTGTTCGGGTGATGAAGGCGCGGAAGGAGCTGAACTATGAGCAGCTGAAGACGGAGACGATCGAAGCGGTGAAGAAGCACTTTGTGCCCGACGTGAGCAGCATCAAGCAGCGGATTGCCAGCCTTGTGGAGCAGGACTATCTGCGGAGAGACGAGGACGACATGAGCAAGTATCTGTATGTTGCTTGAAGTCCGGGCGTGTACGTTGTACTTGGCAGAGGCCCATCATCCATGGCGATTGCTGGCCAAGGTGGCGCAACTGGCGAATAGTATTTCTTCATGCTCGGAGGCGAGAAAAATGCCACAGTGCAACTAGAGATCGAGAACCGATAGCAGTGACGACAGATCCCGCTTCCCCGGAACTTTCTCCTTGTCTGAGATATTTTACCTCAGATATTCTGCTTAGAGTCTGGACCAGGCCTAACCCTTCCGAGTTGCGCCAGAAATCGCCATTCGCTATTACAGCAAAATCAATATTGATAGACCTCCCTTGCAAAAAGCACGGAGGCATGGAACAGAGCGGCGCTGGGCACCTCGGGGTGACGTGCTCTCATCCCCCAGAGATTTCACTGTTCTTGGCGGATAACTATCCACACTGACGTCTCAATGTTCGTGCGCGTGTTCAGAGGTCTATCCCGTCGCTATCCGTTCCCGCAAGTAATAGCAGACAACGACGAGCTCTAGTAGCTTTCTGAATCTGATCATTTGTCGTGGAGCCAGACATGTATAGACAAGTTCCTTCTGATGGATATACTGTTCATTCCTGACCATGACGGCGAGAGGACGAGGAGACTACAGCAAGCGTCTGCCTCACGATCCTCACTCACTGTAGCCCGTCTGATCAGCCGCTCGTCACCGTCTCTGCCCCACTCCTGCTGTGAGCTTCTGCTCCACCTTGCCGGTGTGTATACTTTGTGAGGGGAGGTCTATCAATATTGGTTTTGCTGTAGGCGCTCGTTCGTTCGCGGAGCACCCACCTTTTTGGTAAATGTTTTCAACCCCGACTGATCCCTCAGCCACCCGCGATCGACAGCGACACGGCGAGCTACAATCGCAAGTCTCATGGTTACTGACGATTATGCAAATACTACTTGATACAGCCAATGATGCGGCTTTGTAAAGACTCTCAGGTATCCAAGGAACGATAGAGACAACTGTGACTGCCTGCAATTGCAACATATGAACTGATTGTAGTATATTCTTGAAGCTTGAAGATTGTTTCTCTGGAATACATGAGTCGGATTCTGACTCCCCCGGGACGCTTGACGTCCGCAGTCGCGATCCGCACTCTCTATGTCAATCCGATGTTGTAGCTCATTCTCTGTCTACCTCCACGTGATACCTACTCTACATACTTAAACCTCGCTCCCCCGCTCCCCACTTCTCTCCTCAGTCATTGTACCACTACGGCTGAGGTATGTTCGTCTCGTCTTTTCCCCCGCAGGACTGATTCGAAGTTGTAGACTCGCGTCGATGGCGGGCGCCTGAGAGATCAGTCGGGGTTGGAAATACCTACCACAAAAGGTGAGCGTCCTGCGAACGAATGAGCGAGCGAGAAGAGCTGAGCACCCCTCTTGCTGCGCCAAAGGCCGCGCCAGGCGCGGCGATTGGGCGTTTTGCCAACAACACTAGACTTGTACTGCTGTGAATCCTCATGGAGTGCTGGAGATGAGCTGGAGCCTGCTGCAACATGTGGTGTGCCCGCCTGGCCGGGACCGAGTACATGTGCCACGCCCGCTGGGTTGTGGGCGTCGAGGGGCGCGTGCAAGCTGGATGGGGCGAGGCATGATCGGGGACGCTCAATAAGGCAAGCGAGTAGCGTCCAGGAAGGAAGCTTTCGTTCCTGTGACCCCAGGCATGACCTTCCTGGGCGCACCATTCCATAATGTCGATGAACGACCACCATGTCCCTCTCCTCCCCAATGGCCTCTCCCATGCAAGCCACACCATCCACCTCCACGCACAGCAGCGCAAGCGGCGCCCACGATGCTCCCATCTGCATCGGCCAGCGCGTGCGCTTTGACGTAGAATGCGTCCTCATTCCGGACCCGAGCCCTGTGTCCCGCTTGCCGCGTCTCATCACCAAGTCCTACACCGTGCCCCTCTGGCGGCGGCGCAACCAAGACCTGTCGCCCGCGTCCGACTCGGAAGCCGACACGAGGGAGGAGGACCATGTCTTCCTCCTCAAGGTCCCTGTTCCCAGGTGTGCATATTTCTGCAAACCCGCGCGATCTTTGCCCTGACATCATGTACCAGTATCACCATCAAGTCCCGCTCTCCTACACGTTTGAACCAGCCGCTAGTGCCCTGCATCGTCAATCATGACCCTGCGTCTCCGCCGCCGCCGGGCCTACACAGACACCGTGCAGCGCGTCAGACATCGCTGTCTCCGCGTCTCCACTCGCACGTCATCACGGTGCCTCTGCGTTCCTGCTGTCCAGACTGCGTCGCGCCCACCGAGGACTCGCTCCGGCTGGGCGACAGCTGGCAGGAGCGCTTCACGCGCGCTGCACGGCGGCGGCGGAGCTCGAGCGCGGACTCGCGAGACAACGTGCCGCCGCGCCGCCGGCTCGTGGACGCGATGCCCGGGTTCGACTCGATCATCGCGGTCGACGAGGTGGACAAGATCAGTCGCTCGCGCCGCGCTGAAACGGATCCTGAGCCGCCAGCGGTCGACGAGGAGACGCTTCCTCCGTCGTTCTCGCGCAAAGGCACCACACGCGCGGCGTTTAGCGGGACGCACGTCGTGTGCGCTACGCATGCTGTGCAGGATCTCGAGCCGTCTCCCGTAGACGACTCGGAACAGGAACAGGACGAAGATCCGTTCGCGCGCCGCACGGATGCGATAGTGCTCCCGAACTTCGATTTTGGGCCGGGCATGTTCGATGTCGATGATCTTGTGCTGGTGAACTTGGTGCGGCCCGTGCGTATCCTGCGGGGTACCCGCGCGTCGCTCTCGAACGACGGCCACCCGCCTCCCCCGACTCTCTTGCACAGCCGACAAAGATCAATGCCCCTGCTGTCTTCACGGCCGGCCGCGCCGCCTTACATGTCCGCCGACCTCCCTGGACCACCGCCAATGGGCCATTCCCGCTCGCCGCCCCCTCATTGGAAACGTCCCCACATCACCTTGCCCGGCCCGGCGGCGTTCTTGAAGGTGTCGGCCGAGTTCATCAAGAGCGTTAGCATGAGTGCGGGAACACCCATGTCCTTGTAGGTCTCCCGTCGTTGTCACGCTTCACGCGAGAAGTCTGCATCGCCCCGTCTCACCCTGCACTTTCGTGTGTTTGCTGTAAGTGAGACGGGGATTCAACTGCGGCGGGAGTGCTGACAGGCCCGGCAGGTGATTCCATCTGCCGTTCCGTTCATCAACGCTGTTTTATACCACGCAATCAGGCTCCTCCATCATCGTGCAGAGTTCTGGCCCCATTCCCTCTGTCTGTGTTGCTCAAAATGACTTGTACATCTGATTGTGCCTGCTGGTGGGTGCTGTGCGGTGATTGTTCTCTGCTATCGTGTCGTGCTTGAATACTGCATGTTCTGTACTCTAATGCGTCGAATGCATATGTATAATATCATGCCTTGCGTCCTTTGCATCTACGTGCCGGACAGAATTATGCAGTGTACCGTCAACTACACTGTTGTGGACGCCTCATTTGTAGATGGTTTATCAGTTCACAGCGGTCAGCATCATCTCTGTCAATCAGCAGTCATGCGTGTGCCCATATGCTTGCATAATTCATCTATGTGCAGCGGACCTCGGGGTTCGGGCTTCAGAAGATCTGTCTATGTGCTGCTTGCAGGAGCCCATGGCTGAACGTACATGGCATCTGCCACGCACGGAAACACACATGCACGGCGAGCGACCGCACGGTCAGAGGCTTCCAAGCGATGGAAGATTGCATCAACGCGATATTGCAGACGAGCTGATGAACGTAATAATGAGCGGTGATAGCGCAAGGCGAACGAACACCCCAACGCGATGCAGTCAAATGTGGGCGGCAGTGGGCGATGTATGTATGAACACGCGTGTGCAGGATCGCTGTGGACGCGCAGGCGGGCGCGCGGGCGGGAGCGTGTCAGTGTGGTGGTGGACGCGCGCGCCGAAGCAATTTGCAGACCACTCCTGCACGACTCCGCATTAATGTCAGTTTCATTCACATTGCCAAGGGGACCCTCCCCACCGGCGACTAACATCGGCCGCGGCAATCTAGTATCCCGAGTGCGACACGATGATGAATATGCTATATTCTCGTGTTAATGCGAGACGTGTGATTCTGAGCAGGGGTCGGACGTGGAGGGTTGCGAGGGGCTGGCCCAGACTGCGCGGTTTGGTGTGCGGCGGCGACGGCGGGAGGGGTTAAACGGTAAGGCAGGGCGGGCCAAGGATTGGAACGCGCCCGGGACGCGCAGAGGCGGATAATTAGCGCCGTGCCTGAATCCGGTTGACCACTCGCCAGCGCTTCCCGCCCACCGCCCTCTTCCTCTCCTCGACGCTCCTTTCTCTTTTATTTTTTTCTTCTCGCCCGCGCACGCATCGGCCTGCACTCGGCCAGTCAGAGCCCTGCACGCGCCCGTTCTTCTGCGTCACTTTCCCCTGACCCCCATCATCACTCATCATCCGCGGCCGCTTCGGGACGCGGAGCCTCCCACAGCACACATCATCTGCCTGACTGCCCCTGTGCGCCAGCCTCTCCTCCTTCCTCGTCCTGCACTCTAGTATCGAGCCATGGGTGCGTGTATGTCCCAAGGGCCCGTCGATGTCAGCGAGGACGACAAGCGGCGCCATCGCGAGGCTGAGAAGAGCCTCCGGGAGGTACGACGTCACCGTCTTCCCCGCGCGCACCCCCCGCTGATCTCGAGCTTCCTCAGGCAAAGGCCAGACTGGCCAAGCAGGTCAAGGTACCGATGCGCTGCCCCCCGCTCTCTCTCTTCGTTGCCTAGCGGCCGCTCACACACCGTTATCTCCAGGTTCTCCTGCTCGGCTCCGGAGACTCTGGGAAGTCAACGATCCTGAAGCAGATGCGCCTCATCCATCGTGTGCCGTTCTCGTCGCAGGAGGTCGAGTCGTATCGGCAGCTCGTCTTCAACAATCTCACGCATGGGCTCAAGTACCTCATCGATGCCATGGAGGACATGGAGCTCACGGTGTCCCCTGAGAACGAGGACTACGTCCAGCTCATCACTGACGCCCCGGACATCAAGGACAGCCAGCCGTATCCAGAGGAGTACCACGAGCCCCTGCGGAGGCTGTGGGAGGACCCGAATGTGCAGAAGGCATGGGAGCGGGGTAATGAGGCGGCATTGCCAGATAAGTAAGCATACAGCGAGCTCCACGTCGTGTCCCGCGCTCGACTGACACCGCGCGCATACTTCAGCCTCATCTACTACTTCTCCGACCTCGATCGGTTATTCGACCCCGAATACACCCCGAATGAGCAGGACATCGTCCAAGCTCGCGCACGTACGATCGGTATTACCGAGACGGTGTTCCAGCTAAAGGACCACGAGATGCTTATGGTGGATGTTGGTGGCCAGAAGAGCGAGCGGAGAAAGTGGATACACTGCTTCCAGGATGTGACAAGCATTCTTTTCTTGGTCAGCCTGAGTGGGTATGACCAGTGTCTGGTGGAGGACAAGGACGCAGTAAGCGCATATATGCATCGCACGAGCTCTATGAGCTGACGGACACGGGTTAGAACCAAATGCAAGATGCAATGACAATTTGGGACTCGATCTGTCATTCACAATGGTTCAAGCAGACATCGATCGTACGTATGCGTATCTGTGTTTGTGATCCGTGTGACTGATCGACATGCATGCTCGCAGATCCTATTCTTGAACAAAAACGACCTGTTTGAGAAAAAGGTTGAGCATTCGGATATTAAAAACTTTTTCCCGGTACGTTCATTGCTATGTTCACTTAGATTCTGCAACGTGGCTGATCGTCGCCCGCCACATTCGCTAGGATTATGATGGCGAGGAACATGACGCCCGCGCAGGTCGTGATTACTTCAAGAAACGCTTCGCAAGGTTAGCGCAGAAGGCGAACCAGAAGGAGCGCGAAGTCTATATCCAGTGCGTCCTAATCACCGCGTTGCTCTCCGTGCCTTCTGGGGTTATTTTCTGATGTCTCTTGGTCCGAAGTGTGACGACGGCAACGGATACGGCGATGCTAAGAGTGGTCATGGCTGCTGTTGAAGGTGAGACGTCATTCGGCTTATCATGTCGATCGATCGCTAATGGCGTTTTACAGAGTGAGTGTTCATTTTCTTTTACCCCTACCCCTTTCCCTTTTGGCCCCTCCGCAGTGTATCAATTCATTAATTCGCCACCCCACCCCACTCTCCAGCATTATTCTTCGACAAAGTCTTCAGACTGCAGCTCTGATCTAAGTTTTCATTCTATGTTATTCTCGTCTTGTCTTCGCGCCACCCTTACCTGGATCTTTTGTCACATATTCCCTATTTTATATCTCCCCTTCACCTTCGCTCTGTAATCTGGAGTTTGCCTTCTCATCGGCCTTTGGTTGTATGGCGCCTCACGGATCTTATCTTGCCTCTCCGCATCTACTTGTTGTGTATTCCTTCGCGGTTGTTTTTCTTTCCCCTTGTGGTTCTCAACCGCTCATGATCACTGCAACTCATCCACATCTTCTTTTCGTCTTGGTCCTTCCCGCTTGCGTCCGTATCCCTTTCGGAATCGCCGTCGTACACAAACTCGCGAATGTTCATGGTCCCGCTTGGCAATGTAACTGCACACCCACACTGCGCTACCGATCCCTGCCCTGGCCCTGGCCCTGCCCCTACCGTTCCCGCCGCACGTCAACGCGTCCCCGTCTTCGTCTCCGTGCCCCTCTCTACAGCACGATCATAAGCCGAAATGTAGGTACCCCTGTCCCACGTGAAGCGCGCGCTGTCTCACCCCCTATTCCCCATCGCAGATCCGCGAGGTCATGCTATAGGATGGCGGCGCGTGCCGTTCTGGGCGCGTAACGTTTCTCCCAGCGCGTGCCCCTGCGATGGGAGGCGATGGGGGCGATAATAGACGTGTGCGGGCTTCTCACGTCTGTTCTAGCGTCGCGCGCGCCCCGCGGGCCGATCTGGGGGGAGGACCTATCTATATGTATGGGTGATCGGGAAAGGCGCTGGACGACGACCCCTATCCCCGTCGCAGCGCGCGTCTCCGTATGTCTGTTCCTCGTGTGCACTGTCCTTGTCATGTCTTGCTGTTCGCCGTTCACGTACCGTACACTTACCTACCTACCTACCCACCTACCTACTTAGTGTTATTCGTACTTAAGCCCCGTCCCCGTCTCCGTCTCTCGCACTCGCATCCGCACTCGCACTCTCGCACGTATATATATGCCGCATGCATGCTCGTTCGCACACACATTGATGCACTCCGGTGTCATTGCCCATGCGTCATCCCCGCTCAAGGTTGCGACAAAGTCGGAGTCGGGCTAGTTGCTTGACATGCGTGCCGCATCCGAGTCTTGGAAGGGGGAATCGGGGCCCGAATAAAGCTAACGCGAGCATGAGGAAAGGCTTGCTCGAGCTGTCGTCAATGAGCGTGTCTTTATAACAGTGGCCGGTCGTGCGACTGGCGGCATGCTTACGTATATCGGCGCTTGCTGTATGGAGAACTCTCCCTCCCAAACACGTACGTACTACGTACGGACCGCCGGGAGCAGGTGTCAATCAGCTAACGTTAGCTTCGCGCACTCAAGCATATGGCGCCGCCCAGTCGCGCAGGCAACTTCAGAAGTACTAGTATTGCGTTGCGGTCCGACGGGCGGAGCATGTCGTCATGTTCGTTCCCAACAGTCTCGCGCTCGTAAGTCGGTTGCAAGGCGAGAACTGTTGACTTTCGCCTGGGGACGAGACGAGGGGAGTGGGGACGCGGACGCGAGCGAGCAAAATTGGCGGATTGTTACAAACGCGTGGGGGCCAGGTACGGCCGCGCTACGGTACAAGTACTCTACAGGATCGATGTATTTTTACTTGGCAATCGTGCTATGATCATTCTCCCGGCTAGGCACAGGGGCGTCGGGTCGGCCCGCTCGACACCGCAGGCCCCAAAATCTAACAAGAACGTCTCGCACGGGCATGCCGGATATAAGTGAGAAACGGGTACAATGTGCATTGACTCCCACCCTACAAATGGCTTCCAACAAGCAACAGGTATACTGGTACAAAGATGCGCTGCTGACGCGCCCACGGGCAACGCGTACGCGGCGGCGCTGTCCCACGCGTCAAACCATCCCGGCGGAATCGCGCTCAGATGCCCGAACCGCCCGTGACCTCCAGACAGTGCCCTGACACATACGACGCGAGCGGGGACGCGAGGCTGCCGCGAGAGGAGCGGACACGCACGCAGGAAAAGGAGAGAAGTGGCGCGTCAGCCGTGGCCGTCAGCAGGATGGAACGCAGAGAGACGGTACGCACAACAGGATGCCTGCCGCCGCCTCGTCGGGCGACGCTGGCCGGCCGAGCGGGATCGCCTGCGTCGAGCCCCCGCCCCCGCCAAGCGCCTTCGGGATGCCGAGCGCGACCTTCTTGCCCTCGATCTCGATGCTTGCGCCCTCCTCCTTCGCGGCGGTCAGTCTGCGCGCGCGTCAGCAATCGCCGGTGCATACGTGCCGCAAGAGGCGGCTGAGGGAGTGGAGGAGGGCAGGGAGATGACGCACCGAGTCTGGACGTAGCCGAACGCGACGGTGTTCGCGCGCACGCCGAAGGGGCCCCATTCCTTGCAGATCGTCTTGGCCATGCCGATGACGGCAGCCTTGGCTGACGCGTAGTTGATCTGGCCGACGCTGCCGTGCAGGCCGGCAACGGACGACACGTTCACGATCGAGCGGTTCTCGGTGTTACCCTGTGTGCGCGCGCCGGTGTGTCAGTCTCGGCTCTCGCGGCAAGCGACGTCGTACGGAGCGCGGGGACACACCTTGATGCGCAAGTGCGGCGCGGCTGCGCGGACGAGGCGGAAGGGCGCGCGGACGTGCACGCGGATAATGATGTCAAACGCGTCGTCTGGCGTCGTGTGCAGCATGCGGTCGTACGTGAAGCCTGCGTTGTTGATGATATGGTTGATCTTGCCGAATTTCCTGAGAGGGGGAGGCGTTAGTAGGAGGGAGCACAGCAGTTGTGCTCCCCCACGCGGGCGGAATAGAGGAGCGTGCGGCTCACTTGATGGTCGCGTCGACGACCTTCTGGGGAAAGTCCTCCGCGCTGACATCCCCGCCGACTGCGAGCGCGTCCCCGCCAGATTTCTTGATCTCGTCGACGACGAGTTGTGCCTTTGCCTCATCCAAGCTGAGATACAGACACGCGTGATGCAGAGGGGCCAGTGAGCTGCTGCATACCGCACGTAGAGCACAGGCAACTCACTCTGTGACGACCACCTTCGCGCCTTCCTTTGCGAAGAGCAGGGCGGCGCTACGTCCGATGCCCTACGAAGCATCCACAGTCAACGAACGCCTCGAACACTAAAGCAGGACCGCCAGACGCACCTGTGCTGCACCTGCAGGCCGCAGAAGCGCACGAGCAGTCAGTCAAAGCGGAAATTCGCATGCAAGACAGATAGCAAGGCCCGCACTCGGGCGATGACGTACCTGTGATGATGGCGACCTCGCCCGCGAGCAGCCCACGTCCGTACGTGTTGGTGAGGTGCCCAGAGACCTGCGCGAGACGGTCTGCCATTGTGTGTGCTGGCTAGGATGGGCGCGACGCTGAGGATGGAGGAGAGAAAGAGCAAGAGCTGTGGGAGGGCTGCTCAGGGAAACGAGCACGGTCATTACCCGCGGGATCAAGTCATGTGAAAGTCGGGGTCCGGGGAAGTTTGTCAGTTTGCGTCCGATCGTCTGCAGTCAGACCTAGATCCACCGTATACTACAGCTTGGCCCTCATGCATGTATACATAACGCAAGTCGTGCTTAGACCAGATGCGCTGAGCGACGCTTCATATCCGACCAAGTGTTCCTTTACACCTCACCCTACTGAGGCTGCGTTTATTGACATGGTTCCGCGCTCTACTGCTGGGTACACCTGGCCATGTGCCCAAGCCGCGTTGTGTTCAATAACACATGCTTGACCATCCGGGAAAAAAAGGGCAGACCGAGCCACTTACAGCTGATTCCACATCATTGAACTCGATGTGTGCGTAAGCGGCAGGAACGGCGGACCCTGGAAACAACAACTTAGTTTGGTAAACTACGGCTGTAACGCTATGTTTCCGGGTCTACCCAGGTCGGGACCTTGTTGATTCCGTATTTCACATTGACCCCGCTTGCGCACAGGTAGGTCTTTCGATATGGAATTAGCTGGGTGCCATCACCACATGCAGATGATTACAACGGCGTAAATGCGGTCGGCGACACTGGAGCAGTCTCTCAAGTCACAGCTATGAAGAAGTATGCTCTTATAACGAAGTCTTGTGATCTGTACAGTCGTTGAAAGTTACTCTTACTTCGCATCCTGTGTCGCATTGGTCAGCATACAATGTCGGAATGCATACAATATGCAGCGTGTTTGGGATTGATATATATATATTCAATGCTGCCGCTCTGGAGACTGCATCCGCGGGTGTTTTTCTTCTAGTTCCGCGTTTCTTCCTGTCTACCAGAAGCTCAAGTCCTGCCTTTGCGAGGCCCAAGACTTCGGGATGGCAGATAGGTCAGAGACACCTTTGACCGAAAGCCAAGTTGGAAGCGGATGTCAGATCCGTTTCAGTAACTAGGACGGTGATGCCCGTGCCCTCCTTCCGAGGTCCCTTCAATGCGCACGATAAATGTGGCGCATTGTGTTTCTGCTCGCCCCTTGGTCTCTGCCGGCGAAGACGCTCAATCCATGATGACATAACAAATGTGTATTGCGATACGAGAGAACAAGCAGAAGGTACACCTGTCCTCATTCTTTGTGCCTAGGCAGATACATCCACGTTGCAAAGCTATGCCCCAAATCTTCTCATCGGATGCCTACTGTTGCTCGAAGGACCAGAGTTGCTGCGGGTCCGATGAGATACTGGTGGCGAGCGTGAGCTGCATAAATATGTCAGCCATCGTGCTTCGCTTATGTAGACAAGACATTTACTGCGGACCCAGGAGCCCCGTTAGAGAGGCTGACTGCCAGGTTGCTGTCAGTGAGTAGAATCCTATTGAGCGCATCAGTCGAGTGCAGACACACAACTTGCGGGAACCATACTGGTATTGGCCATTGGTGCCATATAAGTTGAAGGTCCGTAGAATGTTGTCCGTAACAATGCTCTGACCCTGCGTGACGATAAGCACAGCAGCCTGTTATTCTGGATACCGAGTGCAGTACGCACAATCCAGTCGTCCCCGCCCTTAGCATCAAGACTGGTGCCGGTCCCGGCACAGGTGATAGTGTACGCATTGTCCTGCTCACTAACGGTCCACTGCAATCCGAATCACTGTCAGTGGCCGTTAGTATCCACGAGAAGCAGTACCTACAAACTGCGCCGGGTCTTCTGGCTCAATAAAGCCAAATGCAAGCACAGGGTTTCCAATGGCAGGACTGTCTAGATAAGCAGACATGTACATGGTGTCAAAGTTGACATTCTTGATCATGTATGTCCCGGATGGAAATTCCGGAGGGAGGCATGAGAAAATAGTTGATAGACTGTCTGCAGAGGTAGCCTTGATAGTAGGCAGTGAGTTGTGAAGGCCCTGTTGCACTCTTTATATAATGTTCAGCCCGGAATCTTCCGGTGCTTGGAATGTAAGACTCACTATTGCGCACTCACGCAAGAGGCTCTATGCAGAATGGCGACTTCGTAAAACATATTGCATTGTTCCAATAGCGGTCATGTCTTCTCAGAGGTCTCAGCTCAGACCAGGACATGCTGCCGTAGACGACTGTACTACCTAATGGAGGCAGGTGTTACTATCAATGCAGGGAGCGTGTTGTCGCTATATGACCAGCCCCTTGCTCATTCTTGAGGAGGTTTTCTGGAGCGGCAGCATCACTACCCAGCAGTCCGGCTCCGGTCAGTCAACAAATCCATTATTCAAAGGTTTAGAAGGAAACTCTTCTGCAACGGGGTCTCATGAGCAAGAAAAGCGATGGCACCATTACATTTACACACCGTCGAAGCAGGGCAAGGGCTCTGCGCTGATATATCTCCGATGAGCCTCAGCAAATTCAGGAAACACCAGCGACATTTGTGAGCACAAGTTCGAATCGTAGACATAGCGAACCTTGTGATTCCTCAATTGTACAGTGGTTGGTATACCATATTACTAGGTGCCTTCGGGCACGCTGTCTGGGCGCAATTTCAGAATAGAGTCAGACAAGGATTTTGGTATTAAAGGCCCTGAGAATGCCACCAGAGGCCGTATCTACAAAAGGCCTCCTGACTTCAAAATTCAGACTGACACGACTTCCATAAATGGAAGCTGCCTTCGAGATTTACTTGGTTGATTTACCGATCAAATCGATAATGAACGTTTGTAACTCCGTTGGGTAGTCGAGTTCACTGTTTCGGACAGTTACGAAACGGGCACAATTTATGTCCTTCGTTGCCGCGGTGGTAAGAAGTAGGTACAGGACAATGTAAAGTAATACATACCTTCGTTGCCGCGGTGGTAAGAAGTAGGGAGCGCGGTACGAGGTTGAACGAACATGGAGCGACGTGAACACAAACAAAGGCCAAACAAAACGGCGGGGACCAATCAGGACGCGAATAGACCGTGTAAGTATGTAACAAGCTTACAACGTTCTGACTTCTCCAATAAGCCTTCATCAAGCTTTTCGTCATCCTCACTGAATGGATGGACGCACCAGTCAAATAAGTTCATGTAATGAATGATGTTCGGATGTACCTACCTGTCCTGAACACCGTCGTAAATTCCATGCGGGCGGCACTGTCAATGAGAACAGCTAAGTAACCGTCAGTAAATTCAGCGATCCGAGCCGCAGTGTCCTCGTGCACAGTCAATGCCGGGTCAAGAATTACTGCGTGTGATTTCCAGTGATTTCAGCTTCGATGATCTATAGTTGACAACGTCAGCCTGTAGGACACGTAGGTCGTTCTTTTTCGAATCAGCGACAAAGACCGTGAGGTGCGTGGAGGTAGTTTCCTAAAGGGTCATAATAAATGCGTATAGGTCACTAGCAATTGCCTGCACAAGGTCGAACTTTTGATAACATTGTGAGGTCTGGTAGCATATTGATCATACGTCAGGGTTTGATACAGGTTCATTGAATCAATTAGACGAGTCAGTTAACGGACTAGCTCCAAGCCTATGCCTCGAGGAGCACCAACCACAACCCAAGAGGGCCTTGTAACAGTGAGTTTGGGCAGATGCTGATCAGACTTGTGAGGCAAGAAAATTAGTGATAACTTGAAGGCTCACCCTGCTGAGATTCCACCGTAGTTATAGCACAGCAGCGCTTAGTGAAAGTATGACAATTGAAAACGGTTGTTGTGCGGCGAAGACGCACCAGTGGTACACTAGTCTTCTTTGCACTGCTGCGAGTGGCAGCGAACAGATCCGGAGTGATGTCTTACAGTAAGATCGGCTCATTTTGAAGCAGACCTATATATCATGATCGTACTCTCCATATCAAGAAGGTCATGGTATACAAGGTCAGCCTACGAGAGACAGTCGCAGAGCCACGAACACGCATGCCCATAAACATCAGACCGGAAATGCGTTGAACGACCGGCGCGTGTTTCCGATATCGTGACTGTGACGCACGCGTACGGTCACAATTATGCTTGACGCGTGTTAATGAGATATCCTTCAAGATTACCAAATCTTGATCAAGAAACGCGAGCCTAGCTAAAGTGTCTTACTGCTACTGCACGTCTGTGTGCTTGAAGGAAAAATGGACGATGCTCAGCTCAGCGCCATCCAGCGGAAAATGACAAAGGACCATAAGAGCGCAAGTATCATGTTATGGTGCATATCCAAGTCCATGCGCTTCTGGTCTTCTACCCTCTTCCCCGACGATTAAAAAAACAGGTCCTAGCTGCCGCACGCAGGGGTTCGCCAGGAGAGACTCTCGTTCTCAGCAACCTGTGGGCTGAAACCCCAGGGCTCATATCTCCAGAAGATGCTGCTGATGTCTTTCTCAACCATCTTAACGGGGACTGCGGCCCCTAGTCGATGAATAACCTCTTCTCTGATTCAGCCAATCTCGCTTTCACCGCACTCCTTGGTCTGAGAAAAATCGGTCCATTTCTGGGACAGCGTCCTGCTCTTCTCAGGCTCGCTCGCGTCGCACAGGCATGGATGGGCATATTCAAATGGAGTGTCTATCTATTCTCTGGACGCATCGAGAGTGCAGACAAAAGCGATCCACGACGAAGGGCATCTATTGACGTGTTATCTGCCTGCTGGTGCGCCGTAGGACAATACGACTCAATACGAGAAACTATGGTCAGCACTCCTGCGACGATCGAAATTGCGACAAGATGTTGGCTCGAAGAGGATGACGGCCCCATCCCATCTCACGTGGATGCGCCCGTCGGTACCTGCGTGCTCGGAAATCTGCTCAAGCATGCTACGTCCGCGCAGCTCGACAGGGTCCTCAAAATGACCGGCGGGAAGGCAGACGAGATCGCAAAATTGGCGATATCCCACCTCCGGGGCGCGCTGACGATGCGACCCGTGAATGCAACCCGTTTGGTGATCTACCTCGACTTTATCAATTCGCTGTCCCGCGTCGGTACACACCCGCTGCGCTACGCCCTCCTCGGCGCGAACGTGATTTGGTACGTGACGAATGCGCTCGTTACTATCTCTATATTGGTCAACACGACGTCAGACCCCGTGTTCCTCAACGCGATGATGTCCGGGTTTTGCTACCTCTACTCGAGTCGACGGACGGCTTCACGTGGGTGTCGCAGGCGATCGGCGCGGGGCTGCTGTCCGCGTTCTGCGACTGCAGCCCATTCTTCGACAAGTTGGATCCGGACGACCTCGAGATGGTCCTCGGCGTCCTTGGTGACATCCTACCCCGATACTGCGTCTACCGCAGCGTCATCCAGACGATGGATGAGCCGATGAGGAAGATTGACGGCGGTGCGCAGAAGGAACGCGTGATGAGGAGCATCGCAAAGGATGTGTGGTTTAAGTTCTTCAAGCTTGTCCGTGTAAGGGTGCTGGTCCTGTGGGAGGCCGACACGCACAAAGGCAAACACATCATATGTGATAATGTCAAGGTAGCTTGGACTGCACATACCACCGCGGACACTCATTGTGCCCCAGTGTCAAAAGGCCGGGAATAAAGATCAAGTCCGGCGTTGTTCAGCATGTCTCACCACATTCTACTGCTCCAAGGTGGCCAGTTGTCTATACTGTAATCGTCCGAGTCTCATTACTCCCCCTCTTCACAGGAATGCCAGGCTATCGCATGGAAGGAAGGCGATCACAAGAATATGTGCAAAATGAAGCAGCGTGAGCGAATGGGTATGCAAGATGCTTTCCGTGCTGTCACATAGCGCCTCATGAGTGCATTCAGAGGGTAAATCGAACCCGATACCTAAGCGCGATATTGCCCTTTTCCACCAGCTCTCGATGCACCACGCACGCACGCACCTCCCGCGCTTGCGGCGCCGCGCTGTGGCCGAGTTCAGCACAGTGCCACGGCACCGCTTGGTTATCTGTATCGACTACACCGTGCAGCCCGCCGTGTACTCGTTGCGGCCGCTCGATACATACAACACGGGGCAGACGTCTGGGACCGCAAACACCGAGGCGCGCAACGACGCGTTGATCGAGGGAGTGCGCGAGAACCCAGAGCGATACGCACTTATCGAGTCCAAGATCGCGTGTGGGCGGAGCCCGCAGTGCGTGCTCACGCTCGCAACGGGCGCGTTCTGGGAGTGGATGGCGGAGCAGGATTCTCGCTCGGATAGCGCGGACGTGGACGACGACTCGGATTTCGAGGACAAGATGAACGATGCGAGGGACGTGCTGAAGGCGTTCGTTCTAAATATGGAGGGACATCTGCCACCAGAGCAGAGGTCTCCCATACTCTACGACCCCTGACAGCGCGATCATCGTCGCGGACTTGGAAGCTGCCCACCTCAAGGAATGTGCGTCCAGAGGCGATTTGTTCATCGATACTTACCGTCGGTCGCTTGTAACATAGCATACTAACGGCACAATGTATCCACGATTTGACTTCGGAGATGTCTATGGGATGCTGCTGCGGAACGATCACTTCTTTGATAAGATCGATGTGTTGCATTGTCTTGCCTGGCCTGTTTTACAATAGTTACTGATGTAGACCGATGTTATCCAGCAGATGCGGAAGCCTACATACGAAGAATACCCACCGCGGAGAACAATGAATGCCTCACATGTACATGCGTGACAAATCCATGACGAGCCATATTTGCCCATCATGTGGCAGTTCGCCACCATTCTTCTTCTCCCTCCTCCCTCTCACACACATGTTAACATGAACTCTTCTCTGCCAGGTCTTACGAGAGCGAAGTTCAACAGGAATCCCAGGGGTGTAAGCCTCTCTTTCAAATAGCCACCATAGTCGGTCGTACTGAGTCAACGCCACAGTTTATCGCAGCGGCGCGAAAAGGATCGGAGACTGAGATCTACTTTTTAGCGGCACATCTCTCGGACATCTTGGACTACATCAATCCAGATGACGCGCTCGACATATTCCTCCTGCACATCGCCGATGACCGTATCCCCACTTCTCTTGGTGATCGACATTCGAGGCAAGCCGATATAGCACTTTGGTCAATCATGGGTCTCGGCAGTGCGGTCCTGTGTTTCTCGGATAAGTCTCCGTCATTGCGCCGCGTGATTGATGCATGGCCGAGCATCTTGAACTGGACCGAGTTTTTCTTGAGAACTAGAATGTCGAATATCGGGAATAATAACCTCTACAAGCGAGTGGCCCTCGACCAACTTGGAGGATGCTGGCACACACTCACCTCTCTCCCTTCGATCCTTGACACCATGAGAAGCTCACCTACGACTCTGGATGTTGTGATGAGGTGCTGGATAGAAGACGAAGAGACGACAAGCATCAATGGACCCCTCTGGTCCACCACGCTCGCAAAGCTTTTGGGCGAGAACGTGGATCCTGAGCACCTGGACAGAATCGTCAAGGCGGCGAGAGGCAGGGCGGATTTGATCGCCACTTATGTCCTGTCGCGACTGAGAATCGCCACAAGTGCGACCCCGGTCAATCCACGTCACATTACTGCGTTCGTTCATTTAATCGGCAGCATCTCCTGTGTACAGGACAGCCCATTGAGTGATGCCTTGCTCGGGGGGAATGCCATATGGTATGTGACGAAAGCTCTCCTTATCATCTCGATCATGGTGAACACAAAGGGGACAAAAGCATGTGCGGAGGCGATGATGATGTGCTTCCTGTACTTATCCTGCTCCTTGGAAAAGACAGACGGCGCCGCTTGGGTCTTGCAGGCACTGGAGGCGGGACTACTCTCTGCATTCGTCAACTGCAGTCAGCACTTCTCAAAACTCAGTGGCGACAAGGAGGACATCGTCGATGTCAAGGATGTGCTCAGCATCATCGAGTCCATCATCCCACAATATCTAGTTTACCGCTCAATCATTGAGGAGGCAGACGCAGCCGTAACGAAGATCAACCGCGGTCCGCAGAAAGAGAGGGTAATGAAAAGCATCGCCAAGGATATCTGGGAGAGATTCTCCGCGCTTGTTGAAGAGAGAGCTACGATCGTCCGACAGGCCGATGCGTGGACGGGCCTGCGTATAGTCTGTGATTATATCAAGGTCAGTACGTTGAGACGAGATTACGTCTCTCGTAACAAATGGCTTTTTAGTGCACGACGGTCGACAAAAAACGACAAAGGCGTAGATGTGCTCTGTGTATGACGGCATGCTACTGTTCCAAGGTCCGTATGGCCCTCTACTTGAATCCTGGTCGTTGTCACCGTTGCTCTGTAGGAATGCCAAGCCATTGGTTGGATAGGAGGCCACAAGAACGCTTGTGAACGCATACGTCAGGAACGTATGGGTACGTTGCGTTTTAGCCTTTTGCTGATGTATAGTGGTCTGAGCGCTTTTGGGATAGAGGGTAAACCCAATCGGTTGAGCAAGTCAGACAATATGTTTCTCCACCAAATCGCGACGTGCTACGCGCGAAATAATCTACCCGTACTGCACGAGATGGCTGAGACCGACTACAGCTCGACCCCGAGGTCGCATCTAGTCATTCGCATCGATTTCACTACTCAACCCGTGAGGTTTACCCTGTGCCCCCTGGCCGAGTACGAGGTTGAGCCAACGCCTGAATCCATAGTGGTGGAAACGCAGAACGAGACCATACTGGCAGGCGTCAAGGAGAATATGGGCAGGTACACTCTCATCGAGTCTACAGTTGCTACCGGCCAGACTTCGCAACGCATACTGACCGCCACGACGGGGTCGTTCTGGGAATGGGACACCGATCCATACGCGGAGCGCAAGGACGACTTTTGGGAGCACCTGGACTTTAGAGCCCCCGTGGATGAGGTCGCTTTTGACGACCTGCAAGACATTTCGCAAGACATCCAGTTTTTGCGGCTGGATACAGGTCCATTGGAAGAGAGAATCCATTTACCAGAAGCCTGTTGAACATACTGTGGAACTGGCGGCACCCTCGGCTACTAGGATGCGTTTCTACGCGCAGTCCTCTACATGTGTAATTTCCGATGGCATCTGTCTCACATTTATGTCTGAAGAACCTTAGCGTGGGACATACAGTTCCTTGTAATATACTTGATGGGAGGGAGGGCAGGAGGAAGGGGGGGGGGTCACGAACGTATCACATGAACCCACGCGCAGGAGCAGTTCCGCGAGAGCGGTGTATTTCCCGTCTTATATTAGGCATTGTATGCAACCTACATTGTATGTGTGTGCAACACTGCCCGTTGCCTATCACTGTTGGAAAATGTTCACCGGTCTGCCCGAGCATTCTTCAGACGCTCCAATGTCCGTTCCATTCCCAGCACGCGCATGATATCCGCAACCCCAGGGCCGTTCTGTACGGCACGTTAGCGCGTAAGAAATGACGTCTCGTAGGCACATGGACAGAAATACCTTCGCAGCTGTCAATGCATGGCGTACAATGGTCATCAACTGCTTTGACTTGCACCCTATCCGAGCTGTTTCCTCATGAAGTAGCGCAACGAAATCAGCCGTGTTCCAGGAGTCTTGCGCGGTACGCAAGTTGTCCTCGACGCCACGGAGAACTGCGTCTGTGTGGCATCGGAACCCGACGGTCAGTGGGGATGAATGAATTGGGCCTGAGACTGACCATAGACACCCGGCGAGGTATTCTTGAGCATGGATTGCGCTTCATCCGTTGTGTAGTCCGGCTCCACGAAGAAATACCCCGCAATCAATGGCAGGTCATTCAGTTTTATGAGGCGGCTCTGGTGGGGTGGAAACAAGAGATAGCTAGTTAGTAAACAACAAAGTGTGAAGTCGATAACACACACCTGCACTACAGCGAGAACGTCCTGGACGTACGACACCGCCGTATGTGAACTGGGGCATCATCAGCGAGGGCTACGCGGTACGAGGGGATGCGACGTGCCTGTGCGGGAAGGCCTCCTTGACGAGAGTGTGTACGCTCTCAGCGAGCACACGAGGTCCATCAGGCGACTCCATCGCATGCATAAGGTGGCGCTTGTTGATGTACCCGAGCTTCTGGGGGTCGAGCACGGAGCGACGATGCGTCACGGACGACAAGTCAAACTATGATGAGGGCAATGAGCAAGGGTGGATCCCATACAATGCAGGAATGTGTACCTCGCGGATCATCTCCTCGAGCGACATGATTGCCGTACTATCTGGCGCGTGCTTTTGTTGGGAGGAGGTTGTGGCGGCCTCGTGGGACACACCCCAGCCGGCGAGAGCAAGCCAGTTGAGTATCGCGCGGGACTCCCATCCGCGGTGCTGTCGGTATGTGAGCACATAAACACGTACCACAAGGCGATCTCTACCGACCTTGTAATCCATGACCTGGACGTCACCCTTCCGCTTCGACATCTTCGTGCCGTCTAGGTTGAGAAGTAGCGGAAGGTGCGCAAACTGCGGCGGTTTTAGAGACAGACACTCGTATAGATCTAGGTGCAGTGGAAGTGATGGGAGCCATTCCTGCCCAGTCTTAGCGTCAGGATTCTCATATGTGATGTCAGTTAGATCACCTCTCCGCGGAGTACATGGGTGATGCCCATCTCATGATCGTCTACGACTGACGCAAGGTGATAGGTCGGAAAGAGGTCTGACTTAAGGAGAACGGGATCGGTAGGCAGGGACGCATGCGCGTCGCGTAGATGCCCGAAAATGAGGTCCGGAGGTGAGCAGCGTTCAGGCAGCCGTCCATCCTGTGAGATAAGACATCCTATTAATGCTAGAGCTCAACGGAGAATGTGCGGACAAGTAGACGTACATTGAGCCTGATCACTGACTTCTCTCCCGCACGTACGCGTCGCGCTACTTCCTCTTCGGTCAAGTTCAGACACGCCTTATCATATGTAGAGTTTGAACCCGTCCGTGCAAGCCTCTCGCGCGTTGCTGAGAGAGATTCCGGGGAGCAGAAGCAGCGATAGGCGTGTCCTGACTAGGCGGCACACGAGTAAGAACGCCAAAATGTCCAGCGTGGAGCTCGCAGATGTACCTCGAGCAGCTTGTTGGCATATACGTGATAGAGGTCTAAGCGTTCGGACTAGAGCATACAATTTAGGGGCCGCCGACTGCTCATACTGTTCGCCTACCTGGAAATAAGGTGCGTGAGGGCCAGATTTGCCGGGTCCTAAGTTGAAGTTCACTTATGACGCACGCTTCGCAGAGCATATGGCCCGACGCTCACCATGGTCATACTCCAGCCCCGACCACTCCAAAGCCTGCCGTATGCCGTCAACAGCACCAGGTACTGCTCGTGTCTAGGGCACGTTGCCGCGTGAGTAGTGCGTGTTTACAATGAAGGTAACACGAACCGCGTCTGTGTCCTCAATTCTCAGGATCCACTTCCCTCCAAGTTTCCTGGCGTAGAGGTAGTTGTACAGTGCAGTGCGGAGCCCTCCAAGGTGCAAAGCACCTGTAGGAGACGGAGCAAAACGCAGAAGAACCATTGTTATTGTTTTGGACAGACTAGCAAAATAAGGAAATTTATTCAGCAAAGCAAGACGTGCGGGACGTTCGGGACGACGAGAGTAAGCCCTCAGCGACGGCAAGCTGCTCTTCGTCGACGTCTAGAATGTCTTCCCGCCTTTACCAAATATGGTAGTACCGCTCGATCGCCCCCGATCTAGCCCGATCGAGGCTAACTCTGCACTCAGCGGCCACATAACCAGGCAGCGTGACCAGTCCTCACTGGCCCACTGATACTTCCAACTATCCCTTCCTAGGCCCAGACTTTGGTTTGGGAAGATCCCGAACACTGAAACGCCAACAGAATAGAATTTTCCTCAAATTGGGACCGGCGTGAATTATGTGTAAGATTGTGGATATCCAGAATCACGGCAAACACTCTTCTAACCGTCATTAATCATGTAACAATCTTATCCCCAGCGCGAGAATGAGGTGCTAGACCAATAGCGGACTCTTTGCGGTGATGTGCTTCCAGCGACCGCGAACGAGACCTGCCGCTACTTAATGTCACAAGTCAGACACGAGGCCGTTAGCACTGGCTCAGAGATCCTCCCGTCGTTTCAATGTAGTGAAATGGTATCTGATGTTCCATACACCGTGGGTTATCTTCTGAATAGAGCTGTTGTTATCGGAGGTGCTTCAGTCACTAAGGATGGACGAGATCGCGCCCACTTCTTCCATTGTCTGCGTCCTCCGCACGCGTATTCGAGGTGTCCCGGGACATCCAGTGCATTCCAATTCCCGCTATTGGGCCGCCGGTTACCGGAAGCTCTAGGGGATCGATGCCAAAGCAGCACACCACCAGAACGCTATGCGTGCCTTCCAAACCCCGAGGAGGAGACAGCTACCAGACCGTGAACGGCCGAGCAATTCAGTAGCACGCCGCCTCCTGGCCCCGCTTCCCGGCCCAAGGTTGCGATACCCACAGACGAAGTGGGAAACCAAAGATGCGCAGCTGTAAGACGCTGGGTGAAGCACGTAGCTTGAGTTACACCCTTCCAACGGCTCAGCCCCACACACATTAGTCCCCACTTCGCCGCTCAAATGTCACATCTCAAATACACGTCAGCAAAATAGGCAGCAAATAGGCAGTGCAGGTTACATTGGAGCCGCGTTGCACCGCCAACTTACGAACGACGAACGTGCAAGTCACATGGAAACCCATGTTGAATTAGTGTTGCTATATCACACCGTCAGTGACGGCCCGTCGGCCCTTTAGGATGGTCTCCGAGATTCAACCGTCCTCCGCACGATGTCCGCGTGCGAATGCTGTCGCTCGCATAGCCTCGTAGGCGTGAGGGTGCATGGTCACCACGTCAGCAATCAACAGATGTTCATGACGAGGACAATGGATGATTATTTTGGGATCAATACGGTGGCTGAAAGAATCCTAATTGACAAATACAGATACAGCTCGAGATACACATGGTCCGGTTGAGGGCAGGCGGGGGCTCTGTGGCTTTTTGGGTAACGTGGTGCAAGATGTAGGGCGGTGCCTGTGTACCAGTAACAGAACAACAGTATCGCCGAGTCAGCTAGCCAGTCCAAAGTTCCGATTCGAGGCCCGAAGAGTTGACAGTTGACAGATATCCAGCTAAGACGGCACCAGTAGAGAGAGGCAGATGTATGGATATCCACGGGTTCAGGAAGTCGAAGCCGGAAATTGCTTGGTATAGCGCTCCAGTAATTGAGTATACGTTTCGGATATCTGTTGCACATCAATTTATAGCATAACCAGGAGGCAAGAACCAAAATATGGTTTACTTACCTTTTCTGCCCGGCCATTGCCATCTGGGAGAAAACGGCATATTGTCGTGGACGCTTCGAACCACCGTTTTGCCTCATCCAGTAATGACGCACTGAGAATTGGTCAGCTACCATTAGTCTTATTTGCCTATATTTGGGTTTGAGCTTAACGGACTGTAGACATTCAATGCCAGTATTGTACGATGTGCCGAGCAGCCACTGTCGTTCGTCCAGCGGATAGCCCTGTAGTGAGAATTTGTCATCAGCTGCGAACACGATATGCCTGAGAAACGGAGCACTTCGGATGCGGCGTCCGTGGCCTGATTCTCAATGACATGAATGGCTTGCTCGACATATCCAATTGCCTTCGCCCTATCTGCAGCAGAGTTTCGAGAGAGAAGCATCGAGCAAATAGCGCGAAGCCACCTAGAGAACTTATCGATCGAGAACAGGCTGCGATCAAGGCTAGCGTGAAGGATAGCCTGAAGCACATGCAGCGCGTCGTGAGCATAACAACCAACAGGCCAGTGTAACGGGCTTCCCATTACCTCAAGCGCTGCGAAAAGTACTGCGAGGTGTTTGTCAGCGAAGAATGGCAAAATGGCCGGAGCGTCGGCATACCATCAATCGGGCATTCCCCTTCAACCCACTAAGAGTGACATCATGCGAATCAGGAAACAGGCGCCAAGAACAGATCACGATGGCATACCAGGATATCTGTTATGGCCTCAAGGGTACTCAGGGCAAGGGTATTGCATCCGACGACTTCCTATAACAAAAATGATAAGACATTCATCGAATTAAGACGCCACTTACCTCAATTATACTGAGAAGCCTGCCCCATTCCCTTAAACGGCTTAGTAGTTCCGTTTCGAAAACCCGCAGAACATGCAAGAAGGGCTCCGCGCGAGTGGATTCGTCCCTATCCACTTTCTTGTTATCGATGATGCTCCTTATGCGCTTCTTACTCGCAGCGATATCGTCTAGTAATGGCCGCAGAAGACTATGCTGAGCATCGCGGCGAATGTCAGTAAGGATACAGTCACATCGGCGCATGGCCGCAGCACCTGCTCGTTTTCCCCATTTGTGACTTGTCTTCTGACAGCAAACACTTGATTTTGGGTGAGCAAGCGGTTCACTGGAAAAGAACACTCTTCGGTCCACACCTCTTCCGGCGATGGCCGCGAAAGACGCGTTGATTATATGGACATGAATTTCTGCATCAACGTCCGTGAGGACGGAGTCACGGTAAGTTTCCAGGAACTAGGATGAACCGTTGAGCTGCTGCGGCACTAAGCGTTGCACGAGGATAGCACGAAGGTCTCACCTGTCTTGCGATATCAAACAACTCCGCCACTCTATCTTCAGAATTGTGCCATTCGGTACATCCTTGTATCGCGCAATTGTATGCTGTTCGCCACAGCCACGAGATGTCCTTAGAGAACCTAGCGACCGACTGGCCGGCGCCTAATCCCGCAGTTAGCGTCCTAGCTATTCAGGGTCAGATGTGGCCGCCGGCGGCAGAAGCTAAGGGGTTAAAACACCACCAGAATTGAAATGTCGAATCAAAACCGGCACAAGGACCGTGCTGATCGCGTGAGGTTTCGTGAGCCGATGATCATATCACCGGGACGCCGGGGAACATACCGGTCGGCACCAGGCTCTGCCATTAGCTTGAGGACAAGTCGGATAATACATCGAATCAACGTCACAGTGTCGTGGCCGAGATCATTACCATCTGAAGATTGCACCGTATGCAGCAATGCTTCCAGAACAGACAACAGGACTTTCTTCATATCGAACTCGTTGGCGAGCTGCGTAGCCAACAGCAGCATCTTCCGATTGAAATCGGAAGCAGCGGCCATACGCTTGACCGCGTCGATTGCTGCACAGTAATATTCAGAGAAGTGCGCTTAACTAAAATGATGGCTCCGGAGCACCTTCATCTTCGAGGCCTTCATATAGGTACACATCAGCTCATCTAGTTCGATATCCAAGAATGGAAACACACCTTGATGGACAGCGGTTAGTAGCTTGATGTACTGAGTGGCAGCTTCGTGATCAGGACAGCGACGAATAACCGCTGCAGCTATAGCGTAATCGCCCTGTTGAATGTGGCACAAGGCTGCCTTGCGGAAACATTTCGAATGGCTTAAGGATGCTATACTACCGAATGCCTTGTGTGTGCCCGCTATGTACCAGTCGGCAGCAGCCGACCAGCGCCGTGCCTGATACTGACGATCACCAAACTGCCAAATCAGCTGTTGTGGGAAATGAGACTGGCGGAAACGCTCGATGGCCGCTGCACCGACCGTGAGACATGCTGTGGCGGATAATTTCGAGAGGTCAAAATGCGCATCTGTCAGATCTGTGACCAATGTTACGTATGGTTGCCGTGGACTCGAGTCGATTTGAAACTCACACCCCAAGACACCTGAGAGATCCTGCATTGCTCTAGAATGGTCGGCATCTTTCGAACAATGGAAGACGAACGACAGGAGCAGCCGATCAATATGATTGGGTGGTGAGATGTCCTGCGCGTCCAAAAGCCGCTGGAGACAGAACTGATGAACTGCCGTGACAAGGGCGCTGTGACGGGTACAGGGTGAATGTCGGGGCTTATCCGGCGATGTGGACTCACTGTTCTTGACCGAAACTTCTCAGCTCCTGCAAAATGCTGTCACGAAACTCGCGTGAGTACAATTCCGTGGAATAGCCACCGAAAATCTTAGTGTTTTGCCAAACCACATACTCAGTGATATTATTTTCTGACACGACCATGTGATCGATGATTGATCGGAATGCTGTATGCAAGCGTTAGCGACTTTCCCCGCTTTTGCGCAATGTGACATACCATCAAGTAGCACCGGCTGAGCCGCCTTCCGCTTCTTTAAGACAGCTATCCGCATCCATCGCAGTTGCTGATATTCGCTGGACGTCTAGGGATACCATCTTATTGAGCGGACTCAGAGAAACGCCGCACGCTAAATCTTACCTCCTCGGCAGCATCGATCGATTCTATCAGCTCATTGAGAGAGGTCTCAGCACGGATCAGGTTCTCAGGAACCTCGGTAGACGAGAGGAAGTAGGCGCGAGCTGATATATATGGATGGTGACATAGACACCTTGACAATTGTGTCTGACGCTTACCGAGACTGCGCAGGATCGATCTCTATCATTATTGCAGATGCAGAATACGTGCAGTCAGTTCGTCATGAAGGAATGCTGCAGATTTGACAGACCTTGAGTTCTTTCCCACATTGCTCCTCCCCGTGCTCTACGTTCTCTATGATTGTAAACGCCTTCTGTAGCCACCTGACGGCGTCTCGAGCCGGGACGCCACGCGGAGATGGATGGCTGTCCGCCGAGTTTGGCCTCAACAAGGATTTGCCTATCTCCAGGAGTTTTGCAGCTAGAGATTCTCGCTGAGAAGATATTGTTAAGTGAAGGATCGAAGTAAGACTCTACTTCCTTACATCTCGTGGCAGTAGAAGGGCTAGTTGATCATTTTCTGTATACCAAGGTATTTGCCGCCTGTATATCGATCAAGAAAGGTATGCATACCCACGACTTTTTGTAGCATGAATTCTGCTACGCTCTCATTTCCCTCTCTCCAGGACTGATATTCTGAGTGAAATCGACTCTACACGACAAAGGGGGGGCCTTACTGCTTCCATCCTGCTACAATGGTATACCACAATAGCATGGACGCGAGCTTGTGAATTGGCGTTCTCCAAAGCATCTGTCTTCTTGAGAGCTTCTTCGTACTTTCAATCCAAAAACATCAGCGGATGGCATCCTGTCTGCTATGAAAGGAAAGGAAGTCACTTTGGCCGCCGATGACAGTACACTGGCTGCGAGTGCATGACTTCCAGTTGCTATGAGACGTCATGAGCTTAGAGTTCGTTCCCAGCGCGCATCCATCGTTGGCAAGTCGGCGTACCTGACAAACTAGCGCCAGCTTTGCTCGCGAGCTGCAGCACATGTATCAGAGCTGCGAGCGCGTGACACGGTGGGTCATTAATGGCTCCGTGCGTCACACAATGAATGAAACGGCGCACTCTCAACGTCCGGCTTCTGCTGCAGCCCGGCCTCCACAAGGCGGAAGCCAGCTAGCCTCACTAGCGTACAAGCATCCTGTTGTGTTAGTGTGCGACCGCGTGTCCGCAGCGGAACTCACATGCAGCGGAGACGGCTAGGCTCTCATCATCATTGGCTTCGCGTATGCGCGCAGACGCGTTCCACAGTTCTACGCCTGTCCTTGTTTTTTTATTGACGATCGCCGTATGCGGAAGGCGATCTAGGAGCACTTGCCTTCACGATCTAGGGTGTCGGCGATGTGGGCCCACTCTTTGTTCGACCGGGGGCGCTGTCTTGTAATTGACTCGGCGAGCGAGGCCAGTTGCTGGAGCTCGGTGCATATAGAAGACCATGTCCGCCGCCTGCTGTCGTTGACCTTGGGTTTGATGCTGATCAAGATGGCTGTATTCCGGGTCCACCACTATGGATTCGGTTCATTGAACCAACGAAATCCGCTCAAACTCACTTTCAATAGAATTGAACGATTCTGCAACCTTTTCCGGCACTTTTTGCTTGCTTGTTAACATGTTGACGCGCTACGGCAGGCTATATGCGGGGGAACACAATCGTATGGCGTGCGGCAACCAGTGACGCGCATGTAACTGACGCGTGACGGAACGCGCCAAAGTGACGCACAGAACTGACCGTCACCTACCGTCACTCGCGTCCGGCAACGACACGTCTTAGAAGGAGCCGTAGGCCCAAAATCACACCGGAGATGGCTGAAGAGATTGGAATAAACAAACTTCCAGATGGTGCCGTTGCAAGGTGCACCAAGGTATCGCAGCTGTCCCACCACGGTGGTTTGCGTTCACACAGGATGCACTAGGACGCCCGAAAAGATGGTGTGTTTGCGGGCCTGTCTGCGGGCCTGGTGGGAGGTGGATAGTTCAACTTCCTCTTCATGTGCGCAAGCTGACCGTGCATCGCACCTTCTAGCTATCTTGGGATCCAAAGTCTTCCGTTTCAACAAGAACACCACCATCGTCTGCGGCATCAGTGAGTCTCGAGACTGAACTCGGGCATCAGGGCTCTGACCGCTTGGCGTTGCTGATATCTGCATTTTGCTGTCAGTGACTGGCGTATTGTCTGGCTATCAATTCACCCAGGCCTTCCTCTCGTCGAATCTTGCGCGCCTTCGTGCAGAACTGGCCGAACGGGAACGCGTGGAGGCCCTGCCCACAGGTGGAGTACCGTCAGTGCCCGAATAAGGTACATGGCACAGCGGACTTGGCACGTCGCTAGAGACATGATGCGTAGCGCATTCGAAACCACAGATGCGGCGAAGCTTCGCAATGAATTGCACGGCATAGTACGTACAGACACCATAGTAGTGCAGATTCGTGGGTTTAGACACCTGTCTACGTATGCGCATTCCGTGTTGACGGAAAGGCTCTCCGTGGATCATGACAGAACGACAGAGGTTCCCAAAATGCTGCGAACTTCTGGGCCCCGTGCGAAGGCCCTCCTATCGCCGCCTCCATGACAAGACGTATTTTTGCAGGGCGCCTGTGTACGCAGCTGCGGTCCCCGTGGCCAGACGTAAGTACTAGTAAGCATGCCACTGCGGCTCGCGCCGCACCCAAGTCCCCAAACCACCTTGGCCGCCCAGATTGCGGCGTCTGTGGCGTGTCTGGCCGGAAGAAGCGAGCCCGAAACAGGCCCGAACGGTGGTGCTACGGCGGATCCGTGAACGTTCTCTAATATTGGCGTTGATGGTGCCGCCGCGTTTCGCCTGTCTCACGAAAAGGTACAAGATCGCTTTTCTGCGACTCCAGGCTACAGCGTCAAATCGATATCTGATGGCCCGGTACGGTGCAGACCGCCCCTCCGCCGGCAGGGAGCAGAGAGCCTGGACGCCTAATAGTGCCTTGCTAAGCCCATCTTCCACCTTTAGTGCGCTGCGGTCGTCGCTATTCGCGACCCCTTCCCCGCACGAATGCAGATCCCATGTGCTCGTCGCGCGAGGCTCGTTCGTCGCTGCCGATCAAAGGGACATTCCGGCCGTGGCCTGGCGCGCTGCAGCCTGTCCGAATAAGCACCTCGCGTCTTCCTCGGACAGATGCACGTCCGTGTGTGATGTCTCACAGGACCCGACAGGGACAGGCTGCTTGCATAATAGCCCGCCCCTCGCCCGGCGGGCGCTGGTTTTGGCGACGTCAGACAAAAAGGCAAACGGGCCGCGCCGCTCTCACCTGTTTCTAAGCGGCTGAGAAAAAGCGAATTTGCATATGTGACATAGCGTCCCTGAATCTGAATCTGTAGGCCCGTCCGGCCCTGCTCCGCTGCTTGTAGAACCTTCGCCGCCCCCCGAAATATGCGGCAACCGGTGGGTGCGATCCTCGCAGTGGTGCTACCATAATCAGAAAACCCAAAGGCGAATGATACATCCATGTCCACGACGCTATGGAAAGATGGCCAATGGCGACGACGCCGGCGCCCACACATTCTGGGTCCACATCCAATTTCGCCAGCCTCCAGGCAATGCCAATTGCCGCCTCCATATACAGGCCAAGACGGCGCAGCGTATCGGATTCAATGAATCCATAATAGACTGCGGGTGGCAATACTAACATCCTCGTATACGTAAAACTACTTGACACTTATATCTAATGCTTCTATGAATATGCGACTGGGGAATCGTCAAATTGTCCGAATGCAGGGTATCAATGGCCGGTGGAATGCAACAAAGAGACGCTGTGATGATGATGTATAACAATGCGCGACAGAAAGCCGATGAAATGCGACAGGTTAACAGAGAACACAATACCCTTGATACTGGTGATACTAATGAATACAATGGGGCGGGGAACGGGGGCGAAAATGCAAATGCGAGCGATGCGTCGATTAAGCACGATGTGATGTAACAAGTCCAAACAGGAGGGGCCAAATTACAGACGCCGCCCGCGCACCTCGTAATATGGCGCGTACGCGACCGGGGCCGGTGTGGCATAATACTGGAATCCTGGCGGCCCAGCGTTGGCAAACTGTGCAGAGGGGATCGCATCAGAGGCGAGCGGCTGGCAGCCTTGCTGCACGTCCCCAGAAGACACGGCGTACACCGCCTGGTTTTGACGTGCCCATACACGAGAGAGCTCCGAGAATGGCGGCAGAACATGCGCGCGCGGCAGACGGACGGACATATCGTACGGGCTTGCAGACGCGGACTGCACGACCATGGGGACGTCAGGCTGCATTGGAAGTGGGGGCAGTTGTGTGGGGTGCGGCTGGTGGTACCGGAGCCGGCCTTTGCGCGCATTGCTGCCATCAGCATCTGCTGGGGAGCACGTCAAAGTGTAGAAGTACAGATGCTGTGAACGTGTATCAGCGTCTCGAGAACGACCCCACTAACATAGAGAGCCTACCTGGGGCACCGCGTACTGCCGCCTGTCGTCCACATGATATGCGGACGCCAGCGTCTGCGGAACTTCGTGCTGACCCGGTACTGTCGCCACCCAGGGCGCGCCAGTGCCGGCATCGACGGGTGACGCGCCGAGTGACAGCTTCGAGAACGACTGCAGCGACTCCATTGGCGAGGCCGAGCTTTCACTGGACTGGCCGCTCGAGTACTCAAGCTCCGGTATTTGCAGGGTAAGACCAGTAGAGCGTCTCGGAACCTGGGCCTGTCCACGCGCGTACGCAGCAGCGTCTGGGTAGAATGCGTCCGATGCAGTTCGCTTCGAGCCCGGTTGCAGTGAGGGGATGGCATATTGGACATGCTGCTGCTGGGGTGATTCGTAGTAAATTTGCTGCGATGGCGCTGCCAAAGCAGCACCAGAGGGCATACGTCGTGGTGATGATGAGCGTGCTCGGTGTGCTGTCAGCTGGGACCTGAGAGCGTATGAATGGTGGCGTGGATGACTTCGATGTAACGAGCGTGTCGGTCGCCATGATCGCCGCCAGTTCTGCAACTCTCGCTCCTTCGCCATTACAAGACCTTGTAGTAGATTCAACCATGACTCGTACGTGGACTCGTCCACATACAAACCAAAGTCGATTCCGAGCAGAAACTCCTTCTCCATCTTGTTGAGCTCAATAAGGTTGATTCCCGACACCTCTGACCACGTCTTGTTCGTGTACGTGTTGCTGAAGGAAGTTTAGATGGGATATATGCGCACGAAAATTGAGTCAACTTACTCGTCTACGAACTTGTTCGCCATCATGAGTGCCGCAATTGCGACTCGGTATTCGCTACCCGCTTGGCCAGAAGTGAAACGATTACGCGCCTTCATGCGGTATATGTAGTGTAATGACAAGACGATGACGGACTGACTGACTTGCGTCGTCTCGAGAACTTTTTGCATGAAGCGTACGAAGGCTGGCGCGACGGAAAATTGCAACGACGCAGTAGAGGGATTACTAGGGGGAATGTACGATTTCTGGTCTTGTGATATCATGCGGTTCTTTTTGGATGGTGAAGATGACTGAGAAAGGCTCGAGAACCACAGGTAGCAGATCATCTCGCAAGTCTTCTCAGCGATGTATTGAGAAGAGCGGCTCTCGATGTCAGTGAACCAGTTAAGATTCAATTCAGGAGATGCCTCTGGCGGGTCATCTGCTACATTCTCTTCGCGAGCGGTATAATGTATTGGAGGATGGGGTTCCGCGGGTGGTGAAAGTGGCGCAGGGACTCTGTGAGAGGCGGGCCCAGCACTATGCCAGTGGTACGAGCCATCGTGTTGTGGTGGCGTGACTATGAAGACTCAGCACTTGGCTCGGAAACACGCGTACCGACGCGACTTACCTGGCGAATTGCGCGACATAGCATGGTCGAAGTGCGTGATAGGAGGCAGGACAGTCTTGTACCGTGGCTGAGACTGCAGAACGCGCCTTGGCGGCGCACTGGAGAGCGGGGGAGTGAGGGGTACTTCTGGCTTGGGCGGACGCCATGAAGACCATGTGTGGAGAAGCTCAATGGGCAGCGGCGGCAGAGTAGGATTCATGGAGTACGAGGACGGAGAATGAGGGAGGGACGGAGGAGTGTAAAGGGCCATGGCAGGGGCTGCTAGAGTAGATGGAAATACGGTAGAGGGAAGGTAAGCGGTGGCGGAAGGAGAGACATGATATAAAGAAGAGGTGGACTTGTGAAGATCAAGCCATGGCCGGGAGAGGATGGCTGAAAATAACCGAAAAGAGACGAACAGGGGAAGCTGTTGTGTCGCCAACGCGAAGGCTGTTGGCCGCTTCCGTCGACGACGTCCTAGCCGCCTTCCGTCAATCTGCGCCCTCCAGATCCGCCACCCGTCTCTTCCCCCTCCGCTCCGGTAATCCCTCCCTTTTCCCTTTTTCCCGCCCTTATTTTTCGCTCTCCGCCTCTGTGTCCACCTCCCCATCACCACGGCCCCTCGGCAGGGGGATTCCCCATAGCCTGTCCTCCGTCCCACGGTCCATACATGGTAGCTGGCGCTCACGTGACGTCTGCATTTGGCAACTCCGAAGGCCCCTCCAGCCGGCCCTGAACCAGCCTCCTGATGGACACCCATAACAGGCCGATGCGGTGGCAACAGATTGGGTTTTGCCTCAAATGCAAAGCTAATTTTCGGTGTGGACCCATCAGATCATACGGCATGCAGATCTCGTTGCTGCGTCGTTCTTACTCCTTTGCCTCCTATCATGACATTCGCCTACTTCCCGTCTTTGATCTCTTTCACGAGTGGATCCGTGTCCCAGCGGTCTGTGCACACGTACCCCCGCACTCCAGTAGCATGTGTCTCAGCCTGCGCACTGACCCAGTGTACAGGCTAAGTGCGCTAACCTCTCCTGAAAATGTCATTCGTCATCGTTGTCCCACATGTGAAGATGGTTTACCAGCGGCGCACCCCTGCGCCGTCGCTTTCGGCTCCTGCAGAATTTGCGCCTCTAATACGGTATATCCTGCAGTGCGCCCGAGGTTCCCGCCCCTCTGCAAATTTCCCGCCGCCGCGTCCCGTAATAATCCTGCAATTTCCATACACCCGTATCCGACCAACCGACTGCCTCCGAGTCTACGGCCGCTACGCTTGACTTGGTACGCGTCCCAGAACGCTTGCTTATACAGTCGGGGTTCTAGACCATCGGACGTCACGGGTGTGATCGACTGTCCGTGACGCTCACGCCGCGCCGGATGTGGACGCTTGGACCTCCAGCCGGCGACTGATCACCACATAATCGCCACCTGGCCAACTCCGGTCAATTATGAGACCGCACCACTTTCCGCGGTATCTGGTCCAAGCGGCCTGGCGCAGGCGCTGCGAATTGGGGTCGGTCTGATGCAATCGCGTGGCTGACTGCCCGTCGACGGCCCACAGTTCGTACGGAAGGCACTTGGCAAAGTTGGCGGCACGTCCAGCGGAATATCTCATCCATCAAGCCACGCTTGGCCATACGACCCGCTTCTATAGGCTTCGACGCGCGCTGCCGCCACGTCCGTCCGTTTGGGTGGCTTCTAAATCAGTCCGCTGCGCTTTGACTCACAAGACATTGCATGCCCGCTCGGAGTCTTAGCATGTCCAATTCGGCGTTATAGACGAACGCGTAGGGGTCTGACGACCAGCCTGTCAACCTTTTCTGATCGGGAAGTACACCGACGAGCCTCCTTGCCCTTCGGAGGGCGGTCGTGCGCGTCCACGTGCGGTACGTAAAGGCTAAATCAATTGCAATGGCGCAAACGACCAAGGGCTCAATTTGGTTTGAACCCCTCGTTACCTCACCGTTTCCTTAACCTGAATACATTGACCAGCGCGGTCTCAGCCAAACGGCTTCCCGTGGCGTGAACAAGGTTTGGATCTCGCGTCCCGCAGCCTTCGCAGCGCTTAAGGCACAATGAAAGTTTCACCGCCCAAAGCGAAGGAATTGACGGCGAATGCGTGTCGCAAGGAACCCCGTTGCATTCGCCGTCCATGGATATTTAATGTTTGCACACACTGCGAGCTCGTGATGGGCTACCGAAGCCGAGGGCGCTTCGGGATCCGCGGGTGCGTTTCGGTCTGGCATGTTCGGCGCGTCCGCCACCGTGCCACTCCAGCTTCCAGCCCTGGAATGCATACATGGGAGTTGTTTGGAACGCATCCGAGCGCGTGGCGAGCTCATCTCCGAAGGAACACGCTCGATGTCGAATCCAGCGGCAACAGGCTGTGCATACACGGTGTATACAGGCTGTAAGTATCTACATATCGCGCCATCTGAATCCCGTCGCGGTTGGTTGCACATGCACGACAGACAGGCACTGCTTCGCCGTCATGTTGCACCAGTCTATAGCAGCCTCTGAAGATATCACCACATCAGGGACTCTCGCAGCCAATTCGGATCTTCACAGGCCGAGGGCCCACCCTAGAATCTGGATAGTACGGAGACCCGGTTTGACTGGAACACGTCGCTTGTTGGATCTCCGGATATTTACCTGACATATGTACCGCATCCCGGTGGAAATCCGCGTGATGACGGGCCGCCCAACAGAGATCGCCAACACACCAACTCATTAAGACACAGTCAGTTGGCTGATTGATGGACTTTAGCGGTTCTGCGGCCGGTCGGTGAGAAGGATGTCCACCATTGCAAACTTGACGCCTGTGAGCCTGAACGTGATGCCCATACATGTGCGATATCCGAATATCGATATCCCAGATCTATTCCGGCGCTCCCACACACGGCTTGTCTGCGAAGCGTTTTGTGGGTCGATTAATGGATGTGCCTGAGATTCTCACTTACATGTGCCATTCAGGGTAATTGTAAGGGAAATGGAAGCGCGAGTTACATGGCTTACCTAGAATGTCATTTGCATGCCTGTGTCTCGGCGGGAGAATCCGGATATTACGAAGCCAGGATAGTAGACCGAGAACGCGCACGTCATCGATCCAGAGGCAATGGGATATCGCAGGATATGCACGCGTGCAGACTCCGCCAATTGGGAAGCACGGCTTCCGAACAAGGATAGATAATTAGTGCAAAGTCGAGGCCCTGGCGCAGCGCAGGCGCGATGCAGATGGCTTCTCCCAAGGATACTTATCACCAGAGCCACCGAGTAGTCGTTTCCATAGTGGTACGTGCGCCGGGGTCTCTGTCATGTGGGATTCTCGATGCTAGGGCTGTGAACGTCCAACAGCATGCACGTGTGTAGTTGGCCACTAGATATCTAGATATTTATCGCCCTTCTCGGAATACTCGCCATGACTATTTTGGGTGTACAGCGTAAGCATCAGACTCCCTGCATAGCAGTTCCACAGATGCTACTAGAGACACAGAAGCTCGGCCGCATGATCAGTCAAGGCAAGTATACTGAACAAGAGCTATGCAGAAGGAGGCCAAAGTCTGGCCAGTTGTCAGGCGCGAATTCGCGGTGCATCGGAGATGACTGGGAAGCCCTTGAGAAGAATCAAGGTGGCTGCCACTATACTGTTAGGATCCAGCCTATCAACGGGTGCGGAATGAACGCGGCGAAGAGGTGGTACTCGGGCCTGTTTCGTCATCTGCTTTGTCCTGAAGCACTCTAGTGGGATAGATCTATGTCAGTCTCAGTCCACAGGTGAGAAGTGCAAGACGACTCGGAGTAATGGAGACGGACGCAGTGTGATGAGGCGAACATATGGAACGCGTGACATGTCACAGTACCGCGAGCTCGACGCCTGTCCTTGGCTCACCGTTGTCGTCGTCGTCGCCCTTCCTTTCTGGTCTATTTCTCGTTTGATCTGCCTCACTGTCCGCGACCTCCGTACTGAATTCCACGACTCTGTAATACTCAAGCTTCCCCTGCGGCTGCGTTTCACTACCTGGTTTCCTGGACTTCGTTTCTAGTCCTCACGCCATGGGCGTACAGTTCGGGTCCTTCGACTCCATCTGCCAGACCGCCGCGCTCGTCATATGCCCGCTGATTGGCTCGAGCCAGGGCATAGAGCCCACCTGCTATAGCAGAAATGTGGAGTTCTCTGGGACGCTGATTTTCCAGCCTGGTGAGTCGCGGTATGCATAATGGGAGGCCGTCTTGACTGCCCATTGGCAGCGAGTTGGTGAGTGTATGCGCGGGATACTGACATCCTGGCGTCCTTAAGCGACATGCGCCATTCACATTGTCGCTATTATCATGACCGCAATCATGATCTTCCATATTCGAAGTAAATACACAGCAGTCGGTGAGTCAATTCAGTCGGTGTCTTCGCCGTGTAGCCTCCTTGACAGTACATTCGGCACTTCGTAGGGCGCAAGGAAATCCTCATGTTCTTCTATCTTTATGCCATCATCGAGCTTCTCGCTTTGTTCCTCGACTCCGGTGTCATTCCCACCGCGAATGTCAGCTATCCGGTAAGCACGCTCTACTTCCATTGTATAGCATCGTACTCAACCTGCCGACAGTACTTTGCAGCCGCATACACAGGATTTGTGGCAGCTGCATATGTCGCACTTCTCATCAACGGCTTCGTCGGTTTCCAGTTCGCGGAGGATGGCACGCCGGTCTCGCTGTGGGTGAGTTGCCCTGCACGCGAATCCACATTCAATTGTCAATGACCGTACTTCTAGTTGCTCCGCATAGCCATCCTCGTTGTCTTCGGCGTGTCGTTCTTTGTGGCCATCGCGACATTTAAGAACGTCGCGAGCTTTAGCTACACGAAGCCGATCGGGCTCTGGATCATCTACATTCTCTGGCCATTGGTCTGCGTCGTCATCTACACCGTATCGCAGCTTATCCTCGTCTTGCGCACGCTCGAGGACCGCTGGCCGATCGGCGACATCGTCTTCGGCGCGGCGTTCTTCACTGTTGCCCAGGTGCTTCTGTTCGCGTTCAGCGTCACGATCTGCAACGCGATAAAGCACTATATCGATGGCCTCTTCTTCTTCACATTGTGCATGCTTCTCAGCGTGATGATGGTATACAAGTACTGGGATAGTATTACGGTGCGTTCGGGTTGGCGGCGCTTGTCGTGGATGTCTCGGCTCATTTTTCTTCGTTCAGCGTGAAGACCTCGAGTTCTCGGTTGGCTCCAAGGCGACGGTATGGGAGGTCAAGGACCCGTTACTTGCTGGTGGATACGACTACGAGGACGATGCTACGAGCAACTACCATGGTGGCGGCAACACTGCAAGCCTTGTGGGTGGTGTCAGTGGTAAGCAGCTGTATGGCAATGTTGGGCAGGGGCGCAGTTACCCACCACCTATGGAGAGATATTGAACAGGGCTGTGGACAATTGTGCAGGACTTTGAACTTTTGCATTGTATACACCTCAGCTAATGACAGAACTGCACATGTAACATTTGTTCACTTTGATGGAGACTTGTCTTCAATTCATACACCACTAAAAGCTTGCTGTCCAAACATAAGACCTGGAGACAAACCAATCTTCTGCTAGACATAGCATGTTTGGCCACATATTATGAAAGAAATGATAATATATTTGCAACACAATATAGGTACATGAAAATAGCTCTATCCACCAGAGAAAGTACTCTTACTAAGAGTTTTCCAAAAATTGCTGGAGGCCGAAGCCAACAGACGTGTTCGGATGTGTAATTTGCAATCAGCAAAAGACTGTGCCTCGGTATAGACCTCACTGGCGACAGTACGTGCCCGAGCACAAGAATGGGAAACACGAGACAGAGCGCGGGCGCATATATACCGCGTTGAGTTTAGGGCAGGACAACCTCTCCGCGGGCGCTTGCGCGGATCGTTATCTCGTTTTTCTTTCCGATCGTGCGTGGCCGTGTGCGGGATGCAGCTGTCAAGTGAGCACAGAGACTACGGGAACAACGGTGGGCTGGCTCGAATATTTGTTTTACGAGCCTTGCGTGTATCCCATTGAGGCGCGCGCCGATAGGTGCATTGAAAGAAAGGTCATTTTGAGTGCTGTGGGTTCCCTGTGGGTTCCTTCCTTCGCCAGCCTTTATTCGCAGCGCGCCAGGGACGCACCAGTGAGCAGCGGGTGAAACGGACGCAAATGGTCATTTCCAGCCACCGCCCCGCAATGTATGCTACAGTGTAAGATAATGTCTGCAAGGCAGCGGGTATCCTGCCCCAGGTCCATACTTGACAAACCGATCCGTCAGCGAACGAGGTGCGCCACGTACCGCACGGTGCCTCCCCTCTTCCCTCTCTCCGCGCTCGCTCACAGCTACAAGAACCCGCCGCTCTTGCCCGACCCGAACCGCTCCCCGAGACCCCGCGCGTCGCGGATGGCCTTTTCGCGCGACTTGTCGTCCATCAGCCGCCCGGACAGCGCCATGTCGCGCGCGTGGTCCCAGATCGCCGGCGGGCCCTCCTCGCCGTCACCGCCATCTCCATCGCCCTTCGGCTTCGCGCTTGCGTGCGCGTGCCGCTCGATGAGCGTCCCGCCGCGCACCTTCTTCTGCTCGCAGCGAGCCAAACGGAGCATCGCGTCAGCTACGGCCTTCCGCGCGCGAGGGGAGAGGAAAGGGGAACGTGGACGGGAAGGGATGGGGAAAGGGGAAAGGATAAAGGAAGGGGACGGGGACGCACCGTGTGCTCCTCGACGCCGCGGCGCACCTCCGCATCGTGCCGCGCGCGTTTGCGCGCCTCGCGCTCCTCCTCGGGGTCGGGCGCCGCGTCGGTCACGCGCCGCCGCTTGCCCGCGACCTCGTCGGCGAGACGCTGCTGCCGCTCGGCGGGCGTCTCTGTCCAGAGCGAGTTGTCGCTGTCGCGCGCGGGCGCGGACGTGCGTGCGAACTGGCGCGGCCGCGTGAGGCGGGTCGGGTCGATCGCTGGGTGGGCGGGGGCGTGGTCAGCGGTCAGAGGGCGCGCGCGGGGCAGGGTGCGAAGGGAGGAGGGCGGGACTTACAGCCCAGGAGGTCGGACGAGGAGGGGGGCTTCAGCATCCACTCTTCGCGCTGCAGAGCTTTTGGTTTGCTCGCTTCCTGTGTGTGGTAGAGTCAGCCCTGTGGCTACGGCTCGTTGCAGAGAGAGTAGCGGTGAGAGCGGCGAAGCTAGCTAGGAAACCTTGGACCGAAGGAAACGTCGGCCAGCGACCGGAATGCGACATTCCGCGAGCACCGAAGGATAGACATGAGGAATTGGACTCGCCTCGATTTGTTTGCGCCGCTTCTCCTCCTTCTCCAGGAACTCTTGTACACCGTCCTTCTCTTGCACGACTGTACCAGAGGGTGGAGGTGGTGGTCCGTAGTCGTCGTCGTCGTCGTCATACTGATATGCGCGGGCTGCCATAGAGGGAGGCAGGGCAGGGCCGATGACTTTCTTCGGCGGAGGTTTCGGTGCGGCGGCGGTGCGTGCGGCGAGCATGTCGGGGGGCAGCGCAGGGACATAGTCGTCGTCGTCGTCGTCGTCGTCGTCGTCGTGGTGCGAGGGGAGTGCAGGGGATGGCAGAGGGATGCGAGGGCCGATGCTGCGGTTGTCTGGAGAGGGGCGTGTCATGGTGTGCAGTTGAAGGCGGACGGAGGAGCGCTCGATCGACGGCCACTATTGCCATGGCCCACTCCGTCGCTGGCTTTGCAGCCGCCGCCCTGGCCGTCCTCTCGCCTGCCCAGCTTGTGTTCCTGCGCGCCCTGCCCAAGGCGGACCTGCACGCGCACCTCAACGGCTCCATCCCCCTCCCCACCCTCCAGGCCCTCGCACGTGACGCCGACTCCCTCCCCGCCGCCGCCACCGACCGCGAGCTCGTCCGCGCAGGCATCGCCCGCCTCCAGGCCGGCGTCGCGCTCGGCGAGATCGACGACTTCTTCACGCTCTTCCCCGCCATCTATGCCCTCACCGCCGCGCCCCCTGCCCTCGCGCGCGCCACCCGCGCGGTCCTCGAGCACTTCCTCGTCCCCGCCGAGCATGGTTTCCCCGAGGCGGCCTACCTCGAGCTGCGCACCACGCCCCGCGCGACGTCTGCGATGACCCGCATGCACTACCTCGAGACGGTGCTCGCGGAGGTCGAGCGCTTCCCCCCAGAGCAGGCCGCCCTGATCGTGAGCCTCGATCGCCGCATGGATGCCGCCGTCGCGGCCGAGTGTGTGCAGTGCGCGATCACGCTGAAGCACGCCGGTCGCAGGGTTGTCGGCGTCGATCTCTGTGGCGATCCCAAGGTGCGCCCCTCGCTCCGTGCTGGTGTGCTGGATGACAAACTGTGCTCGTGGTAGGCAGGCGACATGACAACATTCGAGGAGCACTTCCGCAAGGCGAAAGAGGCCGGCCTCGGGATCACGCTGCACATCGCCGAGGTGCGTTGCCCGTTGCGCCTCCATGCGCACCCTCACTGACGCGCACGCGCACGCGCACCAGACGGCCGACTGCCCGCCCGCCGAGGTCCTCCAGCTGCTCTCGTACGCGCCCGACCGCCTTGGGCACGCGACGTTCCTCGACGACGACGCCAAGGCACACGTGCGCGCGCGAAAGACGTGCGTCGAGATCTGCCTGTCGTCGAACCTGCTCTGCAAGACCGTCCCCGCGCTCGACGCACACCATCTCCGGTTCTACCTCGCGCACGACCACCCGGTCGCGGTCTGTGTGAGTGCACACCTGTTTTCCCGCCGCCCCCGCGCTTGCTCACCCGCCATCCTCCGCGCGCCGCAGACGGACGACATCCTCCCGTTCCGCAACTCGCTGCTGGGCGAGTACGCGATGCTGCTCGCTGCGCCGCCGTACGGGCTGGGGCTGACCGAGTCCGAGGTCGCGCGCATCGCGCAGATGAGCATGGACTGCCGCTTCCGCCTCGGCGGGCGCATGCAGACGTGAGCGCGTCAGTGCATCGTTGCGGGCAGGTGCTGTTTGCAAGTGTGAAGCGTGAGTGTGAGTCGACGTTCTCTCCGCCCAGCTGTGACCCCCTATCTGCGTTCCGAATATGTTTTGTTGACACCACTGCTTAGGTTTTGTATAGAGTAGGATTGCGGCCGCCAGGGTGCTATCTGCGGTGTCCGCGAGCTTCCACTCGCATATGACCGCAAGTTGGACAGCGGCCAAACAGGTGCGCATGGCGTGAGGCGGCGGCTTGTCTAGCGCGCCGTGGTGAGTACTCGTGATTTTCTTCTGTCTCGTTGTGCATCGCTCTATGTGGGGCAGTCACAAGTGTAATATAAACGCAAACGCGTCGAACCGATAGCCACCGGTGGATGTGCCTCTTCCTGGAACGTGGACTGCCGCTTCCCAAGGAGCGGGACATTTGTCGGTGTCGGTAGAGAAGGTGGATGTGGATCTCCGGCATGCCTGTAATCTTGGATCACTGGAGGTCCTGTCATCCTGTCTGGAGACAACTTGTCCATGTCTGCCGATTCACCTCGCTATGTTACGATGGTCATTTTTCCCCCCTAGGGCCACCGAACCAGCAGCGTACTGTGAAGCCCCCGGTGCCATTTTACTGCCAAGTGACCCAGAGTCCCTCGACAGCGTATGATCAGACAGCGACTACGTTCACAGCGTTTCTCTCGACCCGAAACCCATTGAGCCAGCCCGCATCCACTGGTTCGCGTTCTTTTCCGATTTGCTTCGTTTCACCCTTGCCTGGGCACCTTGCAGCTGTTTTTCCTGAGCCCAGCCCCGGACACAGCCAAAGCCCCAAGGCCTCATGCACATGTCTGCCGTCTCGATCACCCCGCAACGACGTCTAGAGCATATCCGTGTGCGTGATTTAGGCCAGTGGCGACTTCGGCATCTTGGTCGTCATATTCGAAGAATCCGGGCGTCGAGGACGACTCTGAGAGCCGTCTACCCGTGGCATGTGCGTGCTGATGCGGGTGCATGACACGGCGTAGAAACGCAGTGGCCAGAGACACTCTGCTACCTACGCGTCCTGTTGGCGAGTTCAACAAATCCAATGATACGGAATCAACTGCACAGGACCGCTAGTGTGTTCAATCACACTCTATGCACACAGGCAGAACACGGTCGTCCGATTGCACAACAACAACACCCAGCGACGAAGTAGGGATGCCATAGAATCTGACTGGTTATCCTCGTGGGCGATTGAGCAGCCACGCTTCGACTGAAACCCTCACTAGGTGCGCACGATGAGCGTCGAAGACGCTGCAGTCGATACATTTGCCATTGTGAACATGCAGCGCCCCCTTTCCAAGTCCTCGCATCAGGAGATCGAAATCCCGGCCGCGTTCGAGTCCTCCACGTCTGCAGAACGAAACCTCACACTCTCCATGTTTCCAAGGTCCTCTGTGGGTTCATCCTGATACATGTCGGTATTCAACAGAACCGTGTTGAGAGCTGGGTCGCGCAGGTTGAGCATCAGCCGTGCGATGAGCGTGCTTGATATTCTGTAAGAGACCCTCCGCTCAGTGACTTCGTAGACTTGGTCCATCTCCCAGGCTGCAACTGACGTGTTCGTGATCGTGACGCCCATCCCACTTTCAGGCGGCTGTTATCAGGCCGCATGAACATAAATGCGATGCTGTGATTGGGACGGTCTCACCCCAATAACCTAGCAACGGAAGGCTTTGGTCATATGCCGATGCGAGGACAGATGGTCACATACAAGGTATGTCAAGATGTTTGCCATGTTCACCACAACTAAAGCACCAAAGTAGATCGTACCTGCGAACGCAGGAGGTGAGGGATGCAGTGTCCCGACGAAAAGGCTACTGACCGTCTCTGAGCATCACCTGGAACATGCTGCCGGAACCACCCAGCAGTCGTATGACGCGTATAGACCTTACGAGGGTCAAGAGGAATATAGCGGTGTCGAAGAGGAGCATAGTACACCACGGGGATGCGGAGACTGGACGGCACATTCATCTGAGGGTCCCTATTCTCGAATACAACTCACGTTCAGTTCTGTCAGTATCTGTCAGTCTCGTGGCATGATACATGCAAGCGAAACCGTACTGTTCTTTGGTCATCGGGAAGACACAACCCGGCAGCATTTTTGCAAGGGACCCAGTAAAATGAACTGAGGATTGATAACTGGTGATAGACAACTGCACCGGGAATTGTGTGAGCGCTCTCGAAACAAAGCACCATAGCGAAACCAAGTGGATACCCACGATGATCGTACCGCATCCCAGGATGAGAAAGGCCCCCATGAGACCTAAAATGTACTTGCTTCTTTGATATAGAGCCACCGTGCGCATCATTAATAGCGCTGACATGGGATCAGCGAGGGGGAGTAAATAAGTGTGCTGCGCCGCGCCAGAAACATTACCTGCAACGAGTGCCTGCGTTATGGCCGCAAATGCCTGATGGTATAAATCCAGCCAATGACATCTAGAAACAAGATGAGACACCCAGCACACGTTATAAGCAGGGAGAGCGCTGACTGCTGCGAAAGAAAACGTAAGACGTTCACTATCTTACTCATCAGAACGACGATACTCACTTCGCCGTCGAGATTCCCGAAGATGAAAATGATAACGGGAATCTCGCCGAGTAGGGAGACGTAGCGGTTCAGGACAATGAGCACGGCCACAAGAGAAAGCCTTTTCTGCTGTTTCCAGAACTGCTCGTACTCCATGGACAGCGTGAGGGTATAGTCATAATACAGAAGGGCTGCGAAAACAATACGCATGTAAGCCGCAGTGCTTGACAATGCTGGTTCTCAAACGGACTCCAAGCGGCGACGTCTAAGCAACGATTTGCCTGTACCACGGGAGGTCTACGCAGCTTGTTCAGAGCATACGTCGGCGAAGTTATGGTGACGCTTACTGAGATGCCATCGAGAACGATACTGCTGTTGCAGCGTAGGCGGTGGAGTGGGCTACCAACGCCTCCCCTTAGATACGGAGTTCATGCATGGCGTACCGGTGTGGGAGATCATAGAAGGGTGCCAGACGTGGGGAAATGACATCTGAATTAAATACCCCTATCACAACGTCCTGGTGGCGCGCAACGCGTGTCGAGTATGTGTCGCACGCGAGACGTCAATCTCAATAAAAAGCTTCGTCACAGGAGAGACGGTGAGTGTCATTTCCTTCCGGTTCCGTCCATATCAGGACTGCTGTGACAGAATCGTGAAAAGAATATGGGCCCTTGAGATGAGCTGTCAGAGTTGCTCTGGCGGTGACCTGCCAGCTGGTCTTCCTAGGCGTTGGCGAATGACCGCGCGCGGTTGGAAATACTGAAGGCTCGGAGATGAACGAGATATCGTCGCCCGCAGTAATGATCGTTGTCAGCATCCTAAGAGCGCAAACTCACTGTCGTATCAGACCATTCGGGGAAGGACGAACCAAGGTAAACTGACACAAATCTGCTTCATGCGCGAGAGCTAGTCCGGCGCTCATGCCGCGGTGAGCTCATCAGATGAAGGAACAAAGAGAGGGTCAAGGACAAGAACGCCGCGACGCCGCGATGTCGTGCATTGGGTTTGGATCGCTAAGACAGAGTTCGCTTCGCCAAAAACAGGCGCATGCTCTTCGATAATCCCGACGACAGAGACATAGATAGTACCAGCTCCGAGTCCGAGTCGTACAGTATGTCGTGAGCCTCAAGCTTCCTGCTTTTGCGTGTTGCCAGTGGAATGGTGGCACCCCTTCCAGCAGGTGCATCACTTGCCCGACACTCTCAGCACATCATCGATTCATCGCCCTGGTCGACAAATTGGTCTAGGAGACAGAGAAGAGCACGCAGATGAAGGGGGGGCGATGAAACGCCACCATGCTATCGCGTTAATGGCGCAGAGCGCACCGTCCTTTCAGCAGTTGATCGGATCGCGATCGGTAGGAATCACGTGGGGCGCGAATTTCTCGAGCGTGTATCCGCACCAACTCGGCTTGTATACCAGTTGCGCATCTCGTCTGCAGCTTTAGACTTCTTCCATACACGACATCTTACCGGTTATCTATCCCCTACCACAATCTCTACCATTGAAACAAATCATTGCATTGCGGCAACCACACAAATGGCGAGACATGCACGGAAGAAACAGAAGACAGAGAAGCCCTCGGATGTCAAAGGCACTGTTCGCCCATTAGGATCTGGCAGTAGGCTTTTAGACGATGCTACCAAAGATGATGAAGAGAGAAGACTCGAGAGCATGCTTTTTGGCACTGCTTATATCCCTGGGGAAGTACAGGCTGATGGTGTCCTGGTTGTATCCGACGAGGAGGATGCTCCAAATAAGGAGTACCAAAACCTACTGGACACAGACGTAAGTCATGCTATTCTTGATGTTTAGGTCCGTGCTCATCATTTTCTAGCTATTTTTTGTGGACGATGCTGCCGGTGAGCGTTCCGACGCGGATCGCGATGCGCATCTCGACGTGCGCAACGACCAATCAGACGACGACGCATCCAGTCGACATTCCGATGCAGAAGGTCAAAGCAAGGATAGCAGCGACGCTGAAGACTCCCCCAGTGAGTCTGAAGACGAACCACCCACATGGTCGAGGCGAGCAGGCAAAGGGCCTGCATGGGAGGATCCAGACGACCCTACGCTACAGGTTTCCCTTGCGCAAGACAAACGTCGGCGGAAACTCCGCGACGCAGCTTCCGAAGACGTAGTCGGAGGAAGAGAATACGAGCGTAGGCTTCGCAGGCAATTCGAGAAGATCAATCCCACTCCGGACTGGGCTGCCAACGCGCGGAAAGGGAGCGGCGCCAAGCAAGCAAAGCGGCGGAGACCAGCATCCTCGTCCGCCTCGAGTTCTGACGAAGAGGCTCTTCCTGATCTCTTGACTGACACCCAGGGCACACTACAACGGGGGAAGTCGCAGATCCTGGCTAAGGGCACTCTGTCCATCGAGCGGCTGCGCGATGCAAACCTTTCTGCAAAAGCTGAGGGCGAGATTAAGGTGGTGCAGTTCCATCCTTCACCACAGGTCCCCGTGCTGCTTACCGCTAGCTCTGACCGGCGGTTGCGGCTGTTCAACGTTAGTCGTACTTGCTAGATCATCCGGACATTATACTGACGTTCTTATGTAGATTGACGGTCATACAAATCCTCATCTACAAACTGTTCACGTTCCGTCTCTACCCTTCACGACCGCTCTCTTCCACCCTGGTGGCGGCTCTGTCCTCCTGACGGGGCCGCGCCCGTTCTACTACGTTTATGACCTCCAGTCTGGCGCGGCGCTTCGCTCGCCGCGAGGACTTTGGGGAACTACATTTTCCAATTCCAACGCCGCTGCACAAGACGCGAGCATGGAGATCTGCGCGTTTGACCCGTCCGGCGGGGTGCTCGCCGTCGCAGGGCGTCGTGGGAACGTGCACCTTGTCGACTGGCGTGGTGGGCAAGGACAGGTCGTGGGGAGCGTAAAGATGAATGCGGGGGTGAAGAGCGTGTGGTGGGGAGGCGCGAGCGGGACTGAGCTGATGAGCCTCGGCGAGGACTCAGAGGTATATGTGTGGGATGTAGGTGAAAGGCGCTGCGTCAAACGGTGGAAGGATGACGGCGGTTTTGGCAGCCATCTCATGAGTGGCGACAAGGCCGGACGGTATTTCGCAACCGGGTGAGTATTGGTCCTCGGTGTCCACCGTCCACTGATTCAATGTCGTGTCAGCTCTCGTACAGGTCTAGTAAATGTGTATGGCTCCGATGGAGCCTCCGCTACAACTGCGGCGACACCTAAGCCTTTGAAAACGATCGATAACCTTACGACGTCCATCACCGCTTTGCGCTTCAATCATGATGCCCAGCTGTTGGCAATAGCAAGTAAAACAAAAAAGGACCAGATGCGTATGGTATGTACGGCCTCTGGCAGTACAGTCGCGTCTCCTGACCCGCTCCTCCCACGCAGATCCATCTCCCATCCCTCACGGCGTTCTCGAACTGGCCCACATCGAGCACGCCTCTCGGACACGTCACGAGCGTCGACTTCTCTACGGGTAGCGAGTATGTTGCGGTTGGTAACAATCGCGGGCGCGTACTGTTGTATCATCTCAAAGACTACGCAGTGCAATGACATGGCCCAAGCCGGGTCGCGCCGCTTGCAGTGTTCCTGCTTTGGTATGCCATCGTTGTGCTATGGGCCTTTCGGTAGCCGGAGCTGGAAGCTACCTGCGGAGCCAAGTTGATTGAAAGCGGCACAGGAAAGCAAGTCAGAACACCTTACATTGAGGCAGGGACGCTATTTCAGGCACCACGACAGCTTGGTACCCAAGCCTTATAAGAGCACCTCGCAATATGCCTGCGGGCATAGCGACATACTACACAATGGGCAGTTAAAGGATTGCGAATGATCGTATCGGAGAGCCACTCACCAGCTTCGCTTTCTTCAGAGCTTCGGCGCGCCCCTCCCAGCTCGATATTCGGGCGATCGGCTTAAAGGCTTGATCTTGTAGGACATAGATACCCTGCCCGAAAACAATGAGCATGCACGAGTCAATTAACATGCCAGGACGGACGCACTCGATGATTCGTTCGCAGATTGTCGACCTGCTTGTCCCAACACGCTGCCCAGAGGTCCTTGCAGATGAACTTGACTGCATCGAGCGTGTCCGCGAAAAGCGGTCTATCGTGGCTTAGCCTAGAGGGGACAATCATGCAAGCTCAGGCATCGTACCAGGCTATGCAGACCTACCGTTCCGTAATGTTCGCGCCGACATGCATGCCGATCGCCTCCAAACGCGTCCTGACCGCTTCTTCCTCTTCATCGACACTGGGTTTGACACTCGAGGCTCGCGAAGCACTGCCGACCGAGTCGCGCTGCCCGTCCTTGAGCGTCGCGGGCACTGCTGTGGGAGCAGGAATGAGGCCGGCCTCCAGCATCTCCTGCTCCACCTTCTTCGCACGCGCTGCTGCCACCATGGAAGACTCCCGCAGCGCGTTAACCGCCTCAATGAGAAAGTAGTCCATGGCTGCGCCGTCCATTTGGCGGACCGGCGGGTCGGCGATGACAGCAAGAGATGGGATGGTAGAGGAAGACGGGATAGGACTAGAGCCGGATGCTGCTGCATTCTGAAAAGACGTCCTAGAGGTCATGGTTGTCGTATACTGCAAACTTGAGCCTGAGAGTGACAGTGCTCAAGTATGAGCCAGTGACTGCGAGTACGGCAAGATTGACGCGCGCCGCCACTGCTTGCTCTTCCCTCATCGACGAGTACCGCTCCTTCACAGCTTGCAGCGCTGCAGATTCTTATGCTAATCTCGCGTCTGCACGGCTGAAGCTGATACAGAGACATGTCTGGTTTCTCGTCCTTGCTGCAGTCCAGGCTGCTCGGACGCGACAGGACGTCCGACCCCCTCTCTAGGCTCCGTTTCGCCCTCGAGACTATGCCGGGCTCGAGGAAGTATGTCTTCACACCTACGACCCGTGCCGAGATTCTGTCCGAGCTGTACGATGCATTCTGGGGGCCATACGCGCATCTCTTCCTGCCCAACTCGAACTCAAGCTTGCCTTTACACGCTATGTTGAGTGAAGTACAGAATACTGTCAACACGGTCAAGGAGCCGCCTATTATACCAGGCAGACCGTGCGTTCACATATTCAAGAAGGGAGAGGCGTGCTTCCGCTGCAAGTAAGTGCCATCATGCGGTGCTCGAGCTGATGCTTAGCTGTGCCACTAGAGATTGCGCGTTAGATGATAGTTGCGTTCTATGCCCACGATGTTTTGAGGCCACCGACCATGCAGACCACAACGTCAGCTTCTTTATCGCTCAGCAGTCCGGTGGTTGCTGTGACTGCGGCGACGTCGAGGCCTGGCGAATGCCCATACACTGTCCGTACCATCCCCCGAAACCCGAGACCACAGAGTATCTGAGCGCGTTCGCTCTCAGGACTTTGCAGGCCACGCCTCGAGCCACTCCGAGGACCATACTGGGCCAAGAAATTCCTCCTGTGAGAGACTACCCGTACAGAGTGTCTGTGCCACAGGAGCTGCATGACACAATGAGTCGCACGGTGGCGTACGCTCTCGACTTTATCCTAGACACCCTTGACTTCTCTCCGGACGAGACAACCCCTCCCGCAAATGAGAACGATCTCCGCGCTCAGTTGTCGGGCGACCCTACACAACGCGACCAGTCGCGGGATCAATTCAGCCTTGTGCTATGGAATGACGACAAGCACTCGTTCGAGGAGCTGGTACTGCTACTCTGTGATCTATCGAACCGAACGAGAGAGGAGGCATCGGTCGCTGTGGACCGCATTGACGAGCAAGGCCGCGAGGTGATCGAGACGAACAGCAACGCGACACGCCTGCTGGAGATGGCACAGTCCATTTCGCAGATCGATCTGGGCGCGACACTGCGTAGGGCATACGACACGTTCAGAGAGCAGGTCGTCGCGGTGATCATCGAATGGCTGCTCGATCTGACCCGGAGTCGCCTGGCTACGGACACGCTGATCTTGCGGGAAGTCATCGCCGCTGAGCTGCTCAACCCCCGGAGACACTACGCATATATGCCCACTCACGACGTCGGCAAGGTCTTGTCCGACATTAATGACCCATCACGGATAGACTGGATGTTTCTGTATCATACACGGCTATGGAAAAAGCCGAGATTGAACTTGAAAGAAATCTACGCTTCTCTGCTTACACTAAGTCACGAACACAAGCTTGCAGTTGGTGAGCATTACTGCTTTGGATATGAATCGCTGCTGACAAAATGCCGCAGCTTCGCATTTTGCCAGTGTATACCATCGCATCATTGATGCCTATCTGCTCGTCGACCGCGAAGCCGAAACGTCCATCAAATATTTCGCCCTGCAGCTCTTCACCGTACCCTCTGTCGCATTGTACATTGTCCGCCAACATAACATCGTCTCACGCTTGTTGTCTATCATTACTGCATTCTTCACGAACCAGATCCAGGAAAAACGCATCGTATATCCTCCCGACTCGGATGCCAGCATCGACGTGGACAGCTACCCGTTCAAGTCGAAACGGTTCATGCCTGTCTTTAGTGACTTGCGGTACCTATGCCACAACGAGTCGGTTCAACAGCTGATCGCGCACAATCGCGAGTATATCGTGCAGTTCTCGAAGACGTGTCAAATCTTCATGTGCGTGAACCCGAACAAGCGCGCTGCGTCGAGCCATGTCGAGTACGAGACGGACGCGTGGATCAGCGTGTTCAATGTCACGCTCTCGCTCTCGCGCGTCATCAAGGTTTACGGCGAGGCATTTTCGCGGGCGACTGCGGCGGAGCTCGTCGCTGCGATTACAACAGTCATGCACCACATACTCATGGTGACGGCGGTGGCAGATGAGCAGCGAGACATCACCCGATTCCCTCCGGTGCTGTTCCACGACGTGAATTTTGGAGATACACCGTACCAGGTTGTCGACTTCGACGTCATGGAAGGTTGGGTCAGCTTCCACCACTCATTACAATGGCTACTCGCGGAGCTCTTCAAGCACGTCGACATCCTTAGCGAGGAATCGCTGCGAGAAATTGGTCTTTCGAGCCTCCGGGATGTTTGTCTACGCAACGCGAGTGAGCAAGCTATCTTGACAATTATTGACTATCCCTTGCGCGGTACGTCTACCCTTCGTAATGTTAGACTGGCACTAATGCATAGCATTTCGATACTTCTAGTGCTCGCCATGATTGCTCAGATCCGGACCGGTCTTTGGGTTCGCAACGGCTTCGCGATCCGTGGACAGCTTATGCACTACCGCGATTTCATGCTACGGGAGCTCTGCTATGATCAAGATCTCTTCATCCTCCAAACAGCGCTGATCATCCTTGATCCAAACACCGTCCTTGTCAGCATGCTCGACCGCTTCCAGCTGATCGGGTATTTCTCCGGAGCTACTCTGCATCCTGTCTACGAAAACACTCATCTGCCCAGTATGGTTGAGGAACTCCTTTACATCATCATCACCGTCTTGACAGAGACTGCTAGCGCAACTAATATGCCCATGCCGGCTGCCATCAGACGCGAGATCGTACATGCGCTGGCAGTGGGCCCGTGCACGTTCACGGACCTGACCAAGCGAGTGGCCGAGCGAATGGTGGATGACGTATGCTTCGAGCGTGTCCTGCGGGAGGTGACAACCTTCAAATCGCCCGAGGCGACATCCGACTCGGGACTGTACGAGCTGAAGGACGAGGCGTACGATGAGATCAACCCGTTCTTCTATCACTATACGCGCAACAAGCGCGAAGACGTGGAAACTGTCCTCCGAAACAGACACAAACGGAAGACAGGCGTCGAGGACCCAGTGATCGTACCCAAACTAGCAGACTTCGGGAACGGCCCATTTTCTACCATCCCGTCGGTATTCGAGTCCGAGGTGCTGCTGCAGATAATATTTTACGGCATCTACAACATCCTGATTCTCACGGATGCGCAAGGGGTTACTCCTCCGTCCTCAGAAGCCATTCTGGACCAGCTTGTGCATCTCATCATGCTCGCGATGGGCGCGAGGCCTCAGGTCTTCAGCAGGCTCGCCACGTATAAAGTCTTCGAGGAAGACCAAACATTATTGGATGTGCTGTGTGCATTTGAGCATCATGACAAGTTCAAGGCATACAAGGTTCGCGTGGAATGGATCCTGAAAGAGATGACTCTTCACCAGCCGGATGAAATGCGCCAAAGGAGACGCGTCGTCGACACCTCCATGGGTGATTCCATCGATCCAGCAGATGCGAAGAAACGTGCGGCCAAGGCGAGACAAGAGGCGATCATGCGGCAGATGAAGGCGCAGCAAGCTAGTTTCGTTACCAACCTCGAGGATCTGGATGCTGATGAGGACGAAGACATCGGTGACACGCCAGAGGCACCAGTTTCTTACGGTACTTGCATTGTTTGTCAGGAGGAGCTGAATAACTCGAAGCCGTTTGGGTCCCTTGGATTCCTGCAACCCAGCCGCCTACTTCGCCGTCAGCCGGATGGTCAAGGTGCTTATATAACCGAAGCGCTTTCGTCCGCGGAGTCTCTAGATCGAAGCAGCGAGCAATCCTCAGACACTGTTTTCCCTCCCCTTGAGGCGATGGCTAAAGATCAGAAGGCCCGTAGCTTCCATAACTTCGACGGTTTCTCCGCTCAGTACACCCGCTTTGGCATCCACTCGTCCATATGCAGCCACATGATGCACCTAGAATGTTTTACCGTCTATAGCGGCTCCATCAGACAACGGCATCGTGCCCAGGCTACGAGGAACCATCCCGACAACATCCACCGGAAAGAATTTATATGCCCTCTCTGCAAGAGTTTGGGGAACGTAGTTCTGCCGGTGGCCACCACTGCGATGCCCACCGAACTCAACACTCTACCGTTCACCGATTGGACACGCGCAGCTGGAATCAGCATTCTCAAGTCCAAGGCAGATCCGGTCGTGGACGCGATGCAGCTTCGTAATGGTTCTGGAGAGTTTGTCTTCTGGGCCGCTGAGGACAAATACGTCCCGTCCTACTTCCGCATCCCAGATAGACCGGCCGATCACATGGAGCTGCATAAGATGGTCGACACGGTTATGGTGATTGGCAAGAACATCTCGCAACAATCTCGCCATCTACGTGAGCGTCCGGAGCCAGAACCAGGCGAGCGAGGCGCAGGTATGTATCTGCCAGAGGAGCTGGTCGGATACACGATCGCATCTCTTGAGGTCGCACAGCGCGGAACGGGCTCTCCTGGTTGCACTGTCGCTGATGGGCTCACCGATTCCAACTTCCGCATGATACGGGGTCTGGTGGCCTGCTTGACTAAGCTAGTCGGGTTGAACTTGTGGACGCGACAAGACGAGGGCCGTGATCCTATACGACACGCAATCATCAAGCGCTTGCTGCCGGAATGGAGTCGGGGCTCGTTGACATCGTTCACGTACCCCCTTTTGCTCCGGGATCCGTTCACCATCCTGGTCGAGACCGCCGCTGTGGCACCTGATATGCTACGGCAAGTGCTGATCCTCACGTACTACGCATGCCTAGCTCGAACAGTGATCGGCATGGTATACATCTTGAACAAGAGTCGCATCCCCAGCTCGACCAACGCGATGCAGCGCAGACACGAAGACATCTTCGGCGACGTGCACATGTTCTTTATGTCCGTCGTTCGCCATTCCCCTGTTTTTGAGCAGGCAGGGGATATGGTCTTCTCAGCGTTCGGCGAGCCTCGGATCGAGAAGTTACTCTACATGTTCACCCTCCCTTTCCTTCGGAAAGCTGCTATTCTGTGCCGGGCCATGCTCCCCTCGGCATTCCCAAGTCCTCCTGCCTCGAACGATGGCTGCGAATACAGCCGTTTGCTCGCTATGCTGGGCGTCCCTCCTCTATCCGATCTTCCGAACCAAGATACCCTGCAAACCGCTCTCTCTGTATGGTGTCAACACTATGGAACCTCCCATGCAGCTTCGCAGTTGAATTGTGGCGTCGTGCTAGACTACCCAGTGGTGTACCGCCTCGCGCGGCTCCCATTGATTTTGGACCACTTGTATCTGGATCAGGAGAAGATTATGACTTGTCCTCATTGTAAGACGGTTCCGATGGACGCAGCGATTTGCCTTATATGCGGGGCGACGTGCTGTTTGCAAAGTCATTGCTGCATGGATTACGAAAACGGATTTCGCGGCGAATGCAACATGCACACACGAGAGTACGTCGTTTCAATCATCTGGTCTTGTTTCTTTAACCTCCTTGGCAGATGCGCGGGTCCAATCGGTGTTTACTTCTGCGTGAAGCGATGTGCCTTGCTGTATCTCTACGCGAACAACGGCACATTCGGACAGTCCCCTTATCTCGATGTTCACGGCGAGGTGGATGTTTCGATGAGGTACGTCACAAATCGACTAGTCTGCAATAGTCCCCTGACTTGCGGTCTGCGTCCGAAAGACGGGGGCGTAGGCAATACCTGCATCATGCTAGATGGGAGGAGGCACGCAAGGTATGGCTGAATCATGGGGTGCCGACTTTGATCGCAAGGCGGCTGGAGAGCACGGTCGATAGCGGCGGTTGGGAGACGTTGTAGACGTCATACATAGGTCAAGGGACTCAAAGCTCAAGCATTGGATGTATCACGTAGCATGTAGCACTGACCTAACACTGTAGCGATCGCGTTCTCATATTTTGTACGTATTGAATGTTCATAAGTTTTGGGCTTACTCCTGGTTGGTTAAGATGCCCTCCCTCTTCGAATCAAAAATAGCGAGACACCTGAAGCGCTGATACCGTGAGCAGGGGGTTTCATTCATAGCATTTCTGGCATGCCTTTAGGTGTCGTACTAACGCCATCACTCTTAGGGAGGCTGTTTGAGGCTGGACTATGCTGTGGCGCCGCAATCTGTTCGGGTAGCATGTGTACACTGTGCGACCAAGCGTGAAACTCCGGCAACTCAAAGTCACCTTCACCTCCAGCTAAGTCCATATCGATAGACCTACCCGAGAATATTTGTGCGCAAGCGGAGTTTCTGCGGAGCTCGGAATCAAGTCTGCTTACGCACACATGGAATTCAACAATGGAGTCAGCTGTCGTATTGTTTCATCAACATGGCGGACATCCGCTTCACTTGCTCTGAGGCATCGTTGCTGCTGGAGAAGCTGAGTAACTCCTGCAGAGAATGGAGGTCAGTAGCGTGTTCACAGTATATCTCGAAAGGGCGAGCTGACCTGCCAAATGCTTGATTCACACAGTCTCGCCGATGTAAGATTTTGTAGCAATCAACCAAATTGAATAACTTGAACTGATTAGAACTTGCTCCCAGCTCAAGTGCATCGAGGATGAGCTTTCTCATACCCTCTCGGACGTTCGAATGTCCATTAATGCACAGCGCCCTGTCAATCGTCTTCCTGTCGAGATTCTCAGCAAAATCTTCCACCAAGTACCACCATCGTTGACTCCCCGTGTGGCCCACGGCTGCAGCCTCAAGTACTACCTAGTCTGGGACTCCTTCTTCGACTTCAAGGATACTGATGCGCTGCTTCCACTGACGCATGTGTGTCGCTGGTGGCGCGATGTGGCATTGGGCACACCCACTCTTTGGACAACCCTCTACGACTCCTCTCATCCTGATGCCATCGGCGAGTATCGTCTCCGCTCGCAAGGCGCGCCGTTGAAAGTGCTCAACATTAAAAATAAGAATCTCGACGTGCAGCAGCTATGGCGCACTGATGGACAGCATGTTCAGTCGCTCGCCTCGTATACAGAGTGCGATTTGGTCCTACCTACGTCCTACGCTCAAGGACTCCACGCCTTGGCGGCATGGTACTGCCTGCTTCAAGGCGATGTTTCTAACCTCAAAGCGCTTGCCCTACGCTCGGTGGATTGGCACCTGCCTGGCACCCTCACCAATCTCACGCACCTTTTCCTCGCCAACAATCAGCTACACATCGTAGACTTGTTTCGCATCTTGTCGATTGCGCCAAGACTAGAGGACCTGGGCCTATGGGCAATCAGTGCTAAGGAGACATTCGACCCTCGTGAAGATATCCCTGCCGTGACCCTCAAGCATCTTCGCCGTCTCGGGATTTATTGGCCAGACAGGAACATTGCATCCGGGTTCTTCTCGCACGTCGGTCTTCCTGCGCGCTTGGCGGTCAACTTCGAGTACTGCGAAGTGCCCGATCTTCAATGGCTAGTCCCTCTGACGCGGAATGACGCAAAGTCTTTGTACATTTCTGACGACTCGGTGATCGCAGCTGGCCCCTCGAAAGCGCTGCGCTTTAAATATAAAGACGACTCGGGAGGAATGATCCAATGGATCGTGGCTCTACTGTCACATTTTCAGTTGAAAGATATTTGGATAGCATATTCTTACAACTGGTACGAGCTGAACGAGGCGGTCATCAAACACACTCCATGGGTGGAGACACTACACCTCGGGATCGTCGACTTCACTACTAGTACCATGACAGAAAGCCTCGGAAACAACCCTACCTATTGGCCGAAGCTTACGAAAGTTATACTATCGCGGCCAGATAATCTCTTCGGGATACTCAAACTTGCGAGGTCTCGAGTGCGTTTGGGCTGCCCTCTGGAGGAACTCGAATTTCACGAAAGTCGAAGCATAGTTTCTGAAGAGTATTCAGAGGACCTAGAGAATATCAAATCCCATGTGGAAGTGGTACGGCTTATCGAAGATGGTCCAATCGCACTACCATTGCCAGATATATGCCAGGATGGTGTTCCCTCACCGTATTTCTGGCCAAAGAAATGGTGTGAGTTTCATCATCGAATGTAAATATCATTTCGTATTGATGCAAATACTCTTTTGGGCAGCGGCGATGCCAAACCGTTTAATGCCTTGATAGAGTCGCCATCACAAATAACGAGTCGAACAGCAGCATACCGTGTAATTGCTGAGGTCCAGATGGCTGAAAACGTAAGGCGAAAGCTTTGTGACTTGTAGCCAGGCGGTAGTATATAGCGCACCGGTGTCCACTGTTTTCCGGTTTTTGGATCCCATTGTGACCTGGGTATCACTGCGTTAGACCCAAATTTTCGCCGCAAATGCAGCACAGACAACGACCTCTGATTCCAACGCCGTAGATGAGCCCCACTGACATAGCGACGACGACTCGTATACACCGTGTCAGTAGCAATTATGTCATGGGCCGCCACTGATACGATCGCGACACAGGCGAACAACAGAGACCAGAAACACCTTGGATTACATTGCTGTAGAATTTGTGGGATACACCATTTGTTTACGTCATACAAGACATTTGTCAAGAAGACCACTGACAATATACACCGTTCAACTACTATCTACCTGGAACCACGTACGAATCAGAACAATTTGTCGCACATGAAACAGTTCAACTTACAATGCGGTAGACGGATCATGACTATACCGTGACAGGGACGCTTTCCGGCCGCACCAAATCATGTGGCATTTTCTCTACTACCACTTCTTCACAAGGTGCACGGCCAGTAAGAGTATTTTTTTGCCTTTTTGCCCTACCTGAAGGTCCTCTGATAGTTTGATCGTCCATAGCGGCTCGACTCGTCGTGACATGTATAGCGACGGGACCTTCGCACGAGCCTACAAACTCCTCCGTAAGCTCTGTTGCGGTGCCCCTGCTGATGCGAATGATGATGAGGTCAAAAGCAATGCCAGCAAGCTCCAAGCTCTGAAAACTCATCAGCTACAGTGGCTGACGTAGTTAGTTGTATTCGACGTACGACATCAGATACACCATACAATGCGTTGTTACCGACAAGGATTGTTATGAAGAGCACCACCATGGTGGTAGTATAGAGAAGCGCAGATTCGACAAAGATCCTGTTGGTGCGAGACAGGCTATTTCCCGACACGAAAAATTGCGCACTCCGCTTGCTGACTTGCCAGATACGACGCACAATCATCCCTGTGGGTATATTAGTACCAACTTTCAGGCACGGTCATGTGGGGTGGCGTACCCGTGCAGATGAAGTTATTGGTGAGCGTAGTCGAGTAGATGACGACGAGCATAGGAGCCATCCTTTTCTCCTCGCCTGTGACCGTTGCCTCTTCTGTTACGGTCATGCGGTACAGGTATGCTATCATAGTCGCGACTGTCGTGCACCAAAGGACGATGGTGGGCAATATGGTGGCCCACTGGCGATCGCAAATGATCCAGGCACGGTACATCTGTGCAATGATGTGAGTTAAGTAGCTTCCGACCGTCACTTTCAGCCTCACCAAGGCGGCATCGGATATCATTATTCCCAAGCTGAACCAGACGTTCTGAGATGCCGCGCTGAGTCAGCATAAGTAGATTCTCAATAGAGAATACTTACTCTGATGACGCTGATCCATGATGCGAGCTCACCGAAGCCTTCCACGGTGCCATCACGTAGGGTAAACGCCAATAGGTTGTGGTATAGATTGAAAGACACGTCGACCGTTCCGTTTACGAAGAGGGCAATTGCGACGAATGCCCAGGGCCAGTTGACCGAGCCTCGTTTGCCCTTTAACTTCTCGACGAGTTTCCACATGCAGATGGCGAAAATTACGACATGAATGCCGTATGTAACGCTTTGCATGAACAGGGCGACGAGTTGTGCCTCGGAAGTTGGGAAAGCAGACATCTTGAAACTGGCTCGAGCGATTACTTGTGAGTGCATATCGAGTCATTGCGTCCGATTTTATAACCTAGTAGTTGTAGTTGTGGTTCTGGGACATGCACAGCCAATAAACAAGGAATGTCAGTTGCAGATAGCAATGGAATCGGGTGTGAACTCCGATGACTATCCCATAGCACTGAAAATGGTTCGTGTGGTAAGCGGTTGCACAGGATGTCCTAGATGCATGCCCTTCTTTCCGAAGCAGATTCATGGATTCGTCCGTAAGGGGAAAAGGCTTACGCAAAAGGCATCCACCTCTACTTTCAGCTAGTGAGCTGATGCGTAAGACTTGCTGGGAATACGGAAGCGGCCAGAGCCCTTGCCCATAGTTGCGGGAATCTGACCGGAATGAGCGCCGACAAGTTCGCTCTGTGACAATAGAGACAGAGACAGTCTGCAGCGGAGGATAGCCGAACTCGAAAGTGAAAAATGAATTGCGCCCGAATGATTGACTTACAAGAAACCACTATCGGCAGGCCTTTCATGCCTCTTGATCGTGCCTTGCGCTATGTTTCAAGATCATCTTGTGGTATTGAGCTGTGCCTGATTGACCACAATCCACGCGCTTCACGCATGCAACATGGGCCCTAATGACCGAACAGCATGCAATGTTTGTGCTGGGATCGGATGGGTTTACACGCAGACCACATGGTGAGAAGTCGCGACCCACATCCGCAAAATTGTATAACGATCCAATTTGCACTCGGACACCATAGAGTGGTACTTCTTGGGGAGCGTACCTGACTATGTCTCGGAGGTGTAAACCAAAGACATTGATAAGACTGTGAACCTTTCGTCATCATGCGACGTATCCCGGGTTCCACGGGAAGCGCCTTGTCGCCGCATTCGCCACTTATGTTGGAATGCAGGCGAAGGACTAATGCATAGGGAGCCCTAAATGACATCATCTCCTTGTCTGCCGATGTAGCATCCTAGACTATCACTCCAGACATATTCGTGCTCCAATAGGTGCGACAACGTCCTATAAGCCTCCGAGTCGGCAAAAGGCGCCCCTGTACGTGGATCACGATATGGCGCCGCCTTTCCAGTAATCGGGCATGTTTGTATCGGTCGGGCTGCGGAGAAGGTCTTGTCAGTCATACATCCAGGGACATACATAGAGGCTCAGCGCAGAGGCGCATTATACCTAACGGTCGTCCCTTCGACGTATAGACTCTGAGTTCTTCCCACTTGACGTGGTCGCCGAACATTGCACGCATAGTACGATGCCATGTTGGCTTTGGCGTGCCGTCCGACTGATCAAGCTCGTGAATGATGTAGTTCTTTGTGACCTTCTCTGTGCGCTCGAGGGGCGCAGCTGGAGACGCAGGGACCGGTGGAGCAGGCATCCGAGCGGCAGAAGAAGGCAGTGAGGAGGAAGCGGGAGGAGGTATTGAGGCGCTTGGCTGTGCGTATCCCTGGTAAGGATACGCAGCATACGAATACGATGGTGCGGTTGACGAAGGTGCGTACGAGGGATAGGCATAGGCGTATGAAGATGGGTGGAAATAGGACGTGGAGGTGGCTGTTGGCGTGTACGTGTATGGGCTAGAAGCCCGGGGGTACGTATTCCCATAGGGAGCTGTTTGTGGCGGGGCCGGCGGAGGCGGAGGAGGCGGTGGTTCCACCTTGATCTTGACCTCCTCGCATTTGCTGACCCACCGCAGGCGCTGTCCCTGGACAGTCGTGCGCACCAGACGGGCCTGCTTGCGCTTCTCCTCTTCAAGCGTAAGGTAGTTACGATGTTCACTTATGTTGCCTTCTTCCATGTCTAGCGCACGAGCAATGAGCTCAGTCTGCGTCGGCGCGCGTACCTTCGTTTTCACCTTCTTCGGAAGGGCTGACTGGAGCATTGCAACCACGTTAGTGAAGACTCGATGCCAATGTTCGCAGCGAATGGTTACCTTCTTCTCCTGCTCGTCCTTCAGACGACTCACGGTGGCAGACGTGTTCATCATCGTGTGCCGTCGACTGCTCTGACGTTTCGCCCGCTCCACCACCTCGCCCGTCTCCGCATCGACCACAACTCCAAGCGATACGCGCCGCTTGACCTTCGCCTCACTTGACGGCACTCTCTCGCGTGATTCAGAAGGTCGATCCTGAGGATTGAACGTCGCTTTCTGACGTGCATGGGCTGCAGCTGTCACTTTGTCGAGCTTTGAGCGGGCTGACTGGGAACGATCAGGGTCGCTCGGAATGGGAAATTTGCTCATCGTGTACCTTCCGGACCGTGCGCTCTTCCTCGTGTATGATGCGCTCGGCAGCAGCATCTATGTCGGCTTGCACAGCTTCCTCGTCCGTGCTTTCGAAATCCGACCCGAATGCATCTTCTTCGTCTATGCTTGCGCGAAGTCATGACCGAATGCACATCTATAGAGCGGAAGTGCTAACCTTTCTCAAGGATAAAGTCCACATCGTCCTCCTGCTCTTCGCCCACATCCTCAGCCTGAAACTCTGCCAATGCTGCCTCCATCCTGCCCACACTGAGCATACTGCCTATCAGGGAGTTCACCTATGCTGACCTGTTCCCCGCGGTACTCCGCCTGGGCCTGCGGGTGACAAGAAACTCCTCCTCAGCCATCATTTGAACGCGGCACGATCCAGTTAGTAAATGAGCAGTCGAATCGTGAATGTGCCACCCTTTGAAATGCACGATGCATAATCGAACTCGCTGAGGTGATGAAAGGGCTGTGTGCGCTTCTTTGGCCTTATGTATCTCTGTGTACGTGCATCGGGCGTCTCCTCTCAACGTTGAACGCGCAAGTTCTTTTGTATTATTTATTCATTTATTTTTAATTCGGGATTTATACTCCATACAACGTAGGTACATGTAGAGTGCGACCGAGCCACGAAAGGCTCCTAATAGCGGGCTCCGCGCCCTCGTACGGAAGCGCACATGGAAGTGCGGATCTCTCAGTGTCAAAGCCCTACAGTTTTCGGGCAGACAGAAAGGGACGCCTCGCGAAGAGTAGCGGGCGTCCGGGCCTCGCGCGGCGCGAACGCGGCGCGAACGCGCAAGTTCGAATGTTTTAGTATTGAATGAAAACGAGATTTTCGATCATGTTCAATATGCAGGCGCGGCCAAATTGACCATTCTACAAGCGACACAACTATCGTACACTAGCATGCTGGGGTACTATTATGGTGCAACGTTCTCGCAAATCGTGAAAGTTATACATCACTCCCTGCTCGCGATAGACTATGTGGCATCTTTTCCAGCTCCACTTCTTCCATGAGACCCGCAGGCGTACCCCTATTCTTCCATCTTGCTGCAGAGCGCGAGTATTGAGTCAAGTCGTCCGCGGCAGCACCATTTGCGATAATACGCAGTGCGGCAGGTCGTTCTGAGGACTGCGTAAATGCATATGTCTGTTCTGTAGCCGTTCCTCCGCTAATGCGGATGATGATGAGGTCGAAAACGATACCGGAAAGTTCCAAAGTCTGAAGTATAACATGTAAGCCACGGCCCACGCAAAGGTCAGTTCTTAAGAATAACTTACAACATCGGATAAGCCGTAGAGTGAATTGCTCCCTGCAAGCGTCGCTATGAAAGTAATCAAGACGGACACTGTATATAGGAGCGCGGATTCGACGAATATCCTATTTGCGCGTGCGAGCCTGTTCCCCGTAGTGAAAAACTCTGAAGTGTGCCTGCTGACTTGCCAGATATGATGTACAATTATGCCTAGGAGTCCGTAATAATCAATGTAGGTAAAATACGCGGAGAAGCCAGCTACTCGCCTGTACAGAGACCATTGTTAGCCAACGTCGTGGTGTAGATTGCGATCACCAAGGGATCGAGTTTTCTCTCATCACCTATGGTGGAATCTACCTCGGTTACGCCCATGTAATACATATACACCACGATGGATGCAAAGGTAGTGCACCACAAAATGATAGATGGTATCATGATGAACCACCGGCGATTACAGATGATCCAGCACCGATACATCTAAGTTCAGAGTAACGTCAGCAGGCAGTACCTTCTCAAGAGACCGGTTGAAGAGATTTGCCCACCAAGGCGGCATCAGAGATGACGATGCCCAAGTTATACCAAACACTCTGAAAGATCATGAGTCAGTATGTCCAAATTGAAGAACAGAGGACCAACCCTCATGACATTGATCCAGGATGAAAATGCCATAAATTCTTCTTCAGCACCGCCAGGCCCTTTGTAGAAAATGAAGGCAGACAGGTTATGGTAGAGGTTGAACGAGACGTCGACTGTTCCGATCGTGAAGAGTGCCACGGCCACAAATATCCAAGGCCAATTTACATGGCCTTTACCACTCCTGAGCTTGTCAATGAGCTTCCAGATGCATACAGAGAACGCCACTGCATGGATGCCATAGGTGACACTTTGCATGAAGAGGGCCACGAGTTGCGCCTCAGCAATCGGGAAAGTGGACATTGTACTGAAGTCGAAGGGTGTCTAAAGCTACACCACGCTGATGCAGGAGAGTAGATATAGGAGAACCTCATCTTATTAGCTTCTGTGGTCCGGTGGTCAGCGCTGACCATGGCAAGCAACGCATGGACAAGGATCGACTTGCACAGATAAGCATAAAGGATCCGCGTGTGAAGCCTGATATGGCTGAAGCAGGTGCGGAGCGCCGGCACCAGGAGTACTTACTGCGGTCTGTTGCGGTAGATTCGTTGTATGAACATTTGTACAAGATGCTCGAGTCGGACTCCACTGGAGAAAGTACCAATGGTCTCTCGACAACGCCTGATAATCGTGAGCGAGGCTTTCAGTAACATAACATCTTTGATGCATTGCGCTGAAGACAGATGTAGGTCACAACCCAGACGGAGATGCACTTATCTGACATGAGCAAATAGCAGTTTGAGCTTGGAGAGAAGGCTTGTGCGGCACTATTACGAGTAAATCTTCTGTTCCGAGCAATTGTGGCTTCTACGATTACGAGAATCAATCAGTGGTCCGCGGCCTCACGGCGTTGACCACAATACACATGTTACCAGTCTACGGAATCGGTCTGCCTAGGATATGATGCCGAATGCGAGAGCATTTTATAAAAGTAATTCCCTGTATGTCCGTATCTTTTTCGTATCTGATATAAGCAGAATGTCAAATGAACCTAATTTTAAACCTATCAGGGCAGTGCCCGCGGCTCTTAAACGATGCGCTGCTGGGAGGACAGGGTGCCATCCGTTCATGAAGGTATCACTGAGTCGGCGAGAGGGGAGATATGTCGGCGAACGGCCGCAGGCTGTGTTAGAATGTCATATAACACTGGATCACCATGCATTCGCCTTGGTTCGAAGTCGGGATTACCTTACGGCATTATCTCTACCTCGCTCTTTCATCGTGGATCTCGATCATGATCGAACTGACCATATTCGTGATTATTCGACGACTCTTCAACTTCAGGCCTCGGGTCCATGCGACGGACCGAGTGAAAAAAACAAACTATACCAAGACATCAGCACAACGGTCGTGTCTATTAGTACTGCATATCCATTATCCTAGGCACGTACATTCGCATACAGCGCATCGTTGAGCAACATAATACAACATATAAGTCCCGTTTATAAGTCGATCAGTAACGCCTCCTTCCTTTCTGGTTCCACAGGCGGTGACCCGTATGCAGAATACATCTGGGGTGAGGCAGTGGGCACAGTAGGGAAAGCGGGAAGCTGCGGCGCAGCAAGTTGCTGGAGTTGATGAAGCTGTTGTGGTGCATGCGACATAGTATTATGCCGCGGAACGTAGCCGTTCGCCATGGAAGGAGGTGCGTAAGGCTGCTGAGACGCCTCCGGGGCCGGTCGAGGAGCCTGTGGCTGAGGCACAGAGGCCTGGACAGGAGGATGCAAGGGTTCTTGGGGCGGAGAAATTGTGACGGGAGGGTACGATCGTTGCGGTACTGGCGTAGGGGCACTGTATTGCGGAATAGACACCGGGGGAGGTGCGGCGACCTGCTGTGTACTGTCTCGTGGATACTGTGGGTATGACTGTGAATGATCTGATACTTGCGCCGGTATTGGCTGCTGGTGCTGGAACGACTGCTGTGGATATGGCTCAGAAATAGGAGACGTTATATATGCGCCATTCGGAGCGTGCGGGCGCGGCGTTGCAGCGAAGTATGAGGGTTCCACGGTCTGCACCTGGGGTTGTGCGCGGGGGGACATCGGTTGCGGTGTCCGAGAATCAGGTACCCATTGGCCATAATAACCGTTCGTTTGCTGATACTGAGGGGCATAGCCAGGATTAGCAGGTGCCTGGTAACTCGTGGATGGCGCTGTGGATGGCGCCCTCCATGCCGGTCGTGACACTTGTTCTGTAAGGAGGTTATCATACAATTTCACAGCTTGAGACAATTTCTCGTGCATGTCTTGCAGTATCTCTGAGGGAAGTGAATGAGTTACTGTCTGAATCAGTAAGACGACTAAGATGCACTCACGTTCTTTCCGTCCGGAGTCGCTAAGACTCATCGCGAGTTTGGGTCGAAGTGCGTTCGCTTTATCGTACAGCTCGGTCACCGCAGGGTACCTGGACAAGTCCGTCACGCCCTGAGCCTGTACCTGTTCCACAGTTTGATTGAAAGTCATGATAGCGTCGGCTTCCATTGGGCCTAGATCGTAGTTCGGCATAGGAGGAGCCCGTGGCTTCGGAGTCGCAGCAGAGGGTGGGTATGATTGTGGAAAACCATATCCTTGCCCATAAGGCTGCTCTGAGGACGGCGTCTCGAAGCTGACGGGGGCACTCGGCTTGGGTGCATTGGCTTCTCGTAGACTAGCTTCAATAGCCGCTTTAAGGTCAGGGTCTGCCTCTTCCTCATCTCGAGCAGGCGGATATGGATATGTCCGCCGGTCCACCAGGGGAGGCTCGGACGTTTGCCACGACGATGGAGCGGGAACATAGCCGGGTCGTCGCCCACTCGCCGCTCCAATCTCTTCCAACGATAGCTGAATCGCACGTTGTAGTTCAGCATCAGCGAGATCACGCGCGGAGCGGTGACGGGAGGTAGAGACGCTTTGAGATGAGCGGTGTATCCTGCGGGGGTTAGGATGGATCAGATAGTGCTTAGCCCAGCGACGAGAAGAACGTACTTATTGGTTTTCTTGTTGAGCTTGTTGTAGCAACTATCGCATACTCTGACCTCCTGAGTTATACCAAAGTGTGGCAGTGGCATACTCTTCGAAGAACATTGTTGATCGAAGACCTGACCGCAGTTCCGACAGTGATGCTTGCGGTTGGTGAAGGTGAATGGCGTCCGGCACCGCAAGCAAACATCCGAATCAATCCATTCTGGAGCAGTCTGCGTATCGACCATTGCCGAGCTCGTTGCCGCAGGGTCTCGGGGTGGGAAGGTGAAGCCTGCATGTGATAGTGCTATATTAGATGGGCCACGTTACAAATCAACACGCAGCATGCCTTCGCGCTGCAAGGTTCGGTACACCTCGCCGACGTAGCTGAGACCTGGTCTTCCGTCGAACGCGAGGGCCCAGTTCTGAACAAGTCTCAGGATCATATTCTTGACATCAAGATTCAACGCGGGAATCTTCAGGATTGAGACCAGGTTGTCCATGAAATCTCTGGATGCAATCTCTACCAGAAAAGGATCTCCTCCGTTCTTGATACATGTGTCTGTCAACTGAAGACGGCGTAAGTTGACATTCGAACATAAGGCGGATATACATACACCTAGTGCTAGCAGCTGCACATTTGGATTCTTGTGGTTCAGGCGGCGCTTCAGGGCACGCATAGCATCCTTAGGCGAGACAGATTTCGAGCGAATCTGGTCGCTAATTTCGAGGTTGAGGGCAATGTCCTCCATACCTGCTGGTAGCAACTCCGAGGTTGCCTTGTCTGTACTAGTGGATCAGACGGCGCAGGCTGTTCAGCATATTATGGATACTCACCGACAGCGTCGTCGACTTGGGACGTGCCCCATATAAGAGAGCTGAGGTAGGAAGTCATGACTAGCGATGGGGAAGGAGGAGAGTGAGTTACGCGCACTGTAAGCCGAGAGCGCCCAACGCTGCGCGTGTGTGACGCAGGCGTGACCGAGGTCCGCGCATGCCCGCGTGGCTGAGTGTGACAAAGCGCGGCCCCGCCGTTTGTGACCCATCGTGGGTTGTTCAGCAACCACCTCCATCCCCACCGTCGTCCTCCTCCTGCCTCTCCTCAGGCGCTCCTCGTCTCTTCTGGCGACTATCTCCAGTTGATAGATCTGCTCTGTGCTACTTTTTTAGACCTGGGAACCAACGGTTTCGCCCTGCACTTAGCTAGCGCGCCTGCAACAAAATTGCTTGAAACCTCCTGAGTGGCATCCACTCCTTTCGAATACCCTCAAAAACGCACGTAACATCGTGGAACGTGGACTTTCTAGCATATCTCGTTTAGTTACAATCTCTGTCGCCGCTCTGTCTTGTTCTTGTCTACACAGCTATGCTTGGTCACCAGTTCGCATACTCGGCGGCCCCGATCCGCAAGGTGAAGGAGGTCCAATTTGGTATCCTTGCGCCTGAGGAGATCGTAAGTCTAGCCCATGTGGCACCCTATGCGCTGCTGGTTGACAGTTTCGACAGAAAGCATACTCGGTTGCAAAAATCGAATTTGCTGAGGTTATGGATGAAACAACGCACAAGCCTAAGGTCGGCGGCTTGATGGATCCTCGAATGGGCACAATAGACCGCAACTTCAAATGCCAGACATGCGGAGAGGGCATGTCGGAGTGTCCAGGTCACTTTGGACACATTGAGCTTGCGAGGCCCGTGTTCCACCCAGGTGCGCCTCATGGTATATGGCGCTTAGCCACCGTCTCACGCCTCTGTCAGGTTTCATTGTCAAAGTGAAGAAGATTTTGGAATGTATATGTGTAAACTGCGGGAGATTGAAAGTCAGCAGCGTGAGTTTTGTCCCTTTCCTCTACTCGTTTCGCACCCCACCACCCAAATTTTCTGGGGGCTCTCTCCACATCCATGGAGAACCCCAAGCCCGCTCTGCGTCTGTCCTCGACAATCGAGGCGTTCTTCTACCCGGGTGTGGACTGTGCGCGTTTTCGGTCGCTTGATCGCCGCACGGTCTATTGCAACGCCTGGTGCTGGTTGGACACGTGGTTGCGTGGTGAAATGGGGGGCTGAGCGAGGAGTGCGAAAAGTGTCAGACGTAGACTCGCATGAGCTGCGCTGAGATGGACGGTCAAACGGCCCTCGCTGTGACGCAGAGAGAGTGGCACGTTTCTGGCCTGCACTTGCACTTAGAGACTCGATACTGGTAGCCCCCTGATTCTACATTGATTGTTATCTTGTGGCAAGTCGTGTATGGCCCACGGGCTGTGCCTCAGATAGAATCGTGCGCTGACGTCTTGACCCGCATATCTTCTCGAACGTTGATTCCGATACCTCGTTATCAATATTTGCCCTATAAACTTTATACGTAAGTCCGATACAACGTTTGCGGACAAGATCAGGCATGTTCGCGACCCAAAGGCACGAATGCAAATGGTCTGGGGCTATTGTAAAGGCAAGATGATCTGCGAAAGCGACGAGCCGAAGGAAGACGCTGATGGCATGGAGAACGAGGAGCCCAAGAAGGGCCATGGAGGTTGTGGTGCCGCCCAGCCGTTAATTCGGAAGGAGGGGTTGAAGCTTTTCGTTCAATACAAACGATCGAAAGACGAAGATGAGGTTTGTGGCTCCAGATCTCGATCGTATCTTTGTACTGATGTCGTCGTAGGAGGTAAAGTCGCTGCAACCGGACAAGCGGCTTTTCCCACCGCATGAGGTGTACACGGCGCTCAAGAAAATCTCCGACGTCGATTTGCACATGCTTGGTCTATCGGACGAATATGCGCGACCTGAGTGGATGATTTTGACGGTTATGCCTGTCCCTCCTCCACCTGTCCGACCAAGTATCGCGGTAGACGGCGGAACCATGCGCAGTGAGGACGATTTGACATACAAGCTGGGTGATATCATCAAGGCTTCCGCGAACGTTCGCCGCTGTGAGCAGGAGGGTGCTCCCGCTCACGTCATCACCGAGTTCGAACAGCTGCTACAGGTGTGTATGTTTCACCGCGGTCCTTACATGCGCTTATCACGCTTGTAGTTTCATGTTGCGACTTACATGGACAATGACATCGCCGGTATTCCGCAAGCGCTCCAGAAGTCTGGACGTCCGGTCAAAGCCATTCGTGCCCGTTTGAAGGGCAAAGAGGGTCGTCTGCGTGGTAACCTGATGGGCAAGCGTGTTGACTTCTCGGCACGAACGGTCATTACGGGTGACCCGAACCTGGAGCTCGATGAGGTCGGAGTACCAAAGAGCATCGCTATGAATTTGACATTCCCCGAACGAGGCAAGGCTAGTTGCTACTGGCATAAACCCTCATTGCTGACACCCTGCCATTTACAGTTACTCCCTACAACATTGCATATTTGCAAGAGCTTGTCCGGAATGGTCCGACGACCTATCCTGGTGCTCGTTACGTAGTACGGGATACGGGCGAGCGCATCGATCTCAGATATAACAAGCGGACCGACGCATTCCTGCAGTATGGATGGATCGTTGAACGGCATCTAAAGGACGGCGAGTAAGTATTTATATATAGAGCACTCTTCTCCGCGTCTCGCTGAGCCCAGCATACATAGTTTCGTGCTCTTCAATCGGCAGCCTAGTCTCCACAAGATGAGTATGATGAGCCATCGTGTCAAGCTCATGCCTTATTCCAGTAAGTCTTTCATCATAATATAAAGTGAAAGCGTTTCACAACCTTTTTGTTTTAGCTTTTCGGCTCAACCTTTCTGTGTATGTCTACATATACACAACTTACGTTTGAAATCACCTAACCGCCTCTTAGCACACCTCCGTATAACGCCGATTTCGATGGCGACGAGATGAACATGCAGTATGTCTGCTATCTTCAGCTGCATTGATGTTGGCTTGACATTTGTACTACTCCCAGTGTACCACAGAGTGAAGAAACGCGTGCAGAGCTGAGCCAGATAGCGTGGGTGCCGCGCCAGGTGAATATATTTGCGTCTTAGCTCGAGGCCTCATTGACATAGTATTAGATCATCACACCACAAGGCAACAGGCCGGTCATGGGCATCGTACAAGATACCCTTTGTGGTATCCGCAAGTTTACTCTGCGCGACTCCTTCCTCGACTGGACGCAGGTGCAGAACATCCTATTGTGGGTTCCCGACTGGGACGGTTCTATCCCGACTCCTGCGATCATAAAACCGAAGCCACTGTGGACCGGAAAGCAGATCCTGAGCATGTGCATTCCTCGTGGAATCAACATCTTCCGTTCTCCCGATCCGAAGACACCAAACCCGGTCTTCGATGATGGTATGAATATTGAAAATGGCGAGATCATCTTCGGTACGGTGGAGAAGAAGACGGTCGGTGCTTCTCAGGGCGGACTCGTCCACATCGTCTTCCGTGAGAAGGGTCCGGAGGCAACACGGACACTCTTTACGGGTCTCCAACAAGTCGTCAACTACTGGCTTTTTCACAACGGCTTCAGTATCGGTATCGGCGACACAATCGCAGACCGAAAGACGATGGAACATATCAAGGAGCAGATTGCCATCCGTAAAGTGAATGTCGTGCAAGCTGTTGACGACGCGGCCCACGATCGTCTAAAGGCTGCCCCCGGTATGACGATCCGAGAGTCGTTCGAGAGTCGCGTCGAACGGGAGCTCAACCTGGCGCGTGATCAGAACGGGCAGTATGCACAAAAGAACTTGAAGGAGGACAACAATGTCAAGCAAATGGTCGTTGCTGGTTCGAAGGGTTCCTTCATTAACATCTCCCAGATGTCCGTCTGTGTCGGCCAACAGATCGTCGAGGGTCGTCGGATTCCCTTTGGGTTCCGTCATCGTACGTTGCCACATTTTACGAAGGATGACTTCAGCCCCGAGTCCCGCGGTTTCGTCGAGAACTCGTACCTTCGTGGCCTCACGCCGCAGGAGTTTTTCTTCCACGCTATGGCCGGACGAGAAGGACTCATCGATACGGCGGTCAAGACTGCCGAGACTGGCTACATCCAGCGACGTCTTGTGAAGGCGCTGGAAGACGTCATGGTCTGCTACGACGGCACTGTCAGGAACTCCCTAGGAGATCTTGTTCAATTCGTCTACGGTGAAGACGGCATGGATGGTGCGTTCATTGAGCGCCAGAACGTCGAGACATTTGCTCTGAACAACCGGGAGTTTGAGCACAACTATCGCGTCGACGTGACCGACCCCAGCGGGGGCTTCTTACCTGGAGTGCTTCAAGTTGGGCTAGATGACAGCTCTCTCGATCTTCAGGCCAAGTTGGATGAAGAGTATACGCAACTCATGGAAGACAGGCGCCTACTCCGCGAGTTCATATTCCGTCGCCAGGACCCAACCCATCCCCATTACCTTCCGGTCAACCTGCAGCGCATCGTACAAAACGCCGTCCAGATCTTCCATATCGATCGACGAAAGCCAAGCGATCTAGAGCCAGCATACATCATCGCCGCTGTACGCGAGCTGGCGAATCGGTTGATCGTAGTTCGTGGCGACACTCCTATATCCCATGAAGCTCAGGAAAACGCGACGTTGATGTTCCGCATCCATTTACGAGCGACCTTCGCTGCTCGTCGAGTTCTCGAGAAATATCACTTGAACCGCGAAGCGTTTGAGTGGGTCTTGGGTGAAATCGAGGCCAAGTTTAACCAGTCACTTGCTCACCCAGGTGAAATGTGCGGCACGCTGGCTGCTCAGTCGATCGGAGAACCTGCTACGCAAATGACGCTGAACACGTTCCACTACGCCGGCGTGTCTAGTAAGAACGTCACCCTCGGTGTCCCTCGTTTGAAAGAAATCATCAACGTCGCGACCAACATCAAAACACCGTCGCTATCCGTTTACCTCGAGCCGGAGATAGCCAAGGACAAGATCCTCGCGAATAGTGTGCAACAGGAACTCGCGTATACCTCCCTTCGCACTGTTACGGCCGCCGTCGAAATCTGGTACGATCCAGAGCCAACCTCCACAATCATCGAGGAGGACAGCATCTTTGTCGAATCATTCTTCGCCATTCCCGATGACGAAGTTGAGCAAAAGCTTCACTTGCAGTCTCCCTGGCTGCTGCGTCTGGAACTTGACCGCGCGAAGATGATCGACCGCAAACTCACGATGTCATACGTTGCCGGTCGCATTGCGGAGAGCTTCAAGACCGACCTCTTTGTCATCTGGAGTGAGGACAATTCCGAGAAGCTCATCATCCGCTGCCGTGTGCTTGGCGGTGCTGATAAGGACGAGGACGGGATGGAGACGGTTGAAGAGGACATCTTCTTACGGCAACTGGAGAACACTATGCTGAACTCCATCAGCTTGCGAGGCGTTCCGGGAATCCAGCGCGTCTTCTTACTTGAACACGACAAAGTGGTTGTTACGGAGGAGGGCAGTATCAAGGCCCACCAGGAGAAGGAGTGGGTTTTGGAGACCGACGGTGTCAATCTCAAGACCGTAATGTGCGTCGAAGGCGTCAACTTCAAGCGCACCTATTCGAATAGTTGCGTCGAAATCTTCAACGTCCTTGGCATTGAGGCAGCTCGCGCTGCCATCATGAAGGAGTTGCGAAGCGTCATTGAATTTGACGGTTCATACGTGAATTACCGTCACCTCGCTCTTCTCTGCGATCTGATGACGCACCGCGGAAGTCTCATGGCAATTACTCGGCATGGTATCAACAGGGCTGACACTGGAGCCTTGATGAGAAGTTCCTTCGAGGAGACGGTCGAGATCCTAATGGAAGCGGCAGCAGTCGGCGAAAGAGATGATTGCCATGGTATCGCGGAGAACGTCATCTTCGGCCAAATGGCACCCATGGGTACTGGTGCGTTCGATGTCGCCCTCGACATCGACATGTTGAAGGATGTCATCGTTGATCATCGTCTTCCTGTACAAAGCATGCTGGCTGCACAAGTCGAAGGCGGAATGACCCCTGGACAAGTCGCAATGACACCATACGACAGCAACTCTCCCATGTGGAACCAGGATGTCTCGTTCAAGGGGGAAACCGCAGCATTTACCCCGCTTGCAAACAACGGTGGTGACGAACCAGGCGATTTCTCGTACCTTGGATTTGGGCAAAGCCCTCGGGGCGCTGGTGGCATGTCACCTGCTGCTCCTGGGTACAGTCCAAGCTCTCCGAATGTCTACTCACCCACATCACCGTATGTGCCGCCGTCGCCGTTTAACGGAGCAACTTCACCTTTCGGTACCTCGCCGTATGCTACCTCGCCGTTCTATGATCGCGGTCGTGGGCCCACTTCGCCTACTTATTCGCCAACATCTCCGGCGCTCAATCTCACCTCACCTGGGTATTCACCTACGAGTCCACGCTACTCTCCGACTTCTCCATCATTCTCACCCACGTCGCCTCGCTATAGTCCGCAGTCTCCATCCTTCAGTCCTACATCACCACGCTACTCACCAACGAGTCCGTCATTCAGCCCGACGTCGCCACGTTGTAAGTCACTCTATTATGGATTAATGGTCGTTTAATTGACATTATTTGTGACAGACTCACCCAGTATGTCTTTCGTTACTCGTCTGAATAATCGCTGACCGATACCCCGACCACACTGTTGATAATATAGCTTGTAAGCTTGATCACACACTTGTGCCCCTATACATACTCATGTTCATTCAGCTCCCGCACACATGTCACCTTCGTCACCGAAGTACTCACCAACATCTCCTACCTCTCCCTCATCCCCCAAATATTGTACGTTGTTTAGTCGCTGTGACTCGCACCACGTTAAGTCATCCACCCCTCTAGCTCCAACCTCACCCGCATATTCCCCTGCTTGTGAGTTCACTCCAGTCTCCGCTAACCCTAGTGCTAATTCTCGTCAACTTCAACGCAGCTCCTGCCTATTGTGAGTGGTTGATAACATCATTCTTGTCAACAGACGTCTAATGGTATGCTACGTAGCGCCTGCCTCACCGGCATATAGTCCGACGTCTCCGCAATGGTCGCCTTCTAGCCCGTCGCAGCAACCGAACGGCAGTGAAAACCGCAGCCACTCGTACAGCACGTCCCCTTCTTGGGACTAATTCCCCGTTGGTTATTTAATTAGCGCACGTCCGAACGCGTTCCGGCTGCTTTTGATTTTGGCACTCACATCGCGCACCTCTCCACCATACGCCTATACATTTAGTTCACGCACACGTCTGTAGATTAGTCGCATTGTACTTGTTGATTGCTGATTTGTTAATGGCGATATCTGCATGGACCATGTCTGCCGTTCGCCTTACCCCTTCACTGCGGCGCAAAACACGTAGCGTCGAGGGAATCTTGCGGGCTGACCTACTCATGTCGCGTACAAGTCTACTTTGTATTCCATATGAACAAGTAAGCTAGCTACGCAATTGTGAGCTGAGGGAGAAAAGAGCACCAGATGAACAAGACGATTATGAGAGCAAGCGTAATACCGCAGTTAGCTATGATGCGCACACCGCCATGAAGGTCCATATGAGTGCAAAAAAGGAATGAGATGGCAAATAAGTACGGCACAGCGTACTGTACGTAGGGATCGGAACGACGATGCGTCATAGTATTACACATGAGGGGATTGACGGGGTATACTATAACTTGAGATGAGATCGAAAACCGCGAAATCTGATCCAAAAAGTGCGTGAACAGCTGTCATGTGCAAATAGAGTGGTGCAAGCGACTTGGAGGGGGGCAAATGGGTGGGGGAGGGGAAGGGGTGGGGTCGAATGAGGGTTTTGTGCGAAGGGGAAAACAGGGGAAAGGACTCAGTGAATGGGTGTTAGGGCTGTTATTTTGCGTTTTCGGAACAGTAAAAGATGGGAAAAAATATGCGTCGCCGGAGATCCAAGCATGCGGATGACCTAGACGAAGAATTGCGTGCTGCGCGGGGAGATCAGTACAAGCAGCGCGGCACGACGGAGAGCGTGGACGTACTGTACGCGACTGGCCGCGTGCACCTCCATTTCCTCCATCTTGTAAGAATTGAGCTCTTCCTTTATGCGCTGCGCCAACGCGGGGGTCAAACGACTCCACGTCGCCGGCTCGCTTCGCCGATCGTAGACCGTGGCGGGGAAAGTGTCATATACGGACAGGTTGGACGCGAAGGCGAGCCGCTTCGTGGGAGCCGTCGCCGAACGCTGGGAAAGCGTGGGCGGGTTCGGCGAGAACATCGTAGATAGCGCGGGCGCCGACGAGTTGGGGTGGTTGAAGAGGCTCTTCTCAGGCACCGAGGAGTGCACGCTGCTCGCATCGGACGTGTCCTTCGGCGAGTCGAGTGTGAGCCCGTTGCCGTCGAAGGAGAGCGGGGGAATGAACGCGCCGCCCGCGGGCGCCGCGTGCCCATTCGCGCCGCTGCCCCCCTGCCCGTGCCCGTGCCCGTGCTTGTGCAAGCCGTCGATGTGGTCCGGGTCGGACGACGGCATGTGCGCGAGCGGGCCGAGCTCGTGGCCATGCGCGGGCGCCGAGTCGTACGAATTTGAGCGCACCCGCGTGAACGCGGGGTTCGGGCGCAGGATCGCGTCCTGGTCGTAGGCCGAGCCGTCTGGCCGCGCTGTGATGAATACGGATGAGACCCAGACACGCCGGAGGGAGGCGACTCACTTTTCAGGATGCCCTTCGTTGGCCGGCGCGCCTTCTCGACGCTCCGCCGCACGTTGACCGCCCACGGCTCCATCTCCCCGTCGTCGAGCGTCGTGCCCTCAAAGTCCTGGCGGATCGTCACATCCTCGTCCTCATGCGCCTCGCCCCAGTCGTCATCGTCGTCCCAGCCGTCCATACTGTAGTTATGCGGATGCTGCCCCTCCAGGCCATCCTCACTCCCGCTGTCGGAGTCGTCCTCGACGACGACCCGCATACCGTTCTCGTTGAATGCGCGATTTGACATGAGCTTGTTAGGCGCAGCCTCGCCTTGCCGCGTCGTGGTGTTCTTCTCCCAAGTGCTCGGCACTGCATTTGCGTCCGATCCGTTCTCCTGCGCCGCTGCGGCAGCGGCAGCGGCGGCGCGCGCCTCTGCCTCTGCCTTCGCCTTTGCGGCGGCCTCCGCATTACTCTTGAGGGTGTGCTGCCGCGCAAGCCTCGCAGCGGGACTCAGGCCGGCAAGGTCCGCGCTCGCAGTCCAGTCCGAGCGGTCAGGCTCCGCCGTCGCATGCGATATGCTGGGGTCGACGGCGGCGCCCTTCTCGCCCTTCTTTTTCTTGCCCTTCTTCCCGCCCCGGTCCTCCTCGTCCTCCTTGTCCTTCTTGTCCTTGAACAGCGACGTGATGCCCGCGAGCGAGTTGCGCCGCGTGAGCTTCCCGATCGAGCCCAGCTTGCGGATCACCATCGACGCGGACGACATCGTCGACGACAGCGAGATGTTGTCCGTCGAGCGGTTCAGCCGCGAGTTGAACAGCGAGCGCGACTTCTTCTTCTGCACCGTCGCCGTCGACTCGGTGTCGTCCGCAAGCACGCTGCCGGCGCCCGACGCCACCTGGGGGGTACGGGCGCCGCTCTTGGGGGGCACGTCGTCGTCCTCATCCTCTTCGTGCAGCGTCGCGCCCGCGCCGAGCGACAGCGCGCGACGAAGGCGGCCCTTCAGGCCGCCGCTGCGTACGCCGGGCGCATTCGGGATCGGCTCGAGCATCGCCTGCAGGTCGCTGTCGTCGCGCGACATGCGCTTCTCAGTGGCCGTGAATGTGCCCTGCGAGAGCGGCGACGGCTTGCGCAAGGCGGCAGGCGGCGCTGGTACGGATCTTGCAGACGGGGCGGGCGATTGTGAGGAGCTCGAGGACGTCGAAGATGTGCGGGCGTGTGGACGAGACGGAGCGCTGCTTGAGCCGGCAGGTTGGGCAGGGGGTGGGGCAGCGGCGCCGCGTCCGTGGCTGTGACCGCTGCTGCTCGTCGACTTCACGTGGACATGACTGCTGGTGCTGCCCTGGGTGCTGTTCGTGCGCGGGCGTGGGCTGCCGTGGTGGCCTGACTGGCTGGAGCCGGAGTTGACGGACGTGGACGAGCCGGCAGCGTCAGAGCGAGCATAGGGAGGTTGGAAGGTGCCGTGTTGCTGCTGCTGCGGTTGCTGCTGCCGCCAGTCGGCGGGGGCGTCCTGCGGGCTAGAGCCCTGGCGTTGTGGGCGACGGTAAGGATGGAAGCCCTGATAAGGCGGGTGATCGGGGGCGTAGCCGTTCGGGAGCTGAGACGGATGCGGCGGGGGCGTGCCGCTGGGGAAGGGGTTGAAGCCCTGCTGACCCATGGCGAAGTAGTCGGGGGACGGCGCTGCGCCGGGCTGGGCACCGGGCTGCTGCTGACGGGGCCGCTGCGCGCCGATGTGGGGGATCTGATGCGCGGCGTGCTGGGCGTTGAACATCATCTGCTGATAAGCCCACTGTGCGAACTGGGCGTTGGCGGGGTCGTAGTAGGGGTTCTGGGGGTGCATCTGCTGCTGGGCGTGGAGGGCGTACGGCTGCTGGTTTTGGTAGAAGGCGGGGCCGCCATAGAACTGCTGCGGAGAATGGGGTGCGGACCAGCCGGCCTGCTGCTGCTGCACGGGGTACGGGTACGGCTGTTGCGGATGCGGTGGAGACGGCTGAGCGGGCGGGGCGACCATGGCGCCAGGGTGGTGGTCGTTGGCAGGGGAGGATCGCTGACGAGGGACGGCGGGGTTGATGGCGACGGCGGGAGAGGCGGGCGCGGAGTCCATCGGGTGATCTCTAGGTGGATGCCAGTCCTGCGGGACGAGAACGGCCATGGACTGCAACGGGGGCGTGTGCGTGTACAGACGCAGTGGGAGAAGCGGAGCTGCAGCGGGAAGGGGGTTGGAGATCGTCGAATCGGCGGAGCGGTCGTCGTCGTCGTCGTCGTCAGAAAATTGCGGGACAAAGACGGGTCAGCGGGGCTGTAGGAAAGCGCAAAGCACGCACAGATTGCCGGCAGTCGTTTTGAAGAAGAAGAGAAAAGAGAGAGAGAATGGAAAAACGCAGTCGCTCGGGACTGTAGAGGGCGACGACGAGAGCAACGCGCGACAAGATAAACCGTGCGGCGACACTTGCCCAATAGGCGCCCACTGCTCGCGACCGGCGTGCAAACACACGCAAACAAGGCCTCCGCAGTGGAAGAGTCAGGCACGCGCGGTGACGCGCTCTGGCACTGTCACCAGTATCAATTCACCGCTCTGACCCCCTGCCCTGTATGCGCGCGCGGGCTGGGGCTGGCTGACGAGGCTGCTAAGACTGAGCCCCCCTGCGCACAGACGATCTGCAGCGGGCGTGTCTCGGCCACCCGCATGCGCATCTCTGATGGTCCATGCACAGGAGTGAACCATCACCCTCATCGCGTTGGCTGCCATCTGCCCCCATCTGTGCTAGCGTGCTAGCGTGCTGGCAGCGTCGCGACGACGGTGATTGCGCGCAAAATGCCCTGAATCTGAATCATGCTCCGGCGCGTCCGATGGCTGGCCCGGGTCGCGCACAACCGGAAGGCGCGTTCCCACTGCCCCACTACAGTCCCATGACGCACCCCCGCCGTCCCCGACCCTGCCAGACCACGGGAACCCGGAACCACTCACGCTGACGGCATCCATCCCCCATCTCAGATCCCTCCCTAGCCGCTTATCGCGCCCCGCTGATCACGATCACCCAACAATGTCCGCCCACCCCGCCCCCGCCGACTGGCAGGCCCGCTGCGACGCCCGCAAGCAGGCCCAGCTCGACGCCATCCCCCCAGACTGGCGCATCGCCTTCCCCCCGCTCACCGTCGACCGCCGCAACGTCCTCGACGTCCCCCGCACCTGCGGTCTCCTCACCCCGCGCGAACTCGAAATCACCGACACCACCGACATCGACGTCCTCCTGCTCAACCTCCGCACCGCAAAGTGGTCCGCCGTCGACGTCACCACCGCCTTTTACAAACGCGCCATCGTCGCCCATCAGCTCGCACGTCACTTCTTGCCCTGCTTCCCCGCGCGCGCAGCTGATAGTGTCCGCTATCATAGACCAACTGTCTCACCGAGATATTCGTCGACCGCGCTCTCGCACGCGCGCAGGAGCTCGATGACCACCTGCGTGTGTCCGGCAGTCCAGTTGGGCCTCTCCACGGCCTCCCCATCTCCCTCAAGGATCAATTCTCGATCAAAGGGCTCGAGACAATCATGGGTGCGTCCCTTCACTCAGTCGCGCTCCCCGTCTGTGAGCGGCCTGCAGGCAAAATCGTTTGGTATTTCAAATTTAGTCACCGCATATACTCGACATCTTTGCCCGTCATGCCGATTGGCGGCGCACATATCCCACTCACAGGTCGCTCATAAGTCGCCGCCGGGTGGTGTCGCAGAAGACCCCGGCTCTCTCACTCTAATCAACTTCCACACGTATGAAATGCCTACACCTAACCGTGCTTGCACACAGGCTATGCCGGCTGGATCGGCCGCTACGCCGAGTCGGACTGCGTGCTCGTCGAAATCTTGTACGAGCTTGGCGCAGTGCCTTTCGTCCGGACAAACGTTCCCCAGACGCTGATGGTTAGTGTCTGCCGCATATATTCACTCCTCAAGCTAGTTCAGCACCCTTGGATGTGGCGACATCGATGAGCGCTCGCGCTCGCTGTTATTGTCTGGGCGGTGCATGCTGGAGTGCCAGAACCACGCGCTGTGGGGCTTGAGCGCATAGGTTCTGAATGTGTGATCTTCTGGGACGGGCGTTTGTCGTGAAGAGCCCTGTTGCTCGCTCTCAGCCACGGCGAGACTCCCCCAATAGCGGAATTTGGGCTTTGTTATTTCACTCGTGTTGAAATACCCGCGAGTGCGCCCGGTGTTATCCATATCTTGCCGTAAGGTCTGAGCCTCCAGCCTACCACACACGCGAAATGCCCTGATCGTATGCATTTTCTGTATGCCACAATTCGAATGACATGCTGGCACACACACATATGCAGCGCTGCACCATCCTAACATACGCTATGCGCTTTTGTGGTACAGCAGTGTCCTGCCGACACCGGCACGTATCGTACGCGGCTCTAGTTGCCGGTAAACGCACGCAAGGTCCTGGTCTTTGTCCAAACCACCGCTGACGCGCGCTCCACTGCAGTGGGGCGAGACGCACAACCACGTCTTCGGGCGCACGACGAATCCGTACAACCGGTACATGACGCCTGGCGGGTCCTCCGGCGGGGAGGGCGCACTCGTCGCGCTGCGCGGAAGCCCGCTCGGCGTCGGGACAGACATTGGAGGGTACGTCGCTGATACATTTCCTCCTCCTCTTCCTCCTCCCCCTCTTTTCCCCTATCCCTTTTCCCGCGCAAGTGACCCGCCGCTGCACGCTGACCCCACCCGTGCGTGCAGATCGGTCCGCATCCCGAGCGCGTTCTGCGGCCTATACGGCCTGCGCCCGTCGTACGAGCGGCTCCCGTACCACGGCGCGGCGAACTCGCTCGAGGGCCAGGAGAGCATCTCGTCCGTGCTCGGCCCCATGGCGAACTCGCTCGCCGCGCTGCGCGTCTTCACGCAGGCGGTGCTCGGCGCGCGCCCGTGGCGCCGCGACCCGCTCGTCGTGCGCAAGGACTGGGACTGGCGCGAGTACGCGCTCGCGGAGCACGGCGGGCGCGGCGCGCGGATGTGCTTTGCGGTGATGTGGGACAACGACGTCGTCAGGCCGCACCCGCCCGTCGTGCGCGCGATGGAGGAGGTCAAGCGCGCGCTGGAGCGTGCGGGGCACCGCGGCAAGTAGCGTGTATAGTGTGGCGCGGCGCCGGAAGGCACGCTAACCTCTTTCTCCTCTCTTCCGCGCAGTCATCGATTGGGAGCCACACCGACACATCGAGATCTACAAGAACGCAGTACGTCCCCGCATATGCCAGCGTTGCTGGGCGGGGCGCGCGCTGACCACTGGGCCGTGCAGGAGACCATCTTCGCCGCGGACGACGCGCACGACATGCTCAGCGCGTGCGCGCTCTCGGGCGAGCCGCTCATCCAGAGCATGAGCCCCACCGTCGACGCACACGCGTACGCGCTCGACGAGCCGTTTGCACGGACGGTCGTGGGCGAGCGGCGCCACCTGAGCGCATACGAGGCGCGTACCATCCCCCGCGTGCCTCGGCCGCCGACCAACACCTGAGACTGACGCGCGCACGCACGCAGCTCTGGCAGCTGCACAAGGAGAAGCGCGCGCTGCGCAAGTCGCACCTCGACCACTGGGAGGCGACGGCGGCGCGCACGGGCACGGGCCGCGCGGTGGACGCGATCATCAGCCCCGTGGAGCCGTACGCGGCGTGCCCGCACGGCTGCAACTCGTGCGTGTCCTATGCTCTCTTCTGTGGCGCGCGCTGCGGGGCTGATTGTGCCGCGCTGTCGCCAGGGACGCGTTCTACACGACGCTGTGCAATGTGCTCGACTACGCGGCGGTGGTTTTCCCGGTGACGCACGTCGACGGGGCGCGGGACGCGGCCCAGCCGCCGCATGCGTTCCGGAACCAGGAGGACAAGGCGGTCTACGAGATGTGTGAGTCTTCTTGCGGGTTCAGCCTGCGTGTGGGATCAGGGGCGCGGACTGTGGCGCTGATCAGTGAGTTCTGTTCTAGACGACCCGCAGCTGTTCCACGGCCTGCCTGTCGGGCTGCAGCTCATCGGGCGCACGCTGGAGGAAGAGGGGGTCCTGGCGATGGCGGAGGTGGTGGACGCGGCGCTGAAGGCTGCGCAGTCGACCTGATCAGAGCGGTACTGTACAGCAAGAGTAAGGGAAGGCACAACGATATAAAGGATACAATGTACGCTGCAGGCATGACGCAATACTATCGAATGTGGAACACGGTGAGCAGGGCGGGAGACGGCGAGAAGCGGACTGTTTAGACTACAGAGGGCACGCCAGAGGATCGGCGGCTCCTTCGTCACCCGTAGAATGTCCGGGAACCTCGCCGTCCTCCCGTCCTCCCGGTCCGGCAGCCTCTCGTGCGGAGAGAAGAAGCTAGGGGCTTTCCTCCTTGGCTTATGCTATGCCCTTGTTGGGCTCCACAGCGATGGCCAACGTCTCGGTCTGCTGCTCTCCGAACAGATGCACAAAGAGGAGGTGGCTCCAGGCTTCAGCGGTGCCGGAATAGACGCACGGACGAGACCGATGTGGGCCCGTATCAACTCCGTACCAGTACCATGGTCATGACAAAGGGATGAATTTGGCTTTCGCAAGCGTCAAGCTGTGATAGCTAGAGGGTCAGCAATGGTTGTTCTTGGTGGCTGGTCAAAATCGTGCTCTAGGCGTGCCGCGACGCGTACATGATAGAAGAAGCTGTTACCATTGCAAGACACGACGGCGTTGACGCTGCATCATCTCAGACATGGAACACGACACCTATATGCCAGTGGACCCGAGCTGCCAGCACGCCACATAGGCTCCTCCAAGGACCTGCACATCCATCGCGCGGCGGACGAGGCGTTTAGGTACGGTACGGTGTCTCCGTGACTACGGTCTGCCGTGTTCGTAAGTACTCTGCCAAATCGGAATGAGATGAAACTGGGGACTGCTCATTATATATATGCGATAGCTCTCGTACAGTTTCTCGGCTTAGCGGTCAAGCCTCAAGGACATGCATCCTCACGTCTTCTCGCGCGCGCCGCTGATGAGAAGAGTAGGTGCTCGGTTTAATTTTTTCAAGGTCGTTCACGAGGTTATAGGTGTGATCCGCGATGCGATCCAAGGTGTGCTTGTTCGGCAGTGGTATGAAGCAATGCCCGTCTGATCCTAGGACCCAGATCACAGAAGAGCTATGCTATGTCTAATTATATGATACAAGAGTGCGACGCGCGGCGCTCGTTCTTAAATTTATTCCGTGAGACCTGATTGCGCGCATCAGTGTATCTCGTCCGGAACTTGTGTTTGAGGGTCAGGTACACTGATGGTAAGGTGTTTACGAACAAATAGAAAAGGATACAGAGATCTACACAGTGATCAGAATACACAGCTACTAATGAAACATACAAGCATACAAACAGAAAACAAGCATTATCAGAACGGCAGGGAAACTTACAATCACACAGCAACAAACCTAGCGTGGAGCACCAAAGAACCTACAAGAAGCGTGCCAAGAGATCGTCGACGGTCGCCTTCTTCCACCGTTTCTCCGTCACCCGCAGAATGTCCGGGAACCAATCTGTCAACTCGTTCTCCCGGCCTAGCAGCATATACGCGACTGCCTTGCCGCTCATCCAGGCATGCACCATGCCTTCACCCGAGTATCCCGCAGCGATCCATTCGCCTGACGGTGCCAGCCCACCGGCTCCTTTCTCCGATACAGCCGAGGGCACGGCAGGGGGAGGGACCCGGCCTGCGACTATAGCAGGAAGACGTCCCACCCACGGCAGGTTATCCGTGGAGATGCCCAGGATGCCGCTCCACTGCGCCTTCGTCCGGCCCGTCCCCCAATGTGCGTCCTGCTCGCCCGCAGGCACCGCCTCGCCGCCCCAGTGGTTCGCGCCAAAGTAGAGCGGGAGTGCGCCCGCGAGATGGCTCGCACTCGCGAAGCTGAACGTGCTGTCGTCCGTGATGCCAATGTCGGGCAGGTTGTTGTCGCACGACTGTGCCCAGCCGCCGCCGAACATGAGCTCGTGCTCGCCCGCAGGCAGCTGCGTGAGGTAGTCGTAGCCGGACGTTCCGCGGTAGAACACGAATGAGCGGCAGCCGTCACTCGTCGAGGCGCTCAACGAGGTCCCCGGACGCTGGGCAGACATGGTCCCCCGGACAGGTACGATCTTAGTGCGCATGGGCTCGAGCAGGTGTGAGGACCAACCGTTGGTGGCATGAATGATGTGCGCGGCGGTGACGGTGCCACGTGGCGTGATTGCGCTGTAGTAAGGGGAGGATGTAGTTGGCCCTGTAATGGCGGTACATGGCGTCTGAGTAGCGATATGAAATCTAGTCCGAGTTAGAGATGATACGTTCTGTGATTTGAACAGCCCACCCACGTATCCGAGTGCCGGTCGAGTAGCTTTGTCAGAATGGATGTTACCAAGCGATAGGGGTGCAATGCACCTCCAGACCCGAAGATGCACCCAACGGTGCTCTCCGACAGGGAGAATCTCTGATATTTGCTTCAGTCAATACTCATACTCTTGAAGCAAGCAGCTATCCAGCTATTGATCATTGTCCTGCTCGTGACTCAGAGCAAGATACGAGCACGCTGAACACTGCTTTGACAACCTAAATACGTACCGTGATGGCATCTTCTCTCTCGCAGTACCCAAAGGTACTTGATTCGTCGGGCATGTCCGCCTTCCATTTCATGAGGGTTTCTTTAGCCTCAGCGAAGGTTTTGGGGCATGTAAAAACGTCAACATGCACGGTATCTCGCACTTGCGATTCTTTCAGAAGGTCTTCGCTTTCTGCGATATGTTTCATCTCTTGCAGGTGTGACAAGCGGAACTTAACCATCATCTTAGCGGTAGATTCCCCGTACTTCTCCTTCAACTCGGAGTAATCATGATACAGCGGTGGATTCGCATGCCCTCCGTTCCTAACCACAGAATTGGAATTTGCTTCAGATTGAAGATTCTCGCTATAGATACTCACCTTGCTGTTGCTCCAGAGCAGACGTCCCGAGCTTCGAGCATCACCACCTTCACACCATAACTGCGCTCGAGGAGATTGTACACCACTGACGTGCCTGTGATACCAGAACCAATGACTACAATGTCAGCGTGTTCTGGCAGAGGCGCCCCTTCAGAGGATATCAGGGAGGGAGGCACAGTCCAGAAAGGTAGGTTCGGGTTAGGTACAGGGATCCCAGGGGGGGCTTGCAGTCGTTGAGAGAGCTCATTATATGCTTCGCGTAGGCGCAGACTAGCTGCGAGTAAGAACTTCGCTTTTGAGGTGACGTTGCCCATGGTCCGATATTCTGCAAATCGTAAGAGAGACAAGAACAATATCCGTCGTAGTCTGTGGCAGCAGTTGACTATGACCAAGATTTGCGGAAGTTGCTCTCACCCCACGGGGAGCCGCCACTGATAAGCCGCCGGCGCCCAATTTGAATATGCATTCAAATTCAGCCTCACGTGTCTCGACTGCACTTTAGGCCGCAGTACCAACAATGAACATTCACCAGTACAGTGTCAAAATGGCACTAGACTATCTGTTGATTCTCATGTGTCGTGGTTCAGGCAACAGAAGTTCGGCGTGAAGCTGAAACTGGTCTCAGCTCGAGAGAATGGCTGAAATTCGAACGTGAACAGGAAAGTGAGATAAATGGGGGGAGTATCTGGGTGCTACCGCCGGATGGGATGGACACAGTGGTTTAAGAATGCAGGGAGTGCGCGCACGTCCCATGCGCGATGCTTCGCGTCAACAGCAGCACGTGCCCGTGAGCGCATCAGCTGCAGTCTAGCGCAGTTTGTTGCCTGAGCCTTTTTCACGATATGCCAAGTTCTCTATGGCCAGTAACAGTACTTGTGCGGATGTTTGAAAACCTTTTGATACTCGCATTCTTTGTGACGCTGATTCTATCATAGGGATGCTGAATCTATTCCACCAGACGGTGCTTCGGTCACCTGAACGACGAGCACGGTAGGTAAGATTGAGTGCTCGGGGTAGTTCGTATCACCGTGCCATTGTAGATAACCCCTACGACCACGAGGCTGTCTTCAAACTCCTCGCTTCCTGTCGTCCGTGTAATCTGGCAAAGCAAGCTCGAATTCCGTGAATATTGACCACATACAAACATGCGAGAATGCAATCACTAGCCTGAGTGTCGAGTCAGTGCTATTGACCCAATGCCTGAGCTTCGAGCCCGTTGACACATGTATGACTTCTGAAACTTCTCGCAGTCGCTGCATGGAGACGTCTAAGTTATCACATATATCACTGACTAATGGAAATGTTGATGATCGTAGCTTCATATGATGAGCAGTTCGCAATCCTGTTTATGCTAATTATTTGCATATCGAAAGCAGAAAGTACAAAGTGTGAAGCTGAACAGAGTTCAACGTAATGGACGAACAAGGAGCCGAGGATGTCCACTTCGCTCTGTAAGTTCCGTCAACTTCGGTCGAGTGTGCAAACTATCAATTTAGGCGTAGGCCACGGCTAGAGCAAGGCTATGGGTCGCCCACCTTCGTCTGTGCGAATCATAAAACTCAAAGCATCCCCGCTACCCAAAGGGTATTTGCATCAATACGTAATGCTTTTACACTCGAGAATATAACTCACCTAATCTCTTCGGCCACTGGAACCACGGTGAGGGAACACCGTCGGTGCATACATCTGGCAACGGGAGTGCGATTGCATAATCTTTGATAAGCCGTACCACGCTCACATAGTGTCTTATTTTCTTCAAGTCCTGTGAATACTCTTCATGGAATATGCTTGGCCTCTCGTGGCATTCGAATTCCTTCAGAGGGCGACCCATACGGTACCGAGTTTCAGCAAGTTTCAGCATCCCGGAAATGTCATGCGCGTGCGATAGTGCGACTTTCGTAAGCCTCGGCCAATAGGCAGGGTTCTTTTCGAGGATTTTCACCATGGTAGTGAAATCGATGAATCCGAGGTGTAGTGTCTCCACCCATGGTGTGTGTTTGATGATCGCCTCGTCAAACTCATCCTTCTTGTAAGTATTCGCAATCCAGATATCTTCCGACTGGAAATATGACAGTAGAGCCGCGATCCATTGGGCCCCTGTGCTCGAGTCGCGTTTCCCACTGAAGCGCACCGCTTTCGAAGGTCCAGCTGCGATTACTGAGGACTTCAAGGCAGAGATGCACACAAACTTGACGTCATTCTGGGTCAGAGGGACTAGCCACCGAAGGTCGGACACTTCACAGTTTTCGAAGTTGACCGCCAAGCGCGCAGGAAGACCGACGTGCGAGAAGAGTCCGGATACAATGTTCCTGTCCGGATAATGGATTGCGAGACGGCGAAGATGCTGGAGGGCCACAGCAGGAATATCTCCATGAGGGTCGAATGCCTCCTCAGCGCTGATTCTGTATAGGCCCAGGTCCTCTAATCTCGGCGCAATCGACAAGATGCGAAACAAGTCTACAACGCGTAGCCGCCTTTTGGCGAGGAAAAGGTGCGTGAGATTGATGGGGGTACTAGGCAGGTGCCAATCCACGGCCCATAGGGTAAGCGCCTTGAGGTTGGAAACATCGCCTTGAAGCAGGCAACCCCGCGCAACCAAGGCGTGGAGTCCTTGGGCGTAGGACATGTGTAGGCCGGGATCACACCCTGTCTTCGACGCGAGCGATTGAATGCGCTGTCCGTCAGTGCGCCACAGCTGTTGCACGTCGAGATGCTTATTTTCAACGTTGAGCACTTTCAACGGCGCGCTTTTCGAGCGGAGACGATACTCATCAATGGCTGCAGAATGAGAGGAGCCGAAGAGGGTCGTCCAAAGAGTGGGTGTGTCCAATGCCACATCGCGCCACCAGCGACACACATGCGTGAGTGGAAGTAGCGCATCCGTATCCTTGAAATCAAAGAAGGGATCCCAGACTAAGAAGCTTTGGGGGCTGAGGCTTTTAAGATAGGAAGCCAACTGGAATGGTGGTAGTACTTGGTGGAAGATTTCGCTGAGAATCTCGACAGGAAGACGATTGACAGGGCGCTGTGCATTAATGGACACCCGAACGTCCGAGATGGTATGCAAGAGTTCATCCTCAATGCGGTCGAGCTGGAAGCAAGTTCCAATTAGTTGCGGTTATTTGCTTTGGGTCATGGCCACAATAACTTACATCAGTGAGACTGCGTGAAACAAGTGTTTGGTAGGTCAGCTCGCGTTGAGATATATTGTGAACCCGCTACTAACCTCCATTCTCTGCAAGAATTTCTCAGCTTCGCCAACAGCGATGCTGCATCAGAGCAAGTGAAACGGATGTCTGCCATGTTGATGAGATGTGAGGTGAAGTCAGTGCTTACCGTAGGGTGAGATGAAGGTGGCTTTGAGATGTCGGACTTTCACGCTTGGCCACGCACGTGCTACCCGAACAGATCGCGACGCATCTTCCGCATCGCGCGCGTACTACGCCATACCGGAGCTATGCCACCTGTCTCACCCGCAAGATATCAACACGTCCTTTCCTACTTCCGCATCTTAGATAGACCGGTCGGGTTAGATGGAGGTAGAGCCTGATCTAATGATCATCTTGCGGTCGATTCCCCGCCTTCTTGATGTGTCCTCAGCTCCTGAATACAGATCTCATTGCTCAATGTGATTAGTGGTGCTCACGGCATATGCTGACCTTGCGCTTGCTCATGGACCATATATCTAGAGCTTTGAACATTACCACATTTGCATGAAAACTGCATCCGAGTTTGTCACCATCGACGCTGAATGCGCATTATCGTCAGGTGAATGCATCTGAGCCTGGGACGGATAACTTATCTCTGTCAGGACACATCAGGACACTACGGTACTATGTGACATGTTCGTTGACTGTGTTGATGTAGGAAATATCAGGTCCACCTACTCATGTCCCTTACAAGGTACATCGTTCGCTCTTCTCCATGTGTCGATGACTGACATTTACACTGCTTTCGTAAACCAACAGATATAGGCAATCTTTGTTGCAAAGACTGAGATACACAGCTTTCTCCGAAGATACCATCTGTCAAGGTCCATCGCAGTTGAGAGCCATCATAGCCAAGGTCTGTCGCAGTCAAGTTCTGTCGCAGTTGCTGTTCTATGAATGCATGTGGGTACTGTATTGGTGGGTACGCAGAGCGGAGTGATGAAGGATTACTCATTGATGACTTCGATAAACATGCCATCATGTGCCATACCCATCTGTAGTAGTAAGTGCTGTGCACGGAGGCTGGTTGCCTCAATCATAAATGCTTGAATTCGGGCAGGGTAGGCCTTATCTCTCGCCCTTTCAGGATGCCTGTCTTTCCCATTGACGAGGCACAGCTGGTCGCTCTATTCATGCAGAGCGTGACATATGGTGTCCATGTAGTAACTTTCACTATTTGTATGTGGAAGCTCGTCAAGAAGTTCAGAAGCGGACAGGGCTCTGCGCACTGGCCATGGACAGTTATTGCTATTGCTCTCTTTGCTAATGGGACAGTTGATGTGTCGTTCAATCTATACCATAACCTGATTGCATTCATTTTCTATCGAGGAAATGGTGGCGCTGAAGAGGAATTCACGGCCTCTACGACATGGCTCAACTTGATCAGGGTGAGCTTCGCATCTTCGTGGCAAAAACCCTCTGACTTACATGCATTTCAGAGTGTCTCTTTCAGCCTAGGGATTGTCATATCTGATGCCGCCCTGGTAACAATACTTTGAAGCATTTTTGGGAAGAAATCTTATTCGCGTTGTTCTCACTACAGATGTATCGCGCCTGGATCATTTGCAATCGCAGATGGATCGTCATAGTACCATCCATTGTTCTCTTGTGTGCGACACTCGCATCTGCGACAGCATATTTATACTACATGAACCTCGAGAATATGGAAACAGTCATGGACGAGAAGAAAACGATGATCCCTATCATAATCGTGATCTACACTACCACTATCACAAATAACGTCGTCTGTACGGGTAAGCATGTCTTCAACAGTTGTGCTTCAGTCTCGTTGACAGAAGGCTCACCTAGGGATGATAATGCATCGTATTTGGCAAGTCACCAAACAGATCACAGAGTTCTTACCACCTGGAGGAATGCTCGCCCGCGTGAACAGGATTCTCGTTGAATCTGCAGTTCTGTATACCACATCTATGCTAGTTGACTTTATAGCGACTCTCGCAAGGAGTGTTTCGCTTCTTGGCCTTACCGATATTGTAAGCTATCTCATAAGTTACTACATGTGTTCAAATCTCACTGTTTCTCTAGTCATTGGAGCTTGCGGGTATTGTCTTCGACCTCATCATCATCCGGATCAGTCAAGGCGCAGCTACGGAACAGACACAAGCTTTCACAGACTCTCTTGCACAGCGGGTCGTGGATATGTATGTGGTGGAAAGTCAGTCGGCCGCAGATGATCGGACGAGGGGGTCTACACACTTGGATTCGACCACGCGACTAGCGAAGGATATTCCAGAAGGTCTTACATACATGCAAGACTCACAGGTCTAGCCAGGTGCGCTCCTCCATGCGCTATCATGGTTGGAAGCCCGCATTCATCTCACCACTTGATAGCATGATTGTACGCACTGCACAAGAGGTTGACCGTACCTGAAGATTGCTGTATTACAGCCGGTCACCGATTTCATTTGGAATCCACTTGCGCAAATGTACCCGTCACCTCGTATATAATAATAAAGCCATGTCTCCTGATTGATTTGTCGTAGATATCTGGCTGACATCATTATCTACGAATCAAATGAGGACTGAATAGCCTCTGGCCATCGGAGCTGCAGGCCTTCCTGGACACAATTTATCATACACAAGGTGGGGCAATAGGCAATATGACGTACTTGAGTCTATGATACAACACGATTCAGAAATAGATATAAACCAGAGTTCTGACACGCCATGAGGCGTCGTTCAAGCGCTCAAGCTTCAATAGCTTCGTGTTGACCATCGAAATAAAGTCTATCCAAATTAGTGACCTCGACGCTGCCAGATAGGTGCGACACTCTGAATGGTGAATCCCTGAGGTGCTTACCGTACATTCAAAGTCTGAACTCGTTCGCAAATTCGGCGTAAATTGATCAATTGCACTCTCTTACGTCGGGGGGATGCCCGTTTCGCTCTGTAAGTTTCCCGAACTAACATCGACTTCGATTGAGCGTGCAAACTGTCAATTGAGGCGTAAGCCACTAAAGAGGTTGCCCCAGTGGCCATAGCAAAGCCATAGGTCACCCCATTTTCGTCTGTACGAATCATAAAGCTCAACGTATCTCCACCGCCCAAAAGAGTATTTGCATCAATATGCAATGATTTTACACTCGAGGTTTCAACTCACATAGTTTCTTCTGCCACTTGAACCACGGTGAGGGAACACCGTCGGTGCATACATCTGGCAACGGGAGTGCGATTGTACCATCTTTATGAAGCTTTACCGCCTCCACATGGGATTTGATTTTCTCTACGTCCTGTGAATACTTTTCGACGACCGTGTTTCGCATCCCGTAGCATTCGAGCTCCTCCAGAGGGCAGCCCAATCGGGCCCGAGACTCCGCGAGTTTGAGTATGTTGGAAAGGTGATATGGGCGCGATAGTACAACCTTCGTGAGCTTCGGCCAATAGGTAGGGTTCTTTTCGAGGATTTCTATCATATTAATGAAGTTGAGGGACCCAAGGTGTAGTGTCTCCACCCATGGTGTGTGTTTGATGATCGCCTCGTCAAACTCATCCCAGTGGTAAGTGTTCGCAAGCCAGATATCTTTTGACTGGAAATGTGACAGTAGAGCCGCGATCCATTGGACCACCACTACTTCCGAGTCGTCTTTAGTACTGAAACGCACCGCTTTCAAAGGACTAGCTGCGATTACTGAGTGTGTCAAAGCAGAAATGCACAAATGATCTACGTCATTGTGGGTCAGAGGGAGTAGCCACTGAAGGTCGGACACTTGACAGTGCTCGAAGTTGACCGCCAAGCTCGCAGGAAGACCGACGTGCGAGAAGAGTCTGGATATAATGTTCTTGTCTGGCCAATAGATTGCGAGACGGCGGAGATGCTGGAGGGTCACAGCGGGGATATTTTCATGAGGGTTGAATGCTTCCTCAGCACTGATTTTGTATAGGACCATGTCTTCCAGTCTCGGCGCAATCGACAAGATGCGAGACATGTCTACAACGCGTAGCCGCCTTTTGGCGAGGAAAAGGTGCGTGAGATTGGTGAGGGTGCTAGGCAGGTGCCAATCCACCGCATGTAGGGCAAGCGCTTTTATGTTAGAAACATCACCTTGAAGCAAGCAGTCCCGTGCCGCGAAGGCGTGGAGTCCTTGAGCGCAAGACGTGGGTAAATCTGAATGGCACCCTGTCTTCGACGCGAGCGATTGAATGCGCTGTCCGTCAACCTGCCATAGGTATTGTACGTCGAGATGCGTATTTTTGATGTTGAGCACTTTCAACGGCGCGCCTTGCGAGCGGAGATAATACTCGCCAATGGCATCAGAATGAGAGGAGCCGTAGAGGGTCGTCCAAAGAGTGGGTGTGTCCAATGCCACATCGCGCCACCAGCGACACGCATGCGTGAGTGGAAGCAGCGCATCAGTATTTTTGAAGTCGAAGAAGGATTCCCGGACTAAGAATTCTTTGAGGTCGTGGTCGTGAAGATAGGAAGCCAATTTGAATGGTGGAAGTACTTGGTGGAAGATTTCGCTGAGAATCTCGACAGGAAGACGATTGACAGGGCGCTGTGCATTAATGGACATCCGAACGTTCGAGAGGGTATACAAGAGCTCATCCTCAATGCAATCGAGCTGGACGCAAGTCTCAGTCAGTTATTCAATCTGATGGAACACCGTAATATCTTACATCTGTAAGACTGCGTGTCATAAGCAATCAGCGGTCAGCTCGATATACTATATCGTGGGCATGCTACTGACCTCCATTCTCTGCAGGAGTCACTCAGTTTTTCCAGCAACGACAGCGCCTCAGAATAAGTGAAATGAACATCCGCCATGTGAATGAGCCGTGATCTGATGTTTACGCTACCGTGAGAGGCTTGGTCACACACGTCCCACCGAACATATCGCGTCGCATCAACTGCTGCACGTGATATCCGTGGTCTCCCGTGATCCAAGCCATGACGGCGCGCTGTATCATCTAGCTGCAATGGTCTGAGGCGCCGTTCAAGCGCATAAGCCTCAGTAGTTTCGTGTTGACCATCAAACCAAGGTCTGTTCGAGCTAGTGATCTCGACGCCGCCAGATAGGTGCGACACATTTAACGGTGAATTCCTGAGGTGCTTACCGTACGTCCAAAGTTGGTCCCCGTTCGCCGAGAAATCCCAGTATAAACTTATCAACTGCGCTCTCACTACGTCAAGAAGGAAATGATTGATCACTGCCTTGATCCGGCAATCTCGATCAAGGTTCCACCAACTTGACACCTCACGTCGAGCACCATAACCGCCGACAAGAAGGCGATGGAAATATCTTCGACCTACGACACTGGAGTGGACCAGAAGAGGATAGTTTTCGCTTCTTGAAGGCCGTACTCATCGGCTCTGAGCAGCATCTCGTGCCTATGCAGATACTCGAATAATGAACTCGAGCCGCAGAAAGCGAGGCGACTGGACAGAACGATATTCGCACGTCGAGGACGGGAATAAATGGTCATAAAATATCACTTCAAGCCAAGGGATCGGCCTTCGTTGGTATCTATACACAAAGAGCAGCCAGAAGATCGGTGTATCAGTATGGCTCCCCTCGATCTATCGACACGCGTGTATTACGATGTGCACTTCTCATTCCACCTATGTACCTCAAGGGGATTTGATGCCAGTTCAGGCGAGTCGCGTGCCCGTTAGAACCTGTCCAATTCGACAACCTCCACGCTTGCAGGCGTTCCTGATCCCACAGCTTTTTGAGACCCGCTAGTCTTCATATGAGTGATCCCAGCATCCAAAGTCGTGCTCATTGAGACGTGCACAGCAACGTTACTATGTGCGCCGTAGTCTGTGAACGCTTGCGTTTGCTCCGCGGATGTCCCTCCGTTGATACGAATTATGATGAGATCGAAGGCTATGCCAGTGACCTCTAGCGTTTAGATAATGACATTCGTCAGAACTCTGCAGCGCTCCTAGACGGTAAGCAGATCCTTACAATGTCGGACAAACCGTAGTTGATGCTGCTCTTGGCAACTGCAGACACGAATGTGGCTAGGATCGAAGCGGTATACAGAAGGGCGGATTCTATGAGGATGACGATCACGTCCCTCAGATTCGTCCTGCCGCTTCCTCTGAAAGTCTGCGTGAAGAACTCGGAGCTTTGCCGGCTAATCTGCCAAATGCGATGTACAATCATGCCTGGACCCTAATGATTTGTGGGTGCATCGAGTGCAGGAGGAGGCTGCTTACCAGTACACAGTCCATTGTCGACGAGCGTCATAACGAGATAGGCGATGATCAGGGGTTGCAAGGTCTTCTGGTCAACTAATGTCGTCGTCGTCCTCAACGTGCTGACAAAGTACAGATCTGTAATTGCTGTCCCAATCGCTAAAATCCACAGCAACATCGGGAAAGCCATGAGACCCCATTTCCGATTGCAGATAATCCAGCAGCGATACATCTAGCAGGTGGTGGGGTTAGTCGTTGAGGTACACCAGATTATGATCAAATTGATATACAAGAGCAGCATCCGAAATGACTCCGCCCACATAAAACCACACACTCTGTGAGTTTGGATTAGTATCCACGTACCTCGATCATGAACATGTGGGACATACGCGTATGACATTCACCCAAGTAGAGATGTCCAGGAATTCTGCCTCGGCGCCGCCAGGCCCGACATAGAAAATAGATGCAATCAAGTTGTGGTAAAGGTTGAAGGACACGTCTATGGTCCCAACAACGAAGAGGGCGACGGCTATACTGAACCATGGCCAGTGTACGGGCAAACTTGAATCCTGCTTATTGATGAGCGTCCCAAAACACACAGTGAATGTTGCCACATGGATGCCATAGGTTACGCTCTGCATGAAGAGCGCAATGAGCTGCGCCTCATCGATAGGTAGGCTGGACATGACAATTGACGTAGGGACCTTTCTTGAAGGGTATTTCTGAGTCTTCTCAACCATATATACACGGAGGCGTGGCTGTGATGAATGTTGTGAGAGCGTTATCTGCACGGAACACGTACCGCTGACAAAGTGGTGCACAAGCTAGGTGGCTCCCGCCCGTTGGTGTCCGTGCAAATGCACGAAGGCGGTGGTCGCTGGTCTATCAGACCACACTGGTTGTTGATTGAGATTTGCAATTGATACGACAAGGCGATTACTGACCTGCACCTGCGACTATCTTCTCGTGGAACAGGGTTCTTGAGGTCGCCTGGGAAGGCGCGCTGTAATTGCGCACCCTAAATGCGTCGGAAATGCATGCGGTTGTTTTTCTGCTGCAGCAGTCCAGGTCGAGGGCTGGTTAGCGCAGTGAGAGCACAAGCATATGAATGCAGGTGGGGACATTGTGGTCATGTTGCATGTTGCGTAGTTTCTTGTGCGTCAGCGTCTGAGTTGGGTGCCTGACACTAGGAGTGCACATTGTATTCTGTGGACGTGCAGTGTATTAGCCTGGGAGCGCCATCCTCGTCGTTCCGGGTCCGATAGTGGCTCGACTAACCGGATACGTAGGAGTCAGGGGAAGACACAGCTTAGTGCGACCGTTTAGCTCTACGGCCCACCTGTGGCGTATTGTGACCCTTGATATTCCACTAGTTTCGCCGAGCATAAACCATGCATAAACGACCTAGCACATAAAGAGTTCTTAGTATCTCGCCTAGAAAACGCGGTTACATGGGCGCTTTAGGTTGATCTTCGTACCAGCACAATGAGCAGATGCGTCTGCCAGAGAAAGCGTACTCACCGTTCTCATATATGAATTGATTTTGATGGCCTTGGAGTATGCCTATCAACGGAAAATGCAAGGAGCAAGTCCCCTTTCTGCACAGCGGTCATCAGCGATGCATAGTTACTGTAACGTCGTACGGACGTCGGATACTTAGATCGTGGCATTATAGACATGGCCGAAATGGGGAAGATTTACAGAACATATAACCCGGGGCCACCGAGCGTCAACATCTAGATGCTTTTTGTGTCCGGGCAACAGGGGGCTGTTTCGTGTACAATGTGTACAAGGCCACCCTTGATGCCGACATAACAGCGAACAATTCGATACCGGTCTAGTAACTTCGTAGGGGCCGCTAACATCTCGTTTCAACTCTCTCGACAAGTAATGTGTGGCTTTCTGGGCGCAGAAGATAAGCGATGTCTGTATATGCAGGTTTTCTCTGGGTGAACGATTTCTGTACGAGTGTGTCACTCGGGGGAGGGTCATCATACCCTAGGCCCACATTAGAGCCGAGAGCGATGATGTAGGATTGCGTGATAATCTAGAGAGGCCAAATCGTACCCGTGTGAGAGGTATTCATCCTTAAATTTGTCAGAGAGATAGTCCATACCTAGGCTTATCATTGTACATCGCGCAGCTGGAAGATATTGCATATGCTGGCAGGCCACCCAACCGACCCTCGGTACCGACGTTTTCGTTCCAAAGTGCTTCAAACATCACACTGACCAGCTTCAAGGCCAGTCAACAAAACACATTCTAAAATAATAAAGTTTTTCGAGCATATCAGCATTTGTACCCATGATCAGACTTTGCCAGTGGATTCTACAGACTCGCGACTGGCGTAAGGGCCTTACAGATCGCAGGCGACTGCGTTCGCCACTCAATTATATACCAGTGCTCGCAAACCTCTGAGAATGACACGGAAGACGACCGCAGCAATGTTATTCGTCGCCAGCGAGATGAGAACTTGAAGGTTCATTACATCCGTCGAGTCCGATGTTGCACGTGTAGCTCTTTCGGAACTGTTGAATGTGGAAGCATAGACTGGAATTGACCTTGCTTAATGAGTTGCTCAAGATGAGCATAAGTCGAGGGTGTTTCTCTGTTACAACTTAGGATCAATAGCTGTGACGGCGTTTGATGGCGGTGTTGGGTAATAGATCCCGATCGAGCACCATCACGGCTGCGCTCCGTCGGAAGCCCCTTGTCCTCATAGCCCATCATTGCATGCGCACAGACCTTATGAGCCGCAGTTTTGCCCTCGACACCGCCAGCCTATCATTGAATATGCATGGGCAGCCGATATCACTACTGTCAACGATACACATCCTCATCGCACCAACGCCCTGAATGTATGTCTTTACCCGATGAGTGTACCTTCAAAAAAGTGGACATACATGAGGAGCAAGGTCCTTGCTGCTCTTAATCAGAAGTACGCCATGGAATAGCGGAATTGACTGCACTGCATGGTATCTCTTCTTGATCAAACTTAGCGAAGGCACGCCTTGGGTGACGTGCCGCGGCGCAGTGCGTGGTTCCTGTCAGGACATGTCCACCGCGTGAAGAACGCCGTCCTTCGAGATGCGCTTAGCGCTTGCTGAATCCTCTTAAAAGCGTGATGAAGAACAATGTACCATATCTTCACTTTCTTCTTTCGCTCTCTGTTTAATTCGTTCTCTCAAATTCTCTGCGCCGGGTCAATGTCTTGGATTACTCAATGTGGGATCTTTCTGTCTCTAAGGACATGATGCACTACTCAGACGTTTCTGTGCTAGTCATAGAGCCTGCGGCTCCTTCTCAGTATGGATATGTCCCCACTGCGTGGATCTGTTACCTTTACGTTATTCTGTTTTCTGTATCCACACGTGAGTACGGGCTCTCTTGCTCCATTACAATAGCTGATAGTGCCATCACAGTCGCACATTTTGTGCAGGCACTTCATAGTCGCCTCTGGTGGATGCTCGCGACAGCATGCATCACTGGTGCTCTAGAGGTCACGGGCTGGATCGGACGTCTCTTGTCCTCGCATAACCCTGCAGCCAGCAACCCGTACCTCATCCAGTCAGTATCTTGTCTTCGGAATTTGGGCCAGCGTGATGGCTAACGGCTATGGGATGATAGAATTGTGGCCACGATCATTGCGCCTACTCCTTTTGTCGCATGCAATTTCATCATCTTGGGCCAGATCATTCGTCGTCTGGGGGAAGGCTACAGTCGCATAAATGCCAAGTGGTGTAAGCACCCACAGTCCTGCACTTGGGACCGAGATGTCTGATGCTTCCTCCAATAGACACGATCATATTCACGACATCGGTGAGACTATCAATGCCTTATGCACTCGTCCGATAATCTGACCATATTCTGTTCAGGATTTCGTCTGTCTCGTTGTGCAAGCGCTCGGCGGTGCAATGGCTACAGGGACGAAGCAAAGTCAGGTTGATCTGGTGTGTCGTTATCAACAGTGATGTCTGTGCATTGACTCATTCTTGTCGGCTATGTAGGGTTCGAACATCATGTTGACTGGGATTGTCCTCCAACTCTGTAAGCCAGCCTACTCGCAGACGTTTACCAATTCTAACCCACGGTAGTCTCAATAACTGTGTATATGACCTTGGCGACCGAGTTCCTCTGGCGCTACCTCCACGACAGGCCACTGCGGGAGGTCACCAGGACAGGATACACATTGGACAAGTCGACGAAGCGCATGATCCTGGCCCTCATCATCAGCGGTGTCTGCATCTACATTCGGTGAGTTCGATGTCCATTTCGTCGCTCCATGGCCTCTAATATCAGTCAT